AACTCCCATATCATCTGCTTTGCTCAGTGGAGCAACCCCCCCCGCAGCACGAGACTTAAGGCATTTATGTGCCCTCGTTCAGCAGCTTGCGAATTTTGCGAGAGTTTCTAGTCCTTCGAAAATATCCAGTGAAGAAAAAAAACCTAGCTCCAAGGTTTCAAAGAAATCTACTGGCGCAGAACATCAAGCCGAAAAGGGTATGAGCAAAGAAAACGAAGTGGTGCCTGAGGTTGAGCACACATTGCGAGAAAAGTTGGAGATGTTAGCGACACAGTTTGAGACTACACGACTAAGCGAAATGAAGGCACTGCGGGAGCTTGAAAGGACGCTGCTTCCGGACCTCACCACGGCTCTAGAGGTGGTTGTAGACGAGAGTCGCAACGCAATGAATTTCGAATCCTCTCATTTCCTTTCGACAGCTAGGGACGTCCTTGTGGACGTGGACAACCAAGAACATAATGAGAATCTTCAGAAGATGAGGGCTCCTACAACTGGGTCTCTCCCAGTAGATGCGAAGGGTATCACACCCACCTACGCTTCCGCCACATCCGAAGTCCTCCGCACGATTGCAGACGAATCACGGAAGGAGGCACTCGATATACCAGGAGGAATGGAATCCTCGTTGACCTCGAGCGCTCCAACGAGTCCCTCGAAGCCGCTTGTCCTTCCTTCATCTACTGCCGTTTCCGCTAGTATTGATGGTAGTAGAGATCCTAAATCGGTCTTGTCAAAAAAGAGCAAGAAGAAAGCCGCAAGAGCCAAAGCAGTAGCGACTACAGCGTTGTTGGCATCAACAACCCCTAGTACTGCAGACGTGGTCCCCGTTGCTTCGGGCAACATGGGCAAGGCCATAGAGAAGCTGGTAGATGCACTCCACAAACTGGATTCTGTACTGACTACAACTGCGAACAAAATCCTTGTCGAAGAACTGGGGCTCGATGAGACGACCACTGCTGCTCATCCTGAAGCTATCGACGTTGCTCCTGTACCAGATCGAGATCAAGAGGACGAACAAGAAAAGAATGAGGACCACGACGACCACGTTGTTATAAGCGCGAAGGAGTATATCGAACGTCGTTTCCGGCAGGTGTTTCAACAGATTTCTCAGAGTGTAGATAGGCTCCTTCAGGAACACGCGGATGCCTTCGACGATGAAGAGGGTGAACGTGAAATCCTGCTAGAAGAAGAGGACGAAGAAATCAACAGTGGTATGCAGAAGTTGATTTTTTCAATGCTAGAAAGTCAAGGAGACACCGACGTGGCCTTCTCGCTAGAGCGCTTGGTGTTGTCTGAAATGCTCAATGCCGAGAACGCGTTCCTTTTCAGCCAGATCGCAAGTACTCCAGAGACGGTCACGAAGAATTTCTGGACGATCGCTGAGCACAATCACGCGCAAAGGCGGGCTTCAGAAGCTACAGCATCGGTGTTGCGCGACTTCTTTGAGGTAGGACTACATCTACCAATTGCGAGAACAGCGCTTACTACCCCAACATCGCCAGCCCATCGTCTCGCCGTCTCGTTTGACTGGTTCCAGAGCAAAGAGCGGCAAAGCCGGAGAGAAGCGATCGTCACAACAATGAAGCGTGCTCGTGCAGGACTGCAGGCGACTCGAGACGCGCTGGAAAAGTGGCAACGAGAGAAACAAGAAGAAGCTATAGCTCGACTAAAGACAGAGGAGCAGCTTCAGTTGCAACGTGAAAAAGCAGAGGAAGAAGAGGAGCGACAACGGAAAATAATGGCAGAAAAAGAAGAGCGACAAAGAAAGAAAGCGGAAGAGGAAGAGCGACAAAGAAAGAAAGCGGAAGAGGAAGAGCGACAACGGAAAATGAAGGCAGAAGAAGAAGAGCGACAACGGAAAATGAACGCAGAAAAAGAAGAACGACAAAGGAAAAAAGCGGAAGAGGAAGAACGACAAAGGAAAAAAGCGGAAGAGGAAGAGCGACAAAGGAAAAAAGCGGAAGAGGAAGAAGAGCTGCGTAAAGCAGCAGTAGAGGCACAGCGACTCCGCGAAGAAGAATTTGCAAGACGAGAGCGCGCCAAGGCAGCGAAAGAAGAGGCTCCACTTTCTGCGGAGAAAGAAGCACGACTCCAACCTGAGAGGGAACTCGGCGGACCAGCGCTAGCTTCAACGACAGCAGAAAAGCAGAACAAGAAGGTAGCAGGGGTCGAAAACGGCGGAGCTGCGCAAAGCAAGGCCGCGCGTGCAAAACAAAAGGCCTCCGCTCAGACGCCACCCGCCAAGCCTACAAAGGAAGGTAGAACTTCTCCACTAGCTGCTACGATAGGAAAGGTAACCACAACCACGGATGCGGGACTTCAAAATGTTAGAGTAACGGAGCCGGGACACGACAGGCAGGAGCGGAAGGCGAAACCAGCTCCGAAGGCCGCTGAAGACACCGAGAATAGTCGTGATGTAGTCTCACCTTCACGTTCGCCGCTCAGTCAGCAGGAAACACCGAGTGACAACAAGAGAGGAAAAAGCAAAGGAGATGGAGGCGTCCCTGTAGCTCCCTCGTCCCGCGTGCCTGCTCCGCCTGCTGCGACCGAGCAACTAATCGCGCACTTGGGGGAGGGCTTCGCCCATTTAAGTCTACAACCTTCCCAAGTACAGAGGAACGAGGAGCGAGGCGAAAGCATGCAACAAACCGCTCAGAAGCAGATAGAAGCAGCCACAGATCCATCATCTCCTCTGCTAGCAAGTCGTGACAGGAGGAGGACCAATTCGACAATAATAGACGAGGAGAGCCAAGAGAAAGAGGCTGAAGAGGAGCCGGAACCTGAGCACGACATTGCAGCAGCCGTCAACCCCTCTGCAGCTCCTCCAAATGCACAGACGAACTCTAACGACAACACAAGTGGAAACGGCAAGCTGAAGTTCCTTCCTCCACACCTACGACTGCCAGAAGAGCCAGATACCGCGCCGCCCCTTCCTCCTCTAGACTTCAAAGGTGCTTTCGATCGCTACTTAGATGGAAGCCAACTTTCTGCGGCTCAGTGGCATAGCATGACCAACGCGGAGCTGGCATTGCGTCGTGTCCTGTACGAAAGCTTCCTCGACATTGCAGCTGAGGATCACGGCAGTCCGGACGAAGCCCCACCAGACGTCCTCAAATTTTTACCCAGTGGTCTAGTTGGCGCGCATTTGGACCATCTCTTGAACAGTAGAGTGGATTCAACTACAACCGGCCAGGAGCCATCTTCATCTGGATTACAGGTCCCGTCTCCTGTGTTTTCACAGACTATCGAAGGGGAGCAAAGCCAACGAACAACCTCACGACTCATCTTTCGCGGCGACCCGTATCTGCCGAGCTCCACGGATGGCGACAGAAGATCTACGGAGATGTCATTGGTCACCGATTCCAATCTGCGGCTGCATGTGCTCTTTGCGCGGGCATTCGCGAACGAGATACGGGAGCGGCGATCGGCGAAGTGTCGACTTGAGCGGGGCCGCACACTGAGGGAGGCTCGTGACATGAGAGGGAGGCAGTCGTGGGCGGATCTTCAATCCGAAGATGGGAGCGACGACGACGCGCTTCCGCCTCATCTTCTGTTTATGCAGCAGCCGCCTGCAGTTGCGGAAAAAACTACTACATCACCGGCTGCTCCTCATCAAGCACGGCATCAAGTGCGTGACGGTGACTCGCCTGCCGACGATCCAGCTGTAGATGGCGGAACTTCCTCCACGTCCGCTCGCGACTTGGAATTCATGTCGCAGCTGAGAAAAGAGTCGGGGTTTTTCCGCTTGACGTTGGAGCAGCTGCGCGACGCCTATTTGATGCTGCAGCGGGACTTGGTGAATTACCTCAGACAGCGAGTTTTTTTGGTCCCCCAAGGCAGCATGTTCCAACGAACAGAAGTTGCCACGGACGTGGACTTGGATTACAAAGTGTATGTCCGGGATAATCGTTGTATGGGCTTTCTGCGCTCAGCGCTGCAAGAGAGGCTTGAGCAGCACGAAGACCTTTTTTTGGTTCCAGCACAGCGACACACCCAGGTCCGATTCGGATCCATCAACTCTTTGGTCTACCGGGGAACCTCTAGCACTTCTGGAAGGAACACGCGCATCGATCTCGTCTTTCACTCTCTCTACGACCAGGAAGATCTACTGCAGAAGCTACGACCGAAGATGAAGATGTCCGACGGTTTCTTCCCGTGGGCATTGCGTACGATGAAAATTGATGAAACGCAAGGAGACACCGTGCTTCCTCCTGCACCAGCAACAGGCCTTTTAGCCGATGTTTTTCTTGCGCCAGTTCAAGATGCATCGGAGGTCCTCTTGCGAAGAATAACACCTCCTAGCTCATCTAGAACGAGTATTAACCAAGATCAAGAACATCTTCAAGTTGGTCTTTTTAGTACAACTTCTACTGCTAAAAATGGTACTCGAGGCAGTCGCACGACGTCTACGATTTTGCAGCAGAAGATAATTGTTGATGTAGGTCCCTCAGAAAATGAGAATTTTGAGATGGTCCCAGCAGACGACGGCGTTTTGTTCGAAAACGCAGATCGGGATCGTGTTTTGCGTGGTGTGCTGGACCAGACCCACCCACATGTGCGCGAGGCGGTCAGGGCAGCAAAGCGCTGGTTCAAGGAGCGCGTCGGGATGTTGGGGAATGGGCGCAACGGAGGCATCAATTCTGTCGCAATCTCACTCCTGATGCTAAAAATGCTCGATCGCATTGAAGCTGACAAGAAATGGCCGTCCAGCATTCTACTCGTTCAGGATCTTGTCCAGACGTGTGGCTCTCACGGCACTGTTCTCGATGCGAGCCTCTTTGACACTGGAACACCAGAAAGAGAATCTCAATCTCAACCCGTTCCTTCTTCGAGGATTACAACTAGAACGACTACAACAGATTTTTGTTCTGCTCTTCCTATAGCACCTACAACTACGTCTTCATCTCAGGGCCAGGATCTCTCGGTAGATTCCATGTTTGTGACGCGGTTGCTTTTCTACTTCCTGCTGTTTTTCGGAGCTGAATTCGAACGCACAGTGAAGGAGCGACACATGCCTGTTCGCAACGTGTTGACCACACGTTCTGACAGACAACATGATGTCTCTCCGTCTTTAGAAGCTGCTTTGCCGTACTCATTCGTCGAAGAGCCATTGCTTGACTGGCGTCCGAGCGTCCAACCTCGCAGTCCTCCTAGTGACACCTTCGTAGCTACTCCGCCTAGTACAACAGGTGGACGCACGCTTTCACTCGACTCGGGCGCCGCAACATTACGCAGCGCCAACTCGAGAACAACACCTTCATCTTCAACGAATCTTCCTACAACTAGGACAGACCAGGATAATGACGCAGCGCTGCCGCGTGGGCATAGCTTGCGCTTCTTCCTTCAGGATCCGGGCAGTGGGACGCTCGGGAATATTGCGACCTACGACGTTGTCCTTGACACTTCAACCGGTCGCGAAGGTGTCATCACGAAACTGGTCGAGCGACGCGAGGGAGACTTGGAGAAGATCGCTGTGCATGGAACTGCCGACTTCGACGCACTGGATGCGTTGCAGGTGCGCTTTCCCCCTAGCACTTTGTTCGGGGACGTGGGAGGAGCCTCCAGTGGTGAGTGGTCTTCTACTGTTGATGAAGGAACAGGAGCTCTTGTTTCCGAGACGAGGAGTAAAGCAAGACGAGGAGTAGGACCACTTGCAGCGGCTAGAAGAGCAGAAGATCATTCGTCTAGGAAACCACCGGCAGCAGTGATATCTTCAGCTAGCGGCAGCGCAAGTTCAGAGGTGGAGGAAGAGCGCGCATCAGATGGTGCCGATATTCGTATGCACACTAGCGAAGATTCGATTATACCCCCGAAAGTTGAAGACGACGCGGATGGGGAAAGCCAAGAAGGAAGCAGTATTCTAACCTCTTGTACAGCGAGCAATGACGAGGGGGGAACGCCATCGACATCGTCTGAATCGAGAGGGGCGACATCCACGACGTCAGGCGCGGAAATAGTCAGTTTTAGTGTCGAAGACATTGAAGGGGTTGACGTGTGGGAGCTGACGCGAGATTCACCTGTCTTTTCACCGGTAGACGGACTCTGTATTGGCGTTTTAGGTAGAAAAAGCCGAGTTAGCATTCTTTCGTCGCGAGCTCACGGTGCCCTTGACGCAGCAGTCCCGGATCGAGAAGAGAAGGTGAAAATTCGTGTACTAACGGCTTTGCAGCCGGTGCAGGAGGGCAGTCTGTTATCATCTCCAAAAAGTTCAGCGACGGCAGAGTGTCTTAACTGGAGTCGTGATCCCCAGTCGACCGTCCGCGGTCGCGAGCAAGTCGGCATACCAGCATCCCGTAGCAGCAAGACTCCACTACTAGAAGGAGGGGGAGGCACACTCAGCCCAGCGGCTACGCCTTTCGTACCCCAAAGCACTCGAGGCTCATACCATCCGCATACAGTTTCACGACATCAGAGCGCGATAGACAACACGAACACAAGTAGTTACATCTCTTCTATGCAACTGCATCTGCAAGGGCACACACCAATACAACAGAAGCATGCAGCAAATGCAAGCGCGAGAGTTGTGCCTGGAGCTGCGGACGTTGCGCAGCCGAACACTCAAGACCAGCACTTCTTCGGGTTTATGATGCCCCATCAGGGAACTCCCGGCAGCGGTCCGTGCTTACAAACCGGTGCAACGCAGGTTGCACCGGACCATGTTGTTTACGTTCCTTACGCTGTCTATCCTGCAACGGTTCCTTCTCCCACCTCTGCTCACCACGCTACCCATGCTCTGCCTGCAATTGGCTTTCCCGGTGCGCAATCTGCGGGACAACTCTTAACGCCTTTCGTTCCGACCGATCAACATCCCTGGGGCGCTCCTCATTTGGCAGTCGTGGGGAGCCACGCACAAGGAAATGAAGGCATCAGAAGTGGTGGTGCTGGCGGTCATCAAGGCTTGGTGGAACAACATCTAGCTTCCTTTTCAACTGGTGCTGGAGGTCACCAGAATACCAAAGGACAACATGCTACAACTACGCCTACGTCCTCGAAATCCCTACGACGCGCACGTACTGGATGGCTCACTCGCAGTGCGCTGGTGCCCGCGATCGGGAGTCACAAGCGGCTGCGACTGAAGAGCTATAAGAACGTGGTGATTCCTTCGAACGCTCACCCAGCGCGCATGGATCAAACGCGACGGGAAGCGCTCATGTTAAGGCTTACTCATATTCATCTCGAGAAGCATCAATCTTGGAAGGGTTTTCTTTGTAAGGGAAAAAAGAAGCTGTATCTTGGAAAGGCTTCTTTTGTAGCAGGGGGTGAAAATGGCTACCAAGATCGTAGGATGAATATAATCGGTAACTACCAGGTCTAAGTACGTCAGCTGGTGCTATGTTGGCACTGGCCGCGCAATTAGGCCAAGTGGAAACCTGGTTGGGAACCGGAGTACGCGATGTTGTGCTTCCAGCAGCGAGAGAAGAAACAGCTAGTACGGAAGCTGCACATAAGGCACAAGCGACGTTACCTCCAAAGAAGTCAAATTATCCTGTAGTTGCCGTCGCAAGTAGCGATATGATACTAGCGCCTAGAAGTAGAGATGGACGAGCACGAGAGGAGGAGGAGTTCCCCGCACTCGGCGGTGCAGCTGCCAAGAGGACGCCGAAACTGAAGGAAAGTGTGTGGCACGATACAGACGATTTAGCTTTACCTGTACCGTTGAGTCAGCAAGTTGAAAGAACGCAAAGAGCGATTAGGCCTGCTCCGCTAGTGGTACAACCAGGAAAAGAGATGATTTGTTCTGCTGAAAAACCTAGCCTGGATGAAGGAGGTTCATCCGGTCAGGATGAAAGTGAGGATAGTAGAGCGAGCGATAAGGCAAAGATTGGTGTGGAGCATTTTATCGGCTTTGTTTGTCGAAAAGTCAATGCTCTCGCAACTATCTCTGCTGAGGCCACCTCGACAAGCGTTGCAGCCTTCCTTTCCAGGGAGATCCGTGAGGGTTGTGCGGGGGTGCATCCCCTCTTCCTCGCTGCTTTAAAGGGGAAACTAGAAGCAGAGCGGACCGAAGTACTCACATCTCTGCAACTAGGCAGGAGTAGCCCTAGCACCTCCGAGGATTCCTCATCCTCAAGAAGCTTGGACGTACTTCTTGCAAAGATACTTTCGGGGTCGTCTACTTCGGCTCATCGAAAGCCGGACACGACGACGGGGAGTGCGGTGTATGTGGAAACTCCATCATTCTGGGCACTCGTTGCAGCGCTCCTCTCTCAAGAGACCTCACTGCTGGGTTAACGATTTTTGTTGACGTCTCTAATCTTGCGAGGAGTCTAAATGTAGTTCTAACTTCTGTAATTTTTAGATTGATGAAACTGTCGCACTATTAAGCCTCTAGTAATGATTTGTAAATTTGATTTTTTTTTTAGGTATAACGCTTCTAAGTAAAAATAATAGATACACAGCTTTTTTGCTGATGCTGTGCAGCTAGGCTGAGAGGACAAGTGACATGGCAGACGCTTTGTTGATTTTTTATCGTGTGTAATTTCATTCTTGCGCCGCCAGGATCAAGTCGGTGTGACGGTAAAAGACCGTCGAACAAAACAGCTCTATTGTATCACAGTTATTAGATAATGTTTATTTTCGATAGAGAAATATAATGATTATACGATGATCGTAGTTTCGCATATAATGACGAAAGAAATAGATATGATGATAGATGGAGCATATTACCACGTTCCGATTAGATTATTTGTAGAAGAACTCTGTTCTGAACCGCTTTCCTACACAACTTCACGAACTCTGTTTTTAACCACTTGCTTACACAACAGCGCGTAACCACAACAATCAAACAACATCGCAACATCAACAGCGAACTTCACATATAACAAGGATCAAGTTCTTTGTGGTTTAACGTAGGTCGCGCAGAAGAAAGTATAGACTCCATCGGACGATCCGCTCTTGCCGCATGAAAAATATAACGACAACTGTACGTAAGGTGATAATACAACAGGAGCCTGCAGCACGGGTCGTATACGATGTACCTGCGCGACGTTTCTCCGTCTTATACGCATCCTGCGAGTTGTGAGCGCTTTGTGCTCATCCAATCAATAGCGTTTTCAAAGATCGAGATGTAGTTGTAGATAGTTTTAGTGCGGCCTGAAATTCATCCTCCCGTGTGGCGCAATGTTAGGCAATGCACCGCAGGTCGGCCGCAGTGTGCAGTTTTCCTACGAAGATCGGATAGTCTAGCGCATTAAATTTATTTTTTACTCAAATCTGCATCTAGAGTCCCGTAGTGATCGCACGAAAATGAAATGAAAAGGTGTCGAGATCTGTACGTGCATCGACATCCTCAAGGTAGGCTCATTTATTTTGGGTCAAAGGTTTCCGTTTCTTTTCGACATAGAAATGCAACAATTTTTCACGTTGTTGTATGCAAGGAAATATAAGGACTTAATAACTGAAAAAATTTCATGTCTTCAAAAAGGCTGGTCGACCTCAGCTGTTGTACTACTTGACTTCTCAAGAGGAAGAGACTTAGAGTGGACAGAAAATCGGAAAAAAGTAACGCTGTCTAAGGTCTTCTGAGTTTTCATCAATGAAGAGAGGAAAAACAACTTGAAGAGAGCAATGGACTATGAGCAAACGAGAGCGAGCTGCGACTTCGCAAAACGTTTGAGCCACGACTTCCTTGCATCAAGAAGTAGAACAATTTTTTGAGTAGTACTACGAAAGGTTATGAGTGGTAGTGCTACGTAGTCCCAGGTGTGCCACGTGTCAAATTTCGAAATAATCTCTATTACGTTCTCTAGTTCCGTAACGCCGCCTTTTCTCAAAAACGCAAAAAATCAAATCATACACAGGATAAGTGTAGTGTTTACGTTTAGGGTCGTAATTATCTAATCAGCAAGTCCAGACAGGATGTGCCCGGCGCGAGGCGAGTTGACGTAAGGTGACGCATTTGCGAACTGACGGAAAAACGGAAGGGACCAGTTGCACGAGTGATCGTAGCGCTTGAAGATACAACGGCTAGTACAATATATTCACAACCTCGAGTGATGCTGCCGTGTCTCGTACACTCGGATCCCGATCCGCAGAGAATGGCAGGCGAATGTGACAGCGCAACATCGCTGGGAGATCATAGCAGGCATACCCGTAGTTCAGGCGCAGGAGCATCATCTCGCACACGGAAAAGGCATCAGAGAGAGGAGGCCAGAACACGACTTGGCAGCTTAGGCCGCAGGCTTAGTAGTCGTTCCAGAAGCACTAGAACGAGTACTACTAAGGCGAATAGTAGCAGTCGAAGTACTAGGCGACTCGCTGTCGAGTTACTACCAAGTAGTACATTGCCAGTCAGAGAACGACAGCTGTCTGACAAGATGGTCTTACAGGGAAACGAGCGCTCTAGGACGTCAAGAAGAAGAAGCCGCTACAACAATCGTCGCCTGTCGAAGTGGGCAGCGGCTATCTATTCTTCAGCTGTCGCCGTTCAGTTAAGCTCGTGTACTGCAGCAAAAGTATTCTCGATATTCTACTTGGTTGCGGAGGCGGATTTTTTTTTTTGAAAAGACGCACTCGTCCTGAGTAGAAAGACCTTCATGGAAGGTACTTACTAGGATACAGCCGAAAATATCTGCATCCACAGATCATACTGCATCCACAGTGGATCCTGCTGTTCTAATTCAGGCAGTGACATAGGTAGGATACTGCATCTACAGTAGATACTACTGTTCTAATTCAGGCAGTGACATGGTATCCAGGATTGCCACCGACGACATCGCAAGTCCGACAGCCAGAAAACTTGTACGCGCAATCGCAGCAAATGCTCATGCAAACAGCAATGTTTCAGCACGCGAACCGTATGTTTCAGCCCACAACCGTCGCTGCGGCCGCAACGACTGCAGCTGCTGTTTTTATGGCTTGTTGAGTACACTTCGCAATCCATACATCGTCGGAGAAACATTCTGAGTCTCCCATTTCGAGAAGCATCTTCCATCCTGAGACCTTTTTTTAGAAGTGGGGGAAAAAGGTACTAGTTTGAGGATGCATACTTTCAAGATCGATTCATTTGAATGGAATGTCTAACTCTCCAGGATCGACTGCGACCCCAGCAGGCACAACTACGGGGGCAGCCATGACCGGAACCGCCACTACTGCTGCAGCTGCGACATCCCAAGCGCCTGCATCATCCCAAGCGCCTGCATCAGCGGCGTCCTTTAATTCAGCACCAATGATTTTGTCGACGTACAAGAACTACGGGGCAGCAACAACCTGCTTTTAAGGCACGAACATGACACACACAAGCCAACTTGTTCTCACCTGGTGAAGATGTTAATCGAACACGCAGAAGGAAGCGAAGATGAACAAGTGGGAATGTGGTAGAGTCTTCCACCGCTCTTAGGATTTCCGAATATAATTGTACAAAGAGGAGTTCAAGTTCTTCTAATAATCAGGTTCTGGCGCTCAGGCAGTCGGCAGTGCGGAGGAATGCGACGCAGCTGCTGTGGTCTTAGGTTTAGATCGGAGAGTCGGAACAGTCAGACTGGTACTAACTACTTTTTCCAAAGTTATAGTCTCTAGTGGGAACAGTCAAACTGGTGTAGGCTTTTATTTCTTAAATATTATACATTGTTGTTACGTGGTTCGTCAATGAATGAAAAATGAATGTCAATGTTGTTTAATGTCTACTCCTGTCTGACTGTTCTTGTAGTAGAAGATGGAGTTCATTGTTGGCTTGCAAAAATATTCGAAAACGAACATTTGAATCACAGGTGCGCTCAGCAGAATTGCCAGCTGGATGCAGCTATAGTAGCAGTGATAGAGCTGTCCTATTCAATGGTGACATGACTGACGCCAAGCATCAGCTCTACAGTGCAGTGTGCAAAACAAAGGCGCCTTTTGGAGGTACTCTCTTCACTCTGATAAGTACCTAACTTGTTGTCTTTACATGAAAGTCTAAGATGGAACAGGAAAAGAGTAGCACGTTGCCCGTGTTAAAAAAGCAGTGGTGGAGAAGAAAAAAAGAACTTCAACTTCGTCTAAAAATCTAATCTCCACCACCCCTACGCCTTGACAGCAACGCCGGAACCTGGAAACGATGCATGCGAAGCTGATGGCACGAGCATTCTATTGAATTTGCAGAATAGTTCGGCGTCTTTCGGCACCAAGAGGTGCAAATTCGGTCTAGTCCGCAAGCTCCCCTACTGCCGAAAAATGCTTTTCGACTATGGCGTGCCTGTCGGTATTTCCCCGCCGCCTCCAGAGGCTACGGATTTTGAGGGGTATTTTCAGCAGAACCTCTTAACGCAGGACATGGAAGGCCTGCTTTTCGAGTATATGCAGACTCTTGTGGCCAATAAAACTCTGCCAGCGACTGATAGTATTGTTATGAAGAACTACGCTTTCTTGTCCGATAAAAAAACCACAGTACTTCAATGCCCAGCAAATAATATTATTAAACACGCGATCTTTTCCTTGATCATGTTACAATGAACAAACTGTTGTTGTTCATCGATCTTGGTCTTACCACTACGTGGAAAAGCGAACTGAACTAGCCTTCGGACTCTCGATGGTTCACTTAGAAGAACTGCTGAAATCTCACCTGGTCGTGTGCTCTAATCTGACTTGGTACAACGCACGCATCCTCGCTGCCAGGGAGGTCTATTCGGAGTCGTGCATGAACGTGACTGGAGGCACGAGCGAGATGGGCGTACTTGAGTTTTTATTTGGTGTAAATAGCTCTGATGCTCTTCCTCTCACTTCATTTTTCTAGGAAAGTTTGTTCACTCAACAGTACTGTTTGCATGGTGAAGTTCGTTGTACGTGTCACTAAGATTCTGTTTGCATGTTGAAGCTCGCTCTGCTGCCTCAAGTAGTGCATACTGTGTAAATAGGTTTTTTTAGCCGAGATCAATTGTACTTATGTTCGGTAGTCTGAAGATGTCATCATCTACTTGCATCATCACAGCAAGACTGGGTCCGCCTGTCGTTGTCGAAATTGCACCTCTTAGTGCGGAAAATCGGCCTACGCGAGGGATGTCAAAATGCACCTGCTACCAAGTTGACAGCTGCGCGTGAAGATGCTTGCCGCATGATGTACAGTCAAGCACCGCTGTTGAAGTACAACCTGTTTTATGGTCAGGAGGTTTTTAGAGTCACATTCATTTTCATGGTCTATCTGCGAAGCATAGTCCGTCGCGGTGCTATCGCCCTACTTCAAATTATCTATATGGTCGAAATTATACAATCGAAAACAATCTACGGCGATCAAGGAACAACCTAAGAAGAACACGGCCCTCATCCTCTAACTCTCTGCCAACACGTGTCTGAGCTGTCTCTATCGAGAGAGCGACGAGGTACCAGCAAGGGCTCACACGCTTATCAGGCGAACGCCAGCGGATCAAAGCGATTGCGCGACTAACCCTTTTGTAGATGCGAAGAGACTGCAAACATGCGAAACTAGTCCACAAGACTGCTATAAGGTAGTAATAGATGCAAATCTTGGCGTATCAAATTGGTCTACGAATTACGTGTGATATTGATACGGAAGTGGTTGTAAAAACTTTCGATGATATTTATCCTGTAGTACACAGAGCTATACGTATGGGTTTAGACACCTAGTAGAAGCTCAGATGAGAATTTCAAATTGTCCATAGCCACATCAGTGCTTAATCCACACTGCGTACTCCAAAAATATAAGGTACGTGAAGGGGAAAGCGTGGAGGATGTATGCTACAATTTTGCGCAAGGAAATCCGAGTACGAAGGCACCTGGTGATGGTGGAAAGCCAGCTCCTTTTAAGCAGCGAGCTACGATTCTCATGCGTCTCCGCTTCAGTCGTGGCGATGCGCGCGTTATCGAAACAAAGAGTATAACGATAGATGATACACACAGACCATCTATTTGTGGAAAGAGAATAAGTAAGAGGATGTAATAGAAGAACGAGCATGAGTATCGGTGGAATGTGTATTGGGCTGGTGAGATAATCAAGATATTTCTTCTATTTGATTTTATGCAGCTCCTGCATTATTTTGCTGGTGAGATAGTGGTAAGAATTTCTTTGCGTAATTGTACCTCCACAACTTTACCTCGTGTTTACAGAAACATTGATGGACGCATTTGCGAGGGGAATGTCGGACGGATTATCTGACGCTGGCTTTTTTGCACGCAGTCGATTGTACATCGATAATTTTGTCTCACTGCCTGGTGGAAGACTTTTCAATTATGTCAAAGCTTGCATCAGAATTTAAATTTGAATTAAAGTTGATAAAATCAGAATTTTTTGGATAAGCAGGATTTTCAAGTTGAATTTCAATTCTTAGAAGCAGCTGCCTTCAAGTGGCATGTCAAGGCTTCCATCAGGATTTAAATTTGAATTAATGTTGATAAAATCAATTTTTTTGGATATTCACAAGATTTTTGATTTCAAATTTGATGAATTGATTCCTTATCATTATTCTACTACTTAGGCAAATTTTTATCATCTTTCCACGACATCACATTCGCATGGTCCTCTCTGACCTCTTACTCGTTCTAATATCGTTTTGCAGAAACCTCAGTCTTACCTGTGAGTGCTCCACCGGGTGCTCAGGCCCAGCTATTCACGGATGTGACATTCGTGGTGCAGCTCGACGACTACCTGACAGAAGGACTACGATCCAAATTGAACGAACAGGATGATATGGTATTTATTATGCATACTCTTATCTGTCCGCACCAACTTTTCACGCTTTGAATCTTTCTACTCTTAATATAGGCTTTTAATTATGTAGAAGGTCTGAACGACCGTAAAGATGGATCACTGAAATTTCATGCAATCACGTTCTTTAAACGACTTAGGTGGTTCCCAATACCGATTATGTCTCTAGTGGATTGCGAAAAAACCTCGTGCGTGAAATAAACAGGCGATTCATGGAAGCTGAGGGTCCTTCCACGTCTGTCCTACTCGACGAAAGCAGTGGGGTACTGAATTCTACATGTTGATCATCGAAACGAATGGCAATTACGTATAAAAAAACCATCAATCTTGTTCGACATCTCCAGTCTTGTGGTGACTATTGAAGCTTCTTTTCCAATCCCTCGATGTCAATCGTATTCTCTCGTCGTTAGCGCGTAGATTCCTGTTCGTGTTTCTACTTCTTTTTTTTTTGAATTTTATGTGTTGAAGAAGAATTTCAGGCGCTTTCTTGCAAGCTGCATGAGAAAACCGCGATTCGTTTTATATTATAAGGTACGAAGGCAAGCGTAAATATTTAGTTGACTTCTCAGATGGATATAAATTTTGCGGCTTACAGTTATCAGAGAACGCTTTTATAATTTCGAGAGATCGCAAGAAGAAGCAGGAGAAGTCGCATTTTTTCCATCAGATTGATACTTGACCTGTTGGCTTATCTTGCTGACCATTCAGAGATCGCAGGAGGGTTCGAGGTCCTCAGTGGGATCAAGCTTTCAGAGTCGGGGAAATTCATAACTGATTTTGTCCTGTCGAACGTGCAATCCGAGAGAGGCCTCGTCTCTCTTCCGAGGGAACGTCCCCCCCCGCATAACAGATTCCGCATCTAGTTTTCGCAACTTAGTTTTTACAACTTGTAGCATACTTCTCCAACTGATCTCGCATCTTGTTTTCGCAACTTCTTACCGTTGTACTTAGCTTAACTTTCACGCTGTATCTGTATGTTAGCCTTAGCTCTCTGGCTCGTCTCTGTCTGCTTAAATTTACTTTATCTTTTCTGTGAGCTTTCCTTCCTGATTAAGTGCGATTACACTGCTGGCATGTATTGACTTAGTCTAGCTCTTACACTCTTGTGCTGTCTTTTTCTTTGCGTCTGTGAAATGCGTGCTTTCTTTGCGCCCACCCCAGCTGGTGCGTCGAACGATTCGAAAAATTTGTAAGTTGTAAGTAAGGTGATTCGTATCTACTTACAGTGAGTCTACTTTGCTAGTACTACGATCATCATTTCCAGCACAGACTGAATTATGAGTATTGTCTCATCGCACTCCAGGTCGAATTCGCTACTTATTCCGGATTTCTCACGAGCCAGCAACAGCGAGGGCGAAATCCATCAACCAGCACCTGCCGAAAGGAGGATGCTCTGGCGAAGTGCGCTATGTGGCAATTCTGCAATCAGCCTTAAGGCAACCAACCTTAGTTCACATTGGGTCAGAGCACGGGTGTTTTTCAGCGGACGATAATAGGTGAACGATGCGTCCTCTTTGAACGTGCCCACTATAGTTCTTTTTTTTAATAGTGAGATTTCTTGCTTTTTATGTAATTTTGTTTCCTAGTTAGACGTGCTCCACCAGTATTAATAGAAGAAAGATGCATCCCCTTAAGATAGGAAAGCAGGTCCACTCTAAGAGCCGGACCCCAGTGACGTTGGTATCTGTGAGGCTTGTCCTTTGGGGAAGTTTCGAACAGCCTCCGATCCAACGGAATGCATCAGCAGGAGTACATCTAACTTCTTTAATGTTGCTTCTTGGTTCGTTCATCTCGGGTATAATATTCTACATTTAGTATTAAATTGATGATGAATTCGAATATAAATTGTTATTGATGAACATAAACTAGTGGGTGCACATAGCGCGAGAACCGAGCACTTCTCTGAGGCACGCACTGGCTTCGGCCGCCATAGATGAGAAGACCTCCAGGGCAGAAGGACGAAAGCGCGGCGCCTAAAATAGACGGATCCTAATATAAACGTGGCCACTAGAATTTTATTAGATATTTGGAATACCTGACTTTTTTGAATTTTTGTTTGCTAGTTAGGAGTGCTCCACCGATGTCATTGATGAACATAAACATCTATTGTAGGGTATATTCTTCCAAAATTCATACGTTCATCTCGGGTATATTCTACATAAATTGATGATGAACATGTTCTATCAAGAATTATAAGGAGAACATGAACATGTTCTATCGAGAATTATAACGAGAACTTGTGTTCTAGTAAGTATCCTCTTCACGACCGTACATCACAGCGTGCACGAAAAATGACGATTGTCCGGCAGAAGCGCAGGTCTGCAACTTGATGCAGGGAACACCGGGAGTTTGCTTCAATCCCGCTGGCATATCCCAAGGAAGCACCTGCACAAACAACAACTGGCGCTCGCAGTGTGGTGCTACGGAACTCTGCATCAACTCCAACTGCGTCGCGAAATGCGTGTTGCCTGGACAGGTATCATAACTCGAATTCCCAAGAAGTACAATATTCTACTTAGATGAAGACATCAATATTTATTAAATATGATCACTCGTGCCCCATACTAACTCGTAATCTTACAACAGCCAGATGAAGACAATATGTTGATCTTCAAGGTCCTCCTCATCTTCTTACCTCAATACATCGAATACGACACTCTTTGTGTTATCCCATCGTCCGGATTTCAGATAGCAAGAATGAAATATTTATGAACGTTATTTTTACTTCATGCAACAATATTACTCCATGGACCAGATCCGTTCCTCTGACGGTAGTCGTTGCGTGTGTCGACAAGGGTGGGGACCTGCCGCCGGTGGCATGGGCTGTGTTCAGGGTGCTGCGGGAAGTGGCGGGGCATTAAGGCTTGCTTACCCTAGTTGTATAGTCGAACTTGTGAAACATCTCTGTAAAAAACTGACACATGGATGAGGGGAAAACAGGAGGTCTAAAATTGCTTGGGAATTTGAGTAACATGTTCTTCTAAGAGTTGTCCTGCTAGCGCAACATCAAGACGTTGTCACACGTCGCGGCGCGCCACAACTGTCCTATGCGGACAACGTTGCGCCGGAATTCCACGTTTTTCAAGACGGGCCAGGCCGTAGCAAATTTGACGACGACGGGATGACATTGCTGCAGCTGGCTCCACACTTATGAGAAGGCAAATAAATGACTTTGGATGTTGGCTGTCAGTTCGTTCGTCTTTTTGTGACTCTCAACAGAGAATGATAAGTAAAAATGACATTTTACTCATACTACCACTAGGACGGAAGACGAGAGGACATCGTCGTTACCAGACATCGGAGAATACATTTACAACTTACAAGGAGCAACTTGTCCTCCTTCAGCTTTCTTTTTCTCTCTGTTTCCCTTAGCCTTCATAATATCCTTCCGAACAACTACAAAGCGCGATGGAGTCGGGAAACTACGGTGGAGACTATCTAGATGGGGGACTTGATTTTGCAGCCGCGCAAGGGATGCCTATGTAAAAACAGCTACCACGTTTCAGTGTCACCGAAAATTACTACAGTATTTCCAAAAATGACGAGCTGCGCATGCAGACAGAGACATTAACGAACGACACGAGCAGACAAGTCAGCGAATACTTAGTTGTTTGATCCAGTTTTGTACAGAAATCGAAGATTACAACTTATATAAATCGAAGGTGTTTTTACAGCCAGATATTTCGTGTACAGGAGGAGCTCTAGAGCACGCAGAGAGTGTGAACAGCGAGTTTCACTGAAGAAAAATGTCATTTCCTTCCATCCATGTATCAAAAATGTATACATAGATAAGAAAATGCACCTGTAATACACGACGTCTCCAGTGCTGATGCACACTACTAGTAGTTTCGATCTTTTTACAGCCGTACAGGCACTGAGTCATTTTGTTTCGTATTGAAGATAATTACGCTCTAATGTTTCGTCTTGCCGGTCGTGATTAGATATGATCACTTGCGACGCAATGCATGAAATACAATAGTTGAGTCCATCATCGCCAAGTCTTTTTTTGTGATCGAGTAAGCTGTGGATGCTTCGCGGATGGACGAATCCTCGCGGATCCAGTGAGGAATCTTACTAATCAGATGTGGTCTATTTAAATGAAAAAACATCACGTCATCCTTGTGAAACCGCAGTCTCAAGTGAGACTCGTCTAGTTTCAAAATACGTAAATGGTGACCGAAGACAAATATGATGAACAACGATCCTCTAAAAATGTTCCTGGTTACCATCAACAATCTTTGCCCTCGCATATGCGAGATGAAATCTCTACATGCACCAAACCTTGAATTCACACAATCTTCTTGGTTCCACACGACAAAGAACAGCATTACACAAGAACTCAATGAGTCCGTTCTTCCCGTGAGAAATTCTTTCCACTCTTTTCTCTCCACCTGAAACTGAATTCGAATCTTTTTAAAGTGCTTTTCTTGACTCACCACGGGATCCTGCTCCAGAGCCAAACTTTTTTTGAATTTTTTTGAGTAGTCAATGAATTCTTGTACTATTCCGTCTGATACTTGTTGTTGCGGTTGTTTTACTTACAACCTTGTTAGACTAATGTATTCTTGTTAGCCTCCGGATAGATACACCTTGTGTGAGAACGAGGCAAAGGCATCCTATCTTATCCTATCCACCACTGAATATTCAGGAAACAGAAACATCATATAATTGCATTACATTACATTGTATTTAGTACATTGTATTGTTATAGTTTATATCGTAGCAACATCAAAGAAAATGGCGCCGAAAGCTAAAAAGAAAACGATCTCGTTGAACGAGTTTGCTGCTGAAGAGTTCGAAAAAAATGCTCTGCCGACAGCCTCTGAGGGTCTTGCCCTAGTCAGAGGTATAGCACTATTAAGAACCACTATATGATTACCAACTTTACGTGGTGAAACTACATATTACAATTGGTTTGTGACAGACTTGTAGTTCTCTCCCACAACTGCAGTACTCTGATGTACTATCGTGGGCTTCAATCTATCTTTATCAATTCCTTGCAGCTCCGAAGGGTGGTAAGAAGGGAGACCGCGATGGCGGAGGTGGCTTTGGCGGAGGCGGCAAGGGAGGAAGGGATGCCGATGATATGGCCGAAACAGGTGTGTGGCGTCGAGGTGGAGGCGATGGCGGTTTCGGCGGAAAGGGCGACCGCGGAGGCGGCTTCGGCGATCGCGGTGGAGGCGGCTTCGGCGATCGCGGCGGAGGCGGCTTCGGCGATCGCGGTGGAGGCGGCTTCGGACGCGGAGGAGGCGATCGCGATGGTGGATTCGGTATACTAGAATTCAAGAAAACGGACATGAATTTATTTTGAAGAACTGTTTTTTACTTTATGATAGATATATTTTCATATTTATTGATAGTTCAAATTCTAGGTCGCACGGGTTCTCTGCGAGGAAACGAGGACTCGCGAGCTGACACTGGAGACTGGTTCGCAAAGGAGAAACCAAGTGGAGGTTTCGGAGACCGCGACCGGGGAGGAGGTGGCGGCTTTGGCCGCGGAGGCTTCGGTGATCGAGGAGGCTTCGGCGATAGAGGTGGATTCGGCGAGGACGCTCCGTCACAGCGTCCGAGGCTTCAACTGAAGCCAAGAACCAAGAAGGATGATGACGGAGCAAAACCAGCAGGTACATTTAAGGGTGACTTTTTTTTAGATCAATCATGCACTGGATTTATTGCACAGGGCCTCCGTAGAAGTGGTAATTCTCGAATATTAACTACAAAATTTTCATCATTTACATAGAATCTAGTATAAAAAGTTATTCCTAGTCAATTCCTTGTATTCACAAAACTTCTCGTTTTCTCGTTTTAGATGGAGCCACAGGAGGGAGTGGCAAGAGCAATCCATTTGGCGCCGCGGCTCCTGTGGATATCGACAAGAAGATGGCTATGCGCACTAAAGAGGATGACGCCGATACATGGAGACGGGGTGACGCGCCAGCCGCGACACCAAAGGAAGACTCATCTGGAGGTGCATGGAGACGAGGAGTAGAGGTTACTGGAGGAGACGGCGGTACTTAATTTATTCTACTCTTTTGACATGTGTTGACAGTTATAAGTTGTAAGACTTATATATATAATCCAGCATCGCGCAGGTAGGTGGTTGTTGTAATTGGTAAAATCCAATTTTTTTGGAGATGAGGAAAAAAGACTGGTGCCAGCTTTGAAATGATGTATTTCAATTTCTTTTCTAAAAATCTTGATTGATGTTCGTTCTAGTCATCTTGAACTAGTACGATCAACTACTTCTTTATTATAGCCACTCACACTCACCACTCGATAAATAACACAGGATGGCGCTCCCGAGTTGGCGGAAAAGACAAGGACGCAAAGAAAGGAAAGACCGAGTTATCATCGTTGCGAAGAGGCCGAGAGGAGGACAAGAAAGACGAAGGTATGTGCGTTGGTATAATTCCTTCTTTTTTTGTTTGCTTTTTTTAGTACTTTTTATATTGTGACTCCTTGTGAGTAGTTTTTTTTTTGCTTGAGTGGTGGTAAGATCTTGATGATTTATAAAGGAAAAACAAGAAGCGGCAGAAGAAATTCTTTTGATAATCAATCACATCACATCTTCAGTGCACGACCACACCGAAGAGACTGTTGAGGATGGATTCACCGTTATAAGCAGTAAAAAGCCGGGAAAAAAGGTGAAAGAAACGACCTCTGCGAAGGTGGAGACGAAGGACGCACCAGAGGGTATCAAGCTAGCGAAAAGCGGCTTCGCTGCTGTCGGCAGTGACGAGGACGACACGGATGATGATAAGGAGGAGGAGGATAAGGATGATGCTGAGGAAAAGGATGAAAAGGCTTCGGAGGTACTTAATATTACTCATTAATAGGATTAGAAGATCTAAATTATTTACTGCTTTTTTGAAGAGCAATTTATTTTTCATTTTTACTAGTATTAAAGAGCACTACTTCTTGTTGTCAACTACTGTTATTATCCCCACCACAGAAAACTGAGGAGACAACGGTAACCGAGGAAGCGAAGGAGAGTCCTGCTCAGGAGGCAGCACCGAAGGCAAAAACTTATATGACTCCTGGACAGAGAAAAAAGATGGAGGAAGATGAGAAGCGTAAGGCTGAGGAGGACGCACGCCGAAAGAAGCTGGCTGCGGAGAATGAGGAACGCAGGAAAATCCAGGAGGAGGAAGATAGAAAACAGGCGGAAGCTGATAAGGGTCCTTAATGATTAATGTTACAAAACGTCTACAACGTTATACGTTGGTCCAAGAAGTGCTACATGAAAAAAATGCTATTCACATGATCACAATTTTCCAACTCAAATTTGACCAACATGTTCAGGATTAACTTCTTTTCCCTCTATCCTTAGGCTTATCCCTTCAAAGAACTGTTCAGGATTAACTTCTTTTCCACAAAAAGGACCTAGAGAACCTCCTCGTTTCCACAAACAACAGTCCAAGCCGAACTCGACAACCAGAAGAAGTCGAGAGCAGGAAGGGATATGGAGGACGCGCAAAAGTTGCAAGACGCAGCAGTAGAAATGAAGCGACGCAAATTGGAACAGGAGCAGAGAAACAGGGAGTTGCAAAAAACTCGACGAACCAGATTCTCAAAGGGTTTTGACGCATCATTATTGTTGCAAGTGGAGAATGAGGTACGCTTTCATCAAATTTTGGAAATGAAACAAGAATGTACTTATAGAAGAGGACTATAATCATTTTTCTTGAAAGTAGAATTCCTTCCATAATTCACTCTCCTTCCATTTACTCAAATAATATCGAAAAATAAGAAGTTCCTTCACCTATAATTTGTCGCACAGCTGAAGAGCAGCTGGCCGCGACCTTCCGCAGCTGCTTTTGAGTGCTCGAAATTCTTTCCCACGGACAACGAGAAGACACTCGCGAACCGGTGCCGCGGTCTGATGCTTTTCGTGAAGAAAATCCTCTTCAATGCCACGGTTGAAGACGAAATGCAGTACTTCCTAGAGCAGTGTGGTCCTGCACTGAAGAAGTACCTGGAAACATCCGAATTGGAGCCGGTTGAAGTATTGTACGCAGCTAGTTTTGTAGCGAGTGAAATGGTGCACAAAAAGGCACTGCCGGACTACAACAGCGACACAGGAGTTCTAGAATCCTTTTTCTGGGAGCTGTACCAGGGAAAACTAGTGGCAGAAGCCGAATTCCTACAGTGGTTCGATGATCTCGATGACGAAACGCAAGGAAGAACCGACGTCATCTTCCAGGTACTTATATCATTATGCTCATACTTCTTCTGACTTGATGCTCGATGATAGTCACTGAGGAGAAGAAGTGCTTGTTCTAAATTTTATTCTCTTAAATATTCAATTTGTGATATCTCAAAAACTTCAGGTTACTCCTTGTTACACGAACTCCAATGAATAGTCTAGTAAGTTTTGATTATTCTCAAATTTACATGATCAGGTTACACCGTTTATGCACTTCTTGCGTCCACCACCGCCGCCGGAAGAAGGTGAGTTCTCTGACGAAGATGAGGATGACGAAGAAGGCGAGGAGGACGATGAGTAAACGGTCCTGCTATCATCGGCAACCTATCAACAAGCATTTCACGTCGATAGACATGGACGTCCAATGCATCTTACGTCGTCGATAGGCGTCCTCCAATTCTACTGTTTCACCTTGTGGTTATTTGCTGTATATGTCCCGCAATACCTTCAAAACGACATCTACTTGAAGGTGTAAGAACAACTTCGAAAATAACACGTTTAATATTGTCTCACCAACGGCTATTGAATCTCATATCGTCCGCTCGTGCATTGTTGTTTTTGTTCTCCGTCTCCCTTGATTAGAAATTGCATACTGTTGTCCTCTCTCACAAAGCTTGATGATCTCACATAAGTAAGAAGTATTTAAATTGAATTTGGTTTGCTATTTGGTTCACAGAAGTCAAAAATTGCTTTTTCCTTTAAATGCCTGTCTTGAAGAAATCTAGTTATTTGAAAGCCTGGTCATGTTGTTGGTAACGATGGGTATTAAGCAAGTACTTACTCAGGAGATGTAAGTAGATGAATGAAGCTGATATTGTGCATCCAAGAACCAAGAACGTAGTTAAGTAGCTCAAATGCATACACGACCATGTCAGACTAGAGAAGTAGTTGCAGAGATGGACATACTTCTTAGTTGTGGAGCTCCTCCTTTGCTGGAGAGCAACATAATATTTGTCACGCAGGAGCGGCATAGTTAACGAATTTTTTTTAGACCTGTAAGCGGTACCATGATGAATACTTACTTTTGCGATGATGTCAAGGTTATCGATGAATCCTTGCAATCATAATATGCCATATGCGCATAGAGTTCGGAGTAAAATAAATTTTCATAGCTGACTACTGTATGAACGCTACAACAACTCTAAGAACATGCTTATGATAAGTTAATATCCAGGTTGTACTAGGATATGATCTACTACTATGATCGCGGTACTGGTATCCTGGATCATCGTCATCATGAAAGTTTCTATTATTCGAAGATCTGACTCTCTCACTGACCTCAACATTGTGACCTGCCTGCCTCATACGACCTCTGATCCATTATTGTTGTTTGAAATCAAAAATATGCCCGTATATGAACATCCCGCCCGGACTCATTTTGGCCGTGTTTACACGTCCAGGTGCGAAGACAGAATAGCAGGTTGCTGTGCTTGCATTGGGTGCGGCGCCATCGTCTGATTTATCGACAAAAGAAAGGTTGGAATTAAAGAAGAAACAGAGCTACCTGAAGGGAGTGGAGACCCACCTGAGTCTCTCTTTTCTTTCTCCTTGTTGTTTGTGTTCAGACGGACTCGTGGTACTACATGTCTAGGGTACTAAAAGGAGATCTGCAAACAAAACCTCCGCAATTCCTTGTGCCCCATTCGATTCCGTCAATAGGCATTGAAGATTTACGGCTTAGCTTCTTGAGATAGAAATTGAATTTTTAGTTACATGTATCTAATCTTTTCCATTTCCACTAGCTAACAATTTTTTTTTGGAAATTTCATAGGGATCTGGTTGACACCAAAGACAACCAATATTTAAGTACCTAAAAATGTGATGTAGCACTTACGTATCCGTACTAGGGCGCCGTGCAGCTGGACCTCTACAGCACCGCGAAAAAGACATGAGCCGGCTTGCTTCGGCGGACGGTCTCCGACGTAGTGGAGGTTCGCATACGCAGTCGCAGGAGGAGTCTTCGATAGTCCAACTATTGGCTGGTCTTCGTACCCGTCATCTTCATGCCACGTCCTCAACATCGAATAAACGAAGCACGGTAGTACGAGGCACAGGAGCGGTCCTTGCGGCCCGACCTTGCTATGAAGTCCTCCTTGGTTGGCAAGGGAAACCTCCGGGAGAAAAAAACCTGCTCCATGCAGAAGAGGATGAAATCACCGTGCTTCTTGAGGAAGTCCTTTTTTGGGAAAGGGATTGTTCCGAGTCGACAAATGGTTAAGGTCAACATTATTAGTGTCCATCTTTCTCGGCATCTCGGTGCCCTTTTGTTCCCCTGTATTCTTCCTATGAAATGGTGCTACAAGGGTAGTAAATAAGGGGTCAAGGTGAGGGGGCCGAGATGCAATCTAGCAGACTCTAAAATGGTGAGAGAGTAGTGGATGCCGAGGATTGGCTAGCTCCATGTGCACCTGGCACGGGCAGTCTGCGTAAGCGCCGTCTTCGTGCCCTGGTGGAAGGACTTGTCAAATGCGATGGTCCGAGTGATCCCAGAACATGTGGAGCTCGAGGAATAGCAAGCACGCATGCATTGTTGCTTGTTTTATTGCGCCTCGCACGCGATAGAGCGACGCTTGATCATAGAGCGACGCATAGGACGAGTTTCAATAGCGACGGGTCCTTTTTGGTCGATTTTGATCCGTGTGAAGATGCTGGTACACTGAGGAGTCCTCACGGTGGAAGCATGTTTGTGACTCCACCCTCAGCATTGTCTGCGACAGGATTCTCTACGATCGACTGCCTACGTCAACGGGGCACTCACATCCGGGAACTTGGAGGACACTACTTCAACTTCTTCCCGTTGGCAGAAACAGAAAGGGCACGTTTAAGCGACTCAGCCGCTTTGACTTTGTGGAATGGTCCCTCAGCTTCTCTAACCGAGCCAGGCTTTTTCCAGCTCTCTTCCGAACAAGTGAAGAAGCGAGAGGAACTGAGTTTGTTTTCTCGAGTTGGGGAGGAGCCAGCGAGTTTTTTGGAGTTTCTAACTCCATTCTGCGGCGCGCACACGAACTCTACGAGGACATCGCTTGAGAAGCACAAGCACGGACTCTTTAGTTTCGGCAATACTAGTCTACCTGCTTTGGCAAGAACAGACGACAGGACTCCGCGGACTATACAGCCAGTTTATTTTTCATCCGTGAGTCGTCCGATGGAAGCTGGCGTCACGGAAGAATCTACTCGGAGGACTTCAGCTTCGACGCAACATGCGGTTTTCGCTGTTCTAGGCATTCCAAGTGAGTCCTATCGTCTGGTGAACGGCAATAGGCTAACCAGCGTCGAGCATGGAGCACTGAAGAAGCGTTTCGCGCTGATTTAAGGGCTAAATCTAACTCCACTGTGCTATGTGCTCCTAGGCAGCATGTACTTATACTGGTATTTACTGCTTGTACTTTGATGATTTCGATCACTGTATACCAGCCATCAATTCTGACACACGAGATGGCATCTAACACCTTTCTCAAGTGGGTGTTATTGATGCGTCTCCATGTTGTTTGTGTCGTAGAAGAATAGGAAAGGCGGTTGTCCGGATGTCTACTTTGTGTGAGACCTCTCCGTAGTTTGTATCGTCTTTTCCGACACAAATCTCGAAAATACCTTCGTTCCTGTAGCGTGGTACTAGATGGCAGGCTACTGAGAAGTACAGCAACGAACTAGCCCGTATTAGTTTTCTTGATCTTAAAAGTGAAGAAGGGAAGCTAAAGTTTCTCTGTAGTCTCTGCTGCAGCGTCTCTGGCTCTAATCGGTTGGTTCCTGCGTCCTCCAGCTTCAGCGATTCGGCGCGCATCTGCGGTATGATTTCGCCGACCCTTTGCGCGAAGCAGTGCGCCGTCGCTTGCGCACCTACACTCGACATATGCAAGCATTCGGTACTACTGCTAGAGGAGTGGAGAAGATCGAAGAAAGCAACACCTCGATACTCAGGAGGCCTGTGACCCTTTTCCAGTTGCTGCGTCATTTGCAGAAAGGCAGGCGCTGGGATCTCGAGGTTTTCGAGCTACTGCGGGTTTGTGAAAACGCAGCGCAACTGACGCAAGGACACCGAAAGGTTCTTGACGCAGATGTAACACTATCGGAGTACCTTCTCTTGTGGGCGTCGTTATCCTCCTCCCAGTCGACGATGTTGAAGACTGGCTGTTCGTTCGATGAACAACTAGGCAAGAAGACGGCGACGCAAGTACGAGACCAGTTACCACATCGCGCGCAGTTAGCTTCCTTGGTGTGCGCAGAAGTCGCCGATCGGAAGCTTGATGGTAAGAATAGCAGGACGAAGACAAGCTTCAGCAGCAGTAGTCGTAGCACCTTCCTTGGCCAAGCACTGCTTCAAAGGGTCGAAAAGCTCAGTAATTTCGAAGTCACAACATCGAGCCCGCGCGCCAGTACAGACGAGAACTTGCGCGGGAAGAGTTCGACTGCAAAAGTTGGTGTCCCAACGAGAAGTACATCTGTAGGTGGCTACAACAGTCGCGAAGACGGAAAACGGGATGACTATAGAAACTCACGCAACAGGAAAATCAAAGAAGTACTCGACGAATCTTCTGTACTTGGAGCAGTTGTCGCACCGTCACCAACAGACCATAATGATGAAATAGAACAAACTGGTGCTGTTCTCTCCAAGAAAAATCCATCTCCTGACTCAAAAGCCACTTACGTTGGTGGAATCATTCTCGCTTCGAGGCCCAAGGGTGGGCGCAAAGCTTTTGCTCGAACCGCAGAGGGCAGAGTTGCATACGACACGCAACATTTCGCCATCCACGACCCAAAGGCGGAATCGAACCACAGTAAGATGGATCGCTCTGCGACCATCTTGGGGACGAAGCGTCGGCATGTCAATAACGAATCCAGCAGAGAGGTCATTAACACTAAAGATGTGGATATATTACAGTCAACATCGTCGAACTCGAAACTGCCGTCGCCGTCAATACTTGCAGATGCAGCAGTAGGCAATAGTCCTCTTCCGCCGAGCGGCGCAAGTAGAAGACAGGAGGGCGAGAACGGAAGCTCGTTGCTGTTACCCTCTGCTACGTCTTTCGGCGGTGCTGCGGGTTTCGCTGACCTATTCGCATGCGTCGATAGAGGAGGCAGAGATACGCCAGAAGATGTTGGAATAGAGCCCTCAACGTCTTCGAAAGAAGGCCCCTTATTCACGTTGGCGGTGGAAGGAGATGATGCCACAACAGCGGAGGGCGATGCCGACACAGTTTCTGCAGGAGAGTCCGACGAAATAAGTAGGAGGAACTCTTCCATCGACGGAGATGAAAATAGCACTGTAGGAAGCTCATGCTCATCGGAAGATGCTGACATCGACGGCGACGAAGTAGCAGCCATAGTAAAACGTCCAGGGGCTGGAGGTAGAACGCAAGGGAGCGCATTGCGCGACAAACAGCAGCGCAAAAAGGCGCGCGGGCAGAGGAGACTGCGTGTGGCATTGGATGAACAGGTTGCTGAGAACAAGAAATTCAAGGAAGAACGACGGCAAAAGGAGCAGGCCTCGCTTTTAGACGGGGATGAAGGGCAAGGTGACGAAAAGGTTGCTGAAAAAAATCGGAATATCCTCGGACAGCCGTTGAGTCGGCCTATGCGCGAACTGCAAGCACGCAACATGCAACTCGAGCAAGAAGCACATGTAGTGGCAACCCAGAAGGCGGAAACGGAAGCTGCGCGTCTAGACTGGCGGCGTCGACGACTGGAGTTGAGGCACCAGAGGAACGATGCCTTAGAGGCCATTCGCGTAGAGGAAGCCATGCTAATGCGCTTAGGAGGAGTGCTTCCGACACCGACGCAGCTAGCTGCCCATTTCGAGCGGGAACAGAGCAGGTCGTATGGCATGCGAGATCTTGATGATCCTTTGCTGCGGCCTCCATCATATGGTAATATGCCAAATGCGGTCGAGGTACCAGTGGCCGACAAGAACATAGAAGCTGCTGATAAACCTACTAGTACTGCGATGAAATCTTCAGAGGACGTTGATGAGCTGCATATTCCGAGTATGGTGCCAAATGTCACTAGTCACTCAAATGCTGAGACTGCAGTCGCTGTGCAACGCGTCCGAGCGAAAAAGATTGACATCGCTGCCGTACGTGCCAGCACGTCAGCACGCAGTCTGTTGCAGGCTTCTTACGAGCGTGTGCTAGCTTCGTGTGCCGTCATTGCTCAACGTGAAGATCTCAGTGCTAAGAATCTCGGTGAATCCACGTCTGCAGTTGATCTCGAACCGGATCCGGAACCGGATCAGAGCATGCAGGGGACAGCGAAACTACCACAAGGTATCGACACACAAGTAGAGGATGTTCGTGACATCGCCGAAGAAGATGTCCTCGACGGAGGTTTTGTTTCTTCCGCGTCTGACGGAGATCATGTAGTGCTTGGTAATCGCGGCAGCGAAAGCGAAGTCGAACATGCAGCTTCCGTAAAAAAGCAGCACAACATCATGGAGGTGAAGACGAAGAAGAAATCTTTGCACCCTACAACACGAAGACGGCAGAGTGATAAGCGTGTTCAGAGTCGAATACTGGCGTATCGAAAAGTTTCTCAGCGACATTTGCTGGCGGATCGCGTCTTTGTCGCGGCATATGACCAGAGTTTCTCCAGATCGCAAGAAAACGAAGAGGTCGTCCAGTCGAACATGAAGAATTTGACAGAAGATGCGCACCGCGTCATTAGTTTAGCGCGCACGGACGCTTCGAGCCTGCCGCGCTGTGTTGCTGCATTCGTTGCACGTGCTTTGTCCAGAAAAGCGCATCAATTCGATGGTGACGATGCACTTGCAGATGCGCTGAGTTCCTGGCTTGGACCGTTGGTGGGAGGTTGTCATAGAACGAGCAACAACAGTCCTGCAGGCATTGTTCGTCTCCAGCTAATGCGGCCTGCAGCTGCTCTAAACCGGCACGCGCGAAGGCCGGGAACTAGTGTGCCGCAACCAGGCAGTTCGGAAGTCGACGAGGACGCTCTTGCGCAAACCTGGATGCATATCTTTGGCAGGACGTTGCTTTCAACATCTTCAGTTTCGGACAGGGACCCGTCCAAAGGTTGGAACAATACGTTTGACCAGCCTCAGGAGGACTTTTTTCTGGAAGATCAGCAGGATTTTTCTGTCACCAACTACACCAGCACCACAGCTCCTACAGCTTCACACGGGTCAAGGTCAACAACTTCGCGCCAGATGTCACTGCTGCAAACGTCTTCTTCAAATGCTCCTTCGAGTTCGATTTCACACATTTTTAGGACTTCAGTAGTTCTTTTACCAGTGCCAACCACTCCAGTACCTCGTAGCATTCTGAGTTCTGTGTTTCGGCTCATGTGTCAAGTGAAGATCGCAAAGAACGAACTACGGACACTCTGGCTTTTGTTGTGTAAGGGCTCTTTATTTGGGCATTGTTTCACACCTTTGCGAAGTTCTTCTCGTGGACAAGATTTCGTGCGCTCGCTCGTGTTGAAACTAGGCGCTCTCCGGCATCATATGCAGTTTTTCGCGGACCGACTCGAAGAATACCTGGTCTTCGACGTGTGGAGCGAGTCTTTATCAGTCTATCAGGCCAAGGTACGCACAGCAGTTCGAAGACGCTCTTGCGCTATTAACATCGCATTTCATGGGGCTAAACAAGAGGACACTAAGCAGAAGAGAACACGTGGCAGAAGACACCTTCAAGCGGAAACAAGAACATCAAATTATATGTCGACGTCCTTCAGAAAATCAAAATCTTCCTCGTCCGATGAAAGGAAATCTATCTTCACCCCTCTTCCTCTCGCGCTGGAAAGGTCGGCGCCTGTTCCGCTGGAAATCGAATGCGCACAGTTTGAGGGCGACTTCTTTCGTGAGATTGGCGACAAAATACTACATGGTACTCCTACTCATCAGACACATCATGGGTCGTCCTCGTCGTGTCTCTTTGACGCCATGTTGAAGTTAATTACGCGTCTTCGCTTCCTCATCGAGAAAGTGCGGTCCGAGAGCGAACTTTTACGCGGGTCGCTACTGTACCAACTGAAAGAAATCGATGCAGCCTTTCACCGCCACAAGAAGGAGCTGAAGGCAAAGCTGCGCGGGCGCGATGGCGGACGCAGGTCTTGGTTGTAGCAGAGATGGATATATTGGGTGTAGAGGTGAAGGGGTGGATCCTGAATTCACCATTCTCTGTGATCCTGGTTGAGAAAGAAACTTGAACTTGGCTTTGCTTCTACGATTTCGAAAGCACCACTAACTGTTATAATATCTTCGAAGATCAATCACAATCGATTATACAACTATCCAGTATAAAAAGCTGTGGTCCGAAATAAAAGAATTGAAGTGTCTTGTAGGGGTATCGCGACCAGACCGAGACCTCCTACAAGTAAAATCCAGCCACTGCATCTGTTCGTTGAAAGCTTCGTCGCTGAAAAGAAAGCCGTGAACTGACAAGAGCAACCTACGTACCTAGATCATCTAACAGTGGTTTCAACCTGAAAAAGCAAGATCACTCGAAGTAAAGCAAATCCAAACAAAAGAAGACGAGAGTGACAAGGAGACACAGAAGATCCAATAAATGCTACCACACGTCGAAGGAGATCCACCGGTCAAGATCTTCACTCAAACCGATTCCTAGTAGTGATCCTTCACATCTTCGTCAGACGAGTACAAGCAGCATACCAAGATCAGTACGGTTTCGTATATGATAGGCTATGGACAATGTGTAACTCTATTTTGAAGAAAATCAAAACACTTGACAAGTGCCTACACCAACATGGCAAGTTTTCGTCATCTATGATCGTTCTCTCCATATGAAACTCCAATTTCAACACAGGACGCTGCTTCTACTTGACTTAGGTCGAATCCTTATAATCTTTTCACTTCGTTTCATCGCTTGACTCTTCTTGTTTGCTTTCCGCAAATAGATTCTAAGTACCGTTAACACAAGACTCTGTTAAACTGTTACTGTCATCTTCGTCGTTTTCAACTACAGTCACAAAAATGTCGGCTGCTATCGAGGAACAAAAGATCGTTGTCGAAGAGGTCGAGAAGGAGGTCGAGCCTGCCGCCAAGAAGCAAAAGATTGAAGAAGCGTACTACTACTTATTCTAGATACTTCTTGGACAACTTATTTACATGAGATTGAATGACATTTTTTATGTTGAGAGTGAGTCATACAAATTTATTTTCCTGTCGTGTCTTTGCAAGATCATGTGTTACAGAAGAACTTGATTGTATGATCTTTATTCTTAATGATAAATTGGTCAGGTTCACGTTGAAATTTTATTGAATATTCCATTTTTGTATTGAAATATACAGCCCGACGCCGACTTCCGTCGCTGATTCCGACAACGCTACTTCTGCTGAAGAGAAGGCTGAGGAAAAAAAGACCGAAGAAGCCGCTCCGGTAGAGGAGAAGAAGGCTGAAGATGCTGCCCCGGTAGAGGAGAAGAAGGTCGAAGAAGCCGCTCCGGTAGAGGAGAAGAAGGCTGAAGAGGCCGCTCCGGTAGAGGAGAAGAAGGTCGAAGAGGCCGCTCCGGTAGAGGAGAAGAAGACCGAAGAAGCCGCTCCGGCCGAGGAGAAGAAGGCTGAAGAGAAGCCGGCAGAGGCTGCCGCAGTTGAAGAGAAGAAGGAGTAAGAGCCGCCACCTCTTTTTGAAATCAGTATGCAGTTCGCTCGAGATGTGTATGCGGAACTGTAGCGTGGTTCATTTGACGAGGTAGCATCAAAAGATTTGGGTCTGTATTTGACTCCTTTATTCTTGGAAGTTCGAAAAACGTTTGGTTCTCGAGGACCTTAGTGCCGGCTCGAACAAGGTCAAGATTCTTGATCTTGTCCACACTCATTTATTGACCAGAAAGTTGATGTCCTCGAAGTCTAACATCATCATGTTGCGCACGATATCATTAAAAACTTTAGCAATACTGTTTCTGGCTAGAGAACATGAAAAATTAATGATTTTCATCAAATCAGCCTACAAAAAAATGCAGCGTCATCAATAATTACTCAGAGATCGCAACCACGACTTCCTGGTAGCTAAAAATCTGAGAAAAAATGTAGATCGATGATGTGTATTCCATCAAAAATGTGAAGCCATTAAGCGGCGGCATGGCTTCATCTCTATAGAAATGAAATGTCCAAGTCGAATAACTAATTCTTCGTCTGCGGGGAATCTTTTTAGGCAAGGATGCAAATGCCAAATGGTGCAAAAATATTGATATTGCGATGTGCAATTTATGGGTTCCGACGTGTTAATCGGGCGATGTATTAACTCCGTTGGAAACTCCTGAAAAAACTGCATTATGGTATTTTGTTGAAGCAAACGCAGATGACGCTCAATCAAAAAGTCGGCTCATTTCCTTCCGTCTAAATTTGATAGGAAGAAAATGAAAATGAACGTAATTGTACATGTAAACGCCAGTTAAGAAGAAGTACTTCATCTACGTGTTCTGAGGTTGGGCGGCGAGCCGTCCGAAATCTTTTAGTGTCCGTCGGTAGAGTGTCTTCCTCCTCTGTCTTCTCCGAAGGTCTAGGGAGAATGAGAACGAGCTGTTGATCTAACGTAAAACACTTCAACACCAGAGTGAGCAAGAATGAAAAATGAATCCTGTTCAAGAGCGATGTTGAGGGACTAAGGTATTGGAAGAGAACCCAGTCTGTTGAAGCGATGCGTGTACAACCTCGTGTGCGAGCGCCTCTGTTCTTAGTGCGTGAGTTCCTCGTCTGTCATAAGAGATCAGAGAGCTATTGATGAGATGCCTAGATATTCCGCATCTGTAAACCATTGAGAACGACCGCGAGCGATTTGAGATCTGTTGCCCCTGTTACGGTAGTGAGAATCTTCACTGCTTCACTGCATGTTTGATGAGTTATTAAATGAATCCACCTAGTATGCATCATGCTCTTGATCCCAATCGTGTTTAATCTAATCAAAATCTACCTATGTATTGACTATTCACAGAAACCCTCCTGAGAATTGAAGATAAGGAATCTTATCCCCCTCAGCGCCCTTTTGTTTTTCCCCTTTGAAAAATTAGTGACATTACCTTGTAACCACCACAGATTTTGATTTGCTGACATCCTCTCACCACAAATCAATATCTTCTTCAATTACTTCTTCTTAGTTCATCTTTGATGAACCTCTTAGTTCAACACCTCTAGTATAAGTAGGTACCATCATCATCATACACCTCTTTTTTTTGAGGTACAATCATCTATCATCATCAAGGAAAGATGTCTGGTTTAGGCGGTAAGGACACTTTCGACGGTCTGCGTGGGAAGAAGAGCCTGATCAAGAACCCGAAGAAGCGTGGGGAGCGCATGAACGCGAGTGATTTGTTTTCTCGGGATGCCGCGAAAGGAAGCGACTTTTAAGGGTAGGTTAAAGGTGCTTTTCTTACCGCTTTTTATGCCTCTCTCATCCTAAGGGGGAGAGAAAGGCATAACAAGCGGGGGAACCCGCGAGCACCTCCAAAAACCTCCTACCTCTAAGATTTCTCCAGAGTGTCCAAGAAGCTCGACGAAATCCTTGCCGATGTGAAGGTCGACGCGGACCCGCCGGTGGGGAGCAAGTTCTGGGTCGCGGCGCCGTCTCTAGAAGTGAAGGTGGGCCTCCCCTTGCGATCGAAGCGTGGGCGGTCCGACTTGAAGCAGAACGATCGAGTCTACTGCGCTGGTGCAGCTGTCTGGCTGGATCCGCCAGACCACGGAACGTGCCGCATGCCGATCACTATGATGCCGCCAAATCACGGAAAACAACCAGTCTTTTGGGTCACCTACTACAACGGACACGAAGTCGATCCGATGAAACGATTTTGCTTGGTACCAGTTCTTGTCGTAGAAAAAGAGAGTCGTTCTTGGTTTTAGTTTTTTGCCAGTAGCGCATGAAGTAGATCGTGCTCGCATCGAAACAAGAGCAATTTAGAGTTTCCCATTATTGTTAGAAGGTAGTGATTCTGATGCATGTCTAAGTTTCCTCTCCATCTTATCAGTTCGATCATGTAAATTAACTTTCCGGTGCACGTTCATTACTTTATGTAGCAGCAGTGGGCTATCAACAACATCAACATCGATCCTGCTTATCATGTAACGAGGCTATAATTTCTCCATCACTACATGAAACTTAGACTCCGGTGGAAGACGAGTTGTCCTATTTTCGCGTGTGGTTGGCACACAAGTACGGAAAGATGCTCCGCGGATCTGATGGTATGGCTGATACAACCTGGTGGTTCAAATTCTACATGGACTTGGATGGCGATCGGAGTAACTCTGTCGACATGGAAGAGTTCCAGTTGGGGCTCTCCAAATTCCACTACCCATCAGCAGTTGACGACGAACTGGCCTACGAACGACGAGCGAATTTATTACACTTGTTGGATACTGATGGTACGACCTTCGAAAGTTTTATTTCTGGAGTCATTATTGTTTCTTATTTCTTTGGAATTGAAGATTTATTGGACGATTCAAATTTGTACTCGAAAAGGGTATCCGCGTTTCCTCGCTGTCTACTTATGTTGTAACTACTACCCCCTTGTAACTACTACCCCCTTGTAACTACTACCCCTTGTAACTACTACCCCCTAGGTAGTTGTCTGCTTAAATCTCGTATTGTTAAACTACCACCCCCAAAAAGTAAAAGAATTGAATCGATCTTGCTCAGGAGACTATAAGTAAGTAAATCTATCTACCTATTTAATCAGGTTCCGGTGATTTATCCTTTGAGGAGTTTGCTGAGGTTTTGGGCATTGATCCCCGTGAGATTCAAAAGAAAGCTCGTGAATTTGCAGAAGAGCAACGAATTGCAGCAGTCCGAAATGCGGTTTCTGAGAACAAGTTCATCGATGAGGATGTCTACGTAATAGACAAGAAAACGGGCATGAAACGGTAAAAATAGATATTTAACATACAACCCTTTTAATAGTAGGAACAAGATCGGTGTTTGTCGATTAGGAGAGTCCTTTGTTTTGCGTGAACAAGAGCTGTACCATGACATGACATGCACATCCAGATTCTACAACTCTACAACAACTATAATCACAGATACTCGATGAAGAAGGCGTATGACAAATTTATTCGTAAGAAAGACGATGCCTCCCGAACGCGTACGAACAATGAGGCTCAGCGACACACTCGGGGAATCTACAAAAATACGGATATGCAGAAGGCGTTTAAGAAATGGTAATACTTCGTCCAACACGTTCATATGTAGAAGTCGATCATTATCTCGGGAGAAGTGCGTTCATATTCAGTAGTATTTTCCATGCTAGGTCAGTCTGTAGTGTTGTTGGATTATGCTCTCTCCTGTTTAGTACGAGGTCACTCTGTGGTGTTGCTGGATTATGTTCTCTCCTGTTTAGTACGTTACTGCTACACGCGGCTTTATTGGAACGGTTTCGACTTAGTTCCCTAGGGTCTGGCCTCGAGTTTGATTTGGCAGGTCAAATCGGAGACAAATGATTTTCACATGCTACCTCGTGAGGAGTTGATTAGGATGCTCAGTCGTGGATTCCCTTTGATTTCAAAAGATTTTCACATGCTACCTCGTGAGGAGTATGCTCAGTCGTGGATTCCCTTTGAAAAAATGACAACCAGGTACGATTGGATGTTTGTCGAGGAGGAGAGTTCTTTGTGGGCCAAGCACCCAAAGATCTGGGGTACAAGAATGAAGATATCACCCCACGACATGCATCCGGATCACCGTGACTACTTTGGCAGACCTGGTCTCTTCAATGGTGAGGCAGAAATCGATGCGCAAATGGAACGCGATGCGGAGCCTCCAGCCAAACGTATCCCCATGGCCGAAGAGATGGCACTGCTCAGAGAACACCTCTGCGAATTGTATGAGGTACTACTAGTTGTACTACAAGAGGAGTACAAGAATTTTTCAGTTGTCAGTCGTACTCGGATTATTGAAATCGGATTATTGTGAAATCATTTTCATGGCTGTAATATGGTCGTTGGACTAGTCGACTAGGGTCGAAGATTTTCTTTCTGTTTGAATGATCGAAAAGGAAAAGAATTATTTCAGTGTAGTCCTCAAGAATCGCTTTCTGGAATCATTTTAACAGTTATTAATAATGTTAACAGCAAGTTCATACGCTTTCTGAAATCACGTAATTAATTCTTGAGACAGCACCTCGTGCTAGGTAAATAAATGAATGAAATTCCCTTTATTCCCACTAGAACTATACCCCTTGGGTAATAGAAATTCCCTTTATTCCCACTAGAACTATGCCCCTTAGGTGAAATAGAAATTCCCTTTATTCCCACTAGAACTATGCCCCTTAGGTGAACTATATAAAAATACCCCTTACTAGGTGGACAACTTGCGTGAGCCTGCTGTGCAACGTCGTATTTTCGATATGATGGACGACAACGGCAACGGCGCTCTGAGTGCCACCGAGTTCACTCAGGCTCTAGCGCACGTGGTGCACTATCCTCCAGGCCCCACGACGATCACGACTCGAACCCGGCGTAACCGCATTTTTCACACCTTGGACTGGAACGCGAAAGGCGAATGCGACTTCGAGAAAGTGAGGAAGGGGTTATTCGAAGGCCCAGTAGGGATGGCAGAATTGGAAGCGAAAAAGTCAGGAAAAGACAATTAAGGCTAGTATTTTTTCACTATCCCATGTGTCTGACTAAGTATGCTGTCTGAGTGGGAGGGTTGCCCCTAGAAATTAATCAAGGAGAAACTAAGGGGGGAAGAGCGGAACTCACTCAAACAGGCATGATAGTGAAAAACTAGCGCTAAGACAAGTTCGCACAGGGCCTTGGATCGACAGCCGCGAAAAGCATCATGGGATAGATCATATAAACATAATCTATCATGATTATAATGATAGAGGATAATTAATGAGTAGCGCGATTCGTCAGGGGGAAAATTAGTGATCATACTATAAACTGAAGACTGGAAAAGCGCTGAAGGTCAAGGTGCTGACCTAAATTTGTTTTCTTCCTGCAGATGTTGCACTGTCCGTCAGTTAGTTAGTAAACATCAAGCAGCAGTATGTACGTAGTAAATGCAGAGTAATCTTAGTATATGACATACTATAGTTGGAAGAACACAGAAACAGAAATCTACGCACGACACTAGAGTGTAGTTGAAAAACCCTCTGTGATATGAAGTACCTATGTTTTACTTTTATATTTTTTCGAAATTGATGACGATGTCATGTCAAAAAAATATCAGCAAATCATACATGTAGTTGTAATTTCTTTTCTAAAACACGAAAATGCATAGTCACAAAACCGATTCGTTGTTTGAGATCATAATTGTTGGTGTGTTATTTCGTAGAAACTGCTAGAAAGAGTTAGAAAGTCAACGTCTGTCGTGTTGGAGGAGCTTATAAATATGTGTCTGTTGTGTCTTCCTCCATGGAAGTTAGGGAGAAAGGTGGCACCCACGCGGATTGGATTACCTGTGAAGAGGGGACACGTGATCCAACGGTAACCTTGTTGGGGTAAGGCAACTACACATGATAGCAACACCAACTACACTCTTTTGGCATACAATATCGAATGAGAAATAATGAGATCAAAAATACAGATGTTGGAGTTTAAACATTCGAATGAAATTTCGAAAAAGACAAATTCGCGACAAAGGTTGTGTGCGACAGGAGATGACGGTGCAGCATGTTGCGCTTGTTGTCCCCCCATCGTTCTTAATATTTACCGCCAGTCTCTTTCTTGTTGGCGAGTGAGAGTGTTCTTCTCACTTTCCCTGAAATATGGGAAAAATTCACTGAATACAGCAACGAAGATGTTCAGATGAGAGCCCATTGTTCATCTTACGAGGTTTCTTGTCTTCCATCTGAGAGGGGACGGAACAAATGGAGGCTCCTGTGAGGCGCCTGTGAGCCATGGCCTCTGAAATCAAGCTAATCTAATTCTAATCATGAGGTCCTCATGATAATGATTAACCGCCAATGAATCTGTGTTCCTGTTGCGGTTCGTTTATCTTCTACTTAACCGAGTTCGAGGAAATAATGAGAATAGAAGTATCCAGCCTGGATGAATTTGAATTGTGAATGAGGTGAGGAATTAAAATTATGAATGGACATGCTGTGAATTGAATTTGAAATTTCACTGATGAATGCTTCAACGAGAATATCATGGATGAGGGTCACACACTAAAGATGCATGCATTGTTCGTGCTCGAGATCATAATCATCGTCGACATCGCAGGTCCCCCCACTTCTATCAAGAATTCCAGAACACTCTTAATCCTAGTTCCTCTGTCGTGAAATCAAAGTGATGATTGCACTCACTAGTCGATGAGACTTGATGAGACCTGATTATTCGATGATGGTCGCCTCCCCTGCCGGTCTTGTCGAAAACTAGTGGTCGGCAAGCTTTGCACTCTGAGGAGCTGGCGACTCATTTCGAGCCGGGGAGATTTCGACTTTTTCTCTTACTTTCCTACCTCGTGAATGAAAAGTAGACATTTCCGACCGACCACTTCGCGGGAAGTCACTTGACAAGAATTGACTGCTCGCGTGTGTGTTTTGCAGAGATATTCTTCATGCCGAGAATGAATACAAGGGCAATCACTTTCACTCTCTTTCAACTTCTAGTATAAAACCATGAACTAAAAACCAAGAGATTCTTTGTATAGGGCTTTAATTTTCACTTTAAGCCTTTCTTAAGTATTTTAATATTGCGGGGACGGAGGTAGTATCGATGCATGATCATTTTCATTTGGGGTTTCATCTATTTGCACAGGAGCGAGCCCTTGTTTTTTTACTGCTGCCAGATCATGGGCGAAGAGAATGCTAACCGTGGCAGACATTATTTTTCTATGGTTCCGTCAACACAAGCTTTTTGACAAGCTTACCGCCATTGACTTGTCTCGTCGTGCTGAGTTGTGTCTTGCACTAAGCATAGATATGGAACGCTAAGTAGCAGGATTCAAGTGCCCGTGATGCAACTACAGGGCGAAGCATATAGAACGCTAAGTAGCAGGATTCAAGTGCCCGTGATGCAACTACAGGGCGAAGCATATTGAACGCTAAGTAGTAGGATTCAAGTGCCCGTGATGCAACTACAGGGCGAAGCATATCGAACGCTAAGTAGTAGGATTCAAGTGCCCGTGATGCAAATACAGGGCAGCCTTTAATTAGATGACTGCGGGCCATTCCTTTAAGATAGACTGATCACCACTGCCGCTCCCATGCTGCTGCTCAGCGTAGTTCTATTGGCTCAATAAAGAAGCTCTACGCGCCTTTTTTTCAAAAAAAAAAAAAAACACAAATATTAAGTGCTTCACTTGGTAAATTGTGAGTCCTGTGGCTAAGTACGGCGGGGTCAGATGAATTGGCGTTCATTGTAACTTACACCTCATGCTAGGTAAATGAATGAATGAATAAAGCAGTGCTGTTGGGTTTGGTGTGGTTCCGGCTAGAACGAAAACAAGCTGCTCTATCTAGTGCTTAGGGCCGCTCTTCTATCTAGTGCTTAGGACTAGATAGAAGAGCGGCCCTAAGCACTAGGTCTAGGCTTATCTTGTCCGGACTGGTCGAATCTAAGGCCGTTCTGAGCAAGAGAGAGCCGCTCGCTGCCAGCTTCGAACTTCCGATGGTTGCGATGTTGCTGGGATGTGGCTTTTCTACTTCTGTGGTTCCTGCATCCCAGCAACATCAGAGCAGCTTCATCCTCTACTAAAAAACAAAGCAGGCGATGATCTGCTATACTTTTCTCTTGTACATCAACTGACAGGGACAGGGTGACGCGTAGTCGTCTGTAAAGATGAGACTATGTTGACTATGAGTGTTATGAAATTATCATGATGTAAAAAGTGATATTCTACAAACAAAACAATAGTTTTTGACGACGTTTTTTATTTGCTACCTAGTACAAGAGCATCCTTAGAGAAGATGACGTCAAAGACGACCTTAAGCAAGGCTGTCAGTAAGGCATGGGCTAAAGCCAATCACGCATCCACCGCCTCTACACCTGTGGCTCCTGGAGATGCGGCCGCGTCTGGCAGCACGACAAGCACTGGCACTCCTGGCGGAGGAGGGACTTTCCGGCAGCCACCGCCAGCGTCTGGCAAACGTCCAATGAGCACAAAAGAGGGGTTGTATGCGCTCATGAACCAGAACAGGAATAAGGCCGCGACTGCTGCGGCCGCTGGTGCGGCCGCGCAAGCAGGAAGCGGCCCATCAACCTCCAAGATGCTCTCTGAGAGTGCGGCCGCGCAAGCAGGAAGCGGCCCATCAACCTCCAAGATTCTAAAGGATGACCCGATGAGCTACATCGCATTGGAAATAAGCTTACTGCTAGCTGGAGGTATGCTCTTTTTTCTGTTTTGCCTTGCAAGTCAGTGTGTCGTGGTACCCCTCCTTTCCCATTCTTGTGCATAAATATAGTCTATGATCAATCATCCCCGGTTTTTAGCTGAAAACTTTGATTATGAACCCGACTCACTGCCATACTTCTTCTAATTGTTTTCGTTTCTTTGAGTCCAACCATGGGACACCTTGAGAAGAAACTGTTTTTGGAGTGCCTTTAGCAGGCCCCTTTGAGATGTTTTAGTTTTAATGTTTTTTAATGCTGTAGTGTTTCATCGGATGACCCTCCGAATTCCTGAACCTGTATAATAATAATGTCATCACTTTTTTTTTTCAACTGTCACCTGTCAGTAGAAGAGAGACTTACAACCCTCTTCCCGAGGACTTCATTAGGTATTTTTCTTGATCAATAAGTCTGAATAGTTCTGTAGTTAACCTTAAGTCGATAGTTTGTATTCGCAAGATCCTTTTCTCTTTCCCGGATCTATTCCCAGTAGAAATTGTTTCCTATCGCTAAACCCTGACCCCCTTAGATATCGTTTCTTATCTGATGATGGTGCGAATCTACTCGGCAGTTTGCCTAAGATTTCCCTGATGAATTCTACCCGCTAACCTAGCTTGTTGTTGGATTGTTAGCGGTTTCCCGATTGAGATTGTTCCTGCTGTTCCTGCTGATGTAGAACGACGATGGTCAGGCTTTTGCTTATTTGCTATCGTTTCTTATCTAGCCCGCATTTCTTTCACTCAATAATTGGCCTTAGTTGTAAGACTCAAGCTCACGTCAACCTAGACTTTTAGGTTCAAATATCTTTTAGATTCAACTACTACCACCTTTCGTCTTAGGCGTGAACCTTTTGAATTACTCACGGGTTCCATGATCAATTACTCAGGTTCCTTGTTAACCTCAACTTCATCCATTACTCAGGTTCCCTCGACCACGCTTTGAATTACTCACGGGTTCCTTCAACAGAGGACTTTTTTCATCATATTTGTTGTAATTAGGTTCCTTTACGCGACTCTTGGAGGATGATATCAAAGGCTGGCTCACGCTGCTATCCGAAAAGCTGCAGGCGTTGGAGTGCGCTACACCGAATGGTGCGAGTAGTGTCATCAGAATGCTCTCAAACAAGGCTCGGTCCTCAGGTACTATAGCTCCAGATAGTTGCACTTTTTAAGTACTTTTTGTGTACCTGAAAGAACAACATATAATCATGTCCTGCCATGTTATGTCGTAAGGAACATAGTGTCTTCTATTAGGTTCGTCGGACGGGGAGCAAGCTTGGACGTTGATGTTGCGCTACGCGTACAAATATGCGGTCATTGGAAACGAGAAGGAAGCTTTGAAAGAGTGGAAGTCACGCCATGTTTATCTTCGAGATGAAGAAACCGGATTGGCATTGATGTTATGGCGCTGCTCTCTTTCATTGTTGTAGTTATAAACAGGACGTTAGTTAAAAAGTTGTACAGGAACACGGCTGAACGGCCTCAGACACGTTTGAAGAACGTCCTAGGTAAGAGCTAAAATGGCCTGACATAGGCTGTTCCAGTTAAACAGGTCGTGGCGTTATGCTGTACTTATTTTCATCGTAGTTCTTGTTAAACAGGAGGTCGGTCAACAGTTGATTCATTCAGCCTTTGATCGTTCTTGTTAAACAGGAGGTCGCTCAAACTGTCACTGGTTTCTACTGGTCTTCGATCAAACTCGAAGAACCGTAAGAACCGTGGGTGCTGGCCAAGAATCGAGACGCTCTTGGCACAGGCCCAATATTACCTTCGTTATCATGTAATGCCCGCGACTGTAGTTGAGACAACCATGTAGTGGCTGCGACTGTCAGTCAGTTGGTTGCAATGATCTGATTACACGACTGAGTACTGGTTTTTCCAGTGTCTCACTAGGTAGTGGCGCAGTCGTTACCCACGAGGTACTCAAAGTCGCATTGATTGGATGGCGCTAATTTTCGTTCCGGCAGCATCAAACAGAAACGCTGGGAAACAGCCCATATCTTAAGACTGTTACTCGACATTAATAGGAAATAAGCGAGAAACTAACTGAAATAACCTACCGATTCTCAAATATAACTGTCTGTTGCCGTTGCAACCGCACAGCACTACGCGTCCATTTTTGCAACCGTTGTACACCACGGCTCGATGCCATTCGTTGTTGATCACCACCATCGCCGGTTGTGTCCTTCTAATGTATCGCGAAAGCTCTGGATAAGAAATGGAACAAAGCTCTGGATGGGACAATTGGATTCCGTCCGTGGAAGTCGGATGAGTTAGCTGTCATGGCGAACTGGGCTAGGAGTCGACGATCTCTTAAAGTGGATGCCATATTGTCTTCACAAGCACAAGCACAAGCACAAGGCTCAAGTTCAAGTTCTTCTAAAAGCAAGAAGAACAACTTCAGCACCTCATCTTCTAGACCACGAACACGAAGTCCGAGTCCGACGACGAGCTCCTCCGCGGAGTCGTTTGGCGCCTTTCTTACTGCTGTGGCTAGATACATGCAGAGGGAGAGCGAAGCAGTATTAAGGCTACTACTACAAGAATAAGCGCATCACTGTAAGCGATCGATCTAGTACCAAACCTATCATGAAATTCAAGGATCGGCTTGGTAGATCGATCGCTTGCAATCATCTTCCCTTGATGCATCTTGATCCTCCCGTTTTCAATGGAGAGGAGGCATCCCATGATGCATCTTGATCCTCCCGTTTTCAATGAAAAGGCATCCCAAGATGCTCATCTTGCAGAAGATGCCACATCATCTTGCAGAAGATGACCTCTTGCTAGGTAAATGAATGGATGAGTGAATGAATGGAGGATGCTCTAACAGTAACGTTAGTCGAAACCCCTGCAGATAGAACGCATATCCACGACGAGCGTGCTCAGGCTGTCGACGAGTTCTGGGGCAATGCTTTTCCACACATCTTAGACAGAGCACAGTTCATTATGACGTCGAGTACAGTAGTAATTCAAGTAAGTATTCGAAAACTGAAAATAACCGAGTTACTGACTGAAATAAGGGAGGTAGCTAGCTTTGACAAGGCTACTCTTCCTTTTCATCAGTATCTCGCTTATTCTGATCAGTTACGTGCTTCTTTCAGTTTTTCGATTACTAATTCAAGTACTTACAAAAAAACTTGCAAGCTAAGTACTCTCTGGTTGAACTTGAAAAATGTCGTGGTGTGTATTTTCGAGAGGTAATATACCGACACATCGTTCTTGTGACAGCTACACTAGGTGGTCAGGTCGTCATCCATGATACTCGGAGTCGACCTAGGTAAAAATGTGCAGCAAATTATATGTAGCTAGTCATGTACACATGAATAGCTTTAATCTTTCTTCCATCTTGGCGGAGGGAACACGACTGGGCGATACTGAGTTTCTGCAAGAGTTATGGGATTCGTTTGCGGAGCTCCCTTCCGTCAGAACCGAGAAGGTGAATGGTCTGCCTTTGCCACATCAGACCTCTTCTCCTAGCTCTACTTCTACTACAACAATTAGGCCCACCAGTATTGGGCCTTTGTTTGCGGTTTTGGATGCTCTTTGGGCTGATCATTTTGGTGGTACAACTGCATCAGCTGTTGCATCTCTGGTTTCTCTTAAAGATAACGATGAAGTTGTTCTTCAACATGCTCAAGAAGAAGATCATCCCTGCGGAGGTTGGAGCGCTGGGCCGCCTCGTCCCGCGCAGACCCTAGAATCCTTTTTCCCAGAGGATGAACTTCAAGTTGTAGAAGATAATGATTTAGAAGTACAACAACTAGAGGATCAAGAGGTGGATGACGATTTGACCCCAGGCACGCATATTCGTGAGCGCACGCGGAAGCGCAAGGTCGGAGTGGACCGAGGACGGGCGCTCGGCCGCGACGACGCGACCAGCACCCGTTTTGTTGGCGACACCCGTTCTGCAGAACAAGCACTCTTTGCCAATGTGCGACGGGGAAAAAATACTACCCATGCGCCCAAGGACCTTTATCTTGAGGCTTCCTCTGGTGAAGAGGAAGACGAGCCGCCTATGGCGTCTGGCCGAGCACCTCCGCCACCGCCACCACCACCAGCTCCGCCGAAGTCGCGTTGCAAGTCTGCAGCGCGAGTGGAGAGCGTGAAAGACATCGTCACCCAAGGGGCTGATAAAAGAAAGCGCGATACTAGAGCAGATGTTGTCAACGGAGCTGGTAAAGAACAAGATGAACAGCAGGAAGGCGCATCTGCTGCGTCGTCTACCTCTGCTCGACAACATCAGGAAGGCACTTCTAATAATAAAACTGCTAGTACTTCTAAAAGCGCTACGTCAGATGATCAGGTGGGCAACCCACCAAGGTTGAAAAAACTGAGAAAAGCAGACACAACTGACCGTGTGAAAGATCGAGAAGAGCCTCCAAAAGATCGAGAGAGGGACCGGGATCGCAGAAAAGACGACCACGCTGAGCGTGATCGAGATAGACGCCCATCTCTACGGTACCCCCGCATAGAGTCAGTGTCGCCTCCATCTCTACGATCCCGTGATAAGGCTGATGACTACCTCAATCGAGAACGAGAGCGGAAGCGCGACAGGCATGATACAGACCGGGACCGTGAGCGCACTAAAGAAGAGCGAGAGCGGGATCGACGACACAGGGATCGAGAGCGGGATCGCGATGCTCGCCATAAGGACGACCGCGATCGACTGCGCCCTCGCCGAGCAGCAACTCCACCGCGTCGCTTCTCGCGATCAACAGCGCGCGGTCGGGCAGAAGCGGTTGCGAAGCCAGAGAAGCGGCAGCGCAGTGAATCTACCCGTGTTGAGCAAGATGAGAAAGAAAAGAAAGAGAAGAAGAAAGGCTTTCAAGGTAGTGTCAGTGAGGAGGATGAGGGAGATGAGAAGGAGGAATTCATTTCGTCTCGTGATGAGAACAGGTACAAGGCTGCCATGAAGGCGAAAGAGTCCCCAAGAGGGCCACAAGCGCAGACCCCCTCTACCACATCGCCAGTGCTAGCTCCCAACTCAGGCCAAGCGCTCTCCTTGATGGGCGCACACCCCATGGGAGCGGTAGCAGGTGCGCTTCCGCCACCTGTCCACTCTGCCGCCCGAGTGCTCGCGTCGCCACACGTTGCCCCGGCGCCTCTGGGCCCTGGTGGCCCCATGGGGACGGTGGTGCTGGGCGCGGCCCAGTTCGCCAGTCAGTACGACGCCGCGAACAGTATGTTTAGCAATCAGTACGCGCCAGAAGTACTGGCGGCGGAGCGCAAGGAAGAAAAACGCGAGGAAAAGCGCGAGCAAAAAAGGCAAAAGAAGCTTGCTAAGGAGAGCAAAGTTCTAGCCGACGAGAATGGAGACGAGGCTACAACAACGCCTTGTGTGGTAGTTGTTGCTGCGGACGACGATGAGGACAGGAAGAGCAAAAAGCAAAAGGTGGAAACTCAGGGAACTTCGAAGGACAAATCGTCGAATTGTAACGAAGGAATGGGAACAACAAAGGGAAGAACTACCATTGATATGACCGCGGGGAACAATGCTAGTCGTATCTCCTCCAAGAGTACGCCTCGCAGCGACGCAGAGGGCCAGCGTCGGCCACCACGTGTGTCGGTGGCCCAAACCACCACGGCAAAGTCGAAACCTCCTGCGAAACAGGACAACAAGGATCATGAACAGGTGGAAGATCGTGGACAGGCAAGAAATCCACAACAAGTACCAGCCAAGGCGCGAAGCGTCCAAACCACGAAACTGGCTCTTGCCCAACATCAAGATTCCTCTACAACGAAGCAGGGCAAGCAATCTGATCAATCTGTGGACAGGCAGAAGGATCACGTTGCAGGTACTAGCAGCAGCGCCTCGTCTCCAGGCTCTCCTCGGCCGAGAGCAGCCTGGGGAGCAGGATGGCAAGAAAAGAAGACGCTCGCCACTAGTCCCGACGGCGATGCCTGGGACCGCGCTGCAGAAAAGTCTCCGCAAACGACAAGAACATCTACGGTATTTTTATTGTCTACTTATCATGATTATCCAACTTGTTGTAGAACAAGTAGATAGAAGTAGAACAGACTAAGCTATTAAAACTCGTGCAAGATGTATGTTGATAGGCAATATCATTCGAAATTGTTCTGTCTCCAAAAACGTTTACCTTATTAGGCCGCTTCGGGTCAGCGAGCAGGCGCAGTAGGCGACTCTCGCGGCTCCAGTGACGAAGGAAAAGGCGGTAAGGATGCGTCAGAACAAGGGCCACGACCTGAAGACGGTCCTCTAGTCGAAGAGGAGAGACCTGGTGCTGGTAGTACAACTGGTGTTTCATCTTCTTTTAAGGGTAGGTTAAAGGTGCTTTTCTTACCGCTTTTTATGCCTCTCCTAAGGGAGAAAGGCATAAAAAGCGGGGTAAGCAAGCACCAAAAACCTACCTCTAATTCTTCTTCTTCTTCCACTCTGCTAGGCAACGGGGAAAAGGCTGCAGACTCAGCCACAACGATGTCCTCCGGAGGAGGGGGTAAGTTAGAATCGGACTACAAGCTACGACGTGAGCTGGAAAGAGCTCGTAAACAGCACGCAAAGACGTATCCGACGCTGCCGGACGGTGGAAAAGTGAAAGAACCAGAAGCGTGGCTTCCCGAATTTGGCGATGCGAATTCGTCGATGTTGTGCTGGCTGCCGGGTTTCGTGCAAGTGCCGACACCAGATGTTGTAGGTAAGAAGTGGTCTTTCGCCCAAGGCAACGGCCTCGCGCTGGTCAGTGACTGCTTTCCTAAGCGGATGCAAATGCAAAATGTGGACTTGCAAGTGCATCCTGGAACGGACTGGGAACACGGATGCGCGCAGAGTATGAAAATATGGGGTCGACTCAAAGCGGAGTGCCCCAATCCGCTGGAGAACCGGTACCCAGTGTGGTTCCAGCTGAAACAGGGCACTGACCGTGGAATTCATCCGACGCGAGTTCAATTCGCCCGTCAGGTGGACGAAGCGCACGAAGCGGAACTTACCGCAATCAAGGAGGACTACGAACAAAAGAAAGCATCTGGTGGTGGTGATCATCACAGTGCGAGTCCGCCTCCTTGGAAGAAGAGCTCATCGTCAGGAGGAGCACACAAAAATGGTCTTCTAGTAGGCCCTCCTGCACCAGCAGCAGGAGGAACATCTGCCACGACGAGCAATGCTAATAAGGTGAAAGTAGTAGCAAAGAAAGCAGGATCTTCTATACCGCCACAATTACAAAAAAAACTTACGACCAAAGGCGCAGCAGCACCAGGCCAGATGAATGCAACAAATTATGCAACAAAAGAGCTCGCCGTCGGTGCTACTCCTGCTTCAGCCTCTGCTTCTGACGGGGATGTGCAGCTCTTCGATCCTCTTGCACCTCCGAAAGTCTCTCCTGCTGCGACTGCATCGGTGCCACCACCTCAAGAGCAGCAAGTTGAAGTTCCTAAAGATGACATCCAAGCTCTGCTCGAAATCGCCTTCCCACCTGAGGCAAATGAAGAGGGACAGCTGCAAACCAACAACAACATATTTCCTACAACAGGACGATCATCAGGAGCAGCAAACCAAGCTCCTCCTGTTGCGCCGTTCATACCGGATCTGGCCAAATTAGAAAAGGATTTCTGGGGTGACATGGAACACATCGATAACTCGATGATGGGTGGTTTTAAGGCTCGTAAATTTAAAATAGTAAATAAAATCTACTTAAATAAAAATATGTTTGTTTAATATTAAAAATCGTACTTTGTAACAGTCTAACAGAATGAAGGGGTCATGCTCTGACTCTGTTGCAGTCTAACAGAATGAAGCAAAGATGTTCTGACTCTGTTACAATCCAAAGAACATCCCCTCTGACATGAACATCCTCATGTATCCGATCACAGGACTTAATTATGGACATCTGGTGGGGAAGACCTATTCGAAAACAACTCAGAATAACCGAGTTACTGAATGAAATAAGGGAGGTAGCTAGCTTTGACAAGGCTACTCTTCCTTTTCATCAGTATCTCGGTTGTTCTGATCTGTTACTTGCTTATTTCAGTTTTTCGAATACTTTATTCCGTTACATTTAATCGTATCTATAAGCTACGTGCCTGCTGTCTATTTTTAGATATTAACAAACTACAACTGCTAGCAGCGCGTCGCATAGTCTAGGAGCTGGTATGCTAGCTAGCGGTAGGCTTCATGGATGGCTAGCAGATCTCATGTCCTCTTGGATGTAACAAGATTTAACAAGTTCCATTGTAAAAACGGGTTCGATTGTCCTCCTCCTCTAATTTTCTCGCGGTTTCGGCAAAGCTCAATGTGCCTCTGACGCAGGTCTTGCAGATGATATTTAAGATGCCGCTGGCCCTTTTCGCATTCTCTTTTATTGACGAGTGGATTGGACCGGACACCGACGACTCGAACATCCGCGAAAGAATCCTTATGGCTCCTATATTATACTAGTACTGGGATAAAAATTTTTACTAGAAAGACGAGATGAGTAATTCAATGGGATAATTACTAGAAGTAATCGGATATGTTTTGTGATTAGTTGTACTAGACGAGTAATTGAATCCTGTTGAAGCCCGAACCTGACCTATTCGAAAACTAAAAATAAGCAACACTTGAACTACTGAGTTCAATAATAGTGCTAAGTTGGTAGCTTTGTTAATAGAAAGAGCACTTTACTCGGCTTCGGTTACTTCAGCTAAATTATTGTGCTGCTTCCTACCGCTGTTGTTCCCCTGAATCTACTTCTGACTTCATGAACTGTAGGGTTAGTAGTACTCTCACCTACTTATAATATATACTTAGCCTTTGGCCGGGCTTGTTCCAGCGCCTCCTCTAAGAGACGACGCGATGCACCTAATCCAGTCCTTTGCTCAGACGTCACCGTCAGCAGTATCGTCGCCTTGGCCAAGCTTGCTGGCTGGCATGATTTGGGTCCCATAGAGAGGCTCGTCAAGGTGAAAGAGGAGCTCTTCGAAAAGTACCCGAGGAAGAGAACCGACGGACCAATGGTATTGATACTTAAGGGTAGGTTAAAGGTGCTTTTCTTACCGCTTTTTATGCCTCTCTCCCTTAGGATGAGAAAGGCATAACAAGCGGGGCAAGCGAGCACCAAAAACCTACCTCTAAGATACCAAAAGACCCCAATAACCATAACCCAGAACAACAGGCGGCACAGGGTCCGCAGCTTCGCCGAATGTCGCTTGTGGAGTTCGATTTTGAAGTGATAAGGCACTTTAGCCTTCAACAAGCGGCCGAACCTCCTATAACAGCGGAGAAGATTCGCTGTACGCGGACACTCGCGGAAAGCATACTGCAGACGATTCTTAAGTTAGGACCACAGAGAGATTCAATATTTTTGTCACTTAAGTTAGGACAGAGTATAAGTGGCGAGATTCAATATTTTTGTATTTTTCTAAGTCCGCCTTGTTATACAACTACTAGTTATCTTCCCGCGATAGTTTTTCGTTCTCTCTCCTCTTTTCCAAAAAACCTCACAGCCGAAGCTCGCTGATTGGTACACGAAATGACGTTGATGCACGTAAAGATAATGGAGTGATCACAACGTCTGGGCTAGTACAACTTATAATTAGCATTGTAAGTCTAAGTCCATCTTCCGAATCATCTTTGTTCTGTTTCTCAAGGTTTTTTCCCACCAAGCAATAACCGCTTATAATTTTTCCTCAATCTGCTTTATCTTCAAGTTCAATATCAATCAATGTGGGAAGTCCCAGGTAACTCCTTCCAATTTATCCTAGGTAACTCCTTCCAATTTATCCTAGGTAACTCCTTCCAATTTATCCTAGGTAACTCCTTCCAATTTATCCTAGGTAACTCCTTCCAATTTATCCTAGGTAACTCCTTCCAATTTATCCTAGGTAACTCCTTCCAATTTATCCTAGGTGCAATTTATATTAGGTTGGCTCGGTCCTCCTCTTCAGACTTCAAGTACAGGGTTGATAGTTTTGTGCCTCACTTAATACATACAGTGTTCTACCTCACTTCTACCTTTCGTCGATGATGTGAGCTCTCCTAGTCACAGGTGTGTGTGCTCTCCTAGTCACAGGTATGTCACATGCTCTCCTTGGTACTTCGGCAAGTTCTAATCAAGCTGCCTAACGTGAGGCACGAGGTACAGGATTATGTACACGGAAAGATGCGACTGGCGTTGGCAGACTTTGTGGCGAGGAATCCTGTTGCTGGGCACGCGCCGGCTGACTACTTACCTGAACAGTGGAAAGAAATCCAGCGTCAGATCGCTTCCGGAAATTATCGAGAAGGTGTATTGATTAAGGGTACAACATCAAGAAATCCATCTTCATCTCGATGATCTACCCAACCAGCATGATGCTTGTGGTGGATGCAGGTCTGCGTCTGCACACACTACCTAGTAGCTAGAGTAATCTCCTCCTTACACAAACATTATAATATTATGAGTACTTGTTAGTTTTACCTCGTCTAGAGACTTAGCCCTTCCAACAATATCAGTACTTGTTTCTAGAGACACGTCGAAAAGAGGCACCAAGATACTTCTGAGGATGGATTTCTCATAGAAGGTGGTCTAAATTGAAGGATCAATACAGAGAAAAAGCGTGGGAAAAGCTACAAGGTGCTGTGGCCGGCGAACAAAAAACAAGAGCAAGGGTGAAGCAGCTTCAAGCTGCTTCAAGCGGGACGGCACAACAAGTACTTACTTAATGTTACCAGTGCTAATCTGTACTAATGGTATTCTACTAACCTGTGCTAATCGTCTCTATGAATTATCTAACCTATGCGAGAAGCCTTATCAATCTACGAATATGTTGTAGTAATGTAGAAGTAGATCATGTTCTTGTGCTGATGTAGAATATCATGTTAAGGTCCTTTGCAACAAACCGATTACTTAGGTTAAATTACTTAGATTATTACTCACCGCTAGTACTTACTTTACGAAAACAGATCAACGGCCTGATTGCGAACCCGATGATCGCTCAGCCCAGGGCTTCTCCTGTTGGATCCGATGCAGCGAAATTCTTGCTCAATAGTAACTTGATGTCTGCAGTGTCATCAGTCGCCGAACGCGGGGGGTCTGCCAGTGGAGGTGCTAATCCACCAGCAAGTACTTCTGCTGGTGGTCTGCTGAATTTGAATAGGACCGCTTCGTCGTCGTCTCATTCTAGTCAGCAGATGAATGCTGGAGGTAACTATAATTACAGCAGAGAGGAGTGGGAAAAGTGGTTCGCAGGAACAAAAACGAACCAACAGGAAAGCCTCTCAGCACAGCAATTGTATGGCGATCTCTCCGCGTCGTCCAATGCGGATGATGTGAACAAGACCACCACGTTGATGTCTTCAACTACTAGCACTGCACCACTCAACATTGCGACGTCCTCGTCTGGGTCTTCCTCCTCCTCCTCGAATCTCCAGATGGGTACGTCGCAGTTTGGAAGCCTCATCGCTGACCAAAAAAAACAAATCTACGATGCATTCCACAATCCTGGCCATCCTGGCTGTGGTACAAGTGCTCCTGCCGTAACATCATCGACAGTTCTTGCCTCTTCATCAACCAGCGGATCTACTTCTTCGAGCGCTGTAGCCGCTGGAAGTCTTCTTGCTGCATGTGGAATGAAGATGGACAAAAAAGATACAAACAAGTCCTCTCAGATGACGGATTCGGCTCCTCATGATGGTCCTGGTCGTGCCGCAGGTGAAAAAACGAAAACCTTCACAGGAGGCATGGACCTCAGCAAAGAGTTTGACATCGGTGATGATGACGTTAAGGCAACCGAGAACGCATCCTCAGCGTCATCCTTGGCCTAAACCCTTAAAGGGGTCGTATGGCCCTTTTTTAAAGGGGAAAAGTCCTCGCCAGGGATGGCGCCAGGGGTGCGAACGTGATGTTGGCTCTAATGATGGCGACGATGACAAGACGGAAGACGAGAAATCGATGTCCGAGTACAACTTTGACGATGACGAAGAGAATTTATCGAAAATGGACGCCGAACTCGGTCTGACTACGTCATCAAGGCAAAAACAGAATCCGGGAGCTCTTCAAAACCAAAGGATGAACAAGAATAGAGAGAAGACGAAAACTACCTCTGAAGCAGGACAAGGACAAAATGCACACGACCAGCAAATGCCGCATGATCTTCTTGATGAAGACGATCATTTACTTCGTCAGCCTACGACGAGCGAGCAACACGTTGAAACAGGCCCTTCGTTGTCAAACCCTTTCCTCGTGGAGGCCGAGCCCGAAATAGAGCCGCAGGAGAGCCAGGAAGTAGAACACCACGACCAAGAAGTGGAACAAGAGAAGCGTCCCCCAGAAGTTATGGCGACAACCGCAGTCGCACATGCTGCATCCTTGTTGTGTTCTTGATGTTGTGAGTGGGACCATCTTCCGTATCCTTCTCTAGGGTAAGTAGCTAGTCCTCTGTTTCAAGCCTTTTGAAAAGAGGACAACTGCTGCTACGAGGATGCTCCCACAAGTCAGACAAGGATGTTGACAATGCGACTGCGACCGCAGCTACTGTTCTAAAGATAGAGCAGGTGCGCCAGCATTGAATTGCCAATGGAGGCAGGGAGAATTGGAAGAGATCATCTCAGAGTTGGAGTCGAAGATTGCGGAAAGCGAAGCCGTCTTGAAGAATGGTCTTACCTCAATCGAAAAAGACAAAGCATTGGAGACGTTCGCGAAGCTCCAAAAAGTCGACGAGGAAAAAAAAGCACTAACCAAGGAACTCGAAACGCGAAAAAAAGAGCTAGCAGATCTCATCTCTGGCTTGTCAAAAGCTCCATCCTCCGCAGCAGCAAGAGAAGATGGCCCTGATGTGACGACGACCGCATCCGCACACACCATGTTGAACCTGAGAACGGCACAAGCTCAACCATTATACCCTTCTTCATACCAGAAGATGAGTCATGATCAGAATACAGGTCAACCCAGGAACCCACATTCGCTGAGTGACGAAGAGTTGGCCGAGGTACAGAGAAGGATGCAAGCTTCACGCAATAAGCAGCTTCCGTTTGGATGGGGACCAACTACACGGAGTGGCACGATGGCATCTTCTAGTACTACTTTAGCGCACAATATCAATAACGCCTCTTTTTCAAAGGTGGGAGGACCTTCCGAGGATCTCAACGCACTTGGACAGATATTGGAAGAAATCAAGAGTACCCAGCAGCAGGTTGGAGCGGCCGCAAGTGCCGCCTCTAGCAGTGGTCTCGTGCCTCCGAAGATTCAGAATCGCTATCCATTACCATTGCGTCCCAACAATGCTGGTGCGTCTTCTGGTGCTCCTTCAGTACCAACAACAACATCAAGCGGGGGCACAAGAACTAGAGCAGTAGGGATTACAAGGGAGCACCCCCTTCTGGCTCGAACGGTTTCTCGTGAGAAAAGCAACAACGCTGCTGCTAATTTTCGCGCTGCACAGCGGGTGAACGTCATGCTCCCGCCACCGACCTTAGGGCAGACGCCAACGCGCTCTCCTCACTCGAATGAAGCAGACACGGCGGCCTCTTCTAGCGTTCTTCCGCAGACGTCAGCGATTGCGCCCAACGCGGGAAACAAAGCGAAGGAAGGTGATATTGCTAGACGCTTTTTGCTTTCTTTCTCGTATGTTGTTCCTTGTATTTTTATGAAAACGGAGGTCCAAGTTGAAGTTGATCATGATGATCTACTGTTTTCATTTTGCATGTAGATGAACGAAGTCGAAGTTAAAAGAAACTTGGGCTTCCTATCTGGTCTCAACTCGTCGGCTTTCCTCTATTGTATACGAGTACTTCCAAATTTCTTCTACCAGGTACTACAGTTACTACACCAGCAGCAGCGACGAGGACTCCAACGCCAGCGGAGGCCGTTTTGCAGCAACTCCGTGAAGTGTTTCCGAATCAGACCGAAGCGCTGGCGAGGCAGTTTAAGGGAAGTGCTGGCAACAGTATGGCCGCCTTGGATGATGAGTGGCTGCTAAGATTACTGCTTGGGTTTTGCCGGCAACTATTGGCGGAAGGCGGAGGGCAGCAACGAACTCTCTCCGCTACCGCGAAAATTCAGTGCCGCACCATCCTGCAACGCTGCAAGTTCGTCAATTATGTTGGTCGCCTTTACGACACGATGACTGGTAATAGAGATTGCTCTTCTGAATTTTATGGCCAGGCATCCATCGTTTGAAGATTCTGTTTTGCTTTTCGTTTTTCTGAATTTACGACTCGTTAGGTTGATGATCACTGACTGACACCAACTCGTTGAGCATCTGATCACCGTCAGCAAGTCGCTGAGCATCATCGTCTAGTCCTCTACAACTTCTTTCTTCCTGAACAGATCTGCGCTCAAAGAGGGAAATCTCGGAGGTGAAGAAAGTCTGGGGTGGCGGCGGTTGGGCAAAGGTGTTAGAAAAGTTTCCGATGTTTTTCGAGGTACAGTGGTCCGATCAGCTCGTTGTTGGCCTCAAAGGGCCGTATCCCTTGGAAGGGCCACAAGCTGCGGCTGAAAGACTAGCATACAAACCAGCACAAGCTGTTCCCAATGCCATCACTAACATTAAGGGACCTCGTAATTAATATATATGAATAACAAAGTTTGTCTTACCGTTATAATACCCTTACCCTCCCTTAAACCCCCCCCTTTGAACCGTTGCGCCGACCCTTATGACCCTTACGCCCCCTCCTTGCGATACCCTTTGAGACCCTTGCGACACCCTTACAGCCCCCCCCTTACAGCCCCCCCTTATGAAGCAGGCGACCCCTTACGATTTCTCCCCCCTTTGTGACCCCCTTACAAGTTGGCACCTTTTTCCAACCTCTTCACCGTCGAACTCCGCAAAGTGCGCGCACTCCTTCGCACTCACTGCCAGCGCTTCTCCTTGATCTGATGGCGTTCGGGGTGTCGCGGCTTTTGCTCATCCCCTCACGCCGCTTGCCCGTGGAAGTTGTCAGCTTTTGGATCATGATCGACAAGAGACACAGAGCGTAGCAGAGTGTGAACCGGTCCACCTTGCAAGAGGGCTGCGCCTTATCATAGTTGCCGGGCCTCTCTCTATCTGCTTGCACTGAGAAGAAGAACAACCAAGAGGAAGAAGATGTCGCATGTTCAAGGTCTTGGGTTGCGTGCGTGTCTCACATGTGGAGGCTTGAAGCCTGGGCGCTGGTTCCGTTCGATTTGCAAGATGCTACGAGCAACACCTGCAGCCGCATGTCTGACAGATGGGCAACCGATGAGGCTGACTATGCGCCTGTCATCCGGAACGTCCTGCCTGCTATTGATTGGGCGCCTGTTCAGTGTCCGCCTTGTGAGTGGTTGCCGTCTCTTTGCAGAGGAGGCCCGCCTCTTCCACCACAGCACCAGCGCCGGCGGCCGATCTCCATGCTGTTGCAACGGTGTAAGAAGTGCCCGCCTCTCTTTCCCGCGTAATGCTGTTGCTGGTGTTGCGGGTCAAGAAGGAGAGCTTCCCCCTGGCGCTGTTTTTGCTGCAAACGGAGCACCAGGCGAAGGAGGTGCTGAAGAAGCGAAAGGCAAGGGCAAAAAAGGAGGCGGGGGGAAGCCAAAGGCAAAGCGAAGGCCAAGGCGAGGGCGCGCGCTGCGCCATACTGAAAGAACTCACGCCACAGAATAACAGGGCTGACAGACGTGCTCCATCCTTTTCCATTTTCTTCGCCGGATGTTTTCGGGCGGCGTGCCCTTTCCATTTTCTTCAGCGAGTGCGTTGCTCTGTCTTCTCGCGTGCTTTATTTTGAAACGCCGCCCCCTCGTGCGCGTGGGGCATTCCCGCCCACGACCAGACTGACCCTAGTCAATTTCGCAAGCAATCAGTAGTCCTCTGCTAGACCCGCCTGGTGGCTCTTTTTATTCAGCCCCATGGCGTTCCTTACCTACTACCCATGAGCTCTTTCTATCTCTATCTCAATGCACCCAGCACGCACCGCACTAGTTCATCTGAGGAGGCACCTCCGGCACGTTTTCAACGGGAAAACGCTTCAAAGATGACTTTCAAGATGAATCTAGGTAAGGTCTAATGACGCCAGCACTACTGGCGCACCAGCTAATCCTGTAGCTACCAAGAACAACGCTTTGGCTGGCGCGGCCTTGAAAGGTATCATGGCTATGGCAGAAAAGGGACATCTGGCGCCTCCAAATCATCCTCCTCTCGGTGGAAAAGACAACACGGCTTCCTCGCTGCAACAACAGGCTTCGCCTAGTACTGCAGCCGGAGCCTCTTCTAGCTCTACTGGTGCAAATAGTACGAAAGGCCTCTCTCGTACTAGTGCAGCTACATCTGCAACTATTTCGTCTGTAGCAAACATAATCAAAGGGAGTCTTGGATCTGCTGCACAAGGCGATATCAGCAAAGGCTCTTCTGCAAAAGGCGAGAGCGAGGGCAAAAAAGGCACTGCAGCAGCAGGGGTTCTGCCTCCGACTGCAGCGAAGGCGGGTTCGCGGCTCTCTTCGAAATCTCCAGAAGCCGCTGATGACATTGACGGGGAACCTGTTGGTGGAGCAACTACTACCCAGCGTACTGGTACTACTACTACTAGTGCGGCAGGTACAGTGAGGCTCCTGAAGACACAACGCACATCGGTTGCAGGTACTGCTACGCAGAGGCGAACGGCGATAGGAGAAGTGACAACGGGACACGGAAGTGTGGAAGGCACTTCTAGAACTTCTAAGACAGTGACCGCGCAGCCATCCGCGCAGTCCGGTCAGTCACAGCAGCAGCAAGGAAATGGAGCACCAGGAGTACAGGGTTCCCCACAACAGATACAGGGTGCCCAGCAAACGCCAACGCAGGGATCGCCACAACAAGTGCAGGCTCAACAGCAGGGTACAACTAACGTGAACAACATGAGGCAGCCAGTGCCAGGCGGACAGCCCCTGCCACAGGATTTCCAACAACTGCAGATGCAGCAGCAACAGATGCAGCAGCAGTTTTACAGCCAAATGGCAGTGGGAGGCATCCCACCGCAGGACCCGAACCAGACGTATGCCTACCTGCAGCAGCAAATCCTGATCGCGCAGCAGCACATGCAAAAATATCAGATGGGCGCTGCAAATGCCGAAGATCCGGCACAGCGACTACAGCAGGAGCAAGACTACGCCCAGTGGCAAACCTACATGGTTCAGTGCAACGACTACCTCATGTGCATGCAGCAGCGACAGCAGCAAGCCGCACTCGCACAACATCAGATGGAGATGATGCACCAGCACAGTCAGGTGTTCCAGGTACAACAACATATGGAGCAGGTGGCGCAGTACCAGCAGCAGATGCAGCAGGGTGGACTACCTACAACAGGAGCGGTGGAGCAGGCGCAGGCCACGAGGAGCGAAACCACGATGGCCCCACCGCCACCACCGACCGAAGGCTAATGTCAAAAAGGAGAAGAAAGCACTTAGGGGTAGCCAATTCAACATTGTGTTGTCACGACCCATGATGATATACTAACTGTTTGAGATCTTACAACTGTCGCTGTCGTACCCCTTCGAGGGCGCAGCAGGCATAAGTAGGTCATCGGCAAATGGAAGATGTCGTGGAGCAGAAGCCGCTTGGTTGCTTTGGTTCTTTGTTTTGTCTTGTCATAAACGTAGTCGTATCGGGAGGTCATTCTCTGCTCTTGGTCATGCTCTGCTATAGTAATTGACCTCCCCCCATTCCACATAGCATAAAAATTAGATGAATGCGCTTGCTCAGTGCCATAGTTATTCCAAAGATGAGTAAGAGCATCGACCACAGGATAAGGGAGAGCAGTAGCAGGATTTGAGATTACGCATCTGATGTTCCCCGACTCAGATGTCATTGCCAAATGTAGCCCACTTAAATTGAGTAACCCCCACATGACGCGCGCAGCATTATCATACTAGTACTGTTGAGAATGAACATACACTTAAGTATACACCAAAGAGAAACCTTATCGACGACACATGATGATCATGATATACTTTTTACCTCCTGGATTTATTCGTACGCCAAACGATCTCAGAATTACAGCACCGCAGAGTGAGCGGCGCTTTAAGAACAAAGCGTACAGAGCTCCTATGCTAGGTAGCTGTAATTTAGCTAAGTCTCGTCGTCCCCTGGTAAGTGTTGGTGTTCATTTAAACTAGTGTTTTAATTGATCCCCTGCCCTCAAGAACGGGAGAAAGAGGATGTTAGTGTTGCTTGGAAGATATGGCTGTTGCTGTGATTGAAAAGTTGCTAGCTCAGAGTGATGGATACCAGTTTTTTTGCAACACAGCATGTTTGTGTTTTTTCACGGCATTTGGTAAAAAGCTTGTTTTCGAAAGGTGCTTGCCGGTACACAATTAAGTCTTGCTGGTACACAACTAAGTCTTGCTGGTACACAATGAAGTCGAGGATTGTGGCTTGAAAACCACGCAAAAAAACAGGAACAGGCTAAAAAACAGGAAAATGTGGCTGGTGGCGGTACTAGCTTTACCATAAAATGAACGCTCGTCCACCTCGTGGTCTGAAGCTGATGACTAATCATAAAATTAAATCATAAATAAAAAATGGTTTTCTCGTCGAATATGACCACGACTGACTGTCACGACCTCCAAGAAAACCCGAGGTCAAAATGCAGCGAAGGATGCATCGGTCCGGTGCCTTTTTTACGTGTGGGCACATCGCCAGCCTCCAGCAGCACCTCCAGGAGGATTCAAATCGGTGGAGGAGAGCCTCCAGGCAGAAGTATTAAGCATACTCCTGGCGCTGGCAGATTAGAATTGCAGCCAGAGGGTCGAAAGCTCCTACAAGACCTTGCCGTTTTGCCGGCAAACACCAGTCTGGTTTTTGCACTAGGGGGTTCCCGTGTCGGGAAATCCACTGTAGGCAACCGGTTGCTTCGGTTACAAGACGTAGAAGTTGTTTCCTCGCCAGAGCAGGGTGCTGCTGGAGTTGTTTCCACACCTGAAGATAGAAGAGCTCCTGCATACAAGGACGACGCACGACCAGATGCTGGCGCAAATGACCCGCGTGCTGGCGCAAATAACGGGTTCTACGTGGGACACGGCTTCAGACATGTGACGCAAGGGGTGGACCTAGCTGCCCGATTCTTTCCGCAGGAACAGAAAATGCTACTGTATTTCGACTGCGAAGGAAGTTACCATCCTGCGGGAAGCACTGCGGGTATTAATCTTGTCTTGCGAATTATAAGTAGTTGTAAGACGGCAAAAATTATAGATAAATAGGTGGTCGTTAGTTCCTAATGATCCGCATCTTATTCTTGCCCAGAATTACAATTTATATTCATTCAACAAATCAACTTCCGAAAGAAAGATCATAGTAAGTATAATCCCCGACACATTGTCTCCAGGTAATGCGACGAATTTAGGCCTAGTCGGACTGGTCGCTTATTGTGTGGCCGATTGGATCATGTCGGTTACGATGGGCAGCTTTGACGAAAGGGACATTGAATCTCTAGCTTTACTAACGAATCTAGCAAAAGCGCATGTCTGGCAGCCCCCGGCACGAGGAGCTACGTCCCGGAGTAATCAGGAGGAGCTACGTCCAGGGCTTTTGCTTCTAGTGAATTCACCAAGATTTCACGAGTTGGAGGCTGAGCCAGAGAAGGTTCTCGGCTCTATTCTGCGCGGCGCAAATAATGCCTTTTCCGATGTTGCTGGCAGTCACTCAACAGCGAAAGGCCAGGACGATCTGGTACTAAACACGCCTCGACGGCATGCACGCGAGTCGCTGAGTCAAGAATTTGCTGACGTACGCATAATGGGACTTCCAAATAATCAAGCGAAGAAGGAGACCTCGTCAGCAAATCATGTTGAGCCAGACAAGTTAAGCGAACTACGCCGTTGGCTACTATTTGTTGACGAATCGGAATCGTCAACTTCAAAGTCTTCGACACGCTCCGGAGGTCGTCACTGGTCGTCGGGCTTTGAAATTTTACGGTACATAGAGCTCGTCGTGGAGGCGCTCAACGCGGGGTGGTCGAAGAGCGCGAGTCCTAGTAGTACACTTGATGTTAAGGCGCGACACCGCATGAAGAAGAAGATGGTTCACAACTCTTCATTATGAGGCAGCAACTAATTTACAACACGAACTAACACAGCGAAATTTTTAGGATTCTAGCTTGGTAAAAAATCGTCGATTGAGTTGTGTCTCTATCTCATTTTCTTCAGGCGATGTGTGTCGTCGTAAGACCACTAGCTGTAGGAAGAAATGATACTTAATTACTTACAAGAAGTGTGCGTGCTCGTGCAATGTAGTTGGATGATCACAGATAATTGCTCGTCACAAAAATAGAAACCTCACAAAAAGGTTTCTCCTTCCTCTAAGTCTTGTGTCTCAACCCCTTCTCCTGCGAGGCTGTTTCGTCCCGCCTCAGCTGTGGACACCGTCGCTCGTGAGTTGCATCTAGAACCTCTTGCGGACAAGCTTAGCGAAGAGTTCGTCGCAGGTGCACGAAGCGCTAAAACCAGGACCGCAAATTCGGCGCTGCCGCTCGGTGGCGTCCTCTTGGCCCGCTTGACGCAACGAGCAATGGCGGACTACGACGCAGCAGCAACGAGTATCAAGGCCAGCAGTGCAGCCAAAGCCACAGTCCGAAGCAACTTGTCGCGGACACTGAAACGACTGGCAGGATCGTTTGATGATGCTGGAGCAGTACTCGCGAAGCCTCCAACGAAGGATACAAGTGCTGGCGAATCCACTGCTTCCCCAAGGTATTGCGACTTGGATAACCTCCTAACATCAAGATCAAGTTGTCCTAAAGGAGCAGCAGTAGCTTCTGGTTATGGTGCCAGCAAAACGAGTGTCATGACGACCTCCGCAGGAGATCACGAGACGGCTTCGAAGGAAACTCGCTTCAGCAAGGAGACCACAACTTCAGGGGCACTGTCTATCGATCCGATATTTGAAGCGAACAGTCCTACAACACCTACTTCACATATTTCTCATGCTTATTATAGTAGTACTACTACTATAGGAGGACCTGCTCTTCTTGGCGGGGGACACGCTGGACTTGAAGATGAAAGCCGTGGAGAACAACGAGGTGTTGACATGATCTCCTCGTCTACGACCGCCGTAGGGAGAGCACCAACCACCATCACAGACCACCAACCACAAGTGCACGACTCGCATCAGCCACTGCCGCCAACGCCTGAAGCGAAGCGACTCAAAAAATATGCACTGGAATTAGAGGCAAGGGTCGAAGCACACGCGGAGGAGGAACGAGTGGAGATAGACCGGCTTGTGGCAAAATTGCACTCCACGGTGGAGGCATCTTCGACCCTTTGTGGGACGTCAACTCATCTTCATGGCCAAGAAGATGATCCTAGTCCAAAATTCTTGACGAACGAGAACGACAGTGCGGTCACGAATTAAGGGTTGGAAGTTGACCTATCATCTAAGTAAGTGCATTTCTATGGCTTCTTCAAGTAGGAAAGCGGCCATAGATATGCGACCTACTAGAGGGGGGCCAACTTTCAGCCACCCCTAAACGAAGAGTGCTGCTGCAGGAGCTGCTCCTAACTCGGTCCTATCTTCTGCTGCTTTTGGTTGGAAGAAGATCCCTCCTTCCCTGATCTCGATCGCGGACCAGGTTGATGGTCTGGGTCGCAGGATGTCGCAGACTATATCGAGAATGAACCGCGATGACAAGCACGATTTTCTGCAGAGACGTGCGACAGAAATGCTCGCTGCTTCTGCAGAGACGATTCATGAATCCCATTCCAGCGCAGAGCTTCAGCGCATCCACAGTGAGGCATTGGCTGTACGCAAAGATTTTGGGTATCTGGAAACGCAACTTACGGCAGCGGGAGAGAAACTGGTGCGTACAATTTATTTTTTTAGGTACATTCCTTCGGGTTGAATAGAAGAAATCAAAATTTGAGATTGAAGCCCTCTCTTCTACTTTTTCACCAAGTTCTCTCTAGTGTCCTTGTTCTCTTACCATTCTCCCTGTCGCCATTCAATTGACAGATGCAGTCAGCGGACGCTATGGATTCAAGATTGGGTGATGTGGAGTCTGTACTTCGCGATGCGACCCATGCCCGTAAGGAAATGGCCTCACGTCTAGAGCGCACACTGCAATCGCACGCCGAAGGTTTACGGGAAATGCTGGACGCAGAGCGCCAGGATAGACTGGAAAGAGCGGAAATGACGCAAAGAATGGTCGCCGCAGTGTCGCACTGGCTCAGTACAACGGAATGAGCCAGTTTCGCAATGGCTCAGTACACCGGAATAAATGTTGGGACGAAAGCTGCCAGATGGAGGCTCTTTTCCTTCTACACTGTCGAAGCTGAAGCTTCACAAACCATACAAAGCAGGATTTTCACAAGCCATGCATGGGGACCAGGAGATTTTTTCTAGCGTTCTTTTTCACACGAAGATCTCGATCCTGAAAGCTAGTACAGGGGACGGCACCTGTCTGATTTTCGATGCATCTGCTGATGTTTCTTCTGCTAAATTCAATTTTCTACTGAAACGAGAGGATCAAAGTGACTCTTGTTTTTGTGTTTTCCTTCCAACGATATATTATAATATCAGTCAAGCAGGAGAATGCGAGTCGCGTTTCTATTGCGAAGCTGTTTTTGAAAAGAGAAAATGTGCTTACCTTGTCTGGTGCAATATTGGCCAGTCCTGTTTCCTCTGGGTTTGTGTTCGGGTATCCTGATTGATATGGTAGTTGTGGTGTCATCCTATGCTGCAGTTGAATTCGCAAAAAAGGAAGACGAGAAGACTTCTGTCGTACCTGGTAATGTAGTCTCATGGTGAAAGTAAAAGTTTATTCTAGAGGAAATCCGTCTCCGTGATGTGTTGGATTTTTCAAAGAGTAGTTTTCATCTTAATCTTTATGAATGATGAATCTAGATAGAAGTTAATACTCGGATGAGTGAGGGGACACGATGAGGAGCAGCCGATGGGCGGGCTTTTTATCAGAGAAGCCTACTGGACAAATGGTTGTTGACACAAGAATCGTAAATAACGATAAGATAGATTAGTTTTTGGAGTTCAAAAAAAAGAGAATGACATTTTTGCCATGTCGTATGGTCTGTCTCGTAATGCGAGCTAGGGATTCGATGTTGGAAGAAGACGCGTCCTCAAGTGGGCCCTCGTTAGGATGAGCTTCGTGTGGTTGTCTAAGCAAGCGACGGAATGCAGACTAGATCTCCGGTCCAGCGACGACAGGGCCGCGGCCGGGCTGGTAGCACCGATGAGCAGCCTCCTGCTTTAAAACCTCGGGTGCTTGTTACAACAGCCGAGGAGTCTGTCGTGAAAAGGCAACATGCTCCTGACGCGTCGAGAAGCGGAGGAGGGGGATCCTCAATTCTGAGTAGAAACGCAAATACTTCAACCACTGGCAACATGATGAGGGATCACCCCCAGGAAGCAGGAGAGCCTGTCTATGACCGTGTGCGCGTTCATTGTCGCGTACGTCCTATGCTTCCATCTGATCGCTCAGGTCAACGGACGCATTTGCAAATTCAGCACCATGTCTCTCTTCGAGCGGAGGACAGCGGAGGTCAGGGCAGGGGGCGGCGAGGTACTAAGACAAAGCTCAACTATGCATAAACGAGGATACCTAGTAATCTAGAACTCAACTTGTCTCGCCAAGAAGGGCTTGGCTAGAAATCTTCGAAAACATGACGTGAGCAACATAAAGCACGCACACCGCGCGCTCGTAGAGTTAAGCTCCTCGGGCTGGAGTGACGCGGGCGGCAGCACGAGGGCCGCGCGCAAATGGTGCACGGGGCTGCCGTGGTCCAGCGTCTGCCTGCCCGGTTTTCCCTTCGTAGACGGGCAGCGCGTCAGCCCGGGGGGGAATAGCAGGCCTCAGGAAAATACATTACAAGGCGGGGCATGCATTGCAAAGGATACGCGCCGGCAACTGGCTCACCTCTTCTTTCTTGCACCATGAGGACAGGGCGCTGGTACTCTCCGGAGGTATAACTGTGACAACCCGAAGCACTTCTGTCTTCTGGTTTTCGCTGGAACGTCCCGGCTTGTATTCTAAGTGCCGCGCGAAGACTTGGCGGAGTCTTTTACTGGGGCCACTTTGGTGGCCCAGCGTTTCGCTAAGCCACGCCGGGGAAGGCGAACGCCGTAGCGTGAGGGTGTCGCCTGGATGTGCCTCGAGACAGCTCCATAGGTAGAGAGGAGGGCCCCGAACGATGACGCGTGGGCGTTCTTTCTCGACCGACGAAGTTCCAGCAGTGCACTGGCTTGCCCTTCAGCTTTCTGGAGTCAAATACTACGCAAATACCACGCAAAGCAATGCCGCGCGACTACCATGCAAACGCTACGCGAGTTCTACCGTGGTGCCCGCACCCTGTAGGCCTTGAGTCATGGCCGTAGCTGTAGGCCTCTGCGCACTGTTCTACCCAAGCAAGAAGATAGAGATGACATGCCTGCCCCGTCTTCCTCGTTCTCCGCTTGCGTAATAGTTCTGCTTTTGCGCCTCGTGTTCGGGAGCGAGGTCGCCTTCCTTGGGCGCCTGCTTAGGGTCCAGCTGTCAGAACTCGCGCGGCTGGGCCGCGCGGGCTCGAGGGGAGGGGACGGGCCGCGCGTGTTCGGGCTTTTTTTACATAGAGGGACACAAAGAAAGGGAGAGAGGAGAGCGAGAGAGAGATGAGGCAGACACGCTGCAGATGAAGCTTGGGGCGGGCCATCTCATGGGTGACCGCTTCGGGGTCTAAGGGGAGAAATGCGTTGGCAGCTGGATAGTCGAAAAACCGAGGGTCATGCAAAGCCACGCTTGGCATCTTTGTAGGAGTGAAGGGGTCAATGGGTGCGCATGCACATATTTCGTACGTCCAGAAGTGTACCCGGATTTTCAGGAAGACACTCACATCACAGGTACTTCGTCCTCTTCCTCCTCCGCATCGTCACCGAAGAAGGGGAAAACGGCAAGGCAGGACAGTATCGTCTGTAGGACCAAGGCTTACTATTTCGATTCCGTTCTCGGCGGAGACGCCTCCAACCGTGACATGTATCGGCAAGTCGCCGAACCAGTATGCCAATCCGTGCTCAATGGATATAACTTAAGATTGGCGTTGCTAGCAGCGTGTTGAAAGAAGTACAAGAACAACTAGAGGATGAAGTATTAGCGTCCCACAAAGGTAGTCTAGAGCTAGACTCTAGAGTACAACAAAAAAGGCACTTATTCTGCCTTTATTTCATTCTCTGCCCATACTACTTAGCTCTACCAGATGAAGATCTCGTCTAATTCCTGGCACGATCCTTGCCTATGGCCAGACCGGAACGGGCAAGACCTACACCCTTTTTAGCGGATCCGATGGCGTGATTCCGGTTTCTGTGACGAAGCTGTTCGAAAATGCCTCTCGAGACGGCAGTGTCACCTATCTCTCTGTAGTGGAGCTCTATATGGAGTTGGTGCTCGATCTGCTTGCCGGTGGCTCTTACGGATCAGCATGGATGGATCAAGGAACTTTATGGTAAACTGTTTGACTTCTTATGTACACTAGGTTGTTGATCCAATTGATTCTTGTTTCTCTTAGAAGATTTTTCCGGAGTTGTAGAATGAAGAAGCTGCCTCTACTACCTTCGATCCCAGGAGGACTATTATTGAGCCGTTTCGAATGTCGACAGTGACATCGACATTCATGGACATCTTTCTACATTTAATATTCTTGCTTCTCAGTAGGTGTAACGTCGAACTACTTATCTACTTCTCTTCAAGCTAATCTACTGATAGTCAAAGAACAAATTGAAAGGATAATAAGCAATTCGAAGTAGCGATAACGAGTAAGATAATATAAATATTCTCAGTAGAAGTTGCCGTTTCTAACTCTTTCCTCCGGTGCCGGACAAATGGGCAGCGGCGGCCAATTAAGCGAAGTTAGAATCCGTGAGGATCCTAGAGACGGCATCATCCTCGAGAACTGTGAACAGGTTCGAGTGCATAATTCTGAGGCATGCATGCGCCTCATCCGAGATGCCGAACATAGGAGGGCAGAAGCGCCGACCCTAGCGAACAAGAACTCTTCTCGAAGCCACGCGGTTGTAATATTGAAACGAGTTATGGAACAGGAAATTCGAATAACACGATCACGATCTTTTGAAGATTCTCATTGTTCTCCAAATTGTCCTGTCATCTTTCAAGTTTAATCTTTCACTAATATTATGCTGGTCCTTATAAACATATGCGTGGTGGAAGCAGCATATCTATTACATACTTATAGACTTACGTTTACTGACCTAGTACACAGCACGTAGGACTTCATCTAGGTTTTCCATGCTAGCGACGTGCACATCGTTCGTTACAATCTACCCGCCCCTGCATCCTTTGACTACCTTTGACACTCCTCCTCCTCCATCATGTTTTAAATCCGGAATGAGACGGCTGATGGGTGCGTGGTGAGCCGCTTTCACATCGTGGACTTGGCCGGATCAGAACGAGTGAAGAAAACCAACGCTTGGGGACTCCGATTACTAAGGCTCAACTCTCATTGGTCACTGAGGTTCGTTGGTCACTGAGATCGAAGAGGAGACCCCTGGAGGGAACGGGGGAAAGTGAAGGGAAAGGGGAGAGCTTTAGAGGTGGTCTCTTCCGTTCTGCGTCAGTAGTGACCAACGAATGGCGACCTTTAAGATTAGGCGAGGCGCGACGGATTAACTTGAGTCTATCTGCCTTAGGGAATTGCATCGCGGCGCTCACTGACGTGACTTGCTCTCACATTCCTTTTCGCGATTCCAAACTGACGAGGCTGTTGCAGGTTTTTAGATTTATACATAGTTCATCTAGTACACTATTTGCATTATAGTTGTTCGCTTCTTTGATATGAATGATCTACAACTAGTTGTGAGTTAATATTCCTCCTCTTTCGACGATTCAAACAACTTCGATGCTATCTTTGACGCGCCGACGAGAAACACCATGAACATGGAACACAAGAATTATATCGATATCCATTGTTGTCTTCACATGACCTTCAAACTACAGGATTCTCTTGGTGGCACGGCTAAAACGGCGCTGATCGTCACAGTGTCTCCGCTGGAGCGGGACTTGGAGGAAACTCAATCCACACTCGATTTTGGTTCGAGGGCAATGCGGGTACAAAATCGCCCCAAAATTCACCAAGTCACCGACTATCGTACTCTCGCGATGCGATTACAGTCTGAGCTGGACAAGAAGGAGGACGAGATCAGCAAACTGCTGTTGCGGAGAAGTACTAAATCTTTTTCTTCAACACACTGACTGAAATCCGATAATTGTCACCAAGGTTCGCATCTTCACCAATTTTCCTATTTGAGTTAAAGTTTAGGTTTACTATGTTACCTCAAGTAGAGCATACTGCTATTTACTACAGTTGTAAGTTGAAGGAACTGGCGCTGTTGCGGAGAAGTCCTGAGTTAATTTTTGTCTAGTATCCTTTGTCTTTGTGGTTGTTTAACATCCACCTTGTCGTCGTCCATAACTGTAATCGTCGTTCCTATACCTCTAACTAAAGATGTATGTTGTTATTCTTTAACTTATCTATCAGATAAGTATCTAAATATGCGACCAATATGCTTACCATGCAGGTGTCGCCGGTAGCGCGAGCTTAGGCCCATCAGCAGCTGCTACTCCGTTGACAGCTGGAGCGGGTGGTGGTGGAGCGGAAGGCAGTTGTTGTCAACGAGCACTGGCGAAGGTCGAAACCGAATTTGCGAGTTACCTCGAAGAGTTTGAAAAGCAGGCGGGCGAAACCGACGGAGAATTAAGGCTTCCCGTAATTCTTCTTAAGAGGCATCCTTGCCACGTCGTCAGGTAGCAAAGATGACTTTCAAGATGAACAATGTAGGTAGGCTCTAAAAGAAATTCTGAAACTTAGAGGTCAAGTGCGCGACCTGTCGGACCGCGAACGGGATGTAAAGCGGTTGCAAGGCGAATTTGAGGAGAAATGTCTGGACTTAGAAAACGAACTAACGAAGCGAGATGAAGTGCTCTCGAAGATAGACACGATGGTTCGCAGTGCAAGTGTTAAGCTTCTTTCGCCTAATCCTAAAAATCCATCTTGTGTTATATCAATATCTCGTGTACTACAGTTACTAGCACCGTCCTGGAGAATCTTGCTTTCTTTTTCAAGGGGGAAAGGAAAAAGGTTGTCCTGGATGATTGATAGATTTTCAAGAAGATGCTGGGTTACGCGAAGTCTAGACTCTAAAAGTGGGAACAAAGGATCCTCTGCCAAAGGTCTGAAAGACCACAGGGATAAGAGGACGGGTGTCAGCCTGACGGATCCTTTTGGTCCGAGCCCTTCGAGGCGTGGACCGACGGCCAAAAAAGGTAGTGCTTCACGAGCAAAAGGCGTAGGAGGTTTTAGCTTTGCCGACTGTATCGACGACGATGACGTGAATCCACTAGAGTTAAGGGTCGTTTCCAAATTGCATTCATCTGCTTCTGCACTTGCATCCTTGGCCTTTTGATTTCAAAAGTGGAAAAGTTAGGTCCTCAAAGGAGATGTTGTTCGGAAGAATGCAAAAATGCGGAAGTGTCTAATATGGGATGGTGACGAGGATCCTGAACGCAGTAGTAGCAGCAGCGCTGTTGATGCATCTTCCGTCTCTTCGTCGACTGAGGAGGCGAATCTCCTAGCGCTCTGTGACAACTCCGCATCGGCTGGCGTCGGCGAACCGGGACGTGCTAAGTTGCTGCAGCGCGTGGAGTCTCTTTGCGAGTTTAAGCGGACAGCGGTCGCTGAACTGGAGACGTTGACGAGGCGTGAAAATGTTGCTCGAAAAAAGCTTGAAGATATGCAGCGTCGTGGCATGGTCCTGTCGGCAGCGAGTCTCTCCTTGAAAGACGCAGGTGGACGAGGTGGATGCTCACCTAAAGACCACGCAGAGAACCACATCAATGCTCATTCCTCTACAACTGCCGGTCACGGCGACAATGTTCATCCTAAGGCGCAAGAACTTGCCGTGGCAGAGAAGAAGATTCGAACCCTGGAGCGGGAGGCGCAAGAGCTGCGGGACGCATTGTCAGAGAGTTCCGCACGATTGAAGTCACAGGAACTAGCGCTGCAGTCAGAGGTCTCCGAGTTGCGAGCAGAAGTAACCGAAGTACGAGCAGCCAAAGAGGAACTCACTAGTGCAGAGCGAACCCTACGTCTAGAGGTCCTCGAACTTCGGGAAGCCCGCGCCGAGTGGGATTCTGAGCGTCGACACTTGAAGATATGAAAGATTGTAGCTTTTTCTATGTGAGAAGTCTGCTGTTAGAAGTTCTTTATGTAAGTAGCTGTTAGTAGGAAGTCTTGATTACCACGACTTCGTGCTTCTTGAATTTTGATCACCACGACTACGACATTTTTTGAAGATTCAAATTAGACTTCCTGAAATGTTGCAAGTGAATGCAAGCTGTAGAAGATTTCACTGCCCTCTTTCGCCCTTTTCATACGTGAAAGACGCTGAGCTGAAAGAAGCGGAGCTGGCGGCAGAAAGGCAGTTGCTGGTGACAAAGGCTGATAACGAGCGAGAAGCCCTGCGCCAGCAAGCGGCGGCACGCGAGGCAGAGACATCCGCAAAGCAGGCTGCGCTTCAGGCGGAGAGTGTTCGGAAAGCGGAAGAAACGTTCACGCAGCAGCGCACAGAATTGGAACGTCAGCTTGCGGAGTCCGAAGCGCGTTGTCGCGAAACCAGCGCGAAATTGTCGGAAAAAGTGGCTTTGATGGAGAAGTACGAGCGCAACATCGGAGCTCAGCTGCAAGAGCTGGAGTCGACCTACGAAAAGCGAGGTGCGGATGCTGCGGGTCGGCACGCCGCCGAGGCTGAGCAGCTTCGCGCAGAGGTGCGCTCGCTGCAGGCAGAGCGGGAGCAAGCCCTGCTTGTGATGGAGCAACAGCACGCGTCCGCGCGTGCAGAGGAGCGGAGGAGAGGTGCAGAGGACATCGAGCGCGCGCTCGCGGATCTCCGTCTAGAGCTGGACGAGAAAGCACTGACGCATGAAACGTTGCTGCGCCAGGAACTGCAGAGCGAGTACGAGAAGACTTTGCTGCGGCAGGAGCGGGAGCTGAAGGCCGATTTTGACCTGCATCTCGAATCCAAGGAACGCAAGTGGCAAGAGGGGCTGGAGGACGCGGTCAGATCCACACAGGCGTCGCTGGAGACGGAGCACGCAACGGCAATCTCTGCGGCCATCGCGAATACAGAGACGCGGGAGCGCGCTGCGGCGGAAGCAGCACTAGAGAAGGCGCAGCGAGAATGGGAGCACTCCAAGCTGTCGCTTCGGGAGCGGGAGCTCGCAGCGGAGCACGCAGCAGAGATGGAAAGGCTAGCAGAACAGCAGGCTGTGGAACTCAAGTCCGCGGGGCGCGCTGCGGCAGAGCGGCTGCAGGAGAAAGTCGAGGAATACGAGCGTCGCTTGCAGAAGACCAACGAGGCCCACTGCCTAGAGTTGGAGCGCACGAAGGAGTTTCTGCGTGAAGAGCGAGTTGCGGAAATCCGTGACCTTGAGCAAGAGAGCACACGACGTGAGGCAAAACTAAGGGCACAACTCGTTTTGCCGCTGCAAGAAGAATCCGCGCTGCTGGAGGAGCAAGGACGCGAAAAAGCAACGCGAATACGCGAATTAGAGCATGCTGTGAACGCCGCGTCGGCCGAGGCGGAGAGCCTGCGCGTCGATAACAAGGGACTCGGCGAACGAGTGCGACAGCTGGAGACCGACGTAGAAACGCACACAGACAGGTGTCGCGAGCTCGACGCGCACGTTGCGGAGACGGAGAGCGTCTTGCTAGAGGAACGACGGCGAGCGGACTCTGTCCAGGAGAAGATGCGGCATCTCGAGAATCGTTTAGCGACTGCAGGAACCGAAGGCAAGGAGTTGGCCGATGAACTTCATCGACTCGCGCAGGAACGGGAGGCTTCCGCTGAAGAGAAAAGCGCGCTTGAGGAGCGCGCACGCGACCAGCAGACCGAGCTCGCGCGCCTGCGTGTAGAGCTGGAGGATCAAAGGTTAGTCCACGGGGAGCTCGAGAATGATATCGCGAACCACAAGCAGAAGGAAGCCGCACTCTTTGACACGCTGAGTGAGTGTCGGATGAAGCGACGAAAAACGGCGTCGAACAAGCAGAAGAAAACGGCGGGAAACACGTTTGTTGAAGACGCACCACTGGGCACTTCGACATGGATGTCAGCGTCTTCGATTCATGCTGTGCTTGATAGTGACACTGAGCAGGATGAACGAAACCCGAAAAAGAAGTCCACTTCCTCGGAAGAGGCTCCGCAGCACACCCTTGAGGATGTGGAGGCGGAGTTACGCTGCTTGATGGGCGTGGAAGACGATCTGAAACAGCGGCTAGCAGACAGCGAGCAGCGACTTGCGGAAGTGGAGACACGCGCCAGAGAGTCAGAAAAAGGTCGTGCGGAGTCGGAGGCAATGGTCCGCGAGCTTGAGGACTTGCAAGTGCTGCAACTAGACAAGATCCAAGCGCTGTCGGCGCAAAGAGAGGACGAGGAACAGGCCGTTGCGGCGCAGCGCCTCGCGCTTGAGCAGAGTTCAGCACGTCGACTCGAAGAGGCGGAGGCAGCTCTGCAGCGGGAGAAGGCGGAGTGCGAAAGGCGGCTACGCGAGGCGGAGGAGAAGGCGGCAGCCACGGTGCGTCAACTGGAGGACGCGGCAGCGGAAGCGCAGCTAGCGGCGCGTCAGCGCGAGGAAGTCGTAGAGCGGGAAAAGTCCGATTTGGTAGGAGAGAAAACGCATTTGGAGTTGAGCTTGGCGCAGGTGAGCTCGGAGCGCCAAGATCTGGCTGCGCGCGTCGCGGAGGCGGAAGCACAGTGTGCGGCGGCACTCACTGACCGAAAATTCGAGGACGACACCCGCGTGACGACGCTCAAGGCAGATCTTGAGCAACTGCGTGAGACGCATGCGAAAGAGAGTGCCCAGCTCCGGCAGCAACTGCTTGATGAGGTTCAGCGGCACCAATCCGCGGAAAAGCAAGCAGTGGAGCGGGCGCGCGAACAGGAGCGAAGCGAAGCGTTGGTGCGTGCAGAAGACGCGGAAAAACAGCATGCGGTAGCGTTGCAAACTATCGAGGCGGAGTGGCGTGAGCGACTGCAAGAAGAGCGTCTGGCGTTGCGCGAAGAGGTCCAAGGAGCATCGGAAGCGGTGCTAAAGCAAGAGGTTTCGGTTCTGAACGAAGAGCACGAGGAGGAGGTCGCGGCGCTCAAAGCGGAGATCACTACCGCAGAGCGTGAGTGCGACCGCTTAACGCGTGATCTTGCGGAACAGGAAGGAAGGCTCGAGTCCCAATTTCAGACCAAATTGTTGGAATTAGAGAAATGTCGAGACGAGGAACTTGAGGCGGAACGACAGCGACTCTCGGAAACTAGCAGAACAGCGTTGGAGGATTGTGAGCAGAAGGCAGTTGCTGCGTTAGAAACTGCAATGGAGAAACAGCGGGAAGAAGCGGAGGAACGCGAGAAGATTTTGCTCCAAGAGAGAACGGACCTTGTGGCCAAAGCGGAAGAGCACGAGGAGCGAGTCGCAACACTGCAGAAAATGCTGGATACTCACGCTTCGCAACTGGAAGAGCAGAAGACGTCATTGCTTTTATGAATTTTGTGCACTCTGTCTCTGAATCTGATACATCATCGGCTGTTGTAGTTGTACTAGTGCTTCATCATGCTACTCAGAGTTCTACTACTTACTTTCTTCAACAACTGAAGAGTCTAATTAATTAGGTTCATCTAGCAGGAACTCACTCGCATCATCAGGCCCTCTCTTCATTTTCCGCCGAGCACGCCTCTGCCCGAGATGCACTGGCTAGGGAGCATGAGCAGGCAGTGTCGATGCTAGAAGCACGATATGAAGCTGAAGTCGCCACTTTGCGTGAGGAAGTGCGTGCCACAACGCTAATGCTGGAAGAGAGGCACCAAGCGAGCAATGATACAGCTGCTAGCACAGAAAAAGAGTTGGAGTCGACCAAGAAGCTACTGCAAGAAGTGGAGGGAGAGCTCGCTGCGCAGGTCGCTTCCTACGAAAAGAAGCTAGTGGCAGAGAGAGAAGACTGGCAATCAAAATTGGCCGCGCAGTTCAAGGAAGGGGAAGATCACCTAGCATCGCAAAAGCAGGAATGGGAATCGCAGAAGCAGGAATGGGAATCGCAAGAGCAGGAATGGGAACAGAAGTTGTCCGCCGCGCAGAAAATACAAGATTATGTCATCTAACATCTGTGTGACAAGGACTCCATGATGTCCGTGATGATGATTGATCTTGCTTACTAAATCGGGTGTTGTCACTCCACGTTGATGGTTCAAAGTTTACCTACTTACGGTTTACTTGTTGATGGTTCAAAGTTTACCTACTTACGCATATACTTAAGGAAAGTTGATGTCATATTTCTAGTTGTACAGCGGAGAAATTGTCTAAGCCTAAAAGCAAGACGGAGCAGAGTTGGCGCACCTCCGGGAAAAGTACAGTTTGGAGCTACGACAGCGGAAACACGATCGTGGCCTGCGAGAGGAAGCCGAGTCCCGACTTGCAACTGCACAAGCGCAGGTGCGTGAGTTAGATTATGGCTTTGCAAATACTAAGACTTTCCACGACTATGTACTTGTAAAGTGAACTTCACTGAAGACAGCTGTTTCACTTTGCAGTTGAGCAATACTATTTATTAGTATGCACTAGAAATACTGACTTTGAAAAGTCCTAGGTAAACCTCATTATTAGTATGCACTTACTTTCCTGGTATCTTTATAAGGATTAGAGACATGATCAAATATACGCTCTGCTCAAAAACGTCTTTTTCCCCCCTGTCTCTAACTCAAGCGGAAGTTAGACGAGCAAAAATCGGCGATGGACGCACAGGCAACTGCACAGGCACAGCAGCAGGAGGTGGCCCTTTTGCAGGTCAGGGCCGAACTTGCCCAGACGCAGTCGGAGAAACAAGCAGCTTTCTCTTCCCAACTAGCTGACCTTCAACAGGAGCACGAGCTCCAGCGGCGCAAGCTAGAGCAAGCCTGCGAGGAAAAGAAAGCCGAATGCGAGTCTCTAGTGAAGGAGCTGGAACGTGAGAGCAAGGCCTTACTCGAGACGTCCACACGAGTCTTCCAGGAACAGCAAGAGGCATTACAAGAGAAGGAAGCGGCGTGCGAGTCCAAGATTCTAAAACAAACAAACACGATCGCGCAATTGGAGGAGGAAATGCAGTCGAGAACAGAGGAATTAGAGCGTACGCGCACGCGCCTGCACGAACTGACTGAACACGCAGAAGCTTCCCAAATTATGTCACAATGCGCTTGTAGGTGTAGTAGCTTGTTGCTTCGTACTAGTGGTCGTTGCTTAGTTTGCATTCATTTTTTGGTGATATCTTATTCGAGCAGCTGAGGTGGTAGACATAGAAATCCGTGCTTCCCAGAGGTTCAATATAGGTTGTATATTGTAGAACAAGATGCACCTCCCAAAGTGGCCCTAAGAAATGGTAAGTAAGCACAATTATAGGCTAGCAGAACATAGCCATAGCGGAGCAGCAAAACTACTTACTTCTTGTTTCTAATGTAGTGCAGATGAGGCGTGAAGCAGAGGAGTCTGCAGGACTGCAGCGTGAGGCAGAGCGCGAAGCTGTGGCGCAGAAATTGACGAAGTTAGAGGCTAAAATCGGTGAGCTGGAATCAGAAGTGTCGAGACGAGGCGACCTGTTGCAGCTCCAAGCGGAGAACGCGGAGAAATACAGTCGCACTGAGTCGGAATTTCGGGAGAAGGCTGAAATCTGTGAGCGCTTGCGTGAGCGTGCACGAGAGGCTGAGCAACAATTAGAAAGATGGCGGGATCAAAAAGCCGTAGAAGAAGCTGATATAAAAGCGAAGACGGAAGAAACCAAGACCCTCAATTATGATGGTTGGCAGATGTCTGTGACTGTGTCAAACAATTGCAAGTTTTCATTGTATTAATGTGTAAGAGCAGTTCTTTTTCATCTTAGGATTAGGTGAGTAAAAAGTAAAAATAGTAGCATCGTTCAACCTAGATACAAGGACACTATGCATACCTTCAATTTGATTTGAGACTTCTCTAACCCGAGGCCAAGGTGGAGACCCTCTCACAGGAGCAAGAGCGCAGTGCATTGGAGGTGCAGCGTGTCCGGGAGGAGGAACGTCGACGCCGCGCCGAAGAGTTGGAAGCTAGACAACGAGAGCTGACCGATGCGTGGGAGCAAATAGTGGCTCTTCAGGAAGCGGCGATGTCTAGAGAGCAGGAAGTGCGTGCTTTGGAGGAGAAGGCCGCTCTTCGTGGACAAGATGCAGATACGCGCGCACGGGAAAAGGGCCTGCTCGATCGGGAAAACGAGGTAAGCGCTATACCTTCTACTGTCGCTGCTTGCAAGTTTCTCGCTTGCGCGCTGCCCTGTCGGATCATTGTGGGCCGGTCGGTTATTTGTGGGCGCGGATGCTTCTCGCTTTTCGCGTGAGCGGATTCGCAGGGCCGGGCCTGTCGCTGCGCGCAACAGCCCGCAAGCCAGGCCGGCCGCCGAGGCTTGCGCCCGCAGGGCGCTGGGCGGTGCAGCAGACTGGGGCTGTGCAGTCTCTCTCCCTGGGCGGCTGCCGTCAACGTGAAGCAAAGAAGGGCGGACAGCAGCGCCGAATCGTGGCGGGGTCGGCATGGCGCGGGTAGCGGCGGCGCGTTGCTTGAAAACCTTGCCGAAGGTCGGGGGCGCCGCGCGGGGCGCGGGTACTCGCAGATATTTGGAGGCGGCATGAGTTTGCGGCGCCGATGGTGTTGGGGGTGCGGTCTCCTTGGCGTTCGCGTCTGTTGGGGGCCCAGGGATTGGGCGTGCGGGCACCCCCCTGCACCAGCAGCAAGGGAGGCAAGCCCGAGACCGAGACGGAGGGCGACTTATACTTCAAGCGGGTGTCTCTCGTTGGAAGAGCTTGCAGCCTGGGTGAGTCTGGGCTGGTCATAGCTTGGCCCTCATCATTAGCGCTCCTGGCCTGGGCGGTCCCCGGTGGATTCTTTCGAGCCATTTCTTGGGGATGTGCTTGCGGGTTGGGATACTCAGACGAGTAGGCCGAACCAGGTTAGAGCTGCCTCCATTTGAAGCACGTAGAACGCAGCGCAATCGACCAAGGGGACGGGGGTGCGCTGCATGCCTGGGCTGACGGCTTCGGTGGAGCTTGCGCTGCGCAGGCGCAGCCCAGAGCGAGCGGGGGGGGGGCAGTCGTGGGGACCAAGAGGCCACCCCTTTGGGGCCGAGTTGCGTGGCGGGTATTTTGCTACCAAAAGCGACAGGGCGTGGCTCCCTTGTGTTCGAGGCGCGTAAGATTGTCGAAATCTGGCAAGGCGGGGGGGCCGCGCAGTATAAGACTTCAAACTGCGGGCCTACTTTGTCGGCGATCACGTACGCCGCTGCTTGTCTTTGCAGCGGCCTCGACATTTTGGGCGATAATTCCGACCGCGTGGCATGGAATCGGACGCATCGACTTGGCGGCAATTTTTACCGAAAGGGCGAGGCCTAAGGTGATGGCCCTTGGGCGCTCCTTGTAGTTGAAAGAATGAAAGGCGCAAGCCCTTGGGAGGCGTGTGAAGTCTGAGGCGCGACCCCGGTCGACTGTGCCCAACCTATCCAACCTCAGCGGAGGGGAACAATAGCGGCAACCTGAGCGGTGGGCGGCTGTTTCAAGGCGAGGCAATTACAAAGGGCCACGGAGCTGCTTCCGCGGCGTGTGGGCTTTTGTTGCTCTGGCGCAGGCCTTCGCTTGTCATGAATACAATAGGAGACTCGCATCAACCGAAAGGGGATCTCAGGGCCCCCGGCTGGGTTCCAGAAGTGGGCGTTGGCAGATGGGCAAACCAGGAGACTGGTGGCTTTGCGATGTTCTCCGTCGGCTTTCTTGTGCCAGCAAAATGCACCCGGGAGCACGGCCATGGAGGCACGGAGGAGAAGCGCAGAACAATCGCGAGAGAAGCAGCGGAGCGCTTTGCGGTTTTTTTACTAAGAAAGGCGACGCAGCCTGGTTCTACGGCCGCGGGGCGCCCGGGCCGCTTTTGGCGTTGTTTCATCTTTTAAACAAGGACGAGAAGTCGCGCAAGGCCTTGCGCCTGCAAACGATGGTCCTCGAAGTGGTGGATTTAGGCAAGGTCTAAAATGAGCCCCATGCAAAGCGCTCCTGCGATTGCTGCAAGCTTGGGCCTGATTCAAATGCCAGGGCCCCCGCTTCTGCCACGATTGCACTGCGCAGGCGGGGGCGCTCTGGTGGAGCGCCTCAAAAAAGAGCGGAGCGGCCTGGGATTTCCGGGGGGTTCTGGCTGAGCTTGCGAAAGAGGGCGGCGCAGAGAAACGGCCAGCGAGTTGCCACTTCGAAGCTATCAATGCCAGCCCTAACTAACGCAGGACATTGCCAAGCGTGACACGGACGACGAAGGGGAGAGCGCGGCACAGTCACCCAATTGAGGGCCTGGGTCTGTTTTTTTACATACATCGGAGCGGTGCAGCAATTAGCCACTGCGCGCAATGTGATCACTGACAAGAAGAAGCCTTGGCGCGGAGGCGCGTTTGCTCGCGTTGTAGGGAGTAGGAGCCCGCGCCTCACCTGCATAGGATAGCCCCGCAGTAGAAAGCAGGCTGGCGCGTCGTCTATGAAAAGTGGCACCTTTCTAGCAACTTGGTGGTAAAGATCAGAACGCGGGGGCAAAGGGCAACAGAGAAAGCACTGGCGCAGCGTCGCCGATGGACAAGGTCCATGCCGAGAGCGAAGAAGCCAGCGCCCGCCCCTGGGTGAGTTTCATTCTTCAGCACTGATTGGCTGAAACCCACACAAAACGCCGAGGCGCATACAGACAGAAGCGCCTGCAGTCGCTAGCCTCTTGCAGTTTTGTGAGGATAGAAAACTGAACGCGGGCGCTCAGTCTGATGAGCTTGCTCGTAACCATCTGGCACAAAACTCGCCGCGGCGTTTTTCTGGTAGCGGGGCTGAGCCTGAAGTTGCTTAGTCGCCATCTATCAGAGTCCCAGCCGCCCACGCTGAGGGAGGCGCTCACTCAAGAAGAGACTCGAAAGAGAGGAAGCGGCGCCCTTCGCTGCTGCGTGTGATTGGGTCAGGGAGGCGCCTGATGCGCTGCAGGTTCAGGGCTCTGTGAACTCTTTGCGTGGAGTTGGAGCCGGCTAGTCGCCTTATTTGCTTCTATAGAGGGCGGCGCTACGGCTACCCTTAAGGGGGGCAGTCTGTCTGGAGAGCGCAGTCGGCCGGGGGGCGGGTGCGGGGCATGTGCGGTGAGTGGATTTAGTGGGTGGGCAATCGAGGGGGAGGGGGAGCCGCTTCGGGCTAAGGCGGCTATGCTAATGGATGCCCCAGGCTTTTGGTGGTAGGTCTGTCGTGGTGTTGGCTCACTTCAGGTGTGTGGCCCTTTCTTCTTCGTGTCTGCTGCGGGTCAACTGAAGATGGCAGGCTTTTCCACTAGGTAGTTGCAAGCTCATGCGTTTGAGATGAATCAAGCACAGGGACGAGGGGGCCCACGTCTTCTTGGGGCACACACTGAGCGAATGCGTCGCCCCGCCTGCCGGGATTGTTTGGAGTTGTTCTTCATACATTCTGCACCTCCAGCGCGTGCGCGTCGGATCTGCGTCATTTGTTTCTTTCTTGGTTTATTTCTTCCCGAGGTCGCGTTGTGTTTCTTTCGTTCTACAGTTTCTACCTGGAGCGTCCCGTGTGTCTGTCGCACAGCTAAGCCTTCGCAGCTCAGCGTGTTTCTCTTGTTTATCGTAATTATCAGTACTAAGTAAAAAATAAAAAGCCAAATTAGTACAGTCTACAACTTCTGCTACCCATCAGGACGAGTAGACTAAAGTAATCACATTACCACTAATTATTCATAGTACCTACTACGTGAGCATACTCTTTTTACTCGTGGATGAAAATACTCGAGGTGTCTTCAGGTTCTACGCAGCGAGGTCGCAACATTAAAAGCATACAATGCGGACCTAGCAACAGAGCGGCTGAATGCAGAGAAGCGCCTCACCGAGCGGTCGCTAGAGACTCTCGACCGCTCAGAACATGAGTCGATAATGCTGAGAGAGCAAAAGTTACGCCTTAATTCGGCAGAAATGATAATCCTCGTGTATGCGTATGCGACGTGTACAGACAGGTGACGTTCTTGGTAGAGTAAACATCAAGGGATGTTCCTGTTCTTGATTACTTAGAATTTCCCGGTTTAAGCAACATCTGCTTGTGAGAACATCTTCTCTTTCTCAAAAAAATGAGCAGAGCTGCTTCTGTTCTAGAACTGAACAATGGCCTACAAATTACCATAATATCGTAAAACAAATGATGTGTAAACTACAAAGTTGAAGGCCAAAAAAGAAATTCATAGTTCAAGTCCTCTAAGTATCGACTCTCTCCGAAGACACGTGGAGCGCTTGGAGTGCGATCTGACTGAAGCGAGGCGACTGCGTACGTCGGAGCGGTCAGCAAAAGATGCAGATCTTGAGGGTCTGAGACTTGAGCTCGACGAAAGTCGGAAATCGCTTCAGGAGGTCCTTACTGCTTGTTTATTAAACCGAATTCTTTTATCTTAGTGCTAGTACCTGTACCTATATGAACGAGACTATGATCGGGTTCTATTTGAATGGTTCTGGTATTTGACAACCTGATTTTGATCATAAGGAAAACAAGAAGAGAATCCTTGTGATCGAATTCGTTCCTTGGCGATTAGAAGCCCTGACTTTTTTTTTTTGAAATCACACTAGGTTCGTTCAGAAGCAAGTAAGAAAGAAAGTCTCTTGTGGGAATACCGGAAAAAATTGCGCAAATCTGCCTGCGCCATCGATGCTCTCGACGAACGTTGCAAGGAGTACGAGACTCAGATGACCACTCTTCAGGAAGAGTGCAGCTGTCTGAGATCAAAGATTACTGCTCTCGAGATTAAGGCAAAGGCTGTTATCCCCTGATGTTGCCGTGGTTTGGAGAGAAGACACTATAATGAGAATGATGAGAATGATGTAGTTCAATCTGAACCTATGGTATAAAGTAGTTGTACATTCTTGTTCGTCCTCACCCTTTCATTTTTCGCGCCCATGCCTCTGAAGTGGAGGGATTGCGCACGGAGAGTGAGCTGACGCGTGAAAAGTTGAGAAGGGATCATGACTGTGCCGTGAAACTGTTGAAGGAAGAGCTCGGAAGAGCTGAGGCCTCAAGAGAGCAGCTCGTTAAGGCTCAATGTATTTCACTTTTACGAAGTGTCATGTTTCTCTGTTCTCTTCTTGGAGTACTGAGAAGGTGAACCCAAGAAATGAATGAACTCTAGAGCTCCTCTAAGCTAGAAGACAAGTGGGCCCGCGCTGCAGATTCAAAACGCACGGTGGAGGTGGAGCTGCGTGCTACCAAGCGCGAACTAGGCCGTTTTCAAGCAGATAATCTAGTGTACGAGGAGGATCATGCTCATGCAGATGGAGGAGAGCCGACGAACAAGAATAGACACGTCCTCGTGAGGGTGGGTGCCGGACCTGCCACATCTTCAACAGCGACCGGAGGACCTGCCCTTGCCACAACCAAAGCGAAAGTAGAGCCTTCTTCTAGCACTTCATCTAGCACTTCACCAGCTCTTGTGTCACCAGACCGGATGTTCGGCAAAGAGCGCTACTCAGACCTCCTGATCGACAATATCGCGTCGCCAGCTCGTCGACGGAGAAGGAACAAGGGGTCCTTAGGTGAGCAAGAGGGAGAGGACCGGAGCTCAACTTCCCCCAGAACGATCAAAGAAACTAAAGAACAAACTGATACTGACCAATTGGTTGAAAAAACGGAAATAAATGACAGAGTTGTAGATAAAAATCACAATCACGACACTTCATCTGAACCGATGAGGGTAGGCAAAAGCGCTCTCTACCGCGTAACACGCTCTGTCTCCCCAGCACCACCTGTAGTCGCAGAGGCGACCAGATCTTCGGTGGAAATTGCTAGGAGACAAGCGTCGACGTCTACTTCTTCTAGAGTGGAACAATCTAGAAGTTGTAGCGTAGACATCAACAAGGTTTCTGGTTCTGACATCAACAAGGTTTCATCTTTTGAGAGTAGAAGAGCTGCCTCTTCATCCTCGGGAAGGATTGAGCCGCTCGTTCCATCGGACGTGGAGTTATCCTTAAGGCCATAGATTTTAGTAGAATTCTACTTGTACTACTGAAGAGAGACGTAGACGAGCCTTTATTTTTTGTTGTTTCACCTTCATTTCGATATGCATGTTGTTGCATTTCTTTTTTATCACTGTCCTCGGAAGCAAATGCATTTCTCCAGCGGATGAAGGCCTTCGATTTGTTCGAAACGTGGCACCAGGTCATTCGAAAGGTACTGACGAGATGAGTGCTTACAGGTGCAGCATGCTTAATCAACGAATAGTAGATACCACTCGTTGCTGTTTTTATCCTTGAATAGATACTTCTTGTTGCTGTTTTTACCTCTAACAAGCAGAAAAACTGCACGACAACGTGGAAATGATTCGAGGAACTTGAAGACGTTACTCCACGCTTCCAATGGGCACCCCTTGAGGGAACTCCAGGATATGTACCGCGATCTTGACGCTGCTGAAGTGGACACTGCTCTTACGGGTCATATATTATAGACTCACTGGTGTCGACCTCGACCCATCACCATCTTTTACACCAACATCTTGGTCTTCACTTACAGCAACTTGACTTTGCACTGTGGTCTCCCAAGCACAGATCGTCATGGAAGCCTTGGCCTCTGAAATCAAGCCAGAAATCTTCTATAGTTCTAATCTTGATCTTTACTTACAGCAACTTGACTTCTTTGTCCGTCCTCTTGGAACAATCTATCAACATCAGGCTCAAAGATGCTCTATAAGAAGCGATACCAATTTACTTGATGACATTGAAAACTGCTTCGAGTCTTTGTCGGACGGTTGCAGCTCTAGCTCTAATGCCTTTTCAAAGACTCTGGAAGCAATCGATAAGAGCTATGCAGCTGCTTTCGAGGAGAATAAACCGGCGCCAAAAGCCTCTTATGCATTGGAGAAAGCGGTGAAGCGGCTCAAACTTGCAATCAAACCGACGTCGCAGGAATTACCCTAGAAGTGCTGGTCCTCGTGATTACAAATACTGTCGTTTTGCAACTACATGTACATGTTGATGTTGCTGCTAGTACTTCGTTCACACAACAACTTCGAATAAAAATTCCTCCATTCGGAAAGTTCTGGAAAAGATAGAACTACTACCTTATCACAGAGTAGTTTATAGCACGCATGGTGCATGGAGTAGCATGGAGTGCATGGAGCGCAGAGCTTTAAGGGGCGCAAGAAGCTCCCCCTTTAGCTCCATGCTACTCCATGTGATCCATGCACTCCATGCCATGCGAGCTGTGAAACCTTATAAACTGCTCTATCATGATTCATCTCATTCTCACATTGATGTTTCCGGTCTTCATAAGTCAAGATCAGGGAACTATTTTCGCTATTCATCCTATTTCTGTTTTTCGCAAATTATTCCTTCGTGTATTTATTCAGTATTTAATATTGAGTTTACTTACAACTACAACTCTCTCGTCTAATCAACTTCTAGTACTACAACTTCTACATTGATATCGTTAATATTCATCGGTTTCTGCAACGGCACTTGTATTTGGATGTTGGAATCGCGGTGATAGAACTATGATACGAGGAAAGGTGAATGTTTTTGTATGTTGGAAGTTTGGGCGTTTCGCAGTTTGGTTGCAAAGGCAAAGATCCTTGCAACCATACAGAAAATGAATTCTTACACACGTCAGAGTGCTAATTCGAGTGGACGAACAACTGTAAACAAATTGTTTTCCGAACGTGTCCTTACCTCGAGAGCGTGTCACGACTGGTCCTTGCGCGTTGCTTTGACTTTCTGAGTCTTTCTCGCATGGGCTTGAGAGAAAAAACTATTCTGTAGAGGTATTTTCTGACTGAGAAAAATAAAGATTAGAGGTGTGAAAGAGAAAACTCATCTGTAGAGGTATTATCTGACTGAAAAAAGAGAGCTGTGAGGGACACAACTATTCTGTACGGGTGAATCTGTAGAGATGTTAACTGACTGAGAAAAATTAGAGCCATGAGTTATTCTTATTGTATGTTGATGCGATGATTTATCATCAGTTGGCCATTAAAGGGTGTTGAACTTGAAAACAAAAGTATAAGCATCTCGATCTTATTAACTAACCTCATCCTACGAGTACAACGAACTACAGGCGTGCTTGAATTTGAAGATTTTATTTCCCCCCTCACGATTTTATTTTCTACTCCTAGTTCTTGTACAAATTTGACATCCTCCTGGCATAGACAAAATGAAAATTACTACCGTAGTCTACGGGTCTAAGGTTGTGGTTCAACTTGGAATACTACTACACAACTAGAATGACAGAAGTACTACAACGAACTGGTCTTGTCCGGTAGTAGTTCTTGTTGTAGTCACTCTTCTTATAGTCTATAATCTTGTGGTTCGCAGATTGTGAAACACAAACAAGATGGCGGACTACAACTACGATCAGTCCGGCGCCCCTCTCTCGTCGACCTTCATCGCCGGTGGGGATGCAGCTGCGGCCTCCTCGACATTCGTGGCAGGCGGCGCCGAAAGTGTGGCCATGAGTGGTGCTCCTGGGTCATCGACCTTTTTGCCCTCCGGTCAGATCGAAAGTATGCAGCTGCAGTCCACTTTCATCCAGGGTCAGGGAGGAGGCGGTGGAGTGACCGTGATGACCCTTCCCGGAGGACATGACCCTGACGATGACGACGATGGCACGATTTTATCCGTGCCAGGATGGCTATTCTGGTCCGTGCTGGGGCTGATGTCGCTGGCGATCATCGTGGTGATAACCATGCTTTCCATCGAATGCTGCGGATCGAATCTGCCGGGAAAAACTGTCAGGCTCGCAGGGGAGCGCGAGGGGATTACGGATGATGGATCGGGCAGAGTACGAAAAGCAGCAGAAGCAGCAGAAGGCCCCGGCGGAGGTGGAGCAGGTGCACCGTTAGGACCTGGAGGTGGAGGAGCAATTCCACCTCCTCCACAACTCGACGAGAAAGTGAAGGAGGAAATCAGTCAGAAGTGCGGCGCAGAAGGTTAAGGCTCAGATGACTGTTTTTTGTGACCATCATCAAAGCTGCTGCGGATAAAAGGCTACTCCTCCTCTGGCTCTACACTAGACTTGCAGCTTCTTTTATTCACAAGAGAAGAATATCAAGACTTCCTCGAAAACTGAAAATAGCCGAGTTACTGACTGAAATAAGGGAGGCAACTTAACGTCAAGGCTACTCTTCCTAAGCAGTTGCTCAATGAACTATGCTTCAAGCTCCTCTAAGAAGCCGTCAGCAAGTGGGGCGTCGTCAAGGACAACATGAAGCCACTGCTAAAGGACGAGATGACCCTGATTGAGAAGTATGCGATGGCCTTCGTCGTCGCAGAAGCATGCTTCGGCCAGAACGCGTTGGGGGCAGCGAAGGGAACTAAGGACGACCTTGTCGAGCTCCTAAGAAATGTTCCCGAGGGCGTGGAGGACGATGCCTTCATCGAATCACTTTTCTTAAGGCCGCATGATGACGAATGATGATGATGCCCTATTTCATTGATGCCCTTGTTATCATGTTGAACGGACAAATTCAAGTAAATATTTTGAATTTCCAGCTTTCGGGAATTGGATCCTGATCCATCTGCTTCGAGGCTATGAGCACCAGCGCTAATTTTTCCTCCTGTGACAGGTGCTGTGAACTTCGGTGCAGAGTTAGTGAACCAAGCATGGGAAGTAGTCGAGAGCCTCCGGAAGGTAGAAGGAGAGGGGAACAAACTAGCAGATGATCCAGGCGTGAAAAAAGCTATCAAGGATCTAGCGGATGCATTGGAGAGCACTCCGGCTCCACCTCCTGCTGATGGTGCCGGTGGTGCTGCTGCTGAAGGTGAAGGTGGTGGCGGTGGTGCTGCTGCTGAAGGTGGAGGTGGTGGCGGTGGTACTGGTGGTGACGGTGGTACTGGTGGTGGTGACGGTGGTGGTGGTGGTACTGGTGGTGGTGACGGTGGTGCTGATGGTGGTGGTGAAGGTGGTACTGGTGGTGGTGCTGGTGGTGGTACTGGTGGTGGTGAAGGTGGTGGTGGTACTGGTGGCGGTGATGGTGGTGGTGACGGTGGTACTGGTGGTGCTGGTGCTGGTGATGGTACTGCTGGTGGTGGTGCTGGTGGCGGTGGTACTGGTGGCGGTGGTACTGGTGATGGTACTGGTGGTGGTGCTGCTGCTGCAGAAGGTGAAATTAGTGGTGACGGTGGTACTAATAATGTTAATGATGCTGCTGGACCTGACAAAGCAGGCGGACCTGGAGGCGGAGAAGGCATTGCAGACGGAGGTGATGGCACAAATGGAGGTGACAATATTAGTGAGCTTGACACGGGAGCGAATCCGGGTGAGAGTGATACCTCGAAGAAGGAAACCGCCAAAAATGCCCAACTCGCTACAGAGGTGGTCCAAGCCCTATCCACTTTTATGTTAGGTGGGGGTGGCAAGGTCGGAAAAACTCTACTCACAAACGCTGCCCTAGCGATGAACCCAAGTGCGGACCTAAAAGACGCGGACGGCCCCTACAATTATGGTCTCAGCAGCTTCTGTATCAGGAGACTACAACATCAACTTAGTAACTACTATGAAGATCATGGAGATGATGGATTCAACTTCTTGTTCTCTTATATCCATTTTGGCTCAAGGAGTTGGAATATGCAGTAAGCTTCTCAACTCGTTCAACAAGATCGTCTAAGTCAATGCTTTACACTCTTTGGCTAAAACAAGTGTTACAACTCCTAGAACAAGCACACTCCCACTCCCACTCCCTCACCAGTCACCACGACTGACCACGACTCTAATACCAGATTATTACGGTCCTTATGACGTCCGCGCAGAAGAGTTTCAAGGACAATAAGTCCGGATCCACGTTTCTGGATAAGATGCGGATCATTTCCATGGATTACCTGCTGAGTCAACTTACGAGCGGCAACGTGGACGAGCTGCGCAAAATTTTCAAGGCGTTGATGGATTATCTCGTGACCTATTTTTCCAGCGAGGCGCCAGATGTAAGGCTTCTACAATACAATTAAGTATACAACTCTAAGTAAAAGAAAGGCCAGTACAATACTGGAATTCGAAGTAATTCCACAATACAACAATAATAATGTAATTCTACTAAGTAATTCCTTTCTTCCAGACCAGGCCGCTAAAATTATACAATTCTAAGTAATTCCTTTCTTCCTGAGGAACAAAGAGTCATTTCGAATTTCTTCTCCCTGTTTCCTTCTACTTAGGATTGGGGTTCAAAATGAATGGGTTTGAGCTCTAACAGATGTTGCCGCAAAGACGTCTTTTCTGCAGGTCCTTGGAAAAAATCTTCCACGAGAACGAAATGAAGAGACTACACCTTCACGAACACCTGAAGATGAAGGAACTACACCCTCAAGGGAAGAAGGGACAGTTTGGACGTCTGTCTTGCAGGTCGGACGAAGCAGGGGAGGGCCATTGGGCAACTTTGAGGCACGCGTTGTAAGACCCGAAAATGGCGGTGGGCCGAAATTTACTGGAGGTTTCAGTATGACACGATCGCTTTCAGAAGCCATCGAAGATTAAGGCTTAATACATCGATTCACTTCAACGGGTACATTCTCTGCTACTTTAAGTAGATACATTAACTTACTTAGAGTGAGTGTGAGGACCAGGACTCATATCCCTCTTCTTGGGAAGATTCATAGTGAAGAAAAAAATGAAGGCAAGAAATGTACTGAAATGAAAATTTAGAAGCTCTCTATACCCGCCTACGCATATGAATCTTTTTTAATATTTGGGACAACTAGGGCAACTCTCTATGCCCTAGATATAGCTCTAATAAGAGTTCACGGGGAAGAAGGACAAGCCTCTTCTTCAGTGGCTGATCGAGTGGTCGGAAGAATTCTGTGAATATGAGGAAAACAGTAACGACGCGGGCAAAGATGCGGCTTTCCAAGAGAAGGTGCAGAATCAAATTTTAAGGGTCGCCTGAACTACTAAATGGCCTCTAGAAGTTTTTACCTATAATTTTGTACCTTCACTTTCTGTTTTTTCGGTTTTTTCCTAGCTAGGTTCTTGGCTCCACGACCACGAAGAAAGATCGGGACGTACTAGATGTACTCAAATCGAAGTGTAGTAAGGATCCATCTCTTAGATGACGGGTATTAGGCTTCACTTAACGTTCTAAAAATTGAGGCCTTTGTTGGAAACAAAAAGTTTGAGAAGATGAAGAAGACGTTCAAGGACTTCGTAAATGACGCGAAATCTTGGTCGGCACTGAAGCAGGTGTGGTTTTTTCACGGTGGCAGAGACCTCTTCTGCACGCACACACTTCCGCATGCAGGCGCGGCGTCCTTCATTGCTCTGCGTGGCTCGATGTGGGTGACGGCAAGTAGTGGTCTAGAATCTAACAAACTTGATACACCCTCAGGAACAACAAGGAGCTCAAGGTCAACATCCTTTCTGCAAGCTGGTCGTGGGCCCAAGCCGAAGCATCCGGCGGATGATGCGGGTTCCGCTTCTCTCGGTGACGATCCTAATTCGTTCGCAAGTGCGCTGACGGAGACGCAGGCTACGCTTGCCGCTGCGAGAAACTGGTGGGATAAAATTAAGGCTACAAGAACAAGAAATCTTCCATCTTGCATCTTGTCCAGCACAGCACTCACTCTGGTCGTCCTCCCATCTTTTTTTTTTTTATCTGGGAAGGAACCAGGAGCATCCTCGCTGCTGAAGAAGGATTTCTCTTACTTCTAATAGAAGCAGCGACAAGCAGAGGAAGGAAATGGCGCAAAATCTCAACACACTTTTGTTGGGAACGAGGAGTGCTGGGCAGGCCACGTTTGGCGAAAAGGATTTCGACAGCAACATCAAGTTGATCGCCAACAAGGTGAAGAACATGGAGCCAACGAAAATTTATGGCTTGTTTATATTTTATCGTGAAGATTCTGATTCAGCATGGAATCCAACAAGTAGAAGCGCAGGTCCAACAGTCTTGTTTTTCTTCTGTTCATCCGCCATTCTTGATTGGACGATTTAATATTATGAAAAAATGAGATCCATAAGATTACTAGCTCGCACTACAAAATAACTGAAAACGAAAAGACCTGCGGAAATGAATCAATTACTCTTGTTGTTTATTCTTGACTTTCTCTTCTAATATCGGAAAGTCATTCACATGCTATCGAGGGGACTGGAAGCCGCGCGTGGGGACAACTTTGTCACCATGGCTCAGGAATTCCTGAATGCACTTGCTGAAGCATATACTGGCTCCTCTACCTCCTCGAACGATTAAGGCTTGAGAAAATCCATCTGTCCCAGCATCTTGCCCTCATTTTCTTTGAAGGGGAAAAGGGCACCAAGATGCTGACCATGATGGATTTAGGCAAGGTCTAAAATGAGCCCCATGTGTCTGTTGGCATGGACGGGAAGCCACTGCCCATCATTTTCACACCTGGAGTGAGTAGAGACGGACGCTTCTACCTATTTGGGCATCTGGCTAATGGTGGAGGAGTGAACGCGAAGCCGCTTTTCGATCTACAAATGGATATCAGAGTCGGGGACGGAGGCCAAGGCAGCATCTGGAACACGTTCAAAATGCTCACACATCAAGACGACCAGGGCGGCGCGGCTAAGTTCGATCTGTTGGAGTTTTTGGCTTTCTTCGCGAAGAAAATTTGCGTTTTGAGAAATCTAGAAGCGGCAGTGCCAAAAAGCTTTGCGCTGGAACATTACGACTCCAATCCGTATCTGGAGTCGCGTAGCGTGGCCTACCTGGAAAACCAGAACAAGAAAGGAAACTTATGGCTTATAACTTTAAACTTTTTAGAAAGCATCTTTGTACCCTGACGCACGTCTTTTCTTACAAGTTGAACGCTCTTGGTCTTCTGTGTGGTCTTATCGGTTTTGTTTTTGATAGATGATAATGGTTGAAGGAGGTGGCGCTGATTGAAGAAGACACTGAAGAGAAGGATGAGAGGAGAAAGAAGGACGTAACACAAGTCTCGACGAAATGTACCCTGAGGACACTAGCTGAGTTCAGGATAGAGATCCTTGGCACAACGTCGATGCTAGAAGCTCCTAAAAAAGTAGGTTCTCGATGGCCTCTCTATTTTCCATTGTGGAAAAAGAGGAGACCATATCAGGGAAGATGTCTGCTATTAGTACTACTAGCAAAAAATTTCAAGTGAGGAAGAGGAATATACTGAACTATTTGTACGATACTATGATGTAATGGTAGTTGTAGCTCTAAGAAGCGGCGCTTTTTCGAAGCAAAAGGGTGTAGACGCGGATACACTCAGAAAGCAGTTCCGCGCGCTCCTTACATCCTTCTTCGGCCATCCTGAGGCTGGTTCGGCCTCCCAGCGGTACAAAATGACCATGAAGCGATACATCACAGACAATAGGTTGTGGAACATGGTCAACAAGATGATCGAAGAGCGCGGCATTCTTGGCTTGCTTTGCAAGAAACCGAGCTCGGGCACCGGCAGAGTATCATTTTTACAACAGCAGCGACAACAACGGGATGTACATCTAGTACCTGACGCACCACCAGGAGGACCACCAGCCACGACCTCCACAGGCAACATCGTGGCGCAGGTTGTACTAGCTGGAGAAGCTCGGTCCTCTCTAGCTGCAGTAGGCAATGGGGTCGGACGAGAGAACAAGGAAGACGAGCAAAGCTACCAAGAGACACAGCATGATCTTCGAAACCCTGATGTCGTCCAGCCACAGGCCGCTCGCATGGCAGAGGATGACGATTTGCTCATCTGAGAAGGTGATTAGAGTGCACTCGTCCGGGAGGCCTTTCCGGCAGTGCGAGTATTTTTAAGTGGCAATAGTAGAAGTCGTCTTAGAAGGAATTGCAATCACTAATGATGACGTTCTGGATCGTAGCACATTACGAGCACTAATGATGGCGTTCTGGATCGTACGACAACTAGATGAATGGTTTTCAGAATCAATCACTAGTGATTATTTTTCACTCGTCGTGAACTTTTGTTACTTAGAAATATTTCATCAGGATGAAATTGAAAATTTGTCAGTGACTGTGACAGGGAGGAGACTTGGCATTTTTTCAGGGATGAATATGTTTTCAAGTTGTTGAGTTGGTACCGATTGATTTTCAGATGATGTACATAAGTACTTAGATTTCATAGGAGCTAGCACCAGCCAGGATGACGATGATGAACTAGCATCTACAAATGCATATGGTATTTTCAAATATGAATATATTATTGAATCAAAAAATGCTGTTCCGGAATTTAATTCAGTGCAAGCCATAGTCGTGATAAGCAAAATTTATTCTCAATCCATATAAGCAACAAGAAATACAAACAAGTAGAACAAGCAGTATTATAATTATGAGCCATAGTACATAAACATATTTACACTTACTTGTAGACGAGTTGGATCGCATTAATCATTATTATCGTACTTTTTACATCACTTCTTACTAGATCTAATAAATGTAGTAATTGAAAAGAGAAAAATAGAACTTCTAGAAAAAGCATTGATATTTTTACTAGAGCACGCAGGCATCTCCTATTTGAATTTGAATTGAACTACAAATCAATGAAATTGAGTTTGGTCGTAAAGGCACAAGGAAACAAGCCATCACGGAGATAATCAAAATGATAATGTAAATAATCGTGTACATCTAAATGTAATACAAATTGTTGGGAAGGGACTTGCACAAATGTAGACACATGAAAAATTGAAATATAACACCTTCTTGGGTCCGGCGTTGTAGACAAGAATCTGGTACAACCAGCGATTCTTGTATCCGACGACGCTTGTGTCCTACTCTGAGATCGCTGCTTACTTCTTAGTTCCATATAAATATATTTGGAGGACGAGGGAACAAGAAAGAAAAACGCCCATTGATTCATTCTGTAAGAGTGGTCTGTCTTCTTCATCTTGCTCCACCTGGGAGGAGAGAGAGTTAAAAGTAAGAAAAAAATACACGTTTCCTAGTATTGCAAAGTGGAGGCTCCCTCTAGATGATGAATCTGTACTCGTGTATTGGATGAATCTGTCATCTTCATTCGGTTATCTCTTTTTGTTATCTCTCTGAAAAATTGATGAAGCTGAAGCATATCATGGCTTTTCTTCTATATAATCCTGTTCGGCGCGTCCAATGAACGAGGTCTAATATCACTTCGAAGTACTAAGTCTAAGTAGAAGCTGCAGCTTTTTCGATTTATTTTTACCGAGTCAGGTATGTAAATCCCAAGAAAGAAAATACAAATGGATGCAGCTTCTTCTTCACAACGATCCAGCGCTACAATCAGTGAGGGGAAAACGCTACGCGAGTGGCTCACCGATATAAGGCTACAACAAAATGGTTGGTTCTTACTCGTCGTTCTCGTCTGGTACGGGTCTGTAAAAGTACAACTAAGTACATTCAAGATTAACTTTAACTATAAGTACATTCAAGATTAACTTTAACTATAAGTACATTCAAGATTAACTAGGAAAATGAAGGGAGGTAGTTGGTTGCACCTTAAGCGCAATATGTAATAGAAAAAGAACTATTTCGGTAAAAGTTCAACAAGAAGCGCTCTTAATTCATGGTGATGTCTGGATAACACCTCTAATCCTCGCTTCCGATTCAGGTGGCTTTCTGCTAGCATTGAATCCTTCGTTTCTGGGCTTCTTTTCGCAGATAGGTTCCTGCGGAGCTTTAGATGCGGTCGGATTGCTCAAGGTTAAGGCTACTACCCCCCAGGCTGCATCCTGAGCATCATTCTACTTGGCCCTTTTTTCACTTGACAAAAATAAGAACATCAACAAGCTTGGTCCAATCTGTCATCGGACCAAACATCCAGCACTCAGGGACTCTATCGCGATAGCTCTAAACACGGTTTGCGCGGTGCCTGCGGTTCTTCCGCTGGCGCAATGTCCGCAGGCTATTTGGCGACGCGGAAGCCTGTCTTTGTCCTTCGCAAAAATCGAAAAAAAGGAATAGCGAAAGATGTCGAGAAGTTACACAAAGTCGGGACGAGACATCAACTGCGACTATTTTTATGGTCAGCTTTTATCCATCCTTCTCAGCATCTGAGTACCCGTTTCCCTTGTCATTCATGGGAAAGGGACCGAAATGGGGGACAAAGAAATGGGGATAAAAGCCGACTCGAAGACTAGCATCGCCTACTTCGAAGGAACAGGATGAAGACGAAGACGATGCAACGTCCTCTTCTACATCGAATGAACAGGATAATGAAGTTTATGATGTTGTAGTTCCTACTGATGGAGCTCATCAGCATTCATCTATGATTCTTGTCCCTGCCGCCCTAACGGCCAAGGGCAAACGCGAAGATCAATTAAGAAGTGATGGGAAGGGGAGCGAAGAGCAAGGAAGCAGCTGCCTGGTGTTGGATTCGGAGTTTTTTATGTTGACCACTGATGCAGGTGTATCGATATTGAATCTCAATCTTACAGGGCAGTCGGTCCTCTGGAAAAGTTGTAAGTCGTTATGATCGTTTGTATGCGATAGAAGATGAGGGTCAACACTATGGTTAGCGCCGTCATTCTGGATATTTATTGTGCTCACCCTTTCCGAACAAGGTACAGAAGTCCCGTCAGGCGGCTCGCACTCGCTTTTATTTCCTCTTCTAAGCATATCTGAGAAAATAGGACAAATCCTGTGTCTTCTTCTAATTTTTCCGCCGTTTTGCACTCAGTTCAGTCCAGGCGTCACGATGTGCTCGACTTTGGCTTGGGCCTCGGCGCTTTGAAAGGTCAAGGCTTCGCCACGATGATGTCACAAGTTTTACAGCCTTTCCACTCTTTTGCCGACTTACCTGTGCCATTTGGCTGCGTAGCATATGACTTCGTACACCGTGATGCTGTGATCATGACAGAAGACGACGCTGTTGGCGTTGGGCAGTCTTCAGCTTCAGGAACTTCATCGACGAGTCCAAGCATTTCGAGGACGTTCTCAATTAAGGGTTGAATAAATGAATTTAATAGATGCATCTTCACGGTCATCCTGGAAGTAATTCTGCGCCCGTGTTTTGAATTGAAGGAATCTTCTAGTGGGGGTAGAGTGTTGACATTCCTCCACTTTCGGCAACCATGCACATCATCTTACGTTGAGGCACATCAAGCGGCATGCTAAATCTCTGAGTACTTCGAGCAGTTCGCGATCGTTCTCAAGCACAGAGGAGCGACGCTCTCCTCTCGCAGCCGCGATCGTCGCGAGCGGGACGGTTCCTGCCCTCTTCCATCCAGCGAAATTCGGAGATAGGCGCTTTCTATTAGACGGCGCTCTCGCAGGCGACTCAGATGGATGCATGGCTCTCAAGAAACTGCATAGGAAAATTAAAGAAGATTCACCTACCACAACAGAGAAAATCAAAAGCGATACTAGTAGTACCAGGACGTCTGCAGAAAAAAGGAAAAACGATACTACCACTAATAGTTGTGCTAGTAGTAGCACGTCGTCCTCGTCACCCCCGACGACACTTCTTGTCCGCGTGATAACAGACCGAACGGCTTTTGTTGGCGCGCGGGCTCTCTTGTCCGTTACTGCGGCAAAAGCTGGCATCTTTGGCGAAAGGGGACGATCTCAACAGCAACAACAAGTAGAAACAGGAAATAAAGAGGAACAAACACCTCAAAAGCCGCGTGATCTAGACCGCTCGAAATTGCCAGAGGGTATACGAGACGTTTTAACGATCGTGTTGAAGAATGCCCCGGATCTGTGGCTTGGGGCGGAGAGTTTCATGTTACTGGAACAAGCGATTCTATGGGCAGGGCGCGCCGTAATTGGTGCACTGCATACAGTGGCAGAAGAGATAGAGCCGAATCATTACGAAGTTTGTGTAGATATTGGCTGGGACAGAAAGCAAGCTCTTCATATGGCTGCACTCAAAGCAGCGGCTGGAGACCGGGAAATATCATAGAATTTAATGATACAGAGGAAACGAGCAACGAGATAGATACTCTAATAGAGTGTGATTGACCTTATTTTCCTGATCCTGAACGAGGAAAAGGCTTCGACACTCGAATGATCTTTTTTACCCCATAATTGTGTCATAGAGATTTGCATGGACGCGCACACATCAGGCTGCATATTGAGTGGAAAAGCCTATCATGGATGTGATTTTTTTCGGCAGATCAAGGAACATCAAAAAACAAAACTTTCTGCAAGAAGTTGGCCATCGGTTCCAGCTGTTGTGAATAGTATGATTATTCCGAAGCGAGATGACATTCCTGAAATTTCTTGTCATTTCAACACAGTTTCCAGAAGATCCGCGCACTCGTTGTACTTGTGTGTACTAAAACTAAGTCTATTAATATTTATAATTAAGTATAAATTGTACAAAGCGAAACGGCTCTGGAGTTGTTCAGGAAGTGGCAATTCGGACGACCACGCTCATCTACTACATCTACTTCATCTAGAAGTGAAGTACTTATACACCTACTTCTCCAGTGTGTTGCACTGTATCTGTAGGACTGAAAGTGAAACTTCGGATAGATAAAGCATTTCCTAAGATGCATTATGGATCGCATGGATGTTAGAATAGCTGTAGAGAGTAACAAGTGTTTAAGTTTATGTTTTCCAATTTTGGTTCAAGTGCCATAGGATATCAGATAGAGCCTGCGATCTGCCCACCGTATTTAACAGTGGACTCCTTTCATTATTTGATGATCATCACTCTGCTGCTATCAATAACTCCACAACCCATTTTCATGACCAGGAGACGGACGTAGATGAAAATCTAAATTAAGTTTCAAACTTTTTGTTGTTCATGTAGCTTGACTCTTTTCATAATCATTGTTTACTCCTTGTGTTTATCAAGCTGAAACTTGTGTTGTTGTACGACGAAGCTCAGGCTTACGCTGTTACCTCAAGTAGCGCATACCGTTATTTGAAATATCTTTTGAGTTTTTATTACTAGTAACAGTATCTTTTAGAAACGCTAACGATTGAAGAAGAACGAACGATAAAGAAAAGTACTGTTTGAGGAACAACCACCAGAGTCAATTACTATCTCAGACGGGAGGACGAGCAAAAAGAAAATGTCCCACTACGGGGTGGTGAAATATTTCTCCAAAGAAGGCTTCGGCTTTATCAAACCAGCCGACACCAAGGATCCTGATATCTTCGTCCATGCGAGAGATATTCTGAACCGTAAAGGATTTCGTGTGCTACTTGATGGGGAGAGCGTCTCCTTCGACAAATGCTACGATCCGACGTCGGAGGAAAAATGGACGGCGATTAACGTCACTGGTAAAGGTGACAGCCGGCCGCCGCCGCGAGTGCTCATCGACAGGTATTGGAAGGCTTTTACCAGTGTGTTAATTAAAATCAATATCAAAAGTAATTTTGATTTTCTTTTTTGAAATTGTGAGACGAGTACTGGTGGGTGTGATCATATTCGGAGAAAGGCACTACACATAGAGATAGAATTTTGGTAATATATCTATCTTTCTCAGGAGCACTTCTTCCACCAGGTATTGGGACCCTGTGTGTCCATATGACGTCAGTGCCCTCGATGCTGGACTGGTCTGGGCTGCCGCGCAGGAAAAATGGAAAATGGCTTACGCCCTGCTGTTAGCCGGCGCCAACGCGCGTCAGATGGGGAACGGAAGAAGTGCACTGGTAAGAGCAGTTGCTCGCTTCAATCAGGGAAATCTCGATTGCGAGATCATCAAGCTCCTGATCGACGCTGGAGCGAATGTCAATGCGGGCAAAGGGAGGGCTTTGATCAGTGCTGCTCATCAGGAGAACGCTGAGGTTGTCAAGCTCCTGATCGACGCTGGAGCGAACGTCAATGCGGAGGATGGGGAGGCTCTTGTCAGAGCTGCTGAAGGGGGGAACGCTGAGGTTGTCAAGCTCCTGATCGACGCTGGAGCGAACGTCAATGCGAGAGATGGGCGGGCTCTTGCACATGCTGTTGGACGGGGGAACGCTGAGGTTGTCAAGCTCCTGCTCGACGCTGGAGCGAACGCCAATGCGAAGCGTGGTGGGGAGGCTCTTGTCAGAGCTGCTGAAGGGGGGAACGCTGAGGTTGTCAAGCTCCTGATCGACGCTGGAGCGAACATCAATGCGAGAGATGGGCTGGCTCTTGAGCAGGCTGCTCTACGGGGGAACGCTGAGGTTGTCAAGCTCCTGATCGACGCTGGAGCGAACATCAATGCGAGAGATGGGCTGGCTCTTGGGCAGGCTGCTCTACGGGGGAACGCTGAGGTTGTCAAGCTCCTGCTCGACGCTGGCGCCAATGCACTTGCAGGGCTAAAAAACGCGCTACTTCCTGGGAAAATTATGGATTCGTTAGAGCTAGAGGCCTGCAGGTTACTCGTGGCCAAGGTCTCTAAACAGGATCTAGATAAGAGTGGGTTGCTATCCGAAAACATGGCGAACAGGAATGTAGAGGGAGTAAAGTTTCTTCTTGATTTTGGCGCGAGCTTGGACCATCATGCGGAGGAAGTGACACGCTTCTTTGCCAGCCTTAGCTTGAGTGAGGCGCAAGACTTCAAGACTCATGTCCCACGCGCGTATCCGTATCTGCTGCCGTGCTTCGTGCGAAGCGCCAGCCTTCGTGACGTTCGCGAGTGCGTGGAGAGTGGGCGTCTCGACATTAACGCTGGGGTGTCGCTCGACGGTTCTCACGCAAATTTTGTGTCCGTCGTTAGCACTTTCCGTAATAACATAAACGCTGTGATGGCACTGATGAGTGACGGTGCCAAGTGTGACGTCCTTGGCATTCATGTCCACAATGAAAGTGCCTTACGCCGTTTCGTCCACGATCGGCAGAATGCGCATACAACCCTAAGCAACAAGATCATCTGCCGCAACGTGCAGCGAGCCTACAAGATGGCTGGAGGTAAAGATCGTAAGCTGCTGGATCTCGAAGAGCTCAAAGATGAGATCAGTGGCCTTTCTGACGCGTGCTGGGAAAAGGTTTTGCGCAGCAGTTGGCTCGAAGAAGAAGTGAAGATGAGTACACCTTTGGCCGCCTCTGTGAAGCGTTTTGTGTTAGATGCCGTGGATCGCCTTGGTCAATTTTAAGTGTAGTTTTGTTCACTTGTTATTTCGTGTCCGTGTGAGGTATTGGTATGCTGAGTGCATTTTTCTCATGTTGCCCTTGATTTCAAGAAGAAACCGAAAAGGAAATAACTCAGGGACTACACCGATCATTGCCTACCACGCACACTGATAGCCTAAGTACCTTCTTTAACAATTGCGAGGAGACGACTTTTCGCCGAGTCCTTTGGTGTCCTCTGGTCAGGAAGCGCTGGAACTGGTGTATCGCGCACTTGAAGTCGCATTTTCTAAAGGACTCGACTACGACCATGGCAAAGACGTCCTGGCTCCCCTCGCCGGCGCCTTGCTTCAAACGGAAACAGAGTATGGCTGGCGAGGAGGACGATCTTGCCCACAGGGCTCTATGGCGATGGTTCTACAAGTCCTGGAGGGGCGTGTCGAAGAAACAGAGAAAGAAGCAGAAGCAGAGAAAAAAGAGAATGCGCCATGTTCATTGGCGGATTGGAAAGGATGGCTGCAGGCCTGCTTTGACGCAGGTAAATGCGAGCACCTCTACCATGAGGTGCAATCACGTTTGCTGGAATACGGGTACGCGGATCGATTGCAGAATATCTATGAGAAAATCGTAGAAGGCGACCACTACCAGTTTTATGTGAATAAACTTCGTGGGCTGGTGTTTCAGATGCTCTGCGAAGAGTTCTCCCAGGACCTGGCCAAGCGACGGTTAGAGCGGGATGAAAACAACCTTCGACAACTCGTGGAGCATCTAGGACATGTGGCGAACCTTTTCACTGAGGTTTGCGAGACCAACATGCTCAACGTGATTGAGCCAGTGGCAAAGGAGCCTCAATATAATATACATCAGACCGTAAGCGCATCAACTACTATCAAGTCATCTAAGTGCGCAGGAGCACGACCTCGTCAGAACTAGCTAGAAGTCGTCGTGGAGCGCCGTTGGGTCACATCAACTAGGCTCAGCCATTCGATGAGGTGACTTGATTCAATGAAGTTCATGATCTTCCGATCCTAAGGAAGTTTCAGATCGTCCTTCAAAGAATTTCGAAATAACGGTGACGATACTTCATTCTTATTTACATACTCCTTCCATTATGACGGAACCGAAAGCGATTGAAGAACAAAATCTACTTATATCATAACGGCGATCGAGTGTTGTCTACATATTGCTATCTGTCTCCTCTTCCTATACTTTGAATTACATACTTAAATAAATTTATGTACCGTGCGGGATCCTTGTGTGTTTTCTCTTGACAAACTATTTAGAGTGATGGACTCTTTCGGGTTTCAAGTACTGCGTCACGAATTATCTTAAGACTTACATGGCGGGGCATCTTTCGATCGGAGTGGTTGCGAGGTGTGTGGCGTTTACTTAATCCCTCGCATCTGGGTCCGCCTTGTGCATAAATTTGGGCCCGGCGCAATCTCCTAGTTGTCCGCGGTCTTGTCTTCCATTCTATCTAAAAACTAAATGTAATCGAGACGGACACAGAGACAACTCAACTCAGAAACTCGCGAGCACTGCTCGGTAAGAAAGACGCGGATGGTCCATTGTAGTGGGACTGTGCATTTATCTGCATGAGAATAGCGCGCGATCACAGTTGCCGTTTTCCAGGATTTTTTCGTTGCTGAGTTTCACTGCAAGAAGGTCAAACTACCTTCTATATCTTCTACGCGGGAAATTGTAGACGCAGGTCCAAAAAATAAAAAATCTACGAACCGCGAACATGAATGAGTGCAACTGTCTGCTATGTCTACCCTCTTCTCCAAGAACCTTGTCGAGTCTCGCGTGCAGGCAAGAAACAGCTTGGACGACCATGCTCATCTACATCTACTACTTCGTCTAGAAGTACTGTTCTTCACCAGAGCCAAAGAACTCCTTTCATTATTTGATGATCATCATCCTGCTGCGATTAAAAACTCCACGACCCATTTTCATGATTACCAGGCTTTCTCGAAAATCTAAAAGTTTGTTTTTTATGTAGCTTGAATCTTTTCATTAATAAATATTTGCTCCTTATTCCTTCTCAACATTGTGTGCTCCTTTTGTTTATCTGCAACTTGTATTGTTGTATGTTGACGAAGTTTACGCTGCTACCTCAAGTTGTAGTGCATACTGTTATTTGATGATATTTGACATTCCACCAACAGATCAAAATCATGTCTCGTCCTGCTCTTAGTCAGGCGAAGCAGACGATGTCTGACACGAGGAGCCTCGCCGCTGCGGCGGATGATGCTTCTTGCGACGAGCTAGCTGATCGCGCTCGCAAGCTGTTTGGGGAGGGGCAGTATGCCGATGCGCTACCAGCTTTCGAAACAGCAGCCAAGCATCCGAAGGCCTCGCCCGATTTCCAGGCGAAGATGTGGAACAATTGCAGTGCCTGCTCTTTGAAGCTGGAACGTTACCCCGATGCTGCGCGGTTCGCCAAGATGGTTTTGGAGAAAGACACCTGCAATGTCAAGGCCCATTACCGCTTGGCCGCGGCTATTTTCAGCGTAAAAAGTGAATGTGGAATCAGCCTACCTGCTCAAGAGCAGAGTCAAGGCGCAGAAACCGCGACCGACCTCGCTTTTCGTCACGTGTGTCTCGCAGTTGCGCTGTCTGATGGCAATCCGGATTCGCAAGTCAAAGGACTTTTTCGTGAAGTGCGAGAAAAACTTCTTGCAGCCCCGGAGCACGAATAGCGGTTTGCTCCCGAGACTCTGGAAAAGATTATCGCGGTTAGAGACGGGCAGCAGCTACGTCGAGCCGTGGGCTCGGGAGTTTTCGAACTAATCGTGCTGCGACCGGGAAACTACGCGGTGGACCAATATTTCCTCGAGCCGGGAGTAGATAGTGGGAGCAAAAGCCCATTTGGCTTTCACGACATGATGCGCAATTTGTCTGGAGGTAGCAAAAAGAGCGGTCTGTGGCTGTTGGGTGTCGATGAGCAGGCAGTCGTGTTGCAAAAAGCATCGAGTCATCATGTGGGCTTCTGTGAAGACGGCGCCTTCCTTTGCCTCGAAAGAGTGACGGTCAAGGATACAGCGAGGCAGACTGGACAGGGGGCATTCTGCTGTTGCGGGGAAGGTTCCCTACTAGTGTTGCTTCACTGTACTGTCCGCGATAATGCTGAGTCTGCTCTGCTATGTGCGCGAGGCGGACGTGCCATTCTTCGCCACTGCACGATCGACTATTTGCCACGACAGGCCATCGAAATTCGAGAACTCGGTTCCGCCAGAATCGAAAATTGCGTCATCAGGAAGTGCATGCAAGGGATCTGCGCCTACGGTGGGGCGCACAGTCTGTATGCCCGTAATGTGCTTATCGAGGACTTAGAGAAAGAAGGACTTTTGTTCGCCGGCGAGAAAGATAATGCAGCAACGCTCATGCAACAGCAATTGAGCGACGCTGCTCGCACTACTGGCGCCATTCCGGGTCTCGCCTTACCGAAACAACAGATGACCTGTCCCGTAACCTTGGAGGCCATCAAGTTCGCCAAGAACTGCGGTTACGACGGATGCCTTCGGGTTTGCCTGGACGGCGTCACTGTCAGCAACGCAGGTTTTTACGGGATGACCTGCGACTCGGGTTGCACAGTTGTAATGCGGGGATGCCGCATCCAGAAGAATGTGGGAAACAGCAAACCTTTAATGGCGCCCTCTGGTTTGCTCATCAAGGGCGGTACTGATGTCAGCGCGGAGCGTTGCGCCTTTCTGGAAAACGCGAAGGCCGTTAATCTTGAAATCAACTACGGTGGAAACGTTAGTTTGGACAAATGCATCTTCTACAACAACAAGGAGGACATTTCTGATGTAGCCAACAGCAACAGCGCGAAGAGCAAGATGAAGCGGATCCAACTCGCCATGAAAATGCAGAACTTATGGACTAAGCCGCCTTCCATCACGGACCGCGTTGACGCAGACAACGCAGAAGACGTTCCCAAAGCGGCAGAGTTGCTAGCGACATTTGGCGATTCTATTGCGAGAGCAGGCGTCTCCGAGAAGGCCTGTCCAACTCATCCACGCAAAATCACGATGCCGACTGTGTCCGATTTTGGACCCGCACGTACGCGCAAGGATGACGAGAAGTCGTGTTACTACGGAATCGGGAATTCTCGGGGAAAGGACCTGCTGGCCTCCATGGAAACGTCCTCGACGGACAAGAAGTACTCCTTGCTCCTGGCGGCATGCGGGGACGTGCGGAACGCGGTGGAAAGCATTCTGGGTTGGTGGTTTCGCACCGGCGCGTCAGACAGCGAGTCACACCTGGACGTGACTATGAACGACCAGAGCGTCAGCATGCTAGTTCGCAACGTCCTCTTGCTGGAGTTGTTTCGCCTTGGCGCGCCCGCAGACGTCGTGATCGACGCTTGGGGCTGTTTGGGCGTGCATCCGGCGTCGAAGGAGTGGATCATGCTGGCCTTGAAGGAGTTGTTAGCTGTTGTCACGTCGTCTCCATCTGGGAGAGTCGACGAGGAACGGCAGCATAGTGATCGGGATTCTATGGACACCTCCCGAACTCAAGCTGAACACATAAAATTCGACGTCGAGGACACACAAACAACATCGGTTTCCTTTCTTGCCGCGTTAGCACCTGAGTTAAAAGCAGCCGCGGAAGAGGTGATCCGTTTGTGGCTCGGTTGCACCTGGACCTTCGCTGAAGTGGAGAAAAAGCGACATGCGGAGGTGATGGTGGGCATCAACAGTGCCGTCTCGCTCTCGGCGACAGCCACTCTACACGGATCTCCAGAACTGCCAAAAAAGGTCGTCGCAAGGAAAGACGATGGAATCGTGGAACATTCGCCTTGCCATTGTCCCGACAATTCTGGAGCGCCAACCACCAGTACAACTAATTTGCTTAGTGCGGGACCTAAAAAATCGAAGAACAAAAATTTACGCAAGAAGTCCGCGGCGGAGAACGCAGGACGTCTTAAGCCAGCTACCAACTCGATGTCTGGCGAAGCGGTGGACACCAAGTTTGTGCGGCAGTATTTGACGAAGCTTTCCTTGGTAGATTTGAGTGTGGCTGGTGCGATTGCGGAATTGAATCCGACGCTCCTGGAGGCACCCGATCTGCGGGCTGAGAAGCTTTACTTCACCAGCTCGCTCATCCGGGTTTGCGGCACTTTGGACTTTGCCGCGTTCATGGCTGCTCGCCTGCCGGGAATTCGGGAAGCTCTGAACTCCGGTCGCGTGCGAATCCGTTTAGCGGCCGGGAACCTCTTTCAGTTCTTCGCGCCGGAATTTCACCACAAGTTTCTGGTTGCGGACTTCACCAACGTCGCTGACTACGTGGGACTCGCGAACATCCTGGCGCTGGCGAAGCACACCTGCACAGAACACATGTATTGCGAGCAAATGCGATTTACACGCGCTCCTGTGGCCGCGCCTGGTAGAAATATTGTAGCTGCTGCTGGGACGAGCTTCTGTCCACCGGGAAGAGCGAACAAGTCCAAGAAGTCTGGAGGTGGAGGTTCATCCACAGCGAACAAAAGTAGCACAACTTGTGACGAAGACACGAAGATTCTTTGCGAGCTGTTGAAGCGCACACTTGGATGTAACACCGTTGACGAGGTCGAGCGGCTCACCGGCTGGACCCCGGCAGAAACGAAAATTGATGATGCTGGTGTAGTCGTTGACATGAAATGGACGAAGTGCAGCTCCGGGCAGGAACTTGCTCTCAATTGCATCATAGAAGAGGACGGTAGTCCGCGGGCAATTTTGCATCCGAGCATTCCGCAGGACCATATCGTCGACTTCTTCTGCCGTCACTCGCCCGTGTACGACCACTTTGGCGGGTTCTGCGCAACGCCTGAAACGCTCGCCCGCTTGGCATTTTCCGAGGACCTGCGCTCCCAAGTATTGTCGCGGAAGGACTCGACGTGCAAGCATTTTTTTGTGGATTATTCGAATATCAATGGCAGAGCTGAAGTGGCTTTTTCACGCGAAAATCCGAGGCTTTTCTGCGTGTTTACTCGAAAAGAATGGTGTGTGCTAAACTTCTCCTTGCTGTCGCGTCACAATGATGTCGCGGACTTTGTCTCGGACACCTTGTGGTCGGCGATCTCCCTTCTCATCATTCCACAGAAGCAGATGCACTCGAGTTTATCTTCGTTGCAGTCTCGCGCGGAAAGCGTCTTTTATGCTCCGGCTGACCAGATTCTGATGCCGCCCCTTGTTTCGAGCATGAAGAATCTTACGAAGACTAAGAGCCGCGGCAGGAGAATCGGGGAAAACGTACGTAATGAGCTGACCGTTTCTCGCGACGATGGAAAAGAATTTATTCTGCATGTAATTCATCGCGTCATCTACGATTCGGAGGAGTGCCGGTTGTCCGTCTGCACGCCCGGGGCTTGGTTTGCAGACATGATTCGCACTGGAAGAGACGAGGGCCAGAAGGTGAATTTCTGCTTGGCGATCGAAGGCGAGCACGGATGGCGTCCTCTAATGTCGGCAATTCCGATGAACGAGTGGTAATCAAGAACATGGAGCTAACGCCTGCAAGGCTGCTCTGGTTGTGATCGTCGCAGTTCGTCTTGACTTTGTCACTTTTCTTGCTTTTCCACTGAACAACTCATAAACAAAAAAACGCTTGTTCCTTACGTCATTTCCCGCGAAGTTGTTTCGTAAGTACATAGTTCTAGTTGCTCTACTACTACACACTTTCAACATCATTCGGTTTGGGCGAAAAAACATGATAAAAGATCTGATATGTATACTACAGTAACCGGCACTGGGAAGTACATAGATCGCATCTGCAGACGCTTGATAGCTAGCAGTAGATAGCAACAGGGATCTTATGTAGTATCTTTACTTGCACCATTACGCATTTTTCATAGATATAGTAACCAATTTCTTCACTTCATTCACATCAATCTTTCATTTCATGTCGCATGTCAATTTCGATAATATCTTTTCCAGATGCGAGCTCATCCTCATTTCATTGCGTCATTCTTGACGTCGCACTGTCACTACCCTCATTCTGTGGATAATTCTTGGTCTTCCTCGGGTTGTTACATGCATTTTCTCGCACATGATGCGAGCTCATTCCATTGAAAATCTCGAAACCCTACAAAAAGCAAATCTGAGAAGGAGAACTTGAAAACAAAAATTAATCGCGTAAAGCAACGTTTCACCAGCAGAAGCGCTATTGCAGGCCATAACCAACTCGTAGCACGGTGACGAGGCATCAAGCAGTATCGAGCGGAAACTCAACGAAATAGATAACTGATTGAAAAGCACAAAAAGGGAATGGAAATTTCGGTTTCTGAAGGTGAAAGACCTCTCTGTTTTTCGTCTCCAGAAAAGGAGCTCGAAAAATGCACGGCAATGCATGTCTCTAAAAAATAAAAGCTATTGGAAGTATGAAACTGTCTTTTCCACCGATCCTCGAGAGAAAGGAACAGTCTGAAAATCGTCTGAGAGTGTGGTGAGATTACCTAAGATATTCCTATCGGTGAAAAGTAGCCGGGTTTTACTTCATGATCAGTCATGTTTAAGAGACTAAAAAAAAAGTAAAGAGAAAGTAGCCTTTAACTTCAGGAGCTACTTCTGGCGTCCTAGATATGAGCAGAACGCGATCCAACAAAGATAAGGAGAATTGGATAGAAACGTTGAGCAAATGAAGAAATAGAGACCAGTACTGTATCCTTCCCAAAGAAATACCCCAAACAAAAAATAAAATGAGTCGAAGGCATGTTGTCAGCCCTGCCCCTCCATAAATTCTATGTATACAAAAGATTGAGATTCTAGTGAACAATTGAGATAGCATTAGTTACCCAGTATTACCACTGAAAATTGTAGCCCACAAGCTCCGCCGCGATATCAGTAACTCCGAAATCCTCAGTACTGCAAAGCGAGATTATGTTGTCGTCGGGCGGGGGTTCGCAGCACCTCGATCCGGGTCAGGCTGAGAACTTGATCTACTACTACTTGCGCGATGGCTCAGTGCGCAAGGCGGTCGAGGTAGCCCAGGATCAGCGGGAGCTCGGATTATGGAGAGCTACCGCACTCTGGTGCGAAGGCTGTTCAGGCGCAGTCAGTCGCGAGCGCGAGGCCATTCGAGAGGCTGAGGCTGTGGCGGAAATGGGTAGTTAATACTTGCGTATCATGCTTTAATAGGAAGTTGGGCATTTTTTCGAAGAAGAAGAATACAGCGATAGTGTTAGCGATATTTTGTCTGAGGAAGTAATACTTGTCCCTTCCAACAATGAAAAATCACTCTCTCGCCTCTACTCTTTCTGGCACTTATCTCACGCTTAACTACATGTTAATATTTCGCTTCTAGGCGGTCGCGATTATCTGTTTGCGGCTAATGCTGCGGCAAGCTATTTCCACGAGCGTGCACAGTATCCTGATATGGAGTGCGTCAGGAAATTCCAGGACCGCGCGATGCAGGAACAACAGGGAGCAAGTGAAGATGTATGAACAACATGTGGATGTGGAGTGTTAAGTATTATGTCATTTTTGTCTAATAGATTCTGTTGATGGCTATAGTTGTCACTTAGTCTACTCACATGATTTTCCTGAAGACTAGCACTAGCTACCACACACTAGAAGAACCTGTGTCCACTAGTAATATCCACTTCCCAAACCCGATTCCTTTTCATACGAAGCGAAAGTCACTTGTGGGTTTTTCTTCCTTTTCGTGGGAGAGCGGGACCGTGCGAGGCAGATCGCGGACACTCTGTCGAGGAATCGAGTCACTGCTACTTTTCTAGCCTGGACCCGCTACGAAGAAGCTGTGGCAGATAGTCGACGTCAGGGATCCGCGGGGGCGACAGCTGTGGGAAAAGAAGGTATATGCTTTTTAGTTATAATACTTCGCTTATTTTACAATACTAGTAATCTTATTTACTCTACGATAATAATCTCGTGTAAGATAGGATTTTTGACTATCTAAGGTTCAAAAGACTTTACGATAATAAGTAAATACTAATCTTCGAGACAGCAGCTTGATGGAAGTTGTTGTAACGTCCTCTCAGTGATGGAAGTACATCAACATTCCGTCACTTACTGTTCGGACTATCCTATGGTTTCGACTACCCACAGCATTACGAGAATGCACTGCGTTATTAGATGAGTTCGTCATCGGGGAGCAAGGACGCGAGTTGAGGATATCGCAACTCGACGGTTTGATGCTGAAGGCTAAATTGATGGAACTGAGCAAAAATTGGGCAGCAGCTGTCGAGTTTTTGAACCAAGCCATCGTCTACTTTCCTTGGTACAAGAACTACTAACTCCGTTTGTTGTTCCCAGTTCCGTCCCTACGGAAACCTGGTAGAAAGAAACAAGACCAAGAGGACAGGCTTTCTTCGGAAGATAAAAGCATCCGTAGAATTTCTTCATGTAACAAGCAGCGTGTTATAGAAGTCCCACCGCAGAAAAATGTTCTAGGACTACTTCAAGTACATTGTAGTTCGCAACAGTCCTAGTAGAATTTCTAAATCCTAGGTTCTGAAAAGTCGTCATGTAAGATTCACCCCATCAGGTACCAACCAGCAATAGCAGAGCGTGGTAGAGTACAAATGGCAAGCGGCGACTGGGATCAAGCTTTGGAAACATGTGCTCGCCTAGAAGAACAAGCTGGCGGTCCTACGGTGGATAGTCTCAAGTTAAGACGACTGTGATAGATAAGGATATCCGCACGAAATAATGGAACTGGATGACAGATTCAGGGTCACTCGTCAAGCGGGATTTTGAAAATGATTGTCTGCGAGGACAAAATTCCTGGTCGTACTAGAATGAAAAAACCTAGTTGAAGATGCAGTATCACGCACATATAATCACCATCGTACACCTACATTTACTCGCCTCTGATTTGAGCAGCTCTAACTACCATCCAATTGTTGCATTTGGTTACCAGAGGTGGGACCGGTGGTGGCGGATCAGTGGTGGAGACGACCGTGAGCAAGCTAGAACAGCTTCTTCGCATCTTAGCGCAGCGGGAGCCATTCAATGGTCGGATGCTCATGGAAAATGTGCAGCTCTTCTCCAGGCTCGCTGGCCGTAATCCTCGTTATGGTAGTGTATCTATAGGTAGTACGCTGCAACTAGCCCTTGAGAAGATCCAAAATTGAGTTGATGATGAGGCACCTCTCATTTTTTCAAGATCAAGATGCTTTTTGACGACCGATGTTGGTCTTGATTATATCCTTCTTGCTTAGAAGTACAATCTTGAAGATTCTATCCTTCTTGCTTATCATCTTTGCTTATAGGCTTTTCCCTTTAAGAACATAGTCAGAGGTTGTGCTCCAAATATCGATATCCTCTTTCTACCTTTAGGCTATCCCACCTTCTTGCAACAGATCCTTCTTGCTCGTGTTGATGATGAGGCACTTCTCATTTTTTCAAGATCAAGATGTTGATCTTGATTAAATATCCTTCTTGCTTAAGAAAGTAGAAGTATTCATAACAATATTTCTTGCTTAGAAGTGTCCTCCATATGCAGCTTCTAACGTTGAATTCTCCGTGTGACCCACCACGCGATGCAGACTTTTGTTGAGAATCTGCAGACGGGCCAGAAAGAAACTTCCGCATATGTTACGGAACTGGGGCAACAGTTCCTCCTTGTGGAGGATTACAAACGTGCGGGAGAGGCCTTTCAGAAGGCATCGTCACGCAACGACGCCGACCTCAACGCTTTGCTAGGCTTGATCCAGTGTCGCATAGCTGAAGGCCACGTCGATGACGCGGCAGAACAGCTAGAGTTTCTTCGGGAAACGCAAGCATCCTTCGGTCGCTCTTCGCGGAGTTCCTATTTAGGAGCCTTGGTAGCACAAGGACGCAAACAAGCGTATGGCATGTTTAGTGGTAGGTTTGCTGGTAGGTGCACTTCTACAACTTTTTTTTTTCGAGACAGAAGTAGTCGCTCCTTTTTCTAGACAGAAGTAGAGCTGATGAACGAAGGAAGAGAAGAGCAAGCGAAGCGTCCATCTTCTAATGTCCAACTGCATTACAACTTCTCAACGAAGCCTTGACCGTGCACATCAGTGACTTCCGCACCAGCATTGGCTATGAATTCTATGCAAGACTCGACGCTGATTACATGATGTGCATCAGCAATGAGTATATCGCATCTGCCAACGTCTCAGCGGGTACTTTATGTTGACGGCTCATCAGTAATTGAGATTGAGGTTAGTATTAGTTAGAAGTAGTAGTAGTACGTCGACGTACAAATCTAGGTCAGAAGGTGGGGCTTCGGAAGGTTCCCTACTCTCCATTTTGTCATTCCGGATCGATGAAAGCTGTTACAATTGCCTTCAGAGCTCTGGCGTCTTAAATCTAAGACCCTCCTCAAAGAAGGGCGGCAGTCAAGTGACCCGAGCATTGCAGGTTCTCGAAACGCTGTCGAAGTTTTTGCCTGGTAGCCTGAGTGTCCAGATCGCTTTGGCAAAGGGTAAATTGACCAGTGGGGCAGTTGACGATGCGGTTAGGCTTCTCGAGAGCTGCCTGTCCATAGATCCGGCGCATGCAGATACCTACGTTTTGCTGGCGCGGACGCACTTAGACGCCAACGAAGTCTATCTGGCCCTCAAGGTCTTGGAGCAAGGTGTCTCCCGGGATTTCAGCATACGAAGTCATCCGCTCTATCATCTTACGGAGACGAGATGAACTCGATGTTTAACAGCAACAACAGCTTAATACTTAACTTTTTTTGTGATTCTGTTACTGTTTCTGATTCAGTGATCTTCATTCTAGTTTCGAATTCGCTTGCTTGCTACCTACTGCTACTTTCAGAAGATCTTCTCAGCAAGACGAAACAAGCTCCTTACTAGTACTCGTGCTTAGCACTCCTTCTCCTTCATACCGTTGGTGAAAGCGCGGATGATTCAAGCAGAGCGCGGGGACCGCGACCAGGCGATACGAGTGCTCGAGGACTGTCTTCGTCTACCTGGTGTCCGGCAGGCGAGCAATCAGACGTCGACTTTATGCTTCATGTACTTGCTTTAGCTTGTTATGATAGTCGCAGCTAGAAGTCGTAGTTTTGCACATCCTGTGACGAGAGAGGATGCAACATTATACATAGAGTTTTGTCATCGACTCCATTGAGTCGATAGTACGAAAACGGATCCAGTTGTGCTGCGTCATGACCACAACTTCTATACATTCTTTCACTTGCTCACGATCTCCCCTTTGACGTAAGTAGTTACTTTCATGACACTCTCCTGCGGTGACAGTGGAAGATCGTGCGAGCGTTTTTCTCCTGTTGGTCGAACTCTACGGTAAAAGCGGGCGGGCAGGCGAGGCGTCGTCTTTGCTTGGCGAAGCAGCAAGGGAGTTCAAAAATTCGAAGCAGGAAGTTCGGATTTTGATCGCGCAGGCTGAGCTACAAACCGCTCGTGGGGATGTCGATAGGGCACTCCAGCTCCTCGAAAACGCACTGGTACAGATGGGCAGCGAACAAACCGGACAGGCGGCTCAATTCAATTATGAAGACAAGGACCAGTTGTAGGTGTAGCCGTAGGAGTGACATTTGAATTTCACGTTTCCAGTTTTGAAGACGGCAAGTGAGTAAGTATGTTGTAACGACCTAGTCTTTCTTACGACTAGCAGTAGTTTGCACCAATTCATATTCACCCTAACCCTAAACCATTAGACGCATCAAACGAAAATAAATTCACCCTAACCGAAAACCATTAGACGCAATCGCAAACGAAAATATCCTTCTAATCGGAAGTAATCAAGAGGGAACAAGCGAGGCTGTACTTGGACCACAAGAACGATTCTCGATCTTTTGCCCGCTGCCACCGAGAAATTCTAGACCAGGATCCCGAAGACGTGCAGAATTACCTCAGTCTTGGTGAGGCGCTTCTCGAAATTTGTGAGCCACAAGAGGCGATAGCGGTACATCAACTACAAATAAAGTTTGAAAGTGTGTGGATATCTTTGAGAGGTATTTTTTGATGATATTTATAGATCCATACGAAAACTGAAAATTTGCGAAAAGCTAATGGGAATATTAGAGTTACTACGTACTTTTTTAAGTTTTCGCATATCACACTCAAATCCCATGACTTTCATAGGTATTCGAAAAAGCGTTAGCGTTTTCAGCCGAAGACAAGCGCATCGACGCAACTGAGCTGATTCGAAAGATTGGTGGGGCTCTCGTTCTCACGCACGACTACGAGACAGCGATGAACTACTACGCTAATGCTCTGAAGCGGGACCCATCGGCAACGGAACTGCGCTTAGATCTTGCGCGGCTGCACATGAGGCTTCAGAGCTGGTCAAGGGCAGGAGGAGAACTCGAAGACGCTCTATCGAAGATACAAGGTTATGCGTTCTTCATCTTCTTGCGGATAGAACAACTAAGTAGAAAATAATAGTGAGAGTTGCAAGTTCAATGTCCTCGCTCAACAAGAACAGGATCATTGGTTTTGACATTGGAACAACTACTCTTTCACATACAATAATAGTGAGTTGTACACTTCTGAGCAGCTAGCTCTAGTTTACACTAAATCATGATCAACAACAACGACCCTTCATTCTGCGGATAATGTGAAGACGCTGCGGCAGAAAATAGAGGTTCTCCTTACTCTCGCCACTGTGCATTTAGAGAGTACTGTCGCGTCCTCGTCGTCCTCATCCCGCAACTTTGGAGCATCTGTATGGCACGACAATATCTATGGAATTGAAAGTCAAAACGACTTTTGATGTTTCTCAGTTTTCTCACGTCGATGTCAATTAACTCCTTCAGTCAGAGTCTGGACTACTTCAAGAACTTGCTAGAAAACTCCTTCCATATGTATTTGTATGCTTCACTTGAGAAGAACCTCTCTCATTTCCTGGAGGAACGACTGGTGATCTTGCCCCAGCGCCTCTAGCAGCGGAAAAGCTCAAATACGCTTTAACCCTACAGAAGGAACTAGTGGACAGGCTCAGTATGGAAGATTATGCTGGCCTCATGATATTGCATATTTTTGAGTTCTCCTTTAATCTGCAATTAAATGTACTAGAAGAGGATCGCATGCGAGGTGACCATTTTTTCCACCTCCACTGCTATCCTGTGACACATTTTTGAGCAGTTGCTACACCCGAACAACCCTAAGGCCTAGTCCAAACGCTACAGAGACAAGGACAACAAGTTCTTAGGAGCTCTAAGTTCAAGATAGAAGGGATAAGCTGTCATATGCTGATATCGCTTTTCGCCTTGCCGAGTATTACACGTCAAGAGAACGCAGTCCTCAGCAGGCAGCCGACTACTATCGGGAATGCCTCTCTTTCCACGAGTCGCATGAAAAAGCAATGCTTGCGCTTGCAAAACTTCATTTATGGCACCGTTTCTATTTCTAACATGCTTTTTCGTTCTATTCCAGTACCCTGGTGTGTCTTTGCTCAGGTCCTCTTCATCTGTCCAACTACGTAAACTTTTGTATCTATAGTAAGTAGAGATCGTCCTGACTAATATTGAAGTTCAACCGTGACTGATGATTGGTATTCTCACTTCTTGATCCCGTGAAACCTTCTTCATTCCCTATGGCCGAAGGCAATTACGAGGCGTGCGAGCAGCAATTAGGGGTGCTGCTTCGGCTCGAATCGTCCTCAGAAGAAGCCGTTGAGGGCTCAACACTCATGGCAGAGTTGCTCATGCTTTTAGCAGCAAACGGTACTTATAGATACTATTAGCCACCTGAACGCAAAAAGCGAAAGCTCCATCCACCCCAGGAACTGTCAATACCCTTTGTCTCTTCTCTCGGTAATGGAGACACTTTACACAACTGTCTTCATCTAGTACCATTTTTTCTCAGGTAGCCGTAGCGAAGGCGGTGCGCAGGAGTATAGGGACGCGACGTTTCATTACCGACGACTCCTAGAAAAGAAGCCCTGCGATTGGAAATCGTTGAGTCGATTAGTCTATCTGCTGAAACGAGCTGGCAAACTGAAGGAGTTTGAACGCTACTTGCTCAACGCAGAAAAACATCTTCGAAGCTACAAAGACCCGCAACAGGAACCTGGATTTCGGTAGTATTATGCTATGGAAAGAGGTTGTGAGCACGAAGTGATAGTAAATAGGGTAATGGTGTTGGTTCGCATTTATTCGCATAATAATACTACTGAACATTATAAGCTAGATGATCTCAACATAATTGTTCACTTCTGCAAGAAATTGAGGATCCTTGAATCTTCATCACCTTTTCACCATCATCATATCTGCATCCAGGTTTTGTCGAGGCCTCTACGCGCGCTGTATGAATAGGGGTTCTGAGGCACTAGTGGATCTGAACTTTGCGAGAACGCGGGATGTCGAATGGAGGAGAGAGGCCACACTGGAAATGATTGAGCTTTATCTCTTCCCAGATCCAAACAAGCTGTCACTAGACGCTCTACAAGACGGCGAGGGACACGGCGAGCACGTCTATCGGGAAGTCGATCTCCTTATAAACGAGCTGCTGCAGAATGTTACGGACCACAACGCACGAGGGAGTTGTACTTGAGTTTCACTTTGTCAAGACATTATGCCTCTTCAACAGACGAGACAATTGGTCTCTGTTTGTTGAGCGGCGTTTGATTTGACTAGTTCATGCTGAAAACAAGAGAAGATAAGGAGTCAACATACTCTCGTTGGCCGAATTTGGACTACCGCTACCATAAGCAGAAGGCATTTCTATTTTCAATTGAGTGCATACCTCCTACGGGCATACTCTAACATGAAGAGTTCAGCAATAGGAGCTGCGAGTAGGCAACGGGAGAGCTTTCAGCGGGACCTCTTGGGGAGGCTACGGGTTTACCAGGCCTCAAACGCAATCTTCACGAAAAGGAAAACTGAAGTCGATCGCGGTTTGCAAATGTTGATGGAGTTATGATTTGGTTTAGTCCGTTCTACGACTATCAGTCTGTAGGTTTCGAGTAGAGCTTGCGATCCTTATGGGTGTTGATATGGAGTGTGGTGTGTATACCCCTAGATTTTGTTGTAATTCCTTGCTAGAAAATGGATTATGCTACAATCTTGTGAACGACGATAGTCGAGTACAGAAAATCGGATCAAAAAGACGCCCTGTGGGGGCTACCCCCCACTTCTACTGACTCGCCTTCATCGCTGCTCTTCAACGCGGACAAGAACTACGTGCCTGCCGTCTTAGCGATGAGCCAAGGTCTCATAATTTCGAAACAACTGACTAAAGCGAGAAATCAGCTAAAACGGATTGCTGAAATCGCGAGGCAGAGCTATAACCCAGATTGGGCGGATGACTTCGAGAAAGCCTGGCTCTTACTGGCAGACGTTTACATCAGCGGGGGAAAGGTATTGATATAGAGGATTTAGACCTTTTGTAGCACGGGTAAGATTTAGATCTTTCGAGATGGAGTAGATCTTCTAGAACGAGAGTCTACATCTTTCTAAGATTAAGGCAAAGTCGTTTATGAGCATAGACGATGACGCGTAAACGAAAGCAATAGGATGATATTACGCTGATTTTCCTCAAGAACAACAGTAACACAGTCATTTTCATCATTCAAACCGCACTAGTACGAGTTGGCCTCGACCTTATGTCATCTCGCCTCAACGCACAACCGGTCGAGTGGAAAAGCATGGGAAAGCCTGGGTCTGATATACGAGAAGGAGGCTGGGCACAAGGAAGCCGCGACCTACTACGAGAAAAGCTGGGAGCTAGCCAGGTCCACGAACGTTGGATTTCGCCTCGCTTTTAACTACCTAAAGGCGAAACGCTTATGAAAAGAGGATCTCTGTAGGATCCATAACACCAGGTGTTGTACTTGAGCAGCTCGCTTGAGGAGTTGGTTTATCAATTTAGTTTGAGTTTGTTTTTGCAACCACAACTACTACCTAGCGCTACGGTTGTACTATTAGCGAGCATTGTGCACCTTTATGGTAGGTCTCCTTCTCCACCTAAGCCCACACCTCTGAATAGTTTGAGGAGTTGGTTCATCAATAGTCCTCCCACACCTCCCACACCCACACCCTTTCTTCATTTTCCATGATCGAGTGCATTTTGATCTGCCAGCAGGTGTTGAAGATGAATCCGCAATATCCCAAGATACAGAAGGAGATATTGGACAAGGCAAGGATGGCATTGCGATCGTGATTGGCTGTTTTGTTTCTGCGTTTCTCTGCCGTTTTGTGTACGCTTGCATCCTGGCGATGTTGGGAGACGAGGAGGACGCATTCCATTATAGGTGTAGTAGAGTATTTTTTTCGACGGTGGATGGAAAGAGTGGTATCTTCATCTTCAGCCTGCTCTTCACGATATTTTCAGTCATTTTTGGGCGTACCATACGACCAGTGCAAAAGTTTGAGTATTAATCGATGCTGTCGCTCCTGATTACTAGCTGTAGAAGCAAACTGGCGTTCTTATGGCCTGCTGTGATCTTCTTGTTGTTGAGTAAGCAGTACAAGTTAGTACTTTTTTTCTTTTTGGATACGAAACGAACAGCGCTGACAATAAACGCCGGATAGGATTCCATTTAGAGGAATGAGCACAAGGAAGTTGAGCTTGAGTTCTATGTGTACTAAACGCACAAGGAAGTCCTGTATGTTGAGATTGATGAGCAAGAACGTCAACATGTGCATGGATGTAGATTCGGAAAGAGTTTCGTCCACGAGTATGCGATCCCCGATTCCTAGTACAGTTTTTCATTGCAGTAGATACTGCGTTGCATGTTCTGCCGACTGAAGTGGATACACGCCACATCAAGGGTTGACGCGAGTATAAATCTAGAATCACCTCCCGCCTGGAGATGAAGATCTTGTAGCCAGTATGATCTTGTGTGCCCACCTTCTTGTGCAAGTCTCTCAACATGAATCCATTGCTGTTGTCTGTCCTTGTGGATGGATGTTGAAAGCAAGTACTTACAACATCCTTTGGATCATTACATTACATATAATAACCACACAATTCCTTTCTCGATGAAGTGTTTTCCTCAGCATATATTGTATCAATTCAATAGTGGAATCTCTTTTTTTATCGTGGTTTGTTGCTAAGCGAGGTTGTACTTACCTCAAAAAGACACCGAGAAGAAGTCCTGAGATTGATAGCTCCACTTCACTCAATAAAAATGTGTTTTTTGCTTCGACGTCGTCGTCCTTAAGTATTTATTAGTTACATCTTTCTTTGACTTTGTCGCTCTCGCTTCTAATTCCCTTTATTTCATCACCCGTAGAAAATCATCATCATGATGTCGTACGATACGGGTCGCGGCATGAAAGTCCCCTCACTGGGGAAGCAGATTGCCGGGATTCTTCGGGATTATCCAGGAACGGTCGAAAATGTTTTGCAGGAATTTCTCCAGAACGCGTCTGACGCAGGCGCTCGCGAATTTGCTATGGAACTCCATGACACGAGTCTAGTAGTTTGGAACGACGGGGACTTCACCCTGGACGACCTCGACAGCTGGGAACGCATCAAGGATAGTGGAAAGGGGTATAAATTTTCTGTTGCGCTGCTGCTTGGAGGTGCTTGTTTGGTGCGCGACTTACAACTTGGTATATTAAGTGATAATTCATCCTTGGGGCTTTTCCATTTTTCTATTTTCCAAACAAGATAACTCATCAGTGACTTGGTTGTTACTCCCATCTTTAACAGCGACAAACCAACGACTCTGGGCAGCAAAGGATGTGGGGCGAAGTCCTTCTTCCATTTCAGTGATGTTATCATCCTGGTTTTCGGCCACATGGTCTACGTAACCGACCCGCTTGAGGTAGTCGTGACCGACAAGAACTTTCTTTACGATCTCACCGAGAAGAAAGACCGGATGCGCCTGCGGGAACTTGGAAGGACAAAAATCAAAGCGAGATTCGGAAAAGACTTCCACGAGAAACTGTGGGTTCCTTCAGTCGACGCACCACATCAGAAACTTTTGAGGGAACAAGATGGAGGTTTGAGCGCCTCCGCGAGAAGAGGGACTCACTTCATTTTGCCGCTCCGCAGGGATGATCACGAGTCGGCATTTGCGGAGTTCGGCTGTCTGCAGGTGGACAAGGAAGAAAAATCTCTCCGGAACATGCCGAAGAAGATGGCCGAGCGCCTTTTGCATGCACCGATGAAATTGCGGCGTTTAGCAATCGCCTTTGCCGGGCGTTGGCATCTGGAAACGACTTTCAGCTATGAACCTGACAATAAGGACGTCGTGACACACGAAAATGTCCTCCAGAATCTTAGTTCGCGAGATGAAGCTGACCACGCGTATGAAGTACGGAACGAAACATCAGCTTCTGAAGCCTGTGCTAGCGGCAGCCTTTCCCGCCTGTCATCCTCGTCCCCCAAACGCCAACGGCTGGAGGATGGTTCCTCTTCCAGTCGTCGCGCATCAACAAGCAGAGATGGAAATGACAGTACTCTTTCTTGCTTCAGAAATCAACAAGGGCCTTGCACGTACGCGGACGTTTTCACGGCGCTGAAAAAGTTTGAAACCTATGATGAGCTCCATGATGAGGTTGATAGCGAATGGGCAGAGGAAAACGGCTTCTTGGGACTCAAGTGTTTCAAGTACACAGCTGAGGTAAAAGAAATTCCTTGTTGTTCTACTGGGAATAATATCAGCAACATCAAGTCTGGACCTGGATCTACTGCTTCTGCTTCTGCTGGACCACGAGCATCTTCTTGTTGTTCTCCCCAATCTGCTCTTGCTGGACCACGAGCATCTTCTTGTTGTTCTCCCCAAATCACGGGAACAAGCGGAACAACGAAATACAGTGTCTCAGCACGCGTTTACTTCAAAGTTCTGACCGACCAAGACCGGTTGATGGAAGCTGCTACCAAGGCAAGAGAGTTGCCAATAGTCGGGGTCGCGTTCAGATTGGACAACAAGAGTTTCAAATCCGCGGTCTGCAACTTCTTGCCGTTGCCACTCGCGAAGACGGGACTTCCTTTCCAGCTCAATGCCTCCTTTGCGGTTCTGGAAAACCGGCAGAATTTGTATTTCCCCGAAAATATCGCAGAGCACGTGAAGCTAAAAAAGAAGGACGCCCGTGCGAGATGGAATCAAATCGTGATTGGCGAAGCTCTGCCTGCGCTGGTTGCCCATGCGCTGGAAAAAGAAGCAATGAGACTGACGAACACAGACGCGTCTCCGGAGCACGGCTCTTGTGGTCTTGCGAAGGACCACCTCGCTCAGTTCTGGAGATACTTTCCGGAACCCGCGCAGGTCAGCAACAAAGAAGAGTGGCTGCTATTTCTGCACGCCCTGAAGGAGAGGATAAAGGGCAGCCAAATTTTACCAGTGGTCGGCGCGAAGGGAAGGATTGGAGTGTTCGAGCCAACTGCGTGTCTTGCTTTGAGCGCAGAAGTTGACAACTCTGGAAATATGCTGGAAGAAATTATGGATGCTAAGCATCAGTTCCTCGAACGTGCACTCGAAGAAAGCGCTCGCCTGCACATGCCCAAGGGGAAGAGCAAAGGCGCCTCGCTGTCGGTGCAGCGCGCAGACTTTGTGTTATGCGGCTTGGGCAAACCCATCTTCCAGCCACCGGTGGAACACAGACAAAAACTCTTGGATCTGATGGGCATTCCCACACTGACCCTGAAAAAGTACACGGAGCAAATTTTTTTTCCACGGTACTCAATTGAACTGTTGTAGTCATCTTTCATATTGTCGACCGATTTACTTACTTAAGCATAAGAGAATAAGTGGAACTTCCGAAGTGCGCATAATAAAGACTGTTTCTACCTCTGCAGGACCTAAAAACTTTTAATGCGAGGTAGATATAAGTAGAAACTCACATTGTTTTTCGCTGAAGACAACGAAAGGTAGAAGACGTAACTATGTATAAGTAAGAAACAAGAACAAACGTCAGGTACTCTCAATTCGCTCAAGAAAATGCCAGTTTCTTGCCGACGGTGAGGACAGTTTTGCATCAGATTTTAAAATCCGTGGACAGTTGCGGCATCGTCTTGCCTCCAGATTACTTTGTGCTCGAAACCCGCTGTCAATCTGGGACGACCAAATTCGTCCGACCGGCAGAGTTACTTTTGCCGGCCGACCATCGGGACTTGGAGGGTTTCTTGCCACCGAGCAGCTTTCCCGTTGTGGATGACAGAGTGATCGATGCGGTCCATCGACAACAGCCTTTTCGACGTATCTTGCACGACGACGATCTGAAGTTTGCGCTGCAGCGGATGTGTGAGGCGGTTTTGGTCATAAATAGTAGTCCCTCAAATAACGGCGTGGACGTCCAAACTATGACAAAATTGAAAAAAGGTGCCGGTGCAATAGTCTCGCATTGCGTGGTAACTAGTGGCTTTTATCCTGCTCAGAATCACCGTCTGCGCGCTGACCTGCTGTACTCATTTTTATCGAGCAATGTTTACACGAAATTTCTCAATCACGATGAGCGGATGGAGTCACTGTTCCAGGTGACTAAGCTCGTGCACGACGCGAGGATGCACGTACCAGATGGGGCGGTAGGCATGTTTCGGACGCTAAAGTACATTCCAGTGGTGGAGAGGGACGGGACGACTGCATTGGCAAGCCCAGAAAATTGCAGCCTCTCGGAAGTAAATTTTCGGCCATACCTTTATTCCATCTCTGGCGTCTATGATGGTGACAGAGCCGCGTGGTTCCGTCTTTTCGGTATTACTCACCAGTGCACTTTGGAGCAGCTCGAGGGCGTCCTGAGACTTCTCCACAAGTGGCAAATTGAAGATAGTACTAGTGGCGCTAGAGCAGGCAGAGGGACAGCTGGCGACGCAGTGTTCTCAAATGCCGAGCAGAACGAACTCGGTTATCTGTACGCAAAACTCGGAGAAACCTTGCGGCAAAATATCGATCAGGCTGTTGCAGTAGACATTCCGATTCTGTGTCAGGACAACAGGATGCGTCCAGCGTCGGAAACGTTTTGGGGTGCACCACGACAGGGAGTGGCGCTGGATAATTGCCCGTCTGTGCACAATGAAGTTTTCGAGGTTCACAAATGTGTCAGTCCCGAGACCGCCTCTGCTTTAGGCGTGCGAAAGTTAGACGAGGTTATGGACCTGGGCCTCTTCGGTGCAGGAGCATCTTCGAGCGAAAACTACGGACAAGAGGCGAATCTGGTGTCTGATCTCCGTCGAACGATTGAGGACTATTCTGGCCTGATCGACCTGGAGACGATCGTGCGGGAGCATGCGCAGAACTTCGATGACAAGAAAGCGTCCGAAATCTGCATTGTGCTGGACGAGCGGAAGTTGAGCAGCACAGAAGCAAGAGGGCGCATCGACGCGCTGGGTTGCGGTGCCAGCGTGTTCATCTGCGGCGACTCGGTATTCGAAGAGAGCGACTTTGCGAACATTACGAAATTCGGTGCCTCGAAGAAACGCTCGCAGTTTGACTCGGACGGCCGCTTTGGGATCGGTATGGCTAATAATTTCATTCTCACTCCGCAGCTAGAATTCTGGTCCGCGAACCACTTCTGCGCGTTGGACCCCTGCAGGATTGGAGTGGCGAAGGAGCGTCTAAAAACGTCGCGGCCAGGAGTGAAGTACCCAGTGGAAAATGTGGAGCAATTCTGGCCTGGTCACATGGCGCCACTCGAGAAATTGAGAGAGAAAATTGACGATTTACCTACCGGCACGGTGTTTCGATTACCCCTTCGGGCAGAAGATGACGAGCTCGGAAAAGCTAAGAACGCTGACACGACAAAGCTACTGAAGGCACTGCAGAAAGTGGGCGAACATCCCCAGGCCTTCTTTTTCTTCGACAAGTATCTGCGACGCTACCGCATTTACAACATCAAAGCGTCGGGGCAGGTGCTTAAGCTTTGGGACTGGAAGAAAACTTTCGAAAGCCTGAAAGCTGGAGTAGCAGATCAAGTCCGGGTCAAGATGCAGGAGACCGACTTTTTCAAGAACCTCAACGTGCTTCAGAGCCCAACGGAGCTATACGATCGAACACCACGCGGTCATTGTGACGTCGATTCCGAGTCCGGCGCGCCTGCCGCGTTCTTGCAGCAATTCGGAAAGAAGTTCGCAGTCTTCGCAACCATGAAGTTGCAAAATTTGGCGGCGACTGGTGCACACTACAGTTCTCTAGCTAAATCTACTACAGAAACTACCGGAGATGACCAGCAGGAGCAGCCAGCGGAACTGGACTTCATTCAAGCTCTTTTTTACAACGGCGAGTACTTACAGGAGGCCCTGAACCACAAAAAAGAAACGGGGTACGCTGTGTTGCCGATCGGTGGTGTCATGATTCCACTTCGGATCGCCTTTCGAAGCCAAGTAGACCGCGCTTCGACAGGATCGAGTGCTGCCTCAACACCAGCGCTGCAAAACTACGAGTACTTTCTGGGTGATCTGGAATTCGGTAAATACTCGAAGTCGCAGTGGTGCAATCGATTTTTCTGCTTCCGTGAGCTTCAGATCGAGGGTCACGACGACCAGTGTAGCGATTGCTTTGTCAATGCGCACTGGCATCTGGTGTCCAGTCGCGCGAGATTCCAGATTGATGAAAAAACTGGTTGGAACAAAATGCTGATGACGTCAGTGGTGCAGCAGTGCTGGTGCTTCGCTTTCCTCGCAGCCTTAGCGTACTTCCAAGATCTGCAGAGAGAGGATTTTTCCGCGTATGCGGCAGCATTGCAGGCGAAAAAGTCGGCGCTCGGAGTCAGTCAACATGGTTCGCAGTCGCGTGAAATGGAATTGGAACGATTTCGGACCAAACACCAGCCGCAGGCGAGAGTGATTTCTGCGTTGCGGGACTTGGTTCCGCAGTCTTACCCCAGCAGGGGCAAGTCGTCGGGGGCCTTCTGGAAGCAGTTGGCTGTCGAATCCATCAAGTATCTGTGCGACCACAAAGTTCCTTGTGTGCCAGTATCCACAAAGGTTGCCAGCGACGCAGAGCTGAAGGAGACGAGGATTTTCCTCGACCAGGCGCGGGTGCTCAAGCTGATTGCAGAGGAAGTGGAGTGCCCCATTTTAATGGGTTTCTCGGCGGATCTTGTTTACTTCAACACGGGACGCCACCACGTATTTGACCGCGCATGTATAACCCAACACCTACAAACAGTTGGGGGCCGGCATCCGCTAACCAGAGCAGCAGTTGATGTCTCGCAACTCGTGCCCCACCAAGCACTGACGCAGGTCAGCAAAATTTGTGCCAAGATTGAAGACGAGGAGTTACAGGAAACAGTGTCCAGTCGAGAGAAGCTGTTCGTAAAGCTTAGCGATGCAGTTCACGAAGCAGAGACGAAGTGGATTGGTAAGCCAGACAGGGACAGCAAACATTCGAGCTGGAGAAGTGTGTCAAACACCCTGAAAGAATTTGCAGAACGAGCGGGGGCTTGCACTCTGGAAGAGATCGAGAAGCTGACACGCGATAACGCCAGCAATGAGATTGCAGCAACAGACGGAAATTTTGACTGGGCGCCAATTTCTTCTTGTGTCTATGACTGTGACGTTGTAACTTGGTTTGCGGGACTCAAGCCAGGAAGCCAGTTGACGCACTACTTCGGGTTGTATCGCCAAGTTCTACGAAAACTTCCGTCAGTCTCGATCTGCCTGGCCCCGCAAAGCGTGCAGAAGCAGTTGCAGAGTCTCGGTGGAAACCCCTTGACTCCTCACCTCCTAGCTGATACGCTTCGAAAGTATTGTGAGCCCTTGAGGAGGCACCTCGCTTCCACGGGTGAGGCCACTATTGCTCTTGACGCAGACGTCATGGCTCACTGTGAACTCCTACGGAATCCGCAGGACTGTGTCGCAATTATTGAATTGCTGGCTTCGATGAAGCAGAAATCTGAGGAGCTTGATCTCGCGAATCTTCCGGTTCTCTTGTACGGGGACAACTCTCTCAGATTGCACAACCCCAACCATGGAGTCTTTCGAGCACAGGATCTTGAATTTTTGCCGCGCGGCCGCGAAGTATGTGCCTCTGCGATGTTCCGCAGCGTTAAAATGGTGAAAGAACTTCGGAAAATCACGCAACCGCTACAACTGGAACACATCAACTTGGCCCTGGTTTTCGACCGGGAAGAACTTACTCACTTTCGTAATTTCGGCTACGTGAGTGCCACATCGGTGACGGCGAAGTGGGTAGACGCAGTGCGGAAGAAACTGGTCGATAAGCAGGCGCCGTCGAGATTGACGAGCGAGGAACTTTTTATTGGGCTGCCACTCATTAGGGCATTGGACAGAGCCCAAGATGAAGATGCAGAGCAGCAGGATCGGCTTCTGGTCTCCTGGCAGCGAAAGAACGACGTGTGCTTGACGGAAAACAATGCAGACGGAAAGAACATCGCAAACATTTTGATCAAGGTGTTCGAGCCCCGCGTCCAAAAGCGAGAGCGAACTAGATTCATAGTCCGTCCTGGAGAGAGTTGGAGACAGACAACAAGCTCGTTGGAGGAAATGTGCAGGCTGTTATATGATGCCAGTGCTCGCGACCGGTTACAGACCTCTGTGAGCAGCGCTGAGCGGCAAGCCCTGCTGAAGTATCTTTGTCAATTGCCACACGGTGACACGACGCAAGAAGCATGGCTCCCAACTCTTCTAACCATCCCGCTGTTTGAGAGAATTACGGGCGTCTGCGCGGCCCCTGTAGTGCCCTCAGCTCTTCCTTCACGTCACGACTATCCGTGTGTTTTCCTGGAGAAGAAGCTGACCCGTGTAGAGAAGGATCTAATTCGAGCAGTGAGCAGCGACTTGAGCGAAGCGCGGGTCTACAAGCACACATCGAACAGTAAGGATCTAGAATTGCACTTTGACGGGCTGCTTTGTCCCGACGTTACACAGGCGCTGATCCGCACCGGCGCGCTCCGAAGGCTGGCGTCAAGTGAAGTCGAGGAAGATCGTGATCATTTTACGGCTTGGCTAAAATACATACGGGACAACTACAAGACGTACAAGCCGTCGTCCTCGCCCAGGTGTAAGGGGTTGCGCGAGCACATTGGATCTTTCCTGGAGCATCTTGGATCTATACCTTTTATCAGAACTACTAGTGGTGCAGCTCCAGGAGGTAGAGGTGATCTGCTGCGCAAAGTGGAGGAGTACTACGACCCGTCGGACCCGCTTTTGCAAGATTGTCTCGATGCCAGCGATCTCCTTCCAGATCCGTGGCGCAGCGAAGATGCGTGGTTGAGCTTTTTTCGTGACGAGCTGAAGCTGAAGACGGCGCTTGCTCCGGCTAAAGTCTTAGCTGAGTCAAAGGCAATTGCCGATGCTTCCCGAAACACGCGAAGCTCCGCTGAGCAGCGTGGTCAACAGCAACTGCCAGCTCGCTCGCTGCGCCTGTTGTCGTTCGTCATTGACCAATTACTCGAAGATAGCCATCCATGCGGCGAAGAAGCTTCTTCCTTTGCAGACGAACAGTTCTTGGACGAGTTGCGAGGCATGAAATTTCTGCCAGGAACTGAAATCCAAAATCTCGATACTGGGTTGGAGTGTCCCGGTTTTTTTGCGATTCCGGACCTGCTTTGGGACCCCGAAGAGTGGAAATGCTCCTTCACAAAGTATCCGGTCCTTGCGGTTCCCAGTGTCGAAGATTTCCGAAGCAGGTACGCAGCGAACAGGCTGCGAGTTGCGATTGAAAAGTTGGAGTTCGTGAAAATTGGGCTGCTAGACGTAGCCGCTCACATCCAAACACTCGTTGCGCCCAGCAGCTGGAGCCCTGATCTGCATCGCAATCGGCACCGGGTACACGAGCGCGCGCGCAAAACGGAGGCGCTGTTGAATGCGCTCGAGTACGTCGAAAAAGAAATGAGCAGACCTGGCGCTGGAGCAACTACGATTGGAGACTTTGGTCTCGATTTCCTCAAAGAAGTAGATCGCTGCTGGATCCCTTCCAGATCCTTGAGTGATCTTGATGGCAACAACATCACGCTGAGCAATGTGAAGTTTTGCTGCACCTCTTTTTCTGACGCGCTTGGTCGGAACCCGGAAGAGATCCCGGCGGAGCTGAAAAAACGCCTATCGAAGCTGGATCAGGAATTTGCGACGAGAGTTCCAAAGGTCTTTCGTGCGCTTCGCGTGACAGCCTTGGACCGAAGCCACATTCCGCGCCTGATGAGCTCCATTTTCAAGTCCGATGTTGTTCTCAATCCAAATGAGACGAAAATGTGGCTCTTCTTGTGGGAGCGATTCGTTTCGAGTTACGAACGCGATAAGGACGTGCACAACATCCCTGCAGACGTGCACCGGAAGATTCTGCTCCTCACCACCAGTTGCGTCCTCGTTCCCGTTCGCTTGGAGGAAGGGTTTGAGATCTTCTCGAATGAAGCAGTTAAGGACGAGGACGCGCGCGTGCAGGAAGAATTGCTGAATCCGGAACGAGGGTTTTTGATCCTGCACGATAAGGCAGAGGCCGCCATGAGTTCAAAGTGTCGTTTGCAGTGGAACAAGCTTCTTGGAATCACGGATCCCGGCACACGGTTCCGGAAGGAACTGCACGAGGACTTCGTTTTTTGCGACCCCGACACGATCGATTTGCAGAAGTTGCGGGACTTTGTCTCCGGTCGCGGCGCAGACTCTGGACAGGCCCGGCTTCCGTTTGTAGATGCGCTTCTCGGCCGCATGACGACGGACCTATTCCGCCAGATGGATGATGCAACCCGCGACGAGACGGCAAAGAAGCTTCGGTCCTTTTTTCAAAACCTGGAAGTAAAAACCGTCAGAAACCTACAGAACAAGCTGGTGGATGCGAGGGCACCAGACGGGGATCCAGTTTGCGTCTACAGTGTGAAGACGCATTTCAATCACCACGAAGAGGCTGCAGACACCGATGGAAATACAACAAGACGACCTGTCTCCGTTCTTTATCTCGAAAGTTCGCTGGACGTGTCGGATTTTTTCTGCACTCTGCAAATTGCGCGGGTCTTAACGAACGCAATCCAAAAGGTTACGGGCGCTCAAACCAACTTCGGTGCGCATTGGTTCGTAAGGACAGTTTTTCTTGAGGGTTACAAGCAGGACTTGCAGGAATTGGTCTCAACTCCGAGGAAAATGAGACTGGAGCACTTTGTCGGAGCAAAAGTGCAGCCACAAGAGGTGGAACTGCAAGGAAGCCCCACGTTGCCTTTCGAAGAGGGGGACGACGTCGTGAGGTACGACGCGGACCGGGATGAGTACTTCAGTGCAACGATTGTCGCGGCACAACCAGACCCAAACTACGGAGATGATGACCCTCGGCGAGTACTGAATGCCACGTACCTTGTGCTTGTGGACGTCAATCAGGCGCAGCAACGACGTGAGGAAACTTTGTCGCACCACGACCTGTACAAGTACTATGATAATACCCGGTCCCGGGGCCAGCGGATAAACGAGTTTTTCTCATCTAGTTGCGTTTTGGCACTACCTGTGGTGGACGTGGATGCCCCGAACGCGGCAGGTGTGGCACCGATTATACAGGATACGAACGTGGTGGGTCCGAGTGTACAGAAACTCCGTAGGCAACTTGCCTACCATGAGCACATCGTCAGTGCGGCCGATTACAAGAAGTTCCTGCGTCGACTGATTGTGCATTGGCATCCCGACAAGCAGTCTGTTCCCGAGCCCTTCGCAACTGAGGGTACGAAGTTCTTGGCGCAAGTGTACGAAAGGTTTTCTGAAGACGAGAGCTACCGTTACACTTCTGACGAACTGCAGACGGAAACGGAGCAGCAACGCAATCACCACGCATTTCATCCGCGGCCCCGAGCAACCACAACTCGTCAAGATTCCCAACAGTACCAGGAATGGGGGCGGGAGGCGCGCCAGCACCGGCGTGAGCAGCAACTGCCTGCGACCGCGCTGAGAACGCCACGAGGCGGACAGGCAGGGCTGGCTCAAGACATCGAGGAAGACACAAGCGACGACGAAGATGAAGATGTCGCGGTCGGAAATGACAGCACGGCTGCAGCCGAGACTGAGGCTGCGGAGTATATCGCCCTCGGGATTGAGCTCCGAGGCTACATCGATGGAGACTTAGCCAAAAGGCGCTATGATGATGCGTGCTACCATGCTTTTTCCGCTGTCCACAAGTTGTTGCTCGCGAAGGCCAGACAAGCGGGATATGATAAGCATCCTGCGAAAGGCTCGAGTGCAAATTTCAGCGCACGCGGGCTATCGCTGCTGTACAAGTCGTTGCTGCAAGCAAATGTCGCAGTCCTCGACGAGGAGCTGGAGAAAAAGATCAAGGAAATCCAGGGTCTGTTCATAAAGACCCAGAGGCCAGAACAACGGTCGAAACTAACACTGGAATATGCTACCAAAATGCGCGACTATGCTGGAAAAGTCTTTGAGTACTTCGGCAATTGAGATGAATCTATCACAATTAGACTAAATAAAGCGCGAGCCGCGATTCAGTTTCAGTTTCAGACTTTGACGATATTTGGTTACTGAGAAGTAGGGCGTCGCTAAAATTTGAAATTCAAATACTAGGGATAATGCTTTTAGAGGACAGAACTTTTTGTTTGTACATATCTTCAAGCACGTCATCTTTGAGTTTAAGGCGCAGCTGCTACCTGTGATTCGTGACTGTGATGGTCTACAATACTTACGTACGCAGCTGCAAAGCCGACTTTATACTGTTAAAGTTACACGAACGCATCGTAGTTGAAAAAAACATTCGTAATCGATGTATTCCATGACAGAGACGATCGGAAGTGCTTACCGACAACCAGATTCCGTGATCACGACTCATTTTGAGCACTTCTAAGAACCATTCCTCATTTCTGTCGTCCTTTTTAAACGTACTTGACGTACCAGATCAGAAGTTCGATCAGAAGTATATTCCGGCAATCATTCAAATGCCGCTCATTCAATAACAAGAAAGACACGCCGCGACCGATTCGTCGTTCGCAACCCATTCATTTAAAAAGCCATCTGCGCCTTCGCTATCCACGGGAATTCCTAGGACACCGTTTTAAGACGGTCCTTTTGGCCTCCTATGCCAATTGAAATGGAAACGTCACTACAGGATTCCATGTCCATTAGATGTTCTTGTACTTGTATAAGGAAAAGAAATAAATCATTTTCTCCGCATAGATATTGCGAGATGTCTCTCATCAAGTCGTGACTGACTGCTGGACATGTCCACCTAAGAAGGCAGCGCCGTCGTGCACACGACCTTCGGGTTTTTGGATGATTCATGATAAATGAACGGAGCGCATGGCTTGCGCCGGCGCTGTATCATTCAAGTTTCTGACTGAGAGGGAAAGAAAGAGGCAAATTATCAAGATCACGCCAACTCAGCACGACACCGACTCCAGAGAAATTTCGCAGGAAAGTACAGATGTAGAAAAATTCTCTGTTCTTGCTAAAAACGAAACAGTGATGCAAGGTTCGGAGATAAAAATCCCACTGAGAGTCTCAGTTGGATTCAAACACCTTTGAGGTTGAAGAGTATCTTAATTTTTGTAGATATGACAAAGGGAGTGGGAGTAATTTTGTAAATGTAGCGACGCTGGACTTAGAACACGTGTCTTATATGTAAGACTGCGACACGCTGCGTCGCAACCGTGTGTCTATTTAGCGATCGTCTCTTCTATGCCTAATCGTTTCTTCTACTTGAAGCAACTGTGTCGTGTTTCTATGTTTCTTCAAGCATTGCCGACAAAGATGAATTGTCTTTTTTTTTCGTGTTAAGGAAGCAACTTAGCCGCGACAATACTGTGTTATATATATAAAAAGCTGATGAAGATATTGTAGAACATGACATATTGTAGAAGTTTTTACATTACCAGCACTAGCACAACACCACGAAGAACTATGACTATTAAGAGTGTCTCTCTGTCCTTGTTGTGAGGAAGATAAAGAATCTTTATGTTTGTCCCGATAAATACTACAACAACTACAACCATTTATGTCGATTCGTCTTCCTCCTGTCTGATCTCGGCGTGACGGTGTCGCAGGTGACGAAGACCTTCTCATCGTGGGCTAAGGAGCAGGGCATCCTTCTTGTACGTTCGCAGGTGACGAAGACTTTCTCCGGTTGCTTTGCTTGAGACGGTTCCTGTAGCCTAGAGGACTGCGCTGGGCGTTGCAGCCCTCAATTAAAACGCGAAGAAGACGCGCCCGGAGAACTAGTACTACAACATCAGATCTTCAGTTTACCACACACGTAGTACACAACAACCACTACCACTAACACTACTTCTGTTGTTGAGAAAATACAAGTGAATAGCAGGCCATTTTTCTGCGTACGCAACGACTTCTAGTTCTGGAGCAGAGGAAGAAATTGCGGCTCAACGAAGTGGCCTTTAGACAACATCAACTTCGAGTTCGACAGCAAACTTACTATTTGTGCTGAACTACAAAAGAGCAGTCCTCCATCTTCAACTCGCTTTCTCTCACTGAGAAATACTTCCAGTAGTATCTACTATCTAGTTGTAGAAGTAATACTTCCAGTAGTATCTACTATCTAGTTGTAGTACACGAACTCCGTGTCCTGTTCGTCTTGTAAATTTAGCAAAAACAACGCAAGAACTAGCAATAATGACGAAGTGGAAAGAAGAATATACGGATAAAGAGTGGCGTGATTGGTATAAGCAAGAAAAAAAGAAAACGTCAAAGCAGACTAAGACAGGAGATGACAAGGCAAAGGCGCGCAGTGACGGCGCAAGTTTATGGGGAGATATTGAATGTTCTTGATGCTGCAATTATATCTAAATAAATGTTGAATATAAAGTAGCGAGGGTCCTTCTCTCTGGTTGTGGGTTTATTTGGTGAACCGGTACCCCATAGCGAATAAACCTGTGCACACAACCAGAGAGCTGAGCACTCACCGGAGGCGTTGCACAGGGCTCCGGCCTGCCTTTGAAGGTGAGACCTATGGGGCTGACAGGACGACGATAGCGCCGGCGCTTAGTTAGTTTTAGCAGTTAGCAGGACACTTTAGGATACTTGTCGATAGTTACCCTTTTCTCTTCTATATCTTCCCCTGGTCTGTCTTTTTTCTAGTTAGGTCACCACAAATATAAATAAATGTTGAATGTTGATGCTGCAATCATATATAAATATTTACTTGTTAGAACTCAAGAAGTAGATTCATGACTAACTAATGAAAGCGCCTACAATCTAAACAATTCATCACTCTGTCTTCATATTTACTTGTTAGAAGGCCAAGAGTCAGAGTCGTTGTCGAAGATACTCAATGATATTAACAGTTTCTCTATTAGCTGTGGAAGGAGCGTTCGATGACATTAACTATCGATGACATTAACTATCGGGGAGTTAATGATTAACTATCATGTCTAAGTACGTAGTTCGTAGTCATCCTTTATCATGTAACAGAAGTACTAGCACGACGACTTCTTTCACTAAAGCTAAACGACTACCTTCCCACCTTGGCAAATGCAAGACTTCTGAACACCTACTTTCATGAGAATCGTCCTCCTCGGGTTCGCAGGATGACTGGGAGCCCTACTTTACGTGGAATGACAAAACCGGTGCTGTAAAATTGGTTGCTTCTGGCCGTGGCTTCCGAAGTACAGAAGTGCGGTCGCTGTGCAACTATTTCGAGAACAAGATAAAAGACTTCACAGGTAAGGCTGATGAAAATCATTTTGTTTGTCAAAAGGTTAAGTGAGAGTGACTAGATGATCTTCGAGTAACGTAATCCAATATGAGTGAGTGTGCCCTCACTCAATACAGGATGGTGCCGCAACGACGCGGAACGGCACGATGGCAACAGCTACGGCACTTACATCGATCTGACCGACAATGAGGTGTCAGATACCTGTTTGGAAAGCTGGATTGGCCCTTTTTTGAGCAGATGTTAAGGCTTCCTCCTTTTTTTTCATCTCGATGGATAGGCATCGATCTTGTAAGTAAGGGTTTTGTAAGGGGAAATGGTTCCGGTATTTGGTTGTAACCGTGATAGGTATAATAAGCAAGAAAAAAAGAAAACGTCAAAGCAGAGAATCTCACAATCACAAGAAGGGTTCTCTTCTTACTTGTTTTCTCTTAAATGAGGCTCTTCCTCCTCAGAATATCCTCGGCAAGGTCTAAGGGTGGCCAGTATGTCAGAAGCTAAAACTATCTGGAAACAAGGAGGTGACGGATAAGGGGATAAAAGCACTCACAGCCTATGTGAAATACGGATTCTGCGAGGAACTGGTCCTCACAGACCTGCCGCAGGTGTCGGATGAAGGTAGTAGTACTATAGTTGTAGTTGATGATTTTTTGAGCTTAGTGTTAGTCGGCAGGGCCTAGTTCGGCTGGTTAAAAAGTGTGTCTATGTATCTATACAAATTTATACCGCTTCTAGATGAGAATGACAAAGACGATGATGAAAAAGATCTACCTCCCTTGGACATTAGATTTAAGCAACAACGTACCTCCTGGTAATGCACATTCTTCATTTGTGTGTAGCAGATGACGGAAATTATATGGGCAATAACATGATAACGACCTCAGGCATAAAACCGCTTTTAAATGCGGCTGTAGCTTCGCGTGAGTACCCTCATCGTGGTAACGGCGGGAAGTATCACCCATTGCGACTGAGCATTGGTGGGTCCATGACACCGAGACTTAAAGACTTCGTTCATCGGAAATTTATGGGTTCAACTCTAAAAATAGTAGCTGGTATAACTACACTTCAGTATTTCGACGTCGCTGAAGATGCGAGGAAGTACTTTTGATTTATTCTGCGAGTTCAACAGCCGCAGCTACAGCAGGGGTACTAGACTAGAATCTAAGTAATCGCCGTCGGTCTAGTCCTTTGTTCCTCTTTTTTCATATTCTGCTAGTAGTTCTTGTTTATATACAACCTGTGACCATCATTTTCTAAGGACGCCTTGAAAATCGAGTTCAATCGAACGGAGAATAGCTGCGATAAAAACGGACCAGAAGTAGTCGTAAAAACAGGGCCGCAAGACGAGTACTTCAGAGGGCCTCCCGCAACAAAGAAGAAACTGTGGGAACCGACAGGAGATGGTTCAAATTTATGGGTTCTCTTACTACAGCAGTGATCCGGTTGGCTTACTACAGCAGTGATTGTGATCACTTACTAGTACTTACAGCAGTGATCACTTACTAGTACAGGATTGATGGCTTACTACAGCAGTGATGGCTTACTACAGCAGTGATGGCTTACTACAGCAACAGCAGTGATGGCATACTACAGCACTGATGATGGGGTTTGTTCTACTATGTCCGTCGTGCTGTGGTCCGCCAAAGTAAGATCTAATCACAACTTCTTTTGTTCATCTCATTTTCATTCCTACTAGTACTACACCGTTCTTTTTCATTTTAGTCAACTGAGGGCTCAAAACCTGGAGAGGAAAGCAAGTCTGGCGGAGCCGTAGCTGTGGGCGCTCCATCAGCGGGCGGTGGTTCAGCAGGTAGTACTCATGCGCTTAGCAAATTATCAGTTTTCTGTTTGTCGCGGATGAAAGAAAAAAACTTGACCCTTTCTTTGGAGTTGCATGTCACCAGTACCCTGATTGATGTGCGTGTCTAGATTGTTGCAAGAATGAACTTCTTCTCCTTTGCACGCTCTTCTTCAGGTAACAAGCAACTGACGACGCCACGGCAACAAGGGGCGTGGGGAAACAGTAAGAAAGCTTCAGAGCTGCAGAAAACGCCCGATCTCATGGCTGAAGCTAGTTTTCCCAGCTTAGACCAAGGCATCGCTGCAGGAGGAAACAAGGTACCTACTTACTTATTTTGTTGTAGTCCTCGTCCTCCTCTCTTGTAAGTCTAGTTCTGCAACAACAAGAGCAAGAATTATTTCATCTACTGGTTCCAGTGAGTGCTCGAGTACAGTGCCTGCTTGACTACTATGCAGTCCTATCCGGAGATCATACTCCATAAATTCATCACGCAACATACCTGTAGGTGAAGACGTCGAATACCTTGGGGTTGCAAGGCCTAGTTCGTTGGGGTCAAGCACCAGACAGTGTATTTGGAAAGCAGACGTCGCCACCTACGAATCCTGCACCTCCTACCAAAGATCCTAAAGGTGGAAAAGGCGCGCCAGGAGGCTCGGCTGGAGCTCCAGGGAGTGGTGGACAGCCGGTTAGCTCCACAAGCAATGCTTATGATTTGTATTTTGTTTCGACGTAGGAGGTAAAGTTTCATCAAGCATATATCTTCTTTCTTCATCAGTGTCTCCTGTCTTGTACAACAAACAACCTTGTCCACTAATCTTAAGGGTAGGTCGTTAGCGGTGCTTTTGTTACCGTTTGTTATGGCTCTCTCCCTTAGGTGACAGCGACAGCCATAACAAGCGGGATAAACGAACAGCAAAAACCTATCCCTAATAATCCATACCCCCCACTTCCGCGCCGGGTAAGGGTGGAGACTCCGGAGCAAAAGGGCAGCCACAAAGCAAGGAGTCGCCTCCTCCAGCAGCGCCCAGCAGCAAAAAAACCAGTCAATTGGTACCCATCTGGATCGCGGAAGAGCAACTCTTGCAGAGCGCACGCTTGCTGCCAATTGAGGGTGAACTACTGCGCATCCTCGATCGCCTCCGAGAGGTAGAGAACATGAGCTACCAGCAGAATGGCGGTAAAAATGGAGGCTCTAACGGAGCAGTTATGAAGCGAATGAGAACGTAGCACTATTTATATTTATTAAATCGGTGATGTTAGTATTTTTTCTTTCACTCGTCAACAAATTCAATGAAATAACTGACCGGAGGCTTTAATACTCAGGTTGTGATCCTTCAAATTTTAATCAAGATAAGTACTTTATTTGACTCAGAAGATACGGATCACTTCTAATCTCAGTGGAGGTCAAGCGGCCGCTGAGCTACGACAGTTGCATCGTCGTCTTGGAGAAATCGAAGAAAACTCGCGAGAACAAGGCGGTCGGACACTTAACTCTTTGCAGAATTTTGGCTACGACGCTGCGGCCGCAGACTACTATTTCTATGTCCGACCACAGGCATCTACCTCTATATCGAAGATATGGCGAGGCTTGAAAGTGCGACGACGCTTTCGATCGCACCTAGCCGAGATGCGTAGTAAACGGAAAAAAGCCATGTCACAAAAGGGCTATAACGGTGACTCTTATTCGAAGCAGGAGGGGTATGGCGGTCAGCAGCTGCAAGGTGGAATGGATTACAATAGTTATGCTTCTGGATGATGTTGATAGTTTTACTACTTAGTGGAAGTTGTTGAAAACAAAGCAAGGATGATAAGAAGTGTGCTACTTTTACTGGTTTAGGGCATACATCTCTTCTTGTTTGAACAATGACACAACATGGACGCCATCTCCTTCTTCTAAGACATTGCGAAAGGTGGTAAAAATATGCCGAAAGGCGGTGCTGGGGCGAATGGGAAGCAGGGTTTTCACCCTCCAAGCCGTGACCACCAGGTGGGTAGCGCAACGCTTCCGGTTTTACCGAGTCCCATGCAACCTCCAGGAAGTCCGAGTAGGAATGGCGTTGCCGGTAATGGGATGCAGTTGCAGCCTCCACCGGCTAAACCCAGCAATGTTATGGCCCATCTTTCTCGGTATTTTCTCCATTCCCTTGTCCTTTTCGACGTTCTTCTCATGAAATAGGAAGTCTCGACCCCAGAAGTAGGAAGTGGTGCAAGGGGTCGAGAAGGAGGGACCGAGATACTAATGGCATGCTACAGATGACTCTAAGAATGGCATGCAGCAGGAGATGGTCGGCTCTTCCCCAAGCAGCAATCATGGAGCAGGAGGAGAGTCGAAGCTGGAAGTCCCATCACCATCTAGGCCTTATCCTCCGCAACCCCCATTGCCGCCTCAACCGATGAATCAAATGCATCCGCAGCAGAGGGGTAAGAGCGGTAACTCCAACCCGAACAGCTTTGCTCAGCATCATCCACCACATCACCCACAGTCTCCCTCTCCGCCGCCATATCCACCGTCACCGTCACCCGGACCCTCAAAAGGACCCACCCTACCGCCTCCACCGACACCTCCTTATGATCTCTATAGCGGTTCAACTTCAATGAGAAAAATGATGTCTACCTCTTCTTGACCAAAATAGGTTCTATGAAGACCACGTTGAGTAAAAAAAGGAAAACAGCACTTGACATCCTCTATCATGAGTTGACACTGTATTGACGGCTGGACCTTTTAATTCATCTTTCTAATCTGCTTTGAAAAAAGAAGTGCTACAGGAAAACTGGTTTTACAAGGGAAACGACGGATCGCAACAAGGACCATATACGGTACAGAGGATGCGAAATTGGTTCTTAGGAGGCTATTTCAAGCGCGAACTGATGATCAAGTGTGAATCTTTTAGGGACTTCTACGAACTTCAACAACTTTGGCCACATAGCGCACATCACGGTGGCAACGCTTTCGAAATGGAGCCCTGTATTCCTCAGGCAGAGGAAATGCCACGTACTAATTATGACGTAGATGTAGTAGCTATTAGATCTTCATTGAATAGTTTTAGTTCTGCACCATCTTCAACTTCATTTTCAACATAGAAGACAGTCCCGCGTCTCTGAGAATTTTCACACTTGCAAAACTACTTCATCAACACCAATTCAGCGCACATGATCTCGACGTCACCACCGCAGTCTAAGGGTATGGAAGGCTTTACGAGGGGTTCTTCCGGTAACCAAGCACCGGCTTCTCACGAGAAAAGCTTTAACGAGCCACTTTACAAATATGGCTGGACATTGTTTTTGATTCGATAGAATTATTAATTAAACTAGCTACAAACTGTGTCTGTGTCGTGATTCTTTTTCTTCTATGTCAAACAAGTAGATGTTGAATCTGTAACTACTAACGTCTAGGTGTGACACCATGAACGTCTAGTAGGTGTTTAGGAGGTACATTTTAGCATTATTTAGCAGAAAGAGAGTACTAGAAGGCCAGGCGTGGCTGATGCGCTTACAACTACTTCTTTTTCTACTTATACATAGGTACCTGCATGGACTATCATCGCTCTATCCCTACTTCATGCACTACTTATACATAGGGACCTGCTTCATCATGTCGTCCTCCTCCTCATCATTTCTAACACGCGAGTCAATCGAATTCGTCCCCAGTCCAGCAACAGCCTGCGACAGATAATCTCTCTAGTTCCGGAGAAAGCGCAAAGGATTTTGCAGCAGCCCTTGCTTCTCAATTTGAAAAATTGTCCGATGCGGCTCCGTCTCCAACAGAAGACGCTGACTGTATTATTTGTAAGTGCTGTATTTTTAGACGAATAAACTAGGAATCGCCATCTAAGAACTCGACCTCGAGTGAGACCGTCTATGATCCTTAGCAACCTTATATTATAATAAGTCGAGTGAGACCGTCTATCCTTAGGAACCTTATATTAGAGTAGTTTATAGAACGGATGTAGGATGGACTTGGATGGATCGGATGGCCCCCTCCTGATTCTTCCGCTCCTACTTGAAATGGTGGGAAGTCCATCCGTTCCATCCGATCCATCCTAGCATCGATGGCGATCTGGCACCCCTATAAACTGCTCTATTATATATAATAACCACACAGCATCAGCTTTGGATCGGTACCCAACCGACGTTGGAAGTACCCAACCGATGAGGTATCCCACGGAATTGCCGCCGCCTGCGCCCGTCCCCTTACCCCCTCAAGACGACGACGATGATACCGGAAGAGCATCAGCGTCTGCTTATGTTCTTGAAGATCATGTAGTAGAGCTTTGTTTATTCATTGTTGTTCATCGTTCATGTAATCGAAAACTCAAAATAAGCGAACTCAAAATAAGCGAGTTACTGACTGAAATAAGAGAGTCTTGACTACTGCATTCCTCTTCTTTCAGTATCTCCCTTATTTTCCCTAGTTACTCGCTTATTTCAGTTTATCGAATAGTAGAGCTTTCTTTCATTGTTGTTCGTTTGACGTATAAATACAACTAGGGTAGATCATCAAGATTCCAAGGAGTGTCGTGGTGGTGGTCCTTATCTAGATAATCATAATCCTTAATATGTCGTGAATACATGTACAAGTACATAGGATTTCCATTTCTTTCATTTCCTCGGAGCTGGCGCGTCTTGGAGAAACAAGACTGAAGAAGTGGAAAGCGAAGATGACGGAAGCATTCAGGATACGATCTTCATGGTGGAGCCTCGCTACGTCGGTCTTATCATCGGGAAATCGGGCGAGACTATTAAAAAGTTCACAAATATGACGGGGAGCGCAATCAACATCGACCAAGATGTGCCCGCAGGTACTGCTATAATATGAGTATATTAAGGTTGTCATAAGTAGATTGTGTGTTTTGACGCATAATGTTTTGACGCATAACCTGACGCAGAAGGAGAACATTAAATATAGAAGGCTTCGTGAAGAACTAGAAGTAGTAGTAGATCAACATCAAACTTTTCTTTTCTACACCACCTTAGGACTTTGCACACAACAAGAATCTAAAAATGACCTCCCGGCAGCCGAACGAGCGGAGTACTCCTCTGCACAGATACAGCCAGTTTCTTTCTTTGAAGTGAAATAGTTTCTTGAATTCTAAGGCCAATGTGGTTGTTGTTTATCGTTATCTTCGCCTCTATCCCACAGGTATTCCACGAGCCGTCATCATGCACGGAACTAAGAAGCAAAATCGGGCTGCAGAGCAACTAATCAAAAACCTCATCAAGAAGGCCAAAGACGATGAGGAGAAAACTTATGGCCACGACGGATGTGTAAAAATATCTGCAGTTCGTTGCAGTGTAGATGTTGTATGGTTCATCTGGTATTTGGTAACTTGAATTTGATCACAAGGAAAACAAATGCAGAACTGCATACGGGGTGCAATGCCCACCATGTCTATGGCCATTTGAAAAATGATACTACAGATAGAAGGAATGCTGGGTAGATGAAGAAAAGAACAGGGTATCATGTTGCTTTCATACTGTTTCGGATGTCTTCGGAGGGCGTACGACTGGTTCATTGAGTCGGGAAGCAGACGTTCCGCCAAGTGCAACAGGAAGTCGAGGCATGATGTCCAAAGCAAAATACAACCCTAGTTGTACTACTAATGTTACTTATTTTTTCTTTCAAGGCCACGCTCGCTTGGGGGAGCCGGATGGCTCCCCTCCCGTGCCGGCTTAAGATAGTTTTACTGTGTTCGTTCAAGGGGTAGGGTGGATTTTTTGCAGGTCCTTCGGTGGCTCGGGATTGCCTCACTTTCCCCCCCTCCCTTCCGTACTTACTCGCTCACTGCCCTTCGTCTTGTCTAAGCCCTTCCAGTCCCTTCGCCTTGCATCTTCTTGAATACGACTACTACATCTCATAATAATCATTCTGTTCGAGGACATTGATAGATTGCTTCACGACGGCACCTGGTGTCAGCGATCTTCTTTTGCTTGATTACTTATATATAAGATCTTGGCGACATCATTTCTGGTGGTGAAATGCCAAGAATCAAGGCTGTCGTGATGTCTTGATGGCATTTTTCCACAAGAAGCTTCACTATCACTTCTACTTATTTACTCTTGTTGCCCTCACTCACTCAGTCGCTGCTCGAATGGACGGAAGCTTACCTGACAGTGGTTTCGTAAGACGAGGCGAACCGACCCAGTCTATATTCGGTAGTCTAGACGCGAGCTCTCCTGTCGCTCCAAAAAGCTACATAACGGAGCATTCTAGTGGTAATCGCGGCCTCGGTGGAGGAGACCTGGATAGTCACATTATGGTGTGCGAATGTGCAAGGGCGTTGACTACATCGAGTAAGTAGATACTTACAGATACTGTTACTGACTGAAATAAGGAGTAGATTCTAACAGTTACTTACATACAGATACTTACAGATACTAAGCGAGTTCCTGACTGAATTATGGGACGTAGTCTCGAAAGGCTACGTACTCTTTCTTGTTCAGTATCTCGGTTATTCTCGTCTGTTACTCGGTTATTGCAGTTTTTCGCGTAGATCCTTACACATGAACAGCATGTCGTTGTGTAAGTGCACAAGGAGAGACAAACACATCCAACGACTACAACCACCTTCTGCGAATTCCGAGCACCAAGGGCATCGACAAAAACGACGAAGGCTGCAAACAATACTACTCTTACATCTGGGGAACAACTTTTAGTTACTATTCTAAGCCACACACTCCCGGCAATGCTTTTGGGAGTCTACGCGGTGCGTCGTCTCCAGCGAGTGGGGGAGAGCACATTGGCGCCTCGGGCAATTCCAACCGCGCGCAGGCCTTGAGGGAACATCGGCCTGCTGGTGGTGCGTCTTCTAGCAGTAATTGGCGACGACTCAGCGTTTCTGACTCGGAGAGAGCAGCAGACATGATCCCTTCTGCTTCTTCGGGGCTGGGCCTATTGGATCGTATTTTTTCATTCCTACTCCTAGCTTTTATTTCTTGCAAGTGTAAATGTAAGTCATTGACTCACTTTGAAGCAAGAAGACAACATATTTTTATTTATCAGAATGATAAAGATTTACATTCACATTGTTTTTCTTGTCGCTCTACTGTATTGGTTTCGTTCCGTCTTCGTCATATCTACTACAATCCGACTCATCCTCTACAGGTGCGAACACCGCTGGTTCTACGAAAACCATTTACGATTTGATGACCAAGAAACCTAGCTGGGCTGTTGAATGCTCAAAGGGTGATTCCGAGTATATGTATTCCCGGTCAGAGATGCTCTATTTCCGCCACCTGCTGATAGAGAAAAGCCAAGAGCCAGGTGGAGAGTTCGTTTTCTTATGAAGGAGACAAGAAAAACCGCACTTCTGCTCATCTCTATAAAAAGTAGTATCTATAAGTAAGTTAGTGTTAGATGAACAGGACAAGGAAAACCGCACTCGAAAGTGATCACTGTAAGTAGTAAGTGTTAGAGCAAATTTTAGGTTGCTAGAAGTACCTACAACTTCTCGGTCTTCTGCAAACTCAAAAATGAAGTGCCCATATTTCGGAAAACAACGTCGCTTCATTTTTCCCCTAAAGTACTTTCCTCTATGTCGCACCCGCCTCCGGGCTATGTTTTCCTTCCCCACAACTACTCCCCTCTATCTTCCATCACCTGCCTTTCTCTTTTCTTGCTTACCCAAGTAAGGCAACCTTCTTCTCTTGGACACTTCCCCTCCTTCATGTCGTGCACCGAAACGGTTCGATATCGGCGACCGACCACAGCAGGTCAAAAAAGAGGGCCGCACACCGATGAAAAAACGGATTGATTGTGGTATTACTCTCGACAACGCTCCCGAGGCTGGCGAAAGCGTCTACGCACCTCCTGGACAGCATCCGGATCGATTCTTGTTAAGACCGCTGTTTTCGAAGCAAATCTGACAGTCTAAACATTACTGCACTACTTGTCGTCTAGTTTTCCTTCTCTGAACGTTGGTTAATGTCAACCTTGTTACCCAGTAGTGCATACTTCTGTTATTAAAAAGGTTGGTGTTTTGAAAATAGTAGGAGGACACCTAGACCTATACTTTCTTAGCATTAATTCATTTACAAGTCCCAACTAATAATAATTTCTGTGGTTTCTTAGCACCGTCCTGATCTTCTAAGCAATCCTCAGAATAAGAAGATATCCCTCTTCATCTAATTAATCTTACAGAGCAAGCTATTACTCTTACTCAGTTTCTTCGTGAATTACGATTTTGGAGCTTATCTGATTGTTCATGTCGAACTATTCTGCATGATGTTGATGATACTTACTACTGCAGCAACATGATCGATATTACTGTAGGCAGCACCCTGCTCTAATCTATCCCGGACGTGGCGGCTTGGAAGATATGGCTCACTCTCCTTCGAGGACGAAGTAGGAGCTTTATGGAATCCATCAACTATGCAGAAACGGAAGAGTTGCTATCATTCGCTCTGCGTAGCGGTAGAGAGAGCAGCAGAAAACTACACATCACAAGATGAGTCGAAGGGTTGTTTTACAGAGTGCGTCGTCAAAATGTTTGGAAGCGGTCGTGTTTACCATTCTATTTATGAATTTTCATACTTTCATTAATATACGATTACTTGGTGCTTGAAACAAATACATAGAACGTCTAAGCGTCCGCCCGTTAATAATCATCATGATCATTATTGTTATACGTACTGACTCTACTTACAACTCAAAAATCGAGATTACAAACAAAGTTATTATCTGTTCACGACTAATCGAACAAAAATTACCTACATGTCTGAAAACGTGCTTTCGAGCTCGAATCAAAAAAGTTGGATGTTTTAATTTGTAGTCATGAACTTGAACTTGAACTAGGCGAAACAAGAAGCAAAATGAATATAGACGCATCACCAATCAGGTATATTAGAGCAGTGTTGTAGTTGTTGTAGTAAAGATATCGAAAACTAAAACCAAGGTTTAATCATCGGAGTAGAGATGGATCGCGGAGATGTTGTTATTTGTAATTTTCTATTACTTGATAGTTGATCAATCGGTTTCCCTGCAGCAGCTCTTCTTTTTAGAAGGTACAAGTTGGCTGAACGACCTCGTTTCCATTTGACCACATGGGTCACGAAGTAACACGGCATGGCATACCAGTGGCATTCCCCCTATTGATTCGGGTATGCTTGATCTTTTTTATGGTAGTGGTCCGTCCTCTCTGGTGTCATCATTCCACTGTTCTAGTTGTGTACCAAAAAAAGATGATAACTGGAAAACAGTTCTTGTGATGTGTCGAACTTATTTAGGGTAATCTATCATGTGCGATGAAGATGATTTCTTGGAGCACAACATTTGTGATTTGAAACTTGGCTCAACAAATCGGTAGTCGTAGGTCACAACTCAGCTAGCCTGTAGTTTTCTCATTATCTTCGATCAAGAAATAGGAATTACTTAGTACGTGTCAATAGAAGAAGTTGAAGAAGAACTCTATTAAGGTAGTTTCTGCGATAAAATTTTTCTGCTTCATCCGTAGCTATGATGGACCACTTTTTCTGCTTCAACTCCATACGGTATTTTTAGCGTGTAAATATGTTGTTACTTTCTCTACCTGCCGATTACTTCCGCCCCGTCAAAATTTTCGTGACTTCACCGAAGTTGAGTGCAAGACTAGTACTTGTATTTCTAACTAAACTACTAGGAATTAAAAAATTCGAAGAAAAATCTTGTACTCTACCGCACAAGAGGACGAGTCGGATTGTCGTCGCGTAATTCTGCGTCTAGAATTCATAATCAGACGATTGATGATTCTAGAATTCAGATGCGACATTATTTCGGATCATGAGAAGTCATATTAAAACCTTCCTATGTCACTATTGATCGTCGTACGTAGCTGGAACATCGAAGTTTTCACGTGGCGACTTCCTTCAATACGGCTTTGATAAAAAACGTATTGAAGCATACAACTGTTTGGGTTGTCATGATCGACTATTCTATTTTTCAACATCATGACGACTCCGCTGATGTGTATATTTGCTCTGTAGAGGTCGTACGTACTGGTAGTACAAGATGATGTTGATGTTCATGTTTGTACAATTCCACTCAATCAAGGGTTTTCACTTATAATTGGTACTACTTCTAAAACGTTGGAGAAGTTAGTAGTTGTTATCATGAATCCTGAGACATTCGATCTTCGAGTCCACCTTTGATGGATTTGAGAAGAAGCTGTTTGATTCACTTAGACGAACGACTGCGATAGCAATCGCCCGAATTGACACAAGAGCAATGCTGAAGCGACGATCTCTGCATTTCAAGGCGTTCAACCAGACTCCTACAGAGCACTCTCAACAGCCTTCTTCTATTCTGGTGAGAAACGATAGTGGACTAGCGAGATGATTTTCAGAGAGAAAATAGCGATTTCATGAACTTAAAGAGAGATGAGAGAGACTCACACTACGAATATGGTCCAACAGAAAGGACCGTGAGAATACAACGAGGAGTGTAGAGGAGTTCTAATGGCGATAAAGGGTTAGACTATGATAATCCTATACTATAAGTATAATATCATGTCATGAATAGCTTTGATTTCTTCTTTATCACTTTTTTTTTCCGAATGGGAATGAGTGAGCATGCAACTACTTAAACAATAGATACATATTTATAAATATATATAATACCTCTTCAATTTTCATGCTTACTACAATCTCAATCGCTGACTATGTGCTGTTCCTCAGTACTTCTCTGTACCACGTGGTGTTATGGATTCACATTGAATGAGGGATGAGTTAAGGTTGACAAGGACGATTCATCATCACAAGAATGCAGGGAAGCGGAAGCAGCTCGTCCTCATCGTCGTCCTCATCGTCGCGCCGACTTGAATGGGATGAGCGATGCGTTCCCACGCAGGGACTCAGGTTCATAAAAGGTAGCGACTTCGCACAGATTCGCTTCGATCTGTCTAATGCCGAGGATAGAAAGCTGTATTCCGCGTTATTGAAAAAGAGAGAAAGAGACGAACAATTACATCACCTGCAGAAGGACAAGCAGCAGGCTCCGGATGGCAATACTAGTGTGAAAAATGGAGGCGCTGGCGCTGTAAAACTATGGGAAAGGACAGCTCTCCCTCAAGACGGTCGACTGCGGGACCTGACGGATCCTAGGCATGCCCAATTCCCTCGGACTGAGGAAGAGCTTCTGCGTCTTCTCCTTGGAAAGAACAAGGCGGTGGAGTACGTTCTTGAGTTTCCGCCTCAAAGCGGTCGAGCGAATGTCTTCGAATTCGGCGAGAGAATGGCGCTGGGTGCTGTGCAGGCCTACAACAGGATCTGCTGCACCGTTGGAAAGCAGACCAAGGACCACCCGAATCTCTTCTCCTTACTTTGCGCGTTTTTTAGACAACAGTGGAAGCAGCAATTCGCGTCTCTACCACTTCCAGAGTTCTCATCGATCTATTTGGTCCGCGACGCAAAGTCGTGCTGGCATCGTGACAGATACAACGCCGGTTTGGTACATGCTTTTCTCATGGTAGATGAGGGTGCCACTGGCGGCGAATTTTGTATCAAAAAACACTCCGCTGTCCGCCCGGCTCTCGCATTCAACTTGGCTGTCGAAAAGTGTGAAGACGAAGAGGCAGGGGGTGCGTATTTTAAGTATCGAAATTAAGGCTACGATCTCTGAGGCACCCTCAGCGCCGTCCTTGGTTTCTTTTCTACTTGGAAAAAAGGCCAACATGGATGCCTGCAGGGATCCGGGTGTGGTAGTCAGTGCTAACGAAAGCTTGGCCCGACTATTCTGACATTCGACGGAGATACTGAACATCGCGTGGAGGAAGCAGTAGGTGGATCTCGTGTCTTCTTGTCTTTCTATTTGGATAAGAGCTACAAGAGTTTGGCAAAGGATGAAGCCATCGCTTTGAATAGGCTCGGCGCGAATATCAACGCGAAGGCTGTCGGTGGTGCGTGGCTGATTGAAAAGGGTCTGCAGTCTAGTACCACTTCCGCAAGCGTCGCATGTGGTGGACTCTGCTCCGGAGTCTCTCGGGAACGATCGGTCTCACCAGCACGTGGGCGAGCACTGACACTGAAGCGTGGCTCTATGCAACTACCCAATGAAGGCGAAGCTGAGGAGCAAGCGGCGAAGGCGAAGCGACAGAAGGCCGATGAGACGAGCAAAGAGGAACCGGTGGAGAAATATCATGCAGAAGCAGCCGTGGCAAACGGAGCACACTCTAAACATAGTGTAACGATACAGCCCCAGAAGGCCATCCCGCTGACTGCGCGTGAAATCAAAGCGCGAGCTGCTGCGCTGGACAGGGTTCGTAAGGATGGCAGCTATCTGGCAATTATCGGGGCAAAAAGAAGGGCAGATTACGAAGTAGTCCTCGCTGCAGTCAAACAGCATGGCGCAGCTCTCGAATACGCTTCGCCAGGACTTCAGGGCGATCGCAGAGTTGTGCTTGCGGCTGTCAAAAATGACGGCTATGCCCTCCGGTACGCTGCTGAAGGACTTCGAGGCGACCGCGACATAGTCATGGAGGCTGTGAAGCGGGGAGAAATTGCCCTCCGGTATGCGAGCGAAGCACTGAAAGGCGACCGCGGGATTGTTTTGGAGGCTTTGAGAAGCAAAGGCAAGGTTGGGTTTTTCACATTTTCGGCTCTTGAGAATGCCTCCGCGCAGTTTCGAGCAGATCGTGGGGTGGTCGTAGAAGCTGTGCAAAAAAGAGGCTCCGAACTCCGAGCAGCATCTGAAGAACTCCGAGGCTGTCGCCAGGTAGTCCTGGAAGCTGTCAGGCAGTGCGGGCGGGCTCTAGCCTACGCCTCGGCAGAGCTACGAGGCTGTCGCCAGGTAGTCCTGGAAGCTGTCAAGCAAAACGGCTCGGCTCTAGAATACGCCTCGGCAGAGCTACGAGGCTGTCGCCAGGTAGTCCTGGAAGCTGTCAAGCAAAACGGCTCGGCTCTAGAATACGCTTCGGCAGAGCTCCGAGGATGTCGCCAGGTAGTCCTGGAAGCTGTCAAGCAGAGCGGCTGGGCTCAAAAATTCGCATTGGCAGAGCTCCGAGGCTGTCGCCAGGTAGTCCTGGAAGCTGTCAAGCAGAGCGGCTGGGTTCTAGAATACGTCCCGCCAGAATTTCGAGGGGACCACGAAGTCGTTCGGGAAGCGGTGAGGCATGGCCTGCCGAAGACTATCTGCTTCGCCTCCGCACAGCTTCAGCAGGATCGCACGATAGTTCTCGAAGCTCTCAAAAAAGACATCTTAGCGAGGCGATTTATCTCCAAAGAACTTCTAGGGGACCGCGAAGTTCGGAAGGCTGCGGGCTTCACGCTATGAGCTTGCAAAGCCTCTCCGAAACCCAGGCATTATTGATATCCGCGAGTATCCATATTTATTGTAGTCGTGGGTTGAGGGTGACATAAATGTAATAGAGGTCGTCAACTAAAACTACTTGAGAAAAGCAACCAGTGGGCAGATGTGACCCCAAAGCAAGCTCGACCTACATGGTGCCTTTTTCAAATGCGTTCTTCGTTCCCATTATTCACCCAAGCAACAGCGTGATAGCTCTTTCTGTTGTGTTAGTTTTCGGCAATCACATGTCGCATAGAAGAGTTGTTGGGTGTCGGGCTCGACATGCTTGGCACGAAGTCTTACCGCTTCATTCGAATATGCTTACTCTTAATGCAGTCACGCAATACCAATATCTCCTCAAGGATCTAACATGCATGATCGCATAAAACAAGTCAAAAAGGAGGGTTGACCGTGAAGATGCAAAGCAGAGGTAATTGAGAAAGCTCTGGAGCTGGAAGTGTTGAGAGTATGCCACTCACCTCGGAAATACGACTAAGAGCTGGAAGCGGAAAATGTGATGTATAAGTAAGAGTCTTTACATCAGCAGCCAAATAGAAATACTGCTGGTATCTTTTTCTCTCCTGGATAGTCTTGTCTTGAATGCAAGTTTTAATCAAAACCAAATTGACCAGGGTGAAAGTGAGAAAATTCAAATCAAAAGTCTACAGCTAAGAGTAAGAAGTCACTGTCACATCTCTTATCTCCTACTCATATCAAGTACAACAAGTTTCTCTTAAGTACGATTAGTCGTTCATCACCACGGTTTTTCATTCTGTGTTTTCTGGAACCAAAAATCTACAACACCTAGATCGCTGCTTCTCAGAGATACAGTGTTTCATTCGATCAATATTTGTATTACCAGTAACATTCATTTTAGCAAGTAGCAGTCACAACTACACCATGCCGAGCAACCATCCTTCTGTGTGCGATGTCAAGCTTCTGCCGCCTGACCAAGTTCGCTTCAGTCAAAACACTGTTGGAGCGAATTTCAAGAATGGTGGGTCTGTCCAGGATCTCACCAACGCGGTTAGAATTAAGGCTCCTCGTACAGATCTGAATCTGTGCTCCGTTCCTTCGGAGTCTCAAGCAAACAAGAAACATCGATCCTGGGAGGTGTCTTGATTCAACGAAGCAAGGGAAAACCATACGTTGTAAGACCAAGTCGAACAAGTTGGGAATAGAGACCTACATCCATCGTGGTGAAGGTTTTTTCACCGGCAACCGGCTATCAGTCTGTCTCTAACAAAAGCGGCAAAGTGAACCCGCAATGTGACATTCCTCCTATCCGAGCCTTCGAGACGAAGAAGGGCAACTTGGTCACCCACGACAACCGCAGACTTAAAGTCTTCAAAGACGCAGGCGTGCCTCAAGTTCCAGTGTTGATAACGAAAGACAAGGTTCCGGATTTCAAGTTCACGACGGAGGACCATGGAAAGTCAGTACAGACGGTAAAGCGGGGAGATGGGAAAGGAGGTTGTAATCCAAAAGGAACGCATTCAAAGGGGAATAAAGGTGGCGCTAGTTGTTCTACTAGCTGCATCACAACTCTGGCAAATGCACAAGTTATGAACAAACGGAGGACACGCTTGTGGAGGAGGTCAAAATTTAGGGAAAATTAGGGGATGTTATGGCTCCCTGATTTTCCCTAAAATTCGTATGTGGGGTTAAGCGTGTCCGTTTGTTTCTAAACAAGCAAAGGCTTCTCCTCTCTCTAACACAGCTGGAACAATCTCGTCATCTTCAACTTCCAGTTCCATGTTTTCTTCAACTGCATCGTCTAGTGCAGCTGCACCTTTCGGGGTGCACGACGCTTCCGTCTGCCACGAAACGTGGACACGTACGGTGAAGATGGGCGACAAGGAAGTCACGGACAAGTATGAACGAACGACGTATTCCAAGTCTACAAACGGGAATCATGGCAAGAAAGGCGCTGTTGATGTAGGTTCCGGCAAAGGCAACAAGTCAGCAGGAACAAAAGGACCATACATTAAGGGCACTTTTTGATTTTGAGTTTGTTGAGGAGTTCTCCTCTGCGCGGAAGCATTTAGTTTCACTCTCTTGAGTAAAATAGTTTCTTGAATTCTAAGGCCAATGTGATTGTTGAGGAGTTCTTCGTTTTCCTTATCCTCTGTGAGGACCACGTGGAATATGGATATTTCTTTGAGCAGTTGCTCTTGTAAACAACTTGTTCGGGTGGCGGATGATACACCCGAGAGGTCAACACGCAGGTCGCGATGATTACGAAGTACCGAGAAAGAGTCTACCTCTAATTAGATGAAAAGTGTTGCTGATGCTTCACGTCCACAAAAAGGATCAGGTGCTACAAACAAGTCGGGAAAGGCGGGTCCTCAGGCGCAAAAAGGATCAGGTGCTACAAACAAGTCGGGAAAGGCGGGTAATGCCACGAGCTCCAAGACACCGAATGTGGGCAAAGGTAACGGCAAAGGAGCAAAGCCCTCGAATAACAAAAAAAACGGTGGCAGTGCTGGTAAACAAAAGCATAGTGGTGGAAAAAACGCTACCAAAAAGAAAGGCTGAGAATCATGAAGATGAGACAGCTGCGCGTGAACAATTTTTATATCCATATCAGGACTGTGGAAAAAGAGAAAAACATGACGAAGTAGAAGTTGGTCTGTTTTTAGACAAAAATTATGAAAAATGATTTTGATTATTTTCATTGCCACGAACGACTGAACACAACTACTTATGTCTATGCTTTTGATTTTCATTGCCACGAACGATTGAAGAAGACAACTCCTTAACCATTCGAAAGTAAGGATTGAGATTGCTTGTGACCCATTCCTTCGAAGAAACATCAAAAAATGCTAATAGTAAACAAGGAATGTTGAGGAGGTGGAAGCGATGAAGACGTAAAGATTCAAGAGAAGATGAAGAACGAAGCTCAACATCATGGTCACAACATGATAAAGTAGAGAAGATGAAAATCAAAGCGAGTGCCTCTCTGTTGAGTGCTAGGCTCACATATAATCGGCACCTACGTATAGCCTGTAACACGCTACGTATAAAAATATAAGAACCTTTGTTTTCTGCATAATGGATGACGGGTCGGGGTTGTATCTTGATCATTTGATCTCAACCAATTCGGTGTCAAGTTCATACAGATCGTGGTGTTGATTTTCATTCTGTCTTACATGTTGTACAACTATGCATACAACTGTAGAACTCAACCTCCTCTGCAAAAAAACAACAGAAATTGTTCGAAAAGGACACTTTGTTCAGTTTTTTTTTTCGACTCTGGGTTGTACACTTTTTGACTCACACGAATGCGGAGAGGAACGCACAGGCAGTGGAGACCATCAATTGGAGCTCCTCTGCCACAATTTCCAAAATGCGCTTAGACGAAGCGTGGCTAGAGGTGGAAGATGATGAATCTCTTTCAGAGTACTTACTTCACTCCGAGTCGGGAACGATAACGAATGAAGAGGAGGAGGACGAGAGCGAGGAATTTTCGATCGCGTACTGCAATTCGGCGGATCGAGTTTTTGTTGCGAATCTCGAACCTTCGGAAACGTTGAGCGTCGTCGAAGCAACCTCCGGCTCCACAGCAGCGAAAGCAGTTACTTACTGTGACCGAGAAAGTGCAAGAGGAGTTTATTGTGAAGCCGCACGAGACGAGTGGCTGTGGCTTCTCCACAAGTACAACAACAACAACAACAACAACGAGTAGTGGTGATTCATCTCCATCATCTTGTTGTTGTTGTGCCGTCCTCACCTTCGCGACCGACTACAAAGGAGTCGACCAGGCTATGTGGGATCCGAAGCCTGGAGTGGAGAAGGTCTTCAAGTGCATCTTTTCCAACGGGATTGTGGGGAATAGAGGAGCCTATTTGGCAAAATTCTACGACAAGAAAACGCTAGATGAGTGCTGGGTGTCGCAGGGGCCCAACACCGTAGACTTGTGCAACCGCGCGAGGGAACTTTGGGTGATCAAAGCGACGTGGGGTACAAGTGAAAACTGAGAGCAGGAGAACTTGGATGTAACCGATATCAAAGTGCGGGCACTGGTGTTTGCTGGACGGCTGTGGTCTGAGGGTGGCAGCATCGGTCGCCTGTTGCCTGACCCGGCAGTTGCGGACAACAAGATTTTCAGCGTCAAGTTCACGAGTTTGTAGGAACACAGTGTCAACACCAATTCTATTGAAAAGCAGCGATTGCAATCAAGGTCTGGTTTTCATGTGATAGCTGCTAATCTGGAAATGAGAAAAGGCGTTTTTGGATTTGGTTCCATCACATATTTTTTCGAAAAATTCAGTTTTTTCTGCAGTGATCATGTCCATGTCCTCTTTCGGGGTACTTCGCTGTGACGTGACACATTTGAAGATCCATCCAGTGACTCGTTCTACAGCAAAGACTCAACATCGCGATCAGGTGGGATTGATTGTACTGTAGATGGTAGATTTATTTTGTACTAGATGGCGCTTCCTTATATAATATGTCTCTTCTAACGCTACGAAAGAACAACTATATAGCAAACTTCTGTCATCTCATTATATCTACTGAATTTGAAAGCATGATCAAGTAATTTTTTTATCAAACTAAAAAGGATGCCGGCTTCTAGTAGCTGCTCCAGCAGCGTGCAGTTGTCGTCGCTTGGTGCGCCAGATTCGCTGCCAGCATGCACATCAGTGGGAAACGTTACAGTAAGCTGCCGTCTGGATGACGGAGAGGAAAGCGTGTCGTTTGTGCTGAGTCTGGCAAACGAAACGCATCGAGCGAGGTACTCGCAGCTAAAAGAATGGGCAGAAGAAGATATTAACGATGGACGAGGTGAGACTCACGAGGCAAAACGACGCAAGGTCGACGAGACAAGCAAAGAGAAGCGGGACAACAATTGTCACCCAGTAGAAACGCAGGACTCGTCCCCACAAATTCTGCGAAAGCGTGGAGAAGAGGCAGCTCCAGCCACTGACCATGAGCGTAAGGAGCGAGCTTCTGTTATGGACAGGGTTGGCAGAGACGGCATGAGCTTGCGCTTTCTGGAGGAGAAGTGGAGAGCAGACCGTGAGGTAGTTTTGGAAGCTGTCAAGGACACTGGCGAAGCGTTGGCATTTGCGCCCGCAGAATTTCGACGAGATAGAAGAATAGTCCACGCAGCTGTCTCGCAGGACGGCTTGGCACTCGAGTACGCCTCGGAAGGGCTTCAGGCTGATCGAGAAATGGTTCTCGCAGCTGTTTTGCAGGACGGCAAAGCACTCGAGTACGCCTCGGAAGGGCTTCAGGCTGATCCAGAAATAGTTCTCGCAGCTGTCTCGCAGTCCGGCGACGCACTCCAGTACGCCTCGGAAGGGCTTCAAGCTGATCGCAAAATAGTTCTCGCAGCTGTTTCGCAAAGCGGCTCGGCACTCCGGTACGCTTCGGACAGGCTTCGTTTTGATCGCAAAATAGTTCGCGCAGCTGTTTCGCAGGACGGCACTGCACTCTGGTTCGCCATGGGCGGGCTTCACACTGATCGAGAAATGGTTCTCGCAGCTGTTTTGCAGGACGGCACAGCACTCAACTGCGCCTCGAAAGGGCTTCAGGCTGATCGAGAAATAGTTCTCGCAGCTGTTTCGCGGAGAGGCGCGGCACTCAAGTACGCCTCGGAAGGGCTTCAGGCTGATCCAGAAATAGTTATCGCAGCTGTCTCGCAGGCTGGCTATGCACTCCAGTACGCCTCGGAAGGGCTTCAGGCTGATCGAGAAATGGTTCTCGCAGCTGTCTCGCAGGACGGCTTGGCACTCGAGTACGCCTCGGAAGGGCTTCAGGCTGATCGAGAAATGGTTCTCGCAGCTGTTTTGCAGGACGGCAAAGCACTCGAGTACGCCTCGGAAGGGCTTCAGGCTGATCCAGAAATAGTTCTCGCAGCTGTCTCGCAGTCCGGCGACGCACTCCAGTACGCCTCGGAAGGGCTTCAAGCTGATCGCAAAATAGTTCTCGCAGCTGTTTCGCAAAGCGGCTCGGCACTCCGGTACGCTTCGGACAGGCTTCGTTTTGATCGCAAAATAGTTCGCGCAGCTGTTTCGCAGGACGGCACTGCACTCTGGTTCGCCATGGGCGGGCTTCACACTGATCGAGAAATGGTTCTCGCAGCTGTTTTGCAGGACGGCACAGCACTCAACTGCGCCTCGAAAGGGCTTCAGGCTGATCGAGAAATAGTTCTCGCAGCTGTTTCGCGGAGAGGCGCGGCACTCAAGTACGCCTCGGAAGGGCTTCAGGCTGATCCAGAAATAGTTATCGCAGCTGTCTCGCAGGCTGGCTATGCACTCCAGTACGCCTCGGAAGGGCTTCAGGCTGATCGAGAAATGGTTCTCGCAGCTGTCTCGCAGGACGGCTTGGCACTTGAGTACGCCTCGGAAAGGCTTCAGGCGGATCCAGAAATAGTTCTCGCAGCTGTCTCGCAGGAGGGCTATGCACTCCAGTACGCCTCGGAGGGGCTTCAGGCTGATCCAGAAATAGTTCTCGCAGCTGTTTTGCAGGACGGCAGAGCACTCGAGTACACCTCGGAAGGGCTTCAAGCTGATCGCAAAATAGTTCTCGCAGCTGTTTTGCGGAACAGAGACGCACTCCAGTACGCCTCGGAAGGGCTTCAGGCTGATTCAGAAATAGTTCGTGCAGCTGGTTTTGCAGAATGGCGTCCCACTCCAGTACGTCTCAGTCTCTGATGAAGGGCTTCAGGATGATCCAGATATAGTTCACGCAGCTGTTTCGGAGGACGTTTTTGCACTCGTGCACTCGGATCTGCTGAAGTTCAGCTAGATCGCAGAGTTCGGCAAGCAGCTGGCTTCACTGATTAATTGGCCTAGGTTTGAGTCCTGGGGACGGGAAGCTCGCCGCTCTCCGTCCACCGATAGACTGTTGTTGTCAACATCTTCGCAGAAGGTAAAGGCGTTCGAGGATGTGCCATTGTGACCAAGGCCAGACTTTCATCTCGTGCACAATGAGACTCAGAGTCAGAGTCCGAATACATGGTCGTGCTCCGAGCGTTTCGCATTCGAGGCATTTTTACTGTGCATGTATCGACGTTTTAAACGAAACCCACCCCTAAGGCCTGAGACTGATTCACACGCATGAGCGTTCCCTTATTGATTCGTCTTCATCCCCTACTTTTTGCGTTTGTTACTTCATCAACCCCCTAGGCCTAGATGCTTCCCCTTTCAGATGCGCGCATCCACACAGTAAACCATCAAGAAGATGAAGAACATTCTGCCTACTTTCTTAACAAATAAGATGAAAAGAATTGCTGAACCAAAGCCGCAGATTCGTGTCGTCGGTCAATTGTGTCACACGACATTGGCACTAACACGACGTGGAGAGATGTGAAGGTGTAGGAAGTGACGGAGGCACGTATCTGAAGATCACATTCGCTTTCGCAAAGATCATTGAATGCCGCCTAGTAACCTAGTATTCCGTGATTGCATATTTATGAGGTTAGGTTTGCCGTCGTGAAGGCCCACGACTCCCGAAATGCACAAGGACGAACGATCCAAGCATGAGTGTGGAAGCAAATGATTGCGGAAAAGATCATGATTGGCAACGATGGAGTAGATCTTGAATCAAGTGTTAGAGTCGAGTACGGCATGTACCATAGATCGTCAGCAATTGATCAAAGACCAGCGTTTTTGAAATAGAGTTGACAACTTCTTGAGAACATGAACATCTCGCATCTAATTCCCGTACAGCTACGATGACGATGACTACGCTAGTTGAGGATCATTCTGTTGGTGGACGAGATGAAGATATCGGATTAAGTTGTGAAGATTTATTGGATCTAAAAATTGATTCGTCCTCTCGTCTACTAGAAGATCCTTGTCCACCAGGTAATGTTCTGGTGTTTCCCAATAACCCTGGTGTTAAAACCAGAGGGAGAAGTCCAAGTCATCATGTCGGAAAAAATCATGCGGAAATGGAGCAACGCGAAGGAGCTCGTCTTCCTTCGTCCGATGACACCGTCTGCTCAGATGCGAGGGTGGAGGAGGAAGCGGCAGCTGTTTCTACGGCAAAGATAGAGGGTTATAATGACGTTGAAGACCACGAAGAGAATGCTGCTGCTCCCACAGCTTCACAACCTCCACCTCTCGGAGGTGGTAATCATGCTGGCTCATCAGCTGCCTCGCAAGAAGAACGAGAGGCTTTGCGATGCCATGCCTGTGGAGAAGAGGGACACTATGCACGAGACTGCGCAAAGAAAGCGGAAGTCATTGTCTGTCGACACTGCGGTGAAACGGGACATTTTCAACGCGAGTGTCCCTCGCTACTTCATCCAAGGTATCACGGTGTGTTGCGATGTTCATCCTCCGCGAGTCAGAATGCAGCTGATGGAATTGGAAATTACGAGCCCCCCTCTAGAAGAACCGAAGCATCAAGTGCAAGTGCGTGTTTCGCTAGACGCTTCATCTTGTTTGCGCCGCACAAGGCTCTTCGCGCAGAGCAGCAACCTTGTTCTGGAGTTGAAGATGTTGAAAACTCTATTTGTGGACGAGGAGGTGGAGGAAAGAAAAACAAGGGAGGTGCTTCTGGTACACCCTCGCCGGCAAAGAGGAATGGGAAAGGGAAATTGAACACAGCAGTTCCTGATGAAGATAAACGAATGCAATCTTCGCCAGATCAAAAAGAAAGGGAACACTGTCCTGACGATCCTTCATCGAGTAGTAGAGCAGCTCATGCTCATGCTATTCATCGTCATCCTGCTGTTGCATCCAATTATAGTAAGCCAGAAATAAAGCCAAACATAAAGTTACTCCGTCACGACGTTATAGCACGGATGATTATTCAAGCCTTTTTCCTTGGCCATGGGAAGCGGCGAAATGTTCTCTTCGATATCTGGACTTCTCACGCTTACTACCGAATAAAGCCTTCAGATATTGTTTCTATGAGCGAAGCCTGGCTCTGCAAGTGGCTAGCGAACGGCGTCATTCAGCGTTTTGAGGTACTAAAAGGAAGGACCACGCAAAGTTCTTTATTTGTAAACGAGCAGCAACTAGGAGCTTCAAATTTCATACTTCTAGATGAAGGCTTGCAGTATCCGGAGTTGCCGCGTTATTTGCTAGATCAGCGGAAACGCTTATCTTGCAGCTTCCACAAGATCCACAAGACGGGGAGTTCTGCAGAAAAATACAGGCAGGTAAAGCATACAGAAGAAGGCTCATCTACTGGTGGCGGCCATGAGGCCATACTAGGCTTGAAGAGCGGGAAGCCAAAAAGTGGAACAAGAAGTAGTGATTGTGATACGGACTCCTGGGGTCCGCCAGATGAAAATGTTTCATCAGCCGAAGCAGAGGACGAAGACAAGAACAACTTTTCCCTGAACGACTTCCTCGATGATTCGGCATTCATCTTGGGGGATCATGAAGGTGTACCTCAGAAAGAGTTGCTTGAGTGTTTCGGTGACCAGATACACAGAGTTCGCCTCTCTGCCTTGCCGTTGCTAGGAAGCTCTTGTGTGGCAATTCTTCACTACCTCCTTGACGAAGTGCATGCATGCGCAAGCTGGTGACGTCTTTGTCAGACCTAGGAAATTGCTGAAAGTCACCTCCACATCAGAGTTTTCCCCTTCTACTTTGTTGAGATCCCCATTCATTGCTTGTTTCACCACGTAGATCAAAAATGCAAGACTTTCACATAAATTGCGAGAAGCACTGGCGATGGCATCGTTCCTCTTGTGCATGTGCAGCGTGCAAGTCGGAAGCAGGATTATCATGGTGTCGTGTCTACATGCATGATAGTGTAAGTCCCTAAGTCTGTAAGGCTCCTGTTTCTCCTTCTCTGAGAATGCAGCAACAATAAATAGTACAGTCGTGGTCAGACTGAGAGTACATCACATGTTGAGCGAGCACACTAGTAGTACAAGAGGTTGCACATGAGAGATAATATGAAGCCGTCTACGTCATGTTCGGTTTCCAATGACAATTACAAAGAGAGAAGGAGAGGACACTCTGTTTCTGCAGCCTTATTAAGATCAGTTTTCGGTTCGACTATCAAATAGAGTATCTTCTTCAACTATACAGAATTACGTACATCAATTAAGGACTAACTAGACCGATATCTATCTATTTCTATGCAGGGAGTAGATCTAGATGTAGTCAAGAAAGTAGGGTTGACTTTGATTGATTAGCTCGTCCCTCAACATTATCTAAGCCTAAAAGGCTTTTCAAATATAATCGGCTGATACATAGGGAAGCTAGAACCTCCAAGAAATCCTCACTATGGCCTCTTGTAGTTTTTTTCCGAGATCGGCGAGTGCTGCTCTGCTCAGACCAGCACTTCTGCTCTCGTCTGGCCGCGACTCTGGGGATCAGCAAGATGGCACACAAGCATCAAGCGGTGGCGCGGGACTCGAAACGTCAGACTTCGCGAGGCTCAGTGGAAGGCGTGATCAACTACATGGAAGCAATATTCTTCCAGAAGTGGAGCATGACGTTGCTTCGGTCTCATTGAGGAACGACCACACAGGTGGTCGCGGCGATGAAGGAACAATAGCCAATCGTCGTGATTACCGTTGTAGATATAACGCGCCGGAAGGCAAAAAAACAAGGATGCTTTCTTCTGTGTCTTCTTCATCGAGGAGGAAGTTTCCAGCAGCATTGCGACAGCGTCGGCTTTTCGACAGTCGACCCGTCTTCTGTCGCGAACTTGCGATGGACCCTTCGGCATCCGCGAGCTCGACGCGCAGTGTCGAGGCATCGGGACAGAGCTTCCTCGGCTCCTTGTGGGCAACGGTGAGCGGGTCTTCCGGTCGTGGAGCACAACAAGCTCGTGGCGGTTATGGGTCTAGTTACTTTTCATCATCCAGATCCAGTTTTCTTGTCAGAGGACGTGCTCAAGGAGAGTGGTTTCTTCTTGAAATTTTCAAGAGAACTGATATAGACAATGGAGCATTCGGTGCCAAAATCACTCTTCAACAATCAGGACGATGAAAAACCAGCGCTTCCTAATGTAAACAAGACTTCAATAGAGGCCTATGTATAGAAATTTCGGAGCCTCTGCCGAAAATTGCTCTAGGAAACACATTTTCGGTGGACGTATCGGAACATACAGGACGCACGAGCGACCGAGTTTGCTTGCGCAAGATTTATGACGCCATAATGACTTGAAGAATTCGTTAATGTGCACCCTGTCAATTGTTGGCTCCTTTTCTCTTGATACTGGAATGTACTAGACTTGTGTCACGTGCTAGGGTGACATACTAGATGATAGTATCGAAGACGGATTCCTGCTGTTCCTACGGATAAAGATAATTATATAGCAGCGAGCAAGACCTTTGTAGCACCACAACCATCACCGAGTCTCTGTTTCCACCTCGCTAAAAAATCGGCGTCAATGACTTTACTGTCGTCCATGATGTTAACGAGAGTGGAACAGGGGATAGACAAGAAACATGTTCAGTGGATGAGCCCTCTCGTGCTTCGAGTGCTTCTTCCGTGGACACAGTCTCAGTCGTGGACACACCCTCAGATCCAGTTGCATATCTGCACCATCTCACCGCCGCTCCGTCTTCACGCCCATCACACAGACCCGTAACAGCCGCGACCTTGAATAAATCCAGCAATAGCAGCACAGACGCAGTTTATGCTGATTAGAAGTCAATATCTACTTCTAGATGTTCTTGTAGATCTTCTGATACGACCTCGATGTTTATTCTGTGAGTTCGGGTGACAGTGACGTTCCTTCTTTCGGTTTTTGTTTTTTCTAGTTAGGTCAGCTCCACCAAGAACTTTATTCTGTGAGTGGCTTCTAAGTACTTCTTACATCATATCCTTATATATCGTATCCTTCTCGCCCCAAGTCACGACGCCATCTCCCCAACTCTCGTCATTCAAGGGTGTGCTTGACACGGAGTAATTCGCGACTCGTCCCGGAATCCGTCGACGGATCTGCGCCAGCCTCAGTCCGATTCCAAGATGGCAAGCTAGTGCTTCAGCTGCAAGCGGCAGAGTCCGGAAACGATGGAGGCTATGTTCCTCAGAGTTATGACCGTAACACGATTCTTCAGACTGAGTACAAGAACAACTACTTGCCGAAGAGACTTCTTTGTAATCGTGCTCATCTACGTTAATATCCCGAAGAGGAAGAAAGATGATGAAAATGAATAAAAACAAGAGCTTTCGTCGTTTCTAAGATTCCTCCGATGGTTCATCAAAGAGGAAAATAGCTAAGAGGGACCCAGCGAACGAGGAGACAGTCGCAATCGTTGGTGCAGGCGCTGCTGGACTCGCTTGTGCGCAAACCTTGCGGTTGGAAGGATTCACAGGACGCATTGCAATCCTCTCCGCGGAACCACCTGTGGATCGCACCAACCTGAGCAAGAAGATGGAAGCTCCAAGGTCTCTCTTTTATGCTACTTAGTGTAACTCTCCACGTTCTTCGTGTATATTCTACAACCCTCAACAGAGTGGAAAACACTCAAACAGAAGCGCTCCCCTTTGTTCATGCTTTTCGTTCGCTTCCCTCACTTCTCAACAGAATCAGAACACGCTCAAACAGATGTCAACAGTTACCCTTTTCTCTTCTATATCTTCCTCTGGTCTGTCTTTTTTCTAGATAGGTCGGCTCCACCACCAATATGAAAGAATTCAAGCCGTGTCGTCAGTAGAGCAACTCATGGCAAGAAGAAGGGTTATGAATTTGCAATCATCCTCAGATAGGCAATCCATTAAGCAACTAAAGATTAAAGGGAAATCTTAGGCAACCTGCTGAATAGATTCAAATCATCAACAAACAAATAGAGACTGAACCCGTAGCCGCAGTTGCTCCTTGTCCTTCATTCGCAACCAGCACCAAGTGCAGGAGGAGCCGCTTCGGACGCAAATAGTGATGTTGCGAGACTGCGACAGGAGTTTGATCTCGAGCTCGTGACCGACGTAGAAGTGCTCAAAGTAGATGCAAGTGGCAAGCAGGTGGAGTATCGCACGGTAAGAGGGGCCTCGGACCGAAAACATCTGAACCTGCGCTACGACAAGCTCCTCCTCGCGACTGGGTGCACTCCAAAAAGCATCTATGTTTATGAAGATGAAACAAGAACGATCATTTCATTTTTCAATTAGAATTTTTAATAGACGACGTGTTCAAGATTTTATTCATCTCCGTTGGTTCAATGTGAAATATATTTTTCGACTATCTGAGATCAACAAGCTTAATAGACGTCTTTCTCTCATAACCACCCAAAAGACTTCATCCTCACAACAACATGCTCCACTTCATACCATTCCGGGAGCTCAGAACGTGGGAAATATCATCACAATGCGAAGTCGGGCAGATCATAAGGCAATACTGTCACATGCAAAAAGAGGCTCCAAATGCGTGGTATACATAGAACTAATCTGTAGCTTCGAGTTTCATCTTTCACATCTCAAACCGTGCCTTGTTGTGTCTCAAAATTAGATCAAGGTCTCGTTCTTTTAAGATGAAGATGTCAAATCAATCTCAGTTTATGGAGTCAGCTGCACAGCATAGCCTGGTCTAAATCTAAATCTATGCACAATTGGAATATGCACTAGTACAAACTCAACACTTCATCTCTTCTCAGGTCGTTGGCGCGGGTTTACTAGGACTAGAGATGGCCGAGATGCTGACGAAGGCTGGCTGCCAAGTCTCACTGCTCGACGCAGAGCCATTACCTCTAGAACGGCGTTTCGGAAAAAGAGTGGCAGCTGGCATTGCGAAATGGCTAGCTCAAAATGACGTTCGCATTAGTTAGTTTGTGCAAAAAAGAATTACAACAATTATATTGATGAAGTGGAGAAGAACAAGAATTCCGCAGGGGTCGTGACCAGTGATTTAGTAGACCACTTTCGTAAAAGAATCAAACTGTCAACAAGACATTTTTAGGTATTTTTACACTTAAGTACTTAGTATGTTCAATCCCCAACTGCATAAGTACCCAGGTGATATACTTCGGGAACGCACAGGCAAGACATTTTCGTGGCACAAAGAAGCGCACCAACGCAGTAGAGCTAGACAATGGAGACGTCTTGGATATGGCGTCTTGGACTTGCTATAGTTGTAGTGTTTGATTGATGCGAATTTGAATTATTCGAAGACTCAAAATAACCGAGTTACTGACTGAAATAAGGGAGGTAGCTTAAAATAAAGGCTACTCTTCCTTCTCATCAGTATCTCGCTTATTCTGATCAGTTACTTGCTTATTTCAGTTTTTCGAATAAGTCTAAATCCCGTAGAAGTAAGTAGATCCACTGTAATATGAACACCCCTTTCGGAGGTAACACAGGCAGTGGATAATTTATGAAATAGAAATACTGATATTGGTTTTTCCATGATCTTCTTCGACTACTACAACCACTGCTCCGACCTTCTAACTTTGGATGTGACTTCGTAGTCGTTACCGCTGGCACAGTTCCGAAGGTGCCCAAAGTAGAGCCGAGTAGTGCCGTCGACAAGGCGCGGGATGGCAGCGTCTTGTGTGATGCCTTCTTAGGAGCTAGAGGTAGTTGATGCCTTCTTAGGAGCTAGAGTCTTGTGTGATGCCTTCTTAGGGAACTGTTCATCCGCTTCCGAAATCAGAGCCTGTACAGGTTCTACTATTTTGACCTCAACTGCAGGTGAATCATCTGGAGATATTTTCGTTGCTGGCGACCTAGCGTCATATCCTGACATCCGGACAGGAAAGACAAGCCGCGCTGAGCACTGGAATGTACTCACTGTTTCTGTGTCGACATATATTTCTGTTAAGACTAGTTGTGCCATCAAATACATAGCTGGTCCGACCGTCGTAAGTACTTTTACTTACGTGACTGAACAATGTCGCATTTGCACTCGACCAACTATTACTAGGCTAGCAGAGTCGTGAAGAACTTGAACATCTTCAACATGCTCATGACTTGCACTTCAACTGAAGTTCTTTAAAAAGGTCTTTGAGCATGCTGCTCCTCATCACCATCACCATCATAAATCTCCAGGTCACCATCACCATCATAAATCTCCAGGCTGCCGTATCGCAAGGGGAGACCGCCGCTTTGAATATTTTGGGCAGGCATAAGGTATTTCGACGTGACCAGACGAATTCCACAGTGCGAACAGAGTTGTTCGGAAAGCGTATGGAATTTGTGGGCACTGTTGACACTTTGCAACACGCGGTGGTCGAAGGTGATGTGGATGGCATGAATTTTGTGGTACTTTGATGTTTGTTTTATCGTTACCTCAAGAAGTAGAGCATGCTGTTATTTGATGCACCAGGTTGGTAGCGGCCTTCAATCAGACATGATAAGGTAGCCCCCTTTAATCATGATAATTCAACGCTTGCCATTTATGCAGTATGTACTTTCATCCAAGACCACGTCTTTACCTTCATTTATTGGGTTTAATGATATCTTCCGTCTTCGTACTTTCACGTACTATTTGCTCATTCTTACCACGTAGGACACTGGTGTTCAAATTCACTCTTCACATGATCAGGTGTATTACGTGAACCAGAGAGATGAGATTACTGGCGTTTTGAACCTCGGGAAACCAGAGGTAACGGCAGCAACAACCCGCTTGATGGAAGTGTCAAAAATGCCGAAGGCATCAGAAGTGATCATAGGATTGGTCAACGCAGAAAGTCTGGTGGCACGAAGCCAAATGGTCTGATGAAATATCTTCGAGTTTGAGATGCATGATCGGATCATGGTCAATCAGAAAGAACCGTTTTTCTTCTACTAAAAAAAAAGCAGAAAACTTTTGAAAAAGCAGAAAACGTCTTCGAAAAGCAGTACCAAACGCAAGTAACGTGCAACAAATCCTCAGTCACAAACACACTGGAGCCCGCTTCTTTTTGTTTCGTCGGACGAAAAGTAGACTTCTTTTCTTGCTCAAATAGGAACCACACTGATTTCGTTTGTAGTACTAAGTAGATGAAAGGCCATCTGTGTAGTTGCTGGCCAGATTTCTGCTCACCTCGACACGCGAGGATATGCATGAAGATACAGCCGTTTCGGTCAGTCTAGAAGTCCCATATGTAGTGCATCAATGGAGTCGGCACAACTCGTGGGATGACTCATGGTGCCCTTCATATCAGTCAACGTGGTTCTACTCGAACCCGAATCGTCCCAGCCGAGCATTGTTGGTGTTGCATTGTCCGACTAGCATTGTGGGTGTACTATCTTCTGGACTTTTATTTTCACATCATGTCGTCATTCAGATTCACATCTTCACAACACGATCAAGGCATGATATAATTACAAACTCCTGGTGCTCCACTCCTGCTCCTGGCTGCAGAAGTGCCGTAAGCTTGAAAATCAGAGCGATATTGTATGATCTCCAGGAGCTGATTCGATGAGAGAGAAGAGGAGGGCGCGAGAGAAATCAGCGTAGAAAAATGTCGGTGAGAGTGTGAAAAGAGAGCCGAGACGTGATACGCATAGGGACCACATGACCCCCCCTTAGAAGACAATGCAATTTAGCTATTTGATTGGAATCAATGTTAACAACCATCTACTTAGTTAAATAGATGTACCGCGTGAAATGAAATTATATTATAGAACATTTCGTAAGAAGGATGTTGGATTGGATGGATTGCATGGCATTGCATGCATTGCATGAGCCGAGGGGGTCAGAGTGCGACCTTCTTAAGGGAGCGACACGGGAGCGAAGACTCAGGGCGCGGCATAGGAGTACTTACTTGGCTCCGTTGTAGGCGTACTTGAATAGTGCTGGCACGTACTAGCTATTGTAAGTAGCTCGACTAGGCTAGCTTGCCTGTGATCTCGACCGTCTTGCTCGCTGTTCCCTGGCGCACACAGGCCACGGCGTTTGCGCTGCTCCTTGCTTGTTTCTGGGGCGAGGTCACAGTGGGGCCGTGTTTGTGTTCGTGTATCGTAAAGCAATTCTTCGGCGGAGCAGCCCGGTACTGCGGAGGAAGTATGGCGCCCGAAGGGCGCCGCGAAAAATATATTGTTTTTTGGGTGGTCCATCCATGCAATGCATGCCATCCATGCCATGCAATCCAGAAGTTCGGAAATTGCCTTATATTCTATTATAAGATGCAGCTTGACTAATGCAACAAGATCAAGACAACGAACACACACACAGGGAAACTAGATCTAAATTTGCAATAACGTTCTGCTCATTTTTTCAAAGGCTACGCCTTCTTAACAAGATGAAAAGTATGTCTCTCCGTGATTTGAAAGCATGCGTCGTGCTCGTGCTGGCTCCTGACTTTGTACGCATTTGCAGCTTCCAGAGAAGTTCGTAAGCGTGCTGACATAGAAATGGTCGTGACCAGCTCCACTCATCATGATGTCGACGACCACGAAGACAGCACCCGAGAAAGCACCACCCGAGAAGCCTCCTGTTGTCGCTACAGAGCCAGAGCAGAAGGTGCCACCGAGACTGCGCTCTATTCAATGGGAAGACGTCAAAAAACTTTCGGACAATGGTGTTATTCCGCCAGAGTGTATGATGCCATTCATTGAGAACGATACGATTGAGGAATGCCGTGGTTCCTAATCCTAAGTTATTTAGATAGTAGGCAAGAAATACGGGAGAACGGCTACGGCATTCCCTGAGCGACGTCATTCTCAAGAATCAGTGGAAGCATTCACAGAGTGGGAACGGAAGAAGCGAGATTATCTGGAGACCCTCAAGGATGAGGCAGACGCATGTCCAAGCTCTGCTGCAGCCTTACAGCAAAGCATGCAGGTGACTGCGGCAAGAAAAGATTATGATACAGATCCCGAACATCATCATCATGATACAGTTCAGCTCCAACGTATTGTTTTCGAGAACATCCAGTCCATCAAGGAGTTGTTGGAGTCCTTGAGCTGGTAGCTGCTTTACGATTACGCCCTTCGTATCAATCTACGAATACCGAGAGATTAAGACGTTGTCATCTTCTCTGCAATATTCTTTGCTGTTATTTCTCTGAGGCATCCTCAGCATAGTTCTAAAGATTTAGCATAACTAGCGCCGATCGGTCGTCTACTGCCTCTGCCTCAAAAGTAGATCTTGGAGGAACCCAATTTACTGACACGATCGATTACGCAGTGCGACCATATCTGGTGGATCCAGAGACGGGTGAGAAACTTCCGACTGTTATGCTGCTGGACGGACTTGTTCTTCTTCAGAATCACAAACATAAAGGTCAACAAGAACATGATTTCCACCAGTAATGCGTTTGAACTTTTGTTACAAGAATATATCACCAGCACAACTTGAAGCCTGTAAGTTATTTCACCTTCCCCAACTCTCCTTGCTTTCACGCCACTCGTTCAAGTCGTTTTTCGCGTGAAGGACTGGAAGATCACGAAGAACAATGACCACGAGCACTGCGCAATGGAGGGCTTTATCGAGATGCATTGGCATGATTATCGTCTAGATAGTTCGAATTTTCAACCCCCGCCGGGTGTGGAGTCGAATGATGCTCCTGCTACGACCGCAGAATGTACGGCTAATAGTTCTTGGGCTGTTTGATCTGGAAAGTCCTAGAAGGCTATCCCTATTTCTACCATGTTCATAATTCATCATACGCCTGCTGAAGGAAACTACTGAAGCTACTTGACATTTTTGGATTTGCTACGGAAAACTCACAACAGCGGGTTTCAACTCTGACTACAATTAGACGAGACGAACTATTGGTCCTCTTCGTCATAGCTCCTTTGGTCTTCTCTAATACCTCCACGACTAGTGCTGGTGGCGAAGCGGTAGATTTCAATCTGGGCTTGGAACGTATGAAAACTTTACCTGAGAACATATGGCGACCAGAAATGATGGCGAGTTACGGTACTAGTATGCAGAGCGCAGAGAAATACGAAGAAATGCCTTACTTTATGACATGTACCTACTAGCGCCGGATGATTCTGTTTCTGTACTTGTTCACTTTCTTAGATGAAGACATCGTGTCACGGTCATTATCAACATCACTTCTAATTTCTGGTACAACAACAATCGTAAAGTGGTCAAGGAAAGAAATGGGAAAGTGACGATGGATCCTAAGTTTGTCTTTTCCGGTGACGGCGTCAACTTAGGGCAGGAGTTAGACCGACTGCGCGCTTTTCTTAAGGCTCAACACCATTCATTTCTAAGGGTCATTTCCTTCGGTTTCCTTCTTAGGATTCTGAAGAAATGAAGGAACGAAGTGAATTGGTTAAAGCTCTAACTTTCCGTTTGATTCAGTGCGAATCGATGTGTCTGTCTTCCTGACAGGCCAACGACGAGGCGAAACCATCAACGACATAGCGCTGAGCTTCCAAAGACCAAACCTGCCAAGGAAATTAGAAGGTATGCAACCCCCAGACTTCTTCTGTCTTCTTGCTCGTCGCATGGAAAGTGACTACATCAACAGTGGATGACATTTTAGCACCCATGAGTCTCACAGTCAGAGGACTATATCTGGTAGAAGCAAGAAGCAGCTCTTATTTTATGCTTCTTGCTTTGCTAGTCGGTTGAGGGGTAGTAGATGTTGCTGTTGAGCACATGCAAGAAGGTACTTAGAAGAAAGGGACACTCTTAAGGCACACAATTTTTCTGGGAAATGGCAGCAGTTTCAGATGAATTGCGTCAAGCACTCCGGAGACTACGAATTTTATGAGCAAGGACGGATCTCTATTTTCAAATATTCAAAGCTGCTAAGTGCTTGTTGTTGTTTGTATCCAAGAAGGTCAGATCTTTAGTTATTTTACAGGACTGACACTGTTGGCAGCAACTACCTCTAACCCCCATTCCGATTAAGCGTAGGCGAGGGACGAATGTGCATGAACTGGGCTGCGGAACAACCGCTTATCAAACCCGCACTGATCTTCAGTATTCAACTGAAACGAACACCTGGCTTCTACATGCAGAAAGGTACTGAGATACTCTTGTTTTGGAGTTGGAATTCCACTGTAGTTGTAGTAGGCACATCAATCAATCAATCAATCAATCAGTAGTTTAGACTCGACTCACGAGCAGCCTTCATGATTTTGATCTTTCAATTAGAACAACCATGGCACCAGATGAAGTACTCCTACTCTAACTTCTATTATTTGAACCACACGCACTAGGAATCCTACCTCTCTACCTTTGCGCGTGCTTCGGACTCGTCACGTTCCTGACGGAGCCCATCGAGCTCACTGGTCGCTTGCAGATGCTGTTTGCCCTCTTTCTGACGTCTTTTGCGATTCAATGGGTTACGCTTGAACGCCTACCACGACTACCGTTTAACACGGTGTTGGACGATGTAGTTCTACATGTCGTCGTATCCCTGGCAACTGCAGGCCTTGGCCAAGGCATAAGTTATCGAGTGGGCCGTGAGGTAGCGCAGGGAGAGCTACCTGCTGAGGAGACTGGTAGTAGCGGCCGCTCTAGCTCTGCTTCAGATCTAGACGTAGACGTATCACGTCGACTTAACGCGTTCGATTTCACCCTAGCGTCATACGTTGACTTATGCTTAACGTTGTATGTAAATCTAACAAAAACAAGTCTTGCTGTATCTAGAAAAGCAAAACAGTAACTTATATCCAAGCAAAACTGCATCGAATCCTCAAAGAAACCACCGTGCCAAGCTCTAACTCCCATCGCAACAGTCTTCATCATCATCACTTACCTGATTGCGTATTCCCTTTTAGGCAGATTTCGCAAAGCTTTTCGGGAAGGTAGGGTCCTTAAGGGCGCGACTACCGGTGCTCTGCGTCCCTGGGTTGCCGGAAAGGACTTCCGCAATAAAGTAATACGTCCTGGACAGGGTAGCCTGTGGACATTGGACCTCACTGACGAATTGACCAGACTCGGAAGCTTTTTGGGTATGGGCGTGCTGGTGGAGCCTGCAGAGTTTTGATCAGGACACTGTTGAGATTTGTGGTAAAGGGAAATTTCTGTCGATCCGGTGCTTGAAGCACAGGGCTGAGGCTGGAGCTATTCTATTCTAAGTACTTATTCTATTCAACATATCACTATGAGGCCATCTCACTCTAGTACAATCTGCTAGAAGTACAATCTGGTAGTACATTAATCTGCTTTGGTGCCATAGATCCGAATAGCTCTACGTACTTAAGCATGTGCACAAGAGAGTGGTCGGGCGCATGATCACTGTGACCAACATTCCTGACACAAACCAGTTCTCGCGATGCTGACAAGCCTACATGTACAATATCAATCTAAAAAACGTCAACAAAATAATACATCCTTACAACAACACCCTGCATTGACAACACGCCAGAACCTTCTCCACGGCATTCTTCTCCTGTTCTTTTGAAAGCTTTCAAAATGGGCATGATGTGGTTCCGAATGAAAGTACTTATAATATAATATCCATGTGCGCTGCAACATGACTTCGGTTCCTCTACTTCTAACGGTCATCTCTTCGATACACAAGAATTTTCTAGAATTTACAGGTCCACAAATCATCGATCTTCGTTTACAAATCATGAAGGTGAAGAGCGATCTTCATCGACAAGCATGTTCATTCTTTTTGCATTACAACCAGCATCGCCAACTGATTTATTATAGCGAGGAACAGGATGGCACGGTCTTTAGTCTGAGATTAGGATGTAACGCGGCTAACTGCGGACGCAGACGTCATTGGTCACTCATGTTGTAACTACTCACCGTAACTTTTGAGCGAGGTCGTTCGTTGACTCCTCCTGTGTGATGAAAATACTCTTGCTTCAAATCAACACGTCAAGATTCCTGTACGAGAATCTATAAATAGTGTGAAGACCTCCACTCCAGCATATAATGATCAAACATGAACATCTTGTTGTAGTCCTTTCAGCAATATTTAACATGAACATCTTGTCGTAGTAGTTGTCTTCTCCTTCGACTGCATTTCAGAGTCAGAAAACAAGTCTTCACTTCGATCATCATGAGTGTCCTTTTCGGACGTGGCGGTCCTCAGCATGGTGGGGGACAGAACCGGAACGTGCGGCTTGGCAAGGCTGCGGCGCGACATCAGCACAGGGGAGGTGGCAGCAGCTCTATTAGGGTAGTGCGGAAACCAGATCTGCTCGAGGCCTATCAGGTGGTGCAGGGCCGCTCTCCCGCAGAGCAAGAGCGATTACGACGATTGATGCCGCCACCAAGACTGCGCAAGCAGGACCTAGACCATCTTCTGGTAGGTCCGCGACTTCGAAGGAGACTCATGCTTGCCAGGAATGGGGACGAAGTGTCTGAGAGTGAATACACCTCTTCAGTAGGAGGAGGTTCGGAGAGAATGCCGAACTACACGAGTCGTGGTGATCAAGCAAGAGGGAGAACCACTGGCAGGACCGTCAGAGGAGGAACAGGACTCCAGACACGGGGAGCACAGAAAAGCGGTAGCAGAACGCACGGTGGACAAGAAGGAGGAGATAAAAACCTTTCATCCTTCTACGGTAGTGCTGGTACTGTCGAGCTAGAAAATTTATCCCCTGAAAGCAAGCAAGACTATGCCTTGCAGTTGCTGCTGAAGGAGACGAGAAAAATCAATCATGACTGTCATCGCAGCCGCTTGCAGAAAAATCAAGCTGAGCCTCAGCATTTTTTACACCTTTTGTCAAGTGGTTGGCTAGGACACGACATACGACGAGTGGCGGCACTGGTTGTCCACAGACTCAGGCTTTTGCGAGCGAATGAACAGCAGGGCACAGCAGTAGCATGCTGTGCGGCGAGAGCACGGGTTCGATACGAGGAATACCTAGCGGGAAATTTAGGTGGCGACTACGTGCTCTCACAATTACTTAGCGACCTGAAATCACTCAACATGCTGCCCAACCCTCCTGGGTAAAATGATGACAAGAATATACAACTACTTACGTCGTGTTTCAGGCGAGCAACCCATAGTACCCATAGTTGTACCCAACAAGCTCATTCTATGTTTCAAAACAACCCAACAGAATATATGTAATCTACTTGAGCTTGATTGAACCGCGGCGAACGTAAACGTGCTTCACACCGCGTTACACCTTTCTCCTCAGAAGCAAGTTCCGACGCATGAAACAACACTTACTACTCACTTGGGATCCCTCGTGAATTTCGCCCTCTTCCAGTTTCAGAGTGGATGTTGTGGATGTTATGTTGAAAATCCGGAAATTGACCTAAGTAGATCTAGTAGAAGATTATGTGACTGGGTGAGAGAACAAAACGAGAGCAAAGGTACGGACGCTGTTGAAGCTCCTGTGTGGTTTGACAAAAGATCTTGACCTACAGTAGAGAGTGCGAGTACTATGGGTATGCTAAATCACATTGTCAGTCTTGATGTGTGTTTTGATGGATATAGATCGAAAGCTATGATTGAATGAAGATCAAGATCAAGTTCAAGCTAAAAATATTTCTGTCAGAGAATTTAGATTTACACGACTTCTGTCGCGAGTGAGTGAGAGAGACTGGCCTCCTCGTGGTCTGAACGAAGTTGGGGCGTGTTGTTCTATTGCAATTTCTCCGCTAGTGTCTGCTGATGTCGGTCTAAGTGCTGCCATCTGTGAGAGTGCGAGTTGTAGTTCCCTGCTCAAGTAGAGAGTGCCTGTAGAGTGTGAACGGCATAAGTAATCTGTTTGAGAGAAAATTAGACTGTCTGTGTGCCGATCATCAAACGCTTTATCATCTCTCTATACAACCTTGTTGTATTATCATTTTTGACAAACGATTCTTATGATTTGTTCCACGTTGACCTTTCTTAGCTGTCTATCTCTTAAATTTGCTGTCGTCAGTCCGAGTCCCTGTGCTCGTCTAATAATGCCTGCGCAACCTTGAGATTCCCACTGGCATCCCTCGCTACGCTATCAGTCCTTTGATACCTCTAATCGAGCTCTTTTGATCTAGTACTTACGACGCCCTCGTTCTTTTAGACCAGGATTTTTCTCGTTGCACCACGTGAGTTTTTTTTCAAATTTTGCTAGAACTTTGAACTCACAATTAATTAGTACATTGATCCATATAATCGACGTTTTCTTCAACAGAACAATTTTCCCCTGTTTTTAATTTTATTCTGATTCCTTTCCTTTTCTCGACACGATACTGCAAGATGATGGACCTTGCTCCAGTCAGGAAATCCTCTTGCCGTTCTAGCTGCATCCTGCTTGCTGCGGGTGCGGTGCTGCTGCAAGAGAATGTGCAGCTCGTAAGCGCAGCCGTGGTAGCCTATCCTTTGACGTTTACGGATCAGTTCCGGTATCGCGAATATACCAAAAATGCTGCCACCACGGCGTTTCAGACGCTCGAGACAGCCGAGCTGGCGGTGAAAAATGGCACTGCAGCCGAGCAGCGCACTGCCATTGGGGGACGCCGCAGCAACTCAACCTGCGGTATCACGCGTGTGCACATTTCGGGACAGCTGCACCCCGTCTTGACCCGAACACCCGTCGACTTCGGCAGCACCCCAACAGCCGCACAAATCACGGCAGCTGAAACGGCGAACAAGGACGCCGCGGAACAGCTGTATCTGGGCGTCGGCGGCGTGTCCTCGTCCACCACTGCGTATAGTTCTGCGGCAAACAGTCCGCTGGCCAAAGCGGTCCTATCTGCGCTCGAGAAAACCGTGAACAGTAGCCTGTTGGATCCCGTGTTGGCGTTGGACTTCGACACCAGCGGTGCCGACGCCGCAGACAACGCGCAGCTGGCTTTTGCGAAAGGCTGGCGATTCGACAAGAACAACGGCACCCACCATTTCAAGCAGACTGCGGCTGCTGTGACCGCTGGCTCTTGGATTCAGAAGTACACCATGCAGTCCACAGTGGGCTTCACGCTGGAGTACTACCTGTCCTCCGCCACTATGGACAACCAGGATCTCGCCAATATGAAGCTGCGCACCGACATCGGCAACGCGCTCACTGGCTCTCTCGGAGGTACTGGAGGTTTGCTCCCGATTCTCCCAGTTACGAGTCCGTTGTTCCCTCTCTCTTTTGGTTCTGCGGCTGCCACCACAACCGCTCCCACAACCATTTCGACTCCGGCACCAGTCACACTACCAACAACCGGCACCTACGCGGCGGCGGATGCAGCCGCCATCTACAAAAGCTTCCAAGCAAACCTTGCTGCCGAAATACAGGCTGCGGCCAACGCGATTACCTTTACGGCCTCTGGCAACGGAAACATCAGGATGGAGCCAACCTTCCACCTCGGACAGCTCTCTTCTCTGGGGGGCCAAACACAGAGTGTGGTATTCTTACCATTTTTAGCCGGCTTATTTATTCTCTTGAGCTTGACGGTAGTTCGGATGTAGCTCAGATCCCTTTCTCACAGATAGTACGATAGCAATTCATTGTTATATGCAGCCAGTATATTAACTAGACTTGTTCTTGTTGACCTTGACAGGAACAGATTGTACAAGAACGTAGTCAGCTTTCAATCCATTTTGTTCCTTCTTTTGACGAGGAATGTTGGCCGTTTTTTTCAGGTGATGCATCCAGCTTGCGTGGATGTTTCGTGCAACATCGAGCGAACGGAGATCAGTGGTGCTTTTATTCCCAGGATCCAGGTGAACACCATCGACGCTGCCAACGAGGTGACCCTCGCCACACTTGCCGCGAAGCCAATGCGTGACGCGTTCTTTGCAGCAATGAAGACCCGTGCCAGCTTGTTTCCGAACACTCAATTCTTGCCCGTTGATGCGGATTTTGGCCTGGTAAGGGAGTCTGCAAACCGTTTTTCCTTCTGGAATCTTACCAGCTTCACGAAAGCGGAGGACGCAGGAACCCGCATCTCGAGCTTTTTTCCGCGCATCGACTACAAGTTCGAAGTGCGCACGTCGCAAACGGACAACGCCGTTCACAACGCCGAGCTCCGAACCTTGTTGCGGAACGAGCTAGACGGCGCGCAGGATTCCGCGACCCATCCCGCTGCCGCCGGCGCTTCGCCCACCGGAGCAGCTTTTCAAGCGGCATTCGCGACTGCCCTGGCCGCGCACGCGAATTGGCCCACTGCTGGGTGGTCGGTGGCCTCGATCTTTCAGACGGGGTCCTTGTTGCCCACGATTGGCACGCCCAAGAGCAACGCCGCCTGTCCGCACACGCTGAAGTGCGGTCTTCCCTACGAGTTCATCGAGGCCACGTTTGCTACCGAACTGGCGCCGAGTGTCACGATGACCTCTGCCGCAGAGGCGAGCGCTGTGGCTACGACCCTGTTTACGCCAGCGATGCCGGTGAATGCATCGACACTCACCTACCCGCTAACCGTAGCGCATCCGCACTACGTTCCGACGGTGGTGCCGTCTCTCTCAACCGCCACAACGACTACCACAGCCAGAGCCGCTTTGTCGCTTTCTCTCTTCGCGCAGGCTCTGCAAGCGGGTTTACGTGCGGACGGTGTGTACGCAACGGCCGGCGAGCAATTGCGTGGAGGCCGCGCTTTGGACATCAAGCGCAACGCACCTTTTTACTCGCCAGAACTGTCCTTTAAGGATCTCCAGTACACCATCATCGCAGACAACAGTACGGCTTTTCATGCCCTGGACACGGCGACAAAAAGCGCTTTTACATCGAGTAACACCAGCACTAAGATCGTCGTCACAGCGACTCTTCAGGTCTCCTATGCAGACTCGTACACACTTCTGCCAGCAGAGGGATATCAATTTCCGACGACCGCACGTGTCAATGCCTTGCTTGCGACTCCAGCAGCGAGCACTCTCCTCACTTCGGAATTGAACAAGACGCTTGCGACTGCTCTCACGGCTAGGTAAAATGATCTCATCCTCTATCTATTAATGTATTTCTGATGTTGAGACTTTATGAGGTTGGCACCTGTACTCCTCGTGCCGGGAGCTCCGGTTCGTTTTCAGGTGGTGCTTCTGGCCCAGCGCCCTGACCAGATCCCTCTACTTCATCGGTTTACCAATTTAAGCATGACAGGCCGAACAAGCCAAACGCCCATCCACCTCCAAATAGATCTAAAGTTCTAGTGACTGCAGGGGTTAGTTTACTAAAAAAGCAACTACAATCTAGTCCTCTCATCATTGTTTATGATGTTGTTCCTTAGTCGTTGTAGCAATAGCAAAGACTTTTCATCATTTTCTCTCGATGAATAAGTGGACCGCGGTCTTTTCAAATTATTTCAATCCGCATCTCGTTGCAGGTCTTGCCACTCAACAAGATGTCCTTTTTCTTCTCAAAAACATCAGCAACTTTTCCGTGTTGACGATTACGCCTTCAAAGTTCGAGCGTTCTGGCGGTTCATCAGCTGTTGTGGCCTCGAATCGCACCACGGCGCAAACGACGGCTTTGATATCCTCTGGCGCATTCAATCCCTATACTTGTGTCGACTACGACGCGCATGCACAGCAAACGGCGGCCGCTGCAAGGGCTGTGCGGTTTTCGGGCGAAGCAGCGAATACGAGCTACACCGCTTTCTACTCCAAAATGAATATCGGTCTCAACGGGGTGACGACGGTACATATCAGGGACACTCACATGACATGACTACTCAATTTCTTCCAAGTGTTCTTGTGCAACTGCAAGTCATAGTCAAAGGTGTCGTTTTTGTTCGTTGTTCGTAGATGAAAGTGGAGAAGTAAATGGGGTCAGATGTTATGATGGTCGCAATGAAGTTGAAGATAAGTGCACGACAATGAAGATGATCTGATCCGAATATGTAGTATATTTCCGTTTTCCCCAAGGCTTTTCATCGTCACCAATCTACTTCAGGTTCCTCCCACAGACGCTGCTTTGAATGCGGACGCGAAGATGTTGTTGAGTGTGCGCCAGTCCATTGCTGCCGGTTTGGAGGGTGTCTCGGAGTTGGATGTCGAGGAAGTTGTGATGACCATGAAAACCGTACCCCTTGGCTCTGCTACTTTGCGACGAGCGTTAGGTTCTTTCCCTCCCCACCTAGAAGGGGAAGTGGATGGTAATGGTGTTCCGTTAGACAGCAGAATGCTTTCCTTAAGGCTACCGCTAATCCATCTCTATAGGCTGCATGATCCCTCAAGAACCGTATGCGGCCCAATCAATACAAGGGCGGGGAACAATAGATACCCACGCATACGCTTGAGGGATGTCCACAGGGATGAACTAGGAAAGGGTCTAATTTCCTCCGACAAAGCAGTGCTGTTGTCCACCCCAGTCCCAGTTGATGTGGAGCAGCCAGCTGCAGCTCCGGTGGATGTTGCTACGTCATCTGCAGAGATGACTGGCGCAAACAGCGATGACCAACAGGAGGACGGCGAACAAGACGCGACTCCGTTCGTCGAGCAAGTTGACGATACAACTGGCAGTGCCACTGATGCTGTTGATGCGGCGTCTCCTCGTGAATTAACGACCGCTGGCAGTTCCCTTGGCATCCTTGCCGTTTCGTTTTCTCTCTTCATGTCGAGTACGAAAGCCGCTACGGTGTCGACGGCCCTGACCAAAAGGTTGAGCACGGACGAGTCTAACGCCGCTGAAGCAGGTAAATTTGCGACTTCGGTAAGTACCACGTTGGCCACCAAGTTGGCGACAGGTTCGAAGACTGTGTTAGGCGCAGCAGGATCCGTGACAGTGGGAGACGTGAGTGTCACGTCGTCGGCGACTCAAGAAACGGGAAGTTTTTCAGCCTTGTCCACAAAAGTGAAGACGAAGTTGGCGACAGATGCTGCCACTGCATTGACGACTTGCAGAGAGTACCAGACCATGACCGCAAGGATGGAGGTAAATACAACTACTTCACAATTTGAATTTGCCTCCAGTAGTAACTAGGAGTACGAATTTAATATTTTATGGTTCCAGATGATAGCATTCTGTCGTCCGAAACTCTCTATCTCAACGTTTTTTGTACTTGTTCTTGACCATGATATTGTCAGGTATCTTACCACCGTGCTGGCACGTTGCTTACTGCTGCCGCCGAGAGATTGGAGTTGGCGCAATTATCCATCTTGGAGTATCCGGTTGCTATCGCCAAGGGTCTCAATGCCATGATGTCAACTGCGAGTTACAATACCTCTTTTACCGCAGCTGACATCGATATCACTACTGCTGAGCTCATCTTGTACGAACCGTTTGACGCCAACGTTCCCGCAAAGACCCGAATGTTGTCGCAACAGGATGGAGGGGATGTTAGCTCATTCAACTACAACGCGTTTGAGGATGATAAGAGTGCAGCCTACTTGACCACGAACTACAAAAACTACGATAACTCCATTTGGGAACCGTCATCTACTGAAATGGGCGGTTATCTGTTGGCCTCACGCAACTCTGATTCGGAGCATCGTCGTTTCCTTGCCGGCACCCACGGAACGCGTGTGGCGGAGATTCTGGAGCTCCAACGTACTCAGAGCGTCTTGGGCACGCTGCCCGTCGCCTTCGTCACTGGTGGCGTTCCCTTTTCCACTGTGAAATTTCAATTTGTCCAGACGCGCGTGCTGTTCACGTTCCGTGTGCCTCTGCAGTACATCGGCAGCAGTGGAACGGACCTGGCGACCGAGATCACGGCTGACGGCGGGTCCCCAGATGCCTTCGTGCGTCTTCCAGCTGCCCAGACCGCTTTTCAGGCCAGTGCTGCCACCAAGCGCGCCGCGAACAATCTGTTGCTGAAAGATGTCGTGGACAGCTTTGGCAGCCGGGTCGGCGGCCGCGATTTCACCACCGCTGGTGATTTCTCGGCTGGAGTCGCCGCATCAAATGTTGATCCTGACAGTGGCAGTTTGGTTTTTCTCCCCTCGATCGGCACCACAACGACGACCTCAACCTTGGCCCCGAGAACTACCCCTGCGGCACTCTCTACTACTGCGTTCTATCAGCCGCTCGGTTACGTCGATTCCGCAAAAGTCGCAAAAAATGCGTTTCCCGGTTGCGCCGCACAGTATGCGCATCCGAGTGGCTACCGCTACCTGTTCTTCGACGCGCGTGAGTTCGGCTACGAGAGTGGCTGCCTGCAGAACGACTGTTCGAACACGCACCGTTTCCACGAGGCCTCGAACGCCCGTTGTTCGCAGATCTGCGCGTTCCTGTCGAAATGTGCGGGGTGGGACCACGGCGTCGAGGCTGGCGTGGCCACGGACGGATCTGGGCGGGTCGTCTACACGGGAACCTGTTGGCTACACAGTTCGCGCACCAAGACGTACCTGACGTACTACTCTGAAGTGATGAAAACCGGCGCCCTCTTGGTCCTGGACCAGGTGAAGTACCCCTCTGCAACCTACGACGCGACTCAGGACATCGTTCATCCGTCGCTCGCGACTTTGCAAGCGGTGTCCGCGGCGGACGGAAAGGTGAGAACGCTTGGCGTGAGCATGAAGACGTTCACGAGTGGCGAGCGCGCCTGTCAGGCGGGCGCCCGCACGAGCGACGTCTGCGTGCTGCCTCCCTCCTACTGCAAGGAGCGTCCTACGGTCACTGGAGGTTTCTCCAAGAGCACCAACTTTGCCTACGTCTATGACGACTGCGATGGAGACGGTCGCCAGGACCACGTCTGTACCTACACGATTTCGTCCACTAGCAGCAGTGGCGTAGTCTCCAACACTCCAGCTTTGAAATTCATCTCGTCGCAGAACCAATGCGCCAACATCAAATCCGTTTCCAATGGTGCCACTAACAGCCAGAAGAACTGCCGTGAGCGCGTTCTGTGGCACGTGAACAACACCAACAGGAACTGTACTGCAAACCAGGCTATGCCGGTTCACTGCAACGTGAATATGGCCACCAAGCGTTTGGCCGAGTACTCCAATATCGCGACCGTGCAGGCGTGCCACAACCTCTGTCAGGCAAATAGGCTGTGCAAAGGGTTCTTTAGGTACGCAGGTCGACCGTCGAACAGTGACAGCGAGGAGAACGCTTGCACTCTGATGAAGGAAGTATGCAATGACGGCTACTCTCCCTATCAGCAATTCTACAACATCTCGCACGGCCAAACAGCAGCTAGCTGCTCCTTCGTCGCTGAAACGCCACCAGGATTCAAGATTGATGGAGGTACCTACTATTACTATCCATGTTGGAAACATTTACATTTGCATAAAAATCTAGTACTGAGGCTGCTTCTGGATTGAATTCCTCATGCAAACTATAAGTAATACAAGAACCATGCGACTATTAGCAGCTTGACAGAGGACATGAGGTTTTAACAGGCAACTGTATTCACCGTGGTCGCATGTTTTTATTTCATGTTCTTGTTGTATCTAATTCCAATGCCTCCAATGTTCTTCAAGAACAGGTAACTACACTGGATTCCAGAAGTCGAAGCTCGCTTTCGAGGATGCCTTTGAAAAGCAGATAAAGTCTGTGATCGACGCCGCGCAGACTACTACAGTGAGCGCCACAGCCGTGACGCCCTTGTACCAGAAGTTGTACTTGTCCTCTGCCCACGCCGCACAGGGATCGCTGCGCGATCACGGACGCAACGACACTTGCGCCTACACCGACTTCGAGTTTTTCATGGTGGGCCTGGAGATGACCATGATTTTGCCAGTTACCGTGACCGCTACGGATCTGCTGACCACGGTGGCCGACACAAACGAGACCGCCTTGTACAAGAGTGCGTCCGTGCTTAACGAAACGTCGCAGACTTTGGCCGCGGGCGTGACGACGGTACCTGTGTCTGTCGCATCTTTGTTGCAGTCCGCGCTTTTGACTGCGCTGACCAGCGTGAACGCCACACAGGTCCACTCCTTGGATATCGACTACGTGGGGAGCACGAGCACGACCCTGTCCGCTTTGAACTGGACCGCGTCTTACCCCACCGTGACCGATCCGAGCACCATCACGACCCCCAGCGGCGCCGTGCAGCAGCAGCTGTACAACCTGGTGCAACGGCAGGTGCTCGTCAAAATCGTGCTCAAAGTGCGAAAAAGCAGCACTACGTACAACGCAACGGTGACCGAATTGCGCTCGAAATTGACGCTCCCAACGAACACGACGTTGACGCCACGCGCGCCCTTGGCTGTCAGCCTCGAAGCCTCTTCGCTCTTTCCCACGGAAGCGGTGTTGCAGAAAACAGGCTTGCAAGGAAAGTTGGGTGCCTACACGCAAGCCGTGGTGGGCAAAACCGATCTGTCGAAGGCCTCCTACGCGACGCTATTGGAGTATGCGCCTTTTGGCGGCAGCAGCGAACTAGAATTCGAGCAGAACATGAACTGGACGTGCACTCCGGAGTCGATGGACGTGAGATCCAGGTTCTACACCAGCTTGACGCTCAACGGCGCGTTCTACACCACGAAGCCAGTGGATTCACAGCTGGAAGCGCTAGCTCTGATCATTCAAGGTGCCGTGGAGGCGGGCGCCGGTCTGCCGCCTGGAACCTATCCAACGCGGGTCGCACCTCCTGCAGCTTCTACCGCGACGACAACTCTGTCTCCGGTGCTGTCAGCAAGCAGTGACTACTTGAAGAATTCAAGCCTAGTGACGATCGTGGCACCAGCTACGCACTTGCTGAGTTTCCCGGCCACCGACGTGCAGATCATGGTGCGGCTCGACACAGCCGCATCGCTGGCTGCCGTGAAGAGCGCTAGCGTGACCAAACGCCTCTCCAAGGGCCAGGCAGCGGATCGCACGCTCTTCCGTAGCAACTTCGAGACCTACGTCGCCGCACGCGTTGGCACCAATGCCGCCGCAGGAGCTTCTCAACTCTTCCTCCGAGACGTGACTTTTTTTACTGTGGACTTGAATCAAACAGCGGCTACAAGTACGGCGATCGCGGGTACCTGCACACGAACAGTGCCAGCTGTGACCAGCACCGTCCTAGCAGCGCCTGTGATAGCCACGACAGTCGCGCCTGTAGTAGCTTCTGCAACGAAGCAACTCGTACAGGGGTCGCTCGTCATGCAACTGGAGGGCTTGCCCACAGGTACTACATAGAGTGTTTCTATTCTGATTATAACAAATATTAAAGGTGGTCAGACAGTTGTAGAGTCACACTTGAAAATTTTTACTGTTGGTTGATAGAAGAAGCATTTTTTTGAGTAAAAGTGAAAAATGTGATTTTATTTACAACTAGCTGCGTAGTAACAAAATGGAAGTGAAACAGATACAACTGCAACTGGTGCACGTACAGACTTCCACTTGTACTCAAACATGGAATTGTGAGCACCGTCCTCACAAACGCCAGGTGTCGTCGCCTCCTTGTTTACCGAGGATCGAGGAGTGTTGGACCTAGTGGGTGCCGGCATCCTTCAAGCGTTGCAGGGTACTTCGCCATCTGCGGCGACTATTTTTGCTGGCGTCACCATCCAGTCTGTGACGATGACATCAACTGTGCGCCGAATGCGTAGGGAGCTTACAACGTCCTCTTCCCTCTCCCTTCTGCAGACGAGCGTGTCCACTTTCCGAGTATCCTATCAGCTCGTGGTCCCGAACAGCGCATCCTCCACGGGAACAGGCGGAACGCAACAGGGAAGTTCGACAACGGCAGTGGTTAACGCACTCACTGCTCCCACCTCTGTGCTCACCGGGCAAAACTCCTTCGCCCCACTCGTAGCGTCCACAGTGACAGGCTTGTTCGCGTCGTCCACCGCGACGTCTCAGGCAGGCAGCTTTCCTCTGAACACAATAAAGGCGACGCGGACCTACTACCCGCTATCTGGGGCAACACCGCAGGTTCTAGTCACCGGCAACGTGGTGTTCACGACGACAAGCACGCCAGCGCCCACGTCGACGCCAGGTCCGACAACAGTGCCCAACATCGTTGTATTCTTACCGACGACCACGCTGGCTCCGGTTTCAACGACATTGGCACCAGGAGCGGGCTCCTTCGTTTTCCAGACCGTATCTGCTAATATGGGTTCATTGGCGACGACCACGGGGGCTCCCGCATATGTCTCTCCGGGTAGCACGCTCGCAAAAGCTAGCGTGGACTACGGAAATCTGGCGTTTTTCCTAGTGGTAATGTTCTGCGTCATCCTGGTCATGGCTGTCGCCGCTTACGCGTACCACAAGAGAGAAAGAGAGCTCTTGTCCGGTCCGCAGAGAAACCAGCCTATGGAGAGGCCGTCCGGTTCCCGCGCTCAGTACGAGAGGGAGGAGAGGAGGAAGAAGATGGAGCTACGCGCCGCAAACCGACAAGACGCGATTCAGTCCTTGCATGACGATAAAGTGTTGCTCACATTGGACGCGGCGTTGGCGGATAGCGACTTGGCTTCCTCTTTCGAGCTAAGTGATATAGAATCTACTTACAGAAATAACGAAGAAGGCAATGCCAAAAATGGCAACATAAATGTTGGGGAACAACAAGAAGATAGAGCAGGCTTATTAGAGGAAGATGAAGATAAGGATAGAAGCGCTCGCGCAGGAGCTGCTGATAAGTTCCTTGCTCCTGCTGTGGATCCAAAGCAGCATGCAATTATCGCTGCAGCAATAGCCGAGAAAAAGGCCTCTTTGGCCGCGTCAATAAAAGATAGTGACTTGTTGGCACCGGAAAAGCAAGCTCTTCAGGGAGAAGGAGAAGCTGCTCCTCTTGAACAAGGTGGTTATGCTTATGAAGAAGGAGTAGACGATTCCGCCAGGTATCATAATAGCGACGTAGGGTCTCATCAGTTTGGTGGTGAGGACGCAGACTATCAGCTGCAGGATGAAGACGACAACTTCTATAACCAGCACTACGAGTACAACGACGAAGACCGACCTATGATTCCTGACCATGAACCAGACGAGGACCCACATGCGCCCTTTCTGCCTGACGTTCAGTCCTCTGGGCAACCGGGAACGACTCTGCTCAGTGTCCGGAAAGAAGAGGTAGAGGAGAGGAAGCCACACGTTCCTAGAGTGTCAGTAGGGCCATCGAATGAAAACTCTGTGGTCGTGGAGAGCCTGGGTAGCGTCACCAGGACCGTAATCACGATGGACGACGTCGTACTCGAAGAGAGGTAGAAGTTGAAGTTATATGTTCTAGTTGTAGTTTTTGTGTTGGAATTCGCTTGTACAACAAGAGTGAGGTATAACAAGGAGAATATGACAACAGACAAGAACTGTGTTTATCCAAAATCAAAAGATCTAACCGGTGAATTTGCGCTCCAATAGGAGGCACTCACTTACTGGATGACCTCACAGGTAGACATGCACAGCTACAAACGAGGTTCCATGACATGACATAGAATAGGTACTAGAAGTTTGATTGCAGATGTTATGTCATTCTTCTTGACGTCAAGTGAACAACTACAAGAAGATGAACAAGTAGGCGATGTCATTCTCTTTTGTGTCAGCGAGTGAGAGTGGGCTAATAAAACAGAAACTTAAACTTTTTCTTCAACATTGTTAATGCTTATACAGATAACATAGAGTCAGTTCTTCATCATGTACTTCTTACCTGTTAATGTTACAAAATGTTCCAGTTTGAAAACAGGATGTTAATAGTTTAGTAAATCATGCATCCGACTTGGATGTTCTTGCAATTCATCAATGAGCATATGATCTTTAACCATGATAAACAAGAGGTGATGTACAGAAATATTTGCTAATCCGCCTAATCCATCGTAATGTATCTCTCATTGTGTATATTTTTGGTATACCAGCTGGAAGTAGATCATTGTAGGAATTTTTTTGCGTTACTCATAACTTGATGTTGCATGATAAGTACAATTCATCATCTCAGAGGTTTTTGGACTTCTAAAGTCGAAATCGCATCGGATTCTAGTAGAATTTAACGTATCATCACAAGTGAAACAACAATTCCAAGAAACAAATTCGCAAAGAAAACAACCGCAAAATACTCGCTCGCAAGTATTTATGGTATGAAAAATATGAAGACGAATGAATATGAACACCTCACCAGGATTGACTAAATGCATTAAGGGAAATCATTCTCGTCCATACCCCGCCGGGTCAACATAGTGTGATAGAGGAAGAACTAGTCTGAAGGTAGCATGTCCATGGATTGCTCCTCACGGATGTCGCAAATCGTTGTATCAAGATTTGCCTGATGTTCTTTGCAGAATTCGCACGTTGATCAGGCTACAAAAAAAAGATCAAGAAAAATTTGCGCGTATGTGGTCGTTAGGATGCCTGCGCGCTCTGACACCAGAATGTGATATGCGATGATCATCTTGGCGCACCAACTAAAATTTCGCTTCCAAGAAGGCACATAGTTGGACACGAAGATGATGCACTACAGGATGATGCGCGACAAGATGATGCACTACAAGGAACCTCCAGCTCCACAGCGGAAGAAGAACCTAGTACTCCAAGATGATGCACTACAAGGTACACCTACAACTGCAACAAGATGATACGCGCTTCTACTTTTTAGGATCTCAAAAATATTGTGCGGTTTCGTGAAACGCTACCACACGCGGATCTTCGCACGTTCCTCGGAGTTTGTGCGCAGGTACTTATCCCTTTTTTACTCGTTTTGATGATGTGCTTCGTTGAATATACAAACTTCTACTAGATCCTCAGAACAATGGCCAAGATCAAGATCGCTCACCACACGGGCCGTTAGTGACTGGAAAGAACTAGGTTTATCTCTCTTATGTTCATATGTTCGTGCATTCAGGAAGATGACGTAGATCGTGTTAATATCTAAATTCCTGTTCCTCAAACAAATTCCCTCTTTACTATATTTGAAAAATTATATGTATAGAGAGAGTTCTACGTAAAAATACCTCTCGCATTCGTTTTCTCTTTATAGAAGCCCTACTAGTATAGCACAACGAGTAAAGAAGATGTTTTCGTTTTTCGGGATTGTCTTGTTGTGCTGCATGGCGGCATTGGTCGCAAGCACGGCAGCCTTCAAGTTATGGAAGCTTCTTTTGGGACGAAGCAGAAGAAAAAAATTAAAGGACCAACATATTGAGGAGCAGGTCGACGCGGAACAAGCAGCAGCAATACAAACTACAACATCGGATAATTCTGGGTCAACAACATCAAGGTCGACGAGTTTGGAATTCGACGGCTTTGTGTTTCCTATTGGTGGCAGGATCGTCTACTGGTCATGGCAGCTGTTTGTCGTAATGCTGCAGCTGTCGTTAGCTGCCATTATGGCCGGCTTCTACCTCGGAGAAGAGTCACCCACAGGCCTCTGGATCCTGAACGAGCTGTGGAGCCTAAAGCTTTGCCCAGAATCCTTCTTCCTCCGATCAGAAAAGGCTGGAGAGTTATGAATACGATCGACTTGTATCTATATGTTCACGTACCTTGTTATTAAGTACGTCTGACTGGGCTTCGTTCTGATTCTGAAAGTGAAACTTCGTCGTACAGTCGTTGAGTGAGTACGTGAATATTAAGTGAAAATAAGACCCGCACGACCTCCTCTTCATACCCTTTCGCAGACTGGTGCAAGACCGAAGACGACGTCACGACTCAAGAGCAGTTCAATTTGCGAATTGGAACTGTCTTCCTGATCTTGTGGGGCGTGGTTGAGGTAATCCTGATTCTCTTCTTCTCCTTCGATTTTCGGGCGTCGTTTTTCATTCCCTGTGCGAAAATGCAAGACGCCACCCTAGTGCGAGTTGCGCGTCCAGCTACGGATCACCTCCAACAGGATCAGAGTTCTGATACGACCGAAGAATCAGAAACTCCGTCGAAACCCGATTCTTGTTTTTCCAGGCTATGCAAGGCATTATCGCAAGGCAGCGGTGCCGTTTACCTTGACGTCAAAGTCGCTAACAAGAATAAACATCAAGCACATGATGAGGAAAAGTCTTCTTCTTCAGGAGGAGGACCATTAGGGGTAGTTGAAGAGAAGTATTTCTATTTTCTGTGCGAAAGGTACGTTTTCGATCTGTCTCGGAACGACTATCGAAAAGCGCCAACGGGACTGTGGGACGATGAGGATGTTGCAGCTTCTTGTGCTAGTGCTAGTGGTACAACGGATAACAATTTTTACAACTCACGACCTTCCCCATCTGCTTCCGCTCCTGGCGCTATTTTGAGTGCCGCAGATCGGCAATCCCGTCAGCGGCGTTTTGGTCGGAATCTAGTGGAGCTAGGCCGCGACGCAAGTTACTATGCTTGTGTGGTGGAGGAGTTCACGGGTAGCTTCTTCTACGTCTTTCAGCTCATGACCTTCTGGCTGTGGGCGTCTGTGGAAGAGCTCCACATCGGCTTGCTGTGGGAAGGAATCTTCATCCTGTGCGGCTTCTGGAACGCTTCTGTCAAGAAAAAGTCCTTGGAGCAGATTCATGCACTGGCGCGGTTCGAGACGTCGGTGCAAATTCTAGAAGAGCAACAAGTAAGCACTAGCAGCACTAGCAGTAGCGCTAATTATGTTGGGAATACTAGTAACGTCGTCACAACCAGAACCAAGGAGATATCGTCCTACGACTTAGTACCAGGTGACGTGATGTTGCTGCAAGCGGGAGACTTACTAAGTTGCGACTGCGTGCTGCTACATGGAGCGTTAGTGATGAACGAGGCAGCCCTCACAGGGGAGGCCACACCAGTACAGAAGTCGGGTTTTTTGGACGAGCAAGGCAGGATATCTTCACGACCTGCGGACATCGCCAATAGTTGCTCAGCTGCCACTAGTTGTACCATTGAAGGACAAGGACCAGCAGCAGCAGGGAAAAAGGTGTTGACTGACGTCGTTGAGGAAGAGACGTCACCGGGAAATTCTGAAGTTCAAGAACAAGCTGCTCTAGACAAATCTGCCTCCACTTCATCCGCGTCCACGGCAATGAGTAGCAAGATGAGTAGCAAGAACTCTTCTTGGGGGAGCGAAAAAATCACACCAGCGAGTCACAAAGCGAGCTATCTTTTTGCTGGAACCCGCGTCTTTGCAGGCTCCGGCCGATGTCTTGTCCTCGCTGTGGGTGTCGGAACGTCAAGGGGTCAGCTAATCCGCACTATGCTGTGTGGCAAAGACGAAGAGCAAACAGATGAAGAAGAGCTTCTGAAAAATGATGCAGATGGAAAGAACAAAAGGAACAAAGGAGGTACTGCTAGTACTAATGCTGATAGAAGTCTTACAACAGCAGGGCATGGGAACTCTCGTCGTAACCAAAGTAATCAGGACCACCAGAGCCGGGCGGGAACTGCAACTCCTATCAGAAGCAACCTAGACAGTACACGACAAGGCGACGGAGAAAAGAAATTTCCATTTGAGGAGGAAATGAGTACTTTCTTCTTCTGGATCCTTGCAATTGGCTGCCCCTTCGTTCTCGTTTGTCTTGTGGGGAAGATCGGCGTGTCTCCCGCAGCTTCGATTCTCCTCATCACGCAAGTACTTACGACGATGAACAACTTGATCTCTCCCTTTTTGCCGGTTTCGCTGTCAAATACCTACATGTCTGCCGCGCGTCGCCTGCGACAGAAAAACTTGCTGTGTCTGGAAGCCAAAAAGATTCCGCGTGCAGGTCGTTTGCGAACGTTTTGCTTCGACAAAACCGGCACTCTCACATGGCCAGATATGCACTTTCGCGGAGTCTGTTTGTTTCAACAACAAGGTGCCTCATCCTCATGCGAAATGAAGCGAACTTTGCTTGGCTACGACGACGGCGAGCAGTCATGTTTCAATCACAAGGTAGCTGGAGTGAGTCCGAGCATGCTCGATGCGCTCGTCTGCTGCCATAGCGTCGTGATTACGGACTGCGGCGAGCTCGTTGGAAATCCGGTTGATTATGAGGCAGACTTATTTTGAAACACGACTCTCTAATATGATCGCGTTCCTTCTCTCTTCTGCACCAAACAGAAAAAGAAGTACAGACTTGTTGATCTTGCTCATGCTCGTACGCACGACCAGAATTATTTTTGTAAACACTTAAACAACTTAAATGTCGAACAAGATTCGTCCCTTTCCATTATGATTTGGAGTTATAACTTCAACCACTTACAACTCCAATGCCAGGGCCAATAAAGTGATCAATCTTCTCTAAGCTGAAAAGTGCATGTTTCAGGCGCTTGGGTGGGAGATGTCTGTGTTTAACGGCGAACAGCAGACTGCCAAAAACGATGAATCCAACAAGATAAATGCACAGGATTCTCCGCAAGACCACGCGACTGGCGGGACAAAGTCGGCTGCTGCGGAACAGAACAGATTGTACCGGTTCGATTGTCCAGCTCACTTGCGTGGAGGTGTTGGTAGCACTCTTGATCAGACACTGACAGTTGCAAAACGATGGGATTTCGATCAACGAAGACAGCTGCAGAGCGTGCTGGTGCTGGATCACCACCTGGGCAATTCTACAGTTAAGACTTCAATTCGCAATGATTCCTCACTTGTTGAACTAGGAGGTATAATCTGCATCTTCTGGTTTCACTACATATTAAAGATCATGAAAAGAACTGCTGAATTATTGCGAGGAGTTCTCCTTCTAAAGTAGGTAGACGCGTATTTTGCAAAGGGTCCGTAGAGCGCGTCGCGGCCGCATGTAGACCGGAGAGCCTGCCTTCAGACCTGTTTGAGACCTGTAAGCGGTTCAGCAAGCGAGGACTCTACGTATTAGCGGTCGCAGTCAAGAGCGACCTGGGTCCGCTAGCTTGTCCAGACGAGGAGGACATCCAGGATAATGACAATTTCATCACCTCCGCGGTTCCCTCACGAGACAGCGCAGAGCAGGGCTTGGAGTTCCTCGGTCTCTTGCTCTTTCAAAACGGAATGATTATGACTGGAGCAACATGATCTCGAAGATTGTTAGAGTTTTTAGAAGCAGTACATAGAACTAGAGAAGATCAAGATTGGTAGATTTAGAAGCAGTAGATAGAACTAGAAGAGATCAAGATTGTTAGATAGAAGCAGTAGATAGAACTAGAAGAGATCAAGATTGTTAGATAGAAGCAGTAGATAGAACTAGAAGATATTGCTGTTGTGATCATCTACTTGTAGTTCTTTGATTTTGAAGCCGCTTTGGTTTTGATTACTTAATGCTAGTACCAGGATTGAAATTGCGTTTGCGGCCGAGCACCGGATTTTTCAGTTCTTCAGACTTAATGGTCTTAGATTCAGTTCTTAGTGGCCATACTAGTCTTAGATTCAGTTCTTCAGACTTAATGGTCAACATGACAGCATTCTGACCGCATCTTCGGGTCAAACCCTCCACCCTCCTCGCTTCATACCAAAGCCAGAAAGTCCAGAACTGATTCGCCGTTTGCGTGACGACTTCGGCATCACCAGCGTTATCATCACTGGGGATGCGGTTCACACAGGAGTCAGCGCTGCCCGCGAGTGCGGTATTATCGAGTCTGCCGCGACAAAGACGCGAGCCATGGGAGTAGAACATGGGAGAGCCGCTACGCCTGAGAGGTTTTCGAAGCTCCTATCCAGCTGCCACGACGACGAACACGAGCTCGGAACCGGAAGGAGTTCATCTCCTGTTTGTTCGAATGCGAGAAACGAAAGAAAGAGTTTAGTCGAAGATATGATCAGAAGAGAGGAGATTTACATCGGCGACATCTTGACGTCTTCATCAAGTGGCAACTCGTCCGTGGTCTGGGAGGCATACGATACACGTCGCGGAGGCAGTGAACTCATATCAACAGGAGAGCTTCGTGCGAAGATACGACATCGCGAAGAGATGTGCAGTAAAGATGAAGATACAGAAAAGACTACTTCGACGGTATCATTAGCGCTAACAGAGCGAGCCTACGATCTCTTAGCGAAAAACGAAGAGGCTTTCGATGACATTTTTCTTAGAGTCAAAGTTTTTGGACGGACGAAGCCGGATGGAAAAAAGAGGATCGTGAAGAAAATGCAGGTAGTACTTACAAATACATGAGAACATCGAGTTCTAGTCGTATTTGCTGACGTCGTCCATGTTTCACTTTCATCTTCACTTCCTGTGTATTTCTAGTTCTGTTGATGATTCTAAGCTTGATTTTCAACGAAATTTGAGCTCCTGAAGAAACCTTCTCTTTTCTAACCTTATGAATCTACAACTACTTACTACAACAGAGCCTCGTCCCATCTGGTCTAGTCGGCATGGTTGGCGATGGCGGGAATGATAGCGGTGCGCTGAAGCAAGCGGATGTGGGAGTTGGGTTAGTGGACGTGACAGATTCGCAGGCGATCGTCGCACCCTTCGTCGCGGACAATGTCGCCTCTCTGGTGGACCTAGTGCTCGAGGGCCGCTGCAGCCTCGAAACCAGTGTCAAGATATTACAGTGGTTCATTGCGTTTGGAATTCTCTGGGTCTTGACGATGAAAGTGGCGATGCTGGCGATTTCCAACGCTTTCGCGCCAATGGCTGCTTGGTTCTACGCTGATGGATTTCTGACGGTTATGCTTCCATGGGCAATGACACGTGCAGAGCCGTGCGCACCAGGTGGACGACCGGGAGTTCCGGAAGATGAAGCTGTTGTAGTTGTTACTGGCAAAGCCGAAAAACAAGAAAACGTTGGCCACACGCCGACTCAACATCTTTGTGTCGTGCCCTCAGACAATATTGTGGACGAGACCTCCACGCAGAGTCCACAGCGAGGTCAGCAATTAGACAGTGTGAACGTCGCTGTAGTTCCACCCGAACTTGACGTTCTGTCGGCGCATCCAGTGCTGCCGCCAAACTTGGCGTCTGGAAACCTAGTACTAGAAACACCAGCGGCCACAGACGAACAGCCATTACTTCTTGCACCAGGTGACACGTTGCTAAGCAGTGCCACCAGTCGAGGAACGAGAAGAACGCTGTCGCATTCTGCTTCTCTGACTTCGTTGTTCAATGGAAGACCCTCTGAACAAGGAATGAGCAGTCCTGTGTGCATCACATCAAAATCACCAGCCTTACTGGCTGGATCACCTCTACACAATGGACACGACCTCCAGAAGCTGGCGCCGCGATTAGATTCAACTTCTCAACATCATCAACAAGGTCATGATCCACTCTTGGCCACCTCAAGAGGCTCATTCCACGAGCTTTTCGCAAACACGAGTCAGATGTCCCTTGCAATGCGCTCTCGAGCGTCGGTAAATTCCGTTGCTGACGAAATTCAAGCGGAAGAAAGAGAACTTGAGGCCGAAAGGAGGGACCATGCGTCTAGAAGGAGGGAGAAAGAGAATTACCAGCGTCATAGTTCTACTGAGAAATCACGGGGAGCCGGTTGTAGAAGACGCGCTGCAGGTTCTCCAGTTGTATCGTCAGGAGACCTAAGTACACCAGATACTGAACGTCGAAAGGGAGAGAACAAGCGACATGGGCATAGGAATAAAATTTATTCATCTCCTGAAGAAGGTGGGGATGGAGATACAGATAGCAGCCTGAACATCACATTACGAGGACTCGACGATGGGGAGGACGAAGAAGCTCCGCTATTACCATCTAAGGCGCTTTTCGGCACTACGCCTCCAAAGCAAGACATGCATTCAGTATCATGTAGTACGTCGTACACGTCAGAGAACAAAGCCATAAATGATCATGATCAGGATTCGCATGAAGAAAATCACCAGAATGTAGTCGCGAAAGTTGGTGATGCAGCAGGTAGCCGCGTGTGCAAGCTTCGCGGTTACAACAACACCAATGGAGACAACTCTTCTGCCTACAAGCAAAACAATACGCAACTACTTCTGAGGAATGAAGATTCATCGAGTAAGAGTATGTCACACTCCCCATCTCCTGGAGCTGGACAAAGAAAGCCTGGGCCAATAGAATGCTCTCTGCTCAGTCGGCGTTTCTTGACAGAGCTGCTTGTAATCGTTTTGCTTGGGCTCATGACATTGTGGGTCCCACTTGGAAGTCTCAAGCTCATTAGCTGGGTTTCGACGACGTCTTGGTATCGTCCGGTCACGGCTTCGCGTGACGGGATAGCAACAGAATCCGCGACCTTGCCACGAACGCAAAACTTCGACGCGGCGCTTATTTTCCTGAACCAAGCACTGTTTGCGCTGTTACTAGCAGCAGTTCTGTCTAGACGCAGCCCGAATCGAATGGGCTTCGTCCCGGGGTGGCCTAGTTTCTTGCGGAGGCGGAAAGCTGATGCTATGAGTTGTACAACTGGTACTAAAAACTCCTCTCGCAACATCAAGGTTAGCACAACTTCTAGCCCTGTAGTCAAGAAGCTAGAAAACCTCCAGCAAAGCTCTACTACGTCAAGCAAGCACCATCTGGAGAGTCGCCGCCGCAACCACGTGCTGCTTGTGGTATTGCTTGCTCTGCTCGTTCCAGTATTAGTTCCGCTCCTTGTGGTAAAAAGCAACGTGGTCAACTGCTTGTGGCACATTAATTGTAGCAACGAAACGTGGCAACGGATGTGGGGCCTCCACGAAGAGTATCATGGACCAGGCCAGAGCCTTGTCGACAGAACTAATGTCTGGAACGCGGAGCTAGTGCATTTGGCTACAAGAACAGACCACGGTAATTCGTGGTCATCTTCTAGGAGGAGAGCTGCTTCATCTACACATCAGTCAGGAGAAGACAGTTGCTGTGATGGTAAGACCAACGCGACCACAAAAGCTAGGACTGATAAGCTTGTAGAAAAAGATCAGCGGACTAACTATTCGTATTCGCCAACTTCTGCTACGGCACCCTCAAAAGCAGCAGCTAGTGCCAGTACGCCAGGACGTGGGGATGATGAAGGTGAGGGTGCAAATTTTAGCGCAATCCAACCTGCTTCTTTGCAGCAGGTGGGAGCTACGTTGCGTATACTTCCTGGTGGAGCAGCTAGAACAGGTGGTAGAAGTCAGAGCGCAAATAACGCAGATTCTTCATCTTCTAGCTCTACGCCTGCTACCACGATGTTGCGTCCACGCAAAAAAGAGATAGACCGTTGCGAAGAGTTTGTTCGATATCACAGGACCGCTGCAGCCTCTGAGGCTCGCGTCTTCTTGTATTCCACGACGTCTGGGTCGAGTTCGAGTTCCAGCACGGCAACTAGTGCTACAGGAGGACAGACCATTCAGACTCAAAGCACGCAACAAGCTGCAGAACAAAGTGAAACTACATCGGGTCCCAGCACTGCTTCATCTGTGCCAACGCTGACACAAGAACGCTTGAGGTGTCTGGTTTGGTTTCGACTACCCGCAGCGGCAACGAGGCTGCAATTACAGTACCAACAAGACGATGCATTATCAGATTTTTCTTCTAGTACTTCTCTTCTGCGTCGGCCGTGTGCACTCGCCTGCGCCGGAAGTTGGGAGCAAAAACCTTTGGGGTCGAGGCAATCGAAAGACACGTCGTTTGGTTGTCGCTTCTCTGTGCAACTAGGCGATTCGTGTCTCTTGCTGCCAGCCGATGATGTGCCTTTGCTCGAAAAAATTGGGGATGCTGTGTCTGCAAAGACGGCATCTTCAACGGGAGAGCAGGTCACTAGTCGTTCGGGAGAATTCTTACAACCGAGTCCCAGCTCAACAGCTACAACATCAAGTCGTGGCCGTGGAGATAATCGCTCATCGTCCACCTCCGACTTGGGAGGCAAAAAAAGTCCTATTGCAGCTATACATGTGGATTTGCAACTTTACTACAACACTGCTCAGCCAAACACCGACTTTTACTACAACACCGACGTTCCAACTACTAGCACTAACAGCGGTACAAATTATAGTGCCAGCAGCCAGATGCCACCACCAGAACTGCTCTCACCAGAATCCACCACAACCGCGAGGACCGCAGATATTACAGTGCTAGTCCATGAGCTTGAGAGGCACAACGAGTTCGGCCGCTCGCTGGACAACAGTCGCAATGCTTGGCCCTTCTACTGTCTCTTTTGGGCTGGTTACGTGCTAGCGGCAATATGTCTCATTCGCCTGCTGAAGTAAAAAAGACGAGTTGTTGAATTTGGAGTTGTGGATACAACCACTGGAGCTTGTTCAAAGTTTTGTTGAAAGATTCGAACTCTACGTCTACATGGACAGTCAAAATCATTCTTATCGGCAGCTACATGAAGTAGAGGCTTTTTTAGCGTTGGCTGCTAAAAGTCTCTCGGTACATCACGAACACTAGTATGATTCTAATTTAGTATCAGGATTGTTGATGCACATACCGCAGTTTGATGTGAAGTTGTGCTTCGACGCCTACCTAACCTGTTTCTATCAGGATGATTTATTTTCCTCTGGTGCTGGGCCTGGGATGTGAATCGCTGAATTCTTTGACTTCTAAAAAAAAATAAGAAGACGGCGAGAATGACTAGCATGTAATACATGTTTAGGTGACGTTTTGACTGAGTGGTTTATTAGGTCTGTGAATCTTCGTCGACTCTGTGTATAAACTCGGGAAAGCACGACCCACGCCTGATAGGCAAACGATTATCTTCCTTGTGGTAATCGCAATTTTTTTTTTGTGAACTACACAATGCTACAACGCTAGTGAATAAAGCATTATGGTTGACGTCCTAGACATTGAATGTGTGACATTAGGCATTGTCAACCATCTACTACTCTTGCTGGGCACATTGAATAAATATGTCAACACCTCTCGCTGGGCAAATTCATTTATTTACTCAGACTCACATCTAGTGATTCCACTCATTTGAAGATTTTTAGCCATGAAAATTATGGAAGCAACTCCCTACCACCTGGTTCTTATTCGTAGACATTCATTTTTATCGTGCACCTGCATTTGGTACTACTTCTATTAAGTTCATCTAACTTGAAGATGTCGTTGTTCTATTCATCTCTCATCACGGTTTTATCATCTCCTACTTCGTATAATTCGATTTATACGACGAATCCTCCACCCAAATGGCCAGTGGTAATCAGGATGTTGGAAGGAAACTTCATCAACATCTTGAGTTCATCAACAAAAATTTACACTTCCTTCATCACAGAAGCAGAACGTGGACGAGAACAAGTACACTCCACTCTCCACGCCATGTGCGGTTAGCATTTGTCCGTTCGAGAAGGTGGCGTACGCGAAGGCGATCGGCCCGATGGTCGCGTACAACAACATCATGATGACAGCAATGGCGATCGAGGGCGAGTTGCCGAACCCGCGCAGACTCATGGCGCGGGCTCAAGAGAAGAAGCGCGGCAAGGCGGCTAACGGTCCGGTGATCCAAGATCATATCTCGTTCTTCTCCTCGTCTTCCTCATCCAGCTCGTCGCCCTCGACAACTTTGGCTGTGTTGCGCAGAGGACGCAAATAAAACCAAAGAAGTAGTGAGTAACCGAGTACATGTTGAGTAAAATCGAGACACAAGCCGCGAGAACGCAGGCTATGGTGGTTTTCGGGAGAAAGGAGAGAAGCACTGAAAAATCAGGCCGGCAGAGGAGATGTATGGAAGGAGCGCGGACACAGTAGAGAAGAAGAACGAAGAGAAGCTGCATAAGCTCGAGTTAGTCCTTCGTTGGCACTTTGCAGGGCGATGTTCAACTTCGAAATCTTGGAACCTTCGAAGCAAGATATCGTCTAAAATATAATATTTGTGTCATCTTAACGAAGTCTATCTCGAGCAACATTGAGTGGCAGCTCGTTGCGCTGGGAGCAGAACGCGCCGTAAAGCGTGCAAGCAATGAATAAGATTAAGAGTGAGTACAACTGTTCGCATTATGTGACAAAATACGAAAGGAAAGAGCGGATCTACAAGAGAGATGAAAGACGAGGAGAGAATTTTAGTAAGAGAGGTCTTTAGCTCCCAGTTTGAAAATTAAACGATCAGATGACTCCCCCTGCGAAAACGAGTAATGAAAAGTTTTAGAGGTCTGAGGGTCTTTAGTCTCGCGATCCGCAGCAAAATGGTGAGGTATCCAAAAATTAGGATGCTCAAACATTTTCAATGAAAACCTGAACGACGTAAAGGAATAAACAGCGGTATTAGAGGGATTTTCCATCGTGGTTAAACTGAATAAAGCACGGTTGAATCAACAAAATGGACCCCCGGTAAGCTGAACCGCAATCACGATGGACTGGAAGGAGCGACTGCGGAAGGTGAACCTGCGGAGGAAAGGTGTGCTAGAAAGGGACGAGCACGAACCTCATGCAGGAAGAAGAGTTAGGCCGAAGGCGGTAGCTTCTCGTGCAAGAACGGAAATCCGAGATGATGCGAGCGACCCCGTGCAGCTAGGCACGGACAATGACAAAGCCATAGCGCCGTCAACAGCAGCGGGACTGAAGGACGGAAAAGTCGAGGAAGCACAGGAAGAGGCAGCTGACCCAAAAGGGAAACAAGGATATGGCTCTGACAAGTATGCCATGGACTTCATTAGGAAAAAGCACCCAGATGTCGACGAGTGGAAAAAGGAAGCTAGGGACGAAGTAGTGCGGCAAGTCATAGGACTGTCGAAGCAAAAGAAGATGGAGCCAGGACCAGCATTTGACAGGGAGATGGTGAAAACAGCTTACAGAGGAAGACCAGAGACGTGGGATCCCAACGGGGTCAAATATACGCCAGGAATGTTCCGGAACATAGAAATAGACAATCATATCATCCAGAAACAAATAGATGCACTGAAAGCAGAAGTGACTGATAAAAACCCCAAAGAAGGTGAAGGTAGAAGAAAGTAAGCACATGGATCCCCGCGAATGCAGGTCACTAGCAATGAAAAGAAGAACAAATAAATAAGCACGTGTGAAAGACAGCTTGACAACATGAAGAGAAGGGGTATCAAATGGTGGTTGTCTTATAAGGCCAGCCCTGTCGCATTTGATTTCTCATGGTCCTGGAAAGCACGATCTAGAATGATGTTTCCTGGAGGAACACTCGAAAGGAGGTAGCCCTCGGGAAGACAAAGAGAGGAGCCAGCATTAGATCATCGAATCGAAAGAAGAATCGCAAAGATCATTAAGAGAAGAACTTCCACGGATGCGAAAATGATCCGTACAAGCAGAGCTGGGTTACCAATTATATTGAAGGCGCAGAGGTTCAAACGAGCATGAAATAAAGTCGTATCGATTAAGAAGTATTGAAACAAGGAGACCAGGAGTGTTGAAGCAGAGGATAGACGCAAAATAGGGCGTAACTAGATGAGTGAAGAATTGAACTAAACTGCAAGTAGGTAAGACAGATATGTAGGTAGAGAAAGGAAAACATGACGGATCTTGCGATATCGGCAAGGGGCACGGAGCGAAGAGCAAATTAACAGGGGAGCAACAGCGGAGATAGCTATAGGCAGATGGATGGAGTAGCAAGCCCCTGCAATTGTGCACGATGCACTCGCAAAGAGACGAAGTGCGTATGCACGTTCGAGGGTAAGCAGCATGCAAAAACAAAGTGGGAAGAAATCGGTCCAGAGAGAAAAAAAAGAAAAGACAAACCCAAAAAAGGGGACGACGAATCCCAGGGAAAGTAAGATATACACTCAAGTTAACACTCTCAAAAACAAAATCAAAAAACCAGCAAGTACCGCAGCATTGGGCCGTCTAGGACATTGGTAGTGCCGAAAGCATGGGCGACGGTGACTTAAGGAGATTAGCATAACTAGACAGAAGTATAACTAGCGTCGGAAAGGAAAGATGGGTGCCCAAGACCTTGCTAGTTGAATGTTGCAAGTAACTTGGCAGTAGATAGAATATATAGATAGCAGCGCCCCAGCTCCTTTTGTCACTGCCACCCGCGCTTTGGCTCGTGGACCGGTGTTTTGGACGTAAAAGCCTGCGTGCCAGCACGAATGCCCACACGCTCCGGTGATGCCTCATGTCGGACCTTTCTCGAAAGAATAAGAGATCGGGGGCTGTTGGTGTCAAACTCGGTTCCACATGGCAGATTCGTCTGCCTGGTGTGCCGTTTTTTGTGGCTCTCGTCGACTACGCCCAGGAATGGGGAGATGGAGTCGCGCCAATGAATTGAATTGAATTGAATCACAGAAAGAAGTGGACGGTAAACCTTGAAAAGCTTGTCGCCACGACCCACTCGCTCTTACATGTTCGAATCCCGCCCAATCGGCTACAAAGTTGTAGCGCCTGGGCGTTGTGCTTCAGGCTTCCCGCGGGGTAATTGAATGGCACTACTGCGGGAAATTGTAGACCCAGGCAAAAAAATAAGGTCAGAGTGGAGCACATGAGTGGACTTCCGTGTTTGATTGACATGGTCGCCAGTGACAGGGCTCTGTTCCGTTTTCGTGTCGGTGCCACGGTCTTAATATTATATATGGATCTGTTGAGATTTTCTGTTTCATCAGGCGCATTCTCCTTCTCGGCAGAATTCTGAAATCTGGCTGTCGGTGTATTTGAGGGAGGAGGAGCAATATTCATCCCAAGGAGTAGAGTGTGAGAGAGTACTACTTGATTTTTAAGATGGAAGAAAATACAAAGGAAACAAGACTTTAACTGCTGAGAAAGACGCGCTGCATTTAGAAAAATTATGGCTGACATTAAATGTTTGCCGAAGTAGATGGCGATTCTCGTTTCAAGACCAAGACCTACTACTACTAGCAAAAATGAATAGAAAGGAAATAATTACAACAGGCCTCTTGTTGTCGAAAATGAAAATCAAAATTGAGCAAAATCAAGGGTCGTAAAACAAACTACAACAGGACAGGCCTCAAATTGCTCGCAAAAAACGAAGCTACAACTGTTTCTAACTTCCTACGGCAACCATCGATCCAATTTTAGTCCGGTGGTACGGGAGAAAGCACATTGATTCTGAAAATAAATTGTCTAAAATTTCCCTAAACTTACCACCTCATTTACCATCCATCAGCTTAGAAAAGCAAGAATCGATTCACATGGTAGTAAATGGCGCCACTGCGGCGCCCTGTGCCTAGCCTAGGGGGCGCCCAGAAGGAAGGCGTCTTCGTTCGATATTAACGAAACCCGAAGATGTCGGTGCAGCCGAATGCCTCGTCATCCTCCTCTGCGGAGGCAGGAAAGCAGGCGCTCGCTCTGCTAAAGAAGGCGCAGACACCACAGGATTATCAGGTTCTCCGAATTTGCTATGCTTGCCCAGTGATACTTCGGATCTAGTAAGCACGTGAAATTAATGTTGTCGAGCCACTATTTCTCCTAGGACGGCAGTTGGCCGATAGTACCCATTCCTCGTTACTGTTCTTGATCCATCAAGTTCAAGTTTTCAGCGAAGCAGGTATGCGCAAATCTGTTGACCGACGCGATAGCTGGAAATGCGAGCAAATCTGGACATTTTTTTGCGCGAGCAAAATGTTTTCTTGCGTTGCACCAGTACCAGCGTGCGCTCTTCGACTTTTCAATGGCCATACGCCTGGATACATCTCTAGGCGGGAGCAGTACTAGTTTTGTTGTTCATGATTATTGTTCTTGGCGAATGCTTGTGCTATTGCTAAAAACTAAAAGTTGAAATCGAGAATCACATCGTCGAGGAGAAGATAATTGTGCTCCTCCTAGTATTCCTAATCCGCCCAATCAAAACGCCAATACCGCTGAACTGCCAAATCTTTATCGTCTTCCACCCACAACAGATGTGGCAAAGCATATAGGCTATCGAGGATACTGTTATCGATCACTGGGGCGATTACAGGAGGCATTGAAGGACTACAACGAAGCGATAAGAATAGGGCAAGGCGAAAACGCCCAGTATTACTACGAAAGAGCGCTGGTAGCAAAGTCAAAGTTTAACAGTAAATTATAGACTACGATAAAAGAGCACTGGTGGTAGCAAGAACGTTAATATTTCGACTTCATTGCTCGCAGCTGCTTTCGCTTTTACTGAATCAGTGATGATTCAGAGTGCCGCTGCATAGTACCGCGATTCATTGTCTTTGACATGAAGTCTCCTCTTTTGATTTACAAACGGGTTTTATTTCGATTGTCTTTGACATGAAGTCTCCTCTTTTGATTTACAAACGGGTTTTATTTCGATTGTGGTCTTTGACATGAAGTCTCCTCTTTTGTCAGGTCTATTACGACTTGGAGGAATACGAGAATTGTATTAACGATTTCACGCTTGCGCTCGAAAAAAAGCTGAACCCTCAGCAGAGTTACAACAGTCACTTCTACTTATGGCACCAGGAGTTGTAGCGAGGAGTAGAAGGAATTGTCTAGCGGGTAGAAGTCGCCAGGGAAATATAATTAGGCAGATTGCCGAGTAGATTCGAATCATCACGCGAAGGAATTGCCTACTTACATTATTGGGGTCGTTGTGACGAACTTTAACTAGATAATAAGCCTTGGATTCTAGTAATCTCTCTACTCTTAGATACTCCTAATCTCCAGAGGAATTGCGCACAGGAAAATAAACGAGTTGGAACGATCGGTGGAATCATTGAAGGGATGCCTCGAGATCGATGCGGCCAAGTGCGATGGGCACAACCATTTGGGCCTTTCATACGCGCAGATGGGAAACTATGAAGCAGCAAAAAGCTCGTTCTTTATGGGGCATTAGAGCATTAGAAATCTCTTCTCGTTGTCGTTGTCTTTGGGTAACTTTAGAACTACGACTAGTACTACTGCCCGCTTTCCCGGCATACTTCTAGTACGACAAGGACGACCACAATCAATACCGCCCTGCTTCCTCCTTCATAGCAGCAGACGCACTAAAGGCGCACCAAGACATACTCAAACAGTCAGGGCAGGATGAAGCCGAAGCTGGGGAAGGAGACGGAGCCGATCCAAATAACGTCACCAGTTCAAAGTTTTTGAACAACAGGTATGGAAGATAAATCTGGGACAGTAATATTAATTTCTGCTGATGTTGTTGAAGATGAACAATTTTCACGTCACTTCTGTTCTTCATCAAGCAGACGATAATCCTAAGAACTCACACCAACTACTACTACAGGGGTCTTGCGTGCTACCATTTGAGCCAGTACCAGGAGGCAGCAGAGGATTTCACAATGGCCATAAAACACTACGGCAAGGACGCGGGTGTCTTCTTCAATAGAGGTACTGTAGTCTGATTTTTGGATCAACTTCATGATCTTGAAGAAATCATGTATCTGAATCTCAGGAGTACAATTATCTTCTTTCTAGGACGTCTTCTTCACAGGTTCATGCCAATCTTCTGCTTCAACATGTTGAAACTTTCTTCGCCACAACAACAATTTTCGATGAAATTTTCACCACGAGGTAATGCCTATTATTCGATGAAACATTATGAAAAGGCCTTAGAGGATTACGAAACAGCAATAACGTATGACGAGGACAACGCAGTGTACTATCACCATCAAGCGCTGGCATTTCAGGGTCTACACTCTATTCAGCAGGCTATCGATGCCTATTTGCAGGTACTTCGTCATTCCTCTTCCTGGGCTGGACTGGCTTTTAGTTTTAGATCAATTGTATCGACGCTCACCCTACTAGTGGTTCTGACTACTTAAGCAAAAGATTGAGGATAGAAGTTACTAAGAAGTCTAACAACTCATCACGCCCGTTGACAACAACAGGCCATCGACCTGGATCCTACGCATTACCCATCCAAATTCCATCTGGGTATCATGTACCATGTGGATGGGTCCTACTCTAAGGCGTTGGAGGTCTTTAGTGGCGACATCCCGCACGATCAAGCGTTGTATGTTATGGCTGGCCCTCTTCACCTTCGACATCTGTTTTTTCGGCTCATGTTACTACTAGTAGTACAAGAACTTCTAACTACTTACTACTACTAGGGGACGAGAGTGTAATTGGGTTATTTGAGCAGGTCGTGCATGAAATCGTTAAAAATAGGTAAGATCTAGTTAGTATTGAAAGTAATTTCTTTGTCACGTGCTCTAGCTTCTTCTAACCTTGAAAGGCGTGGATTGGTTTTCCGGGATATGGGCAAATACGACTTGGCTCTTTCGGACTTCACGTCTGCCATAGAACTGGAGGAGCATGGACGCTATTACTACCACAGAGGCGTTGTGTACTACTTAGTTCCTTGTCGTTTTTATTAGGCTGTGTCGACACTGATGTTGTAGTATTGATATTACTGGATTTTTACCTCGAAGACTAAATCAAAACATACAAATGAATAATTATTACAATGTCATGCACTTGTACTGCTTAATAACCCAACATGAAGGCCACTTCCACTTTCACACTACATCAACAGGCATCTTCGAATGTTGCAAGAGACAGAGGCTATCAACGACTTCAACTTAGCTCTGCAACTTGGCGGAAAGTTATGACAACTCAAGGATCTTTACCTTCTGATGTCTAGGTCAACTTCGACTCCGTCTTATATATAAGAAGTTAGGTTCTTAGCAAGAATAAGTAAGCTAATTCTAATCTTCGGCCCAAGCTTCTTGAATTGCTGTGTCTACAACGACCGTGGTCTGGCCTACCGTGCCCTTGGTAATTTGAGTCGAGCAATAGCGGACCTAACGTTCGCCCTACAAGAACAAGAAGCCCTTTTTGCTAGCACTGAGGTGGACAAAACTCAGGTGAACGAGCTTGACTTCGCGCTACCGACAAATCTTGTCACAACCGAATACTACGCCAACCGCGCACAATGCTTCGTGGAGCAAGGTGATTAATTTTAATTGTTCCGATACGAATCTTTCGAGTAGGACTTCTAGATTTAGATGAAGATAGGGAAACGGAAACTTTTGAATACGAGTAGAATACATAGGGCAAGAGAAGCCAGTGAAAGTTATATATTGTGTTCGAATCTCCTGCTTCTACGTCGAGGACTAAAATACATCTCCCTCTCCAACTTTTTTCAAGAACAGGTCTAGCCTTTAAATCAAACCAAATACATCTTCCTCTTGCTACTCACTTGTTTCAACAGTAGTTATTTAACTTTTTCTCAAAACCACTAACCTCCACGACTTTTTCTCATCAAAACTTGTTTCAACGAACAGGTCTATACGCTCGTGCCGAGCAGGATCTGACGAAAGCTCTCCAGGTGGACCCAAAGGATCCACAGCTGCTGTACAAGCGTGGTATTGCGAGATATGCCCAGGACTTCTTCCAGCTCGCCATCGACGACCTCACTGCCTCGCTGGAACAAGGCGCCTACCCACAAAACCTCCATGGCATCTACTATCATCTCGGTGTCTCATTTGCCAACCTGGGAAAGCACTTGTTCGCCGTGCCAGCCTTGGACGAGGTACTACTTACTACTTGGTGCGATGTCCTCTGAGTCTTCTTCCTGTCCTTCTCTATTTATTTTTATCCTTATAATATATAAATAAATTTACTTGTTCTTCTATCAATCGCGGAGAACTACTACAACTGCTTGTTTTATGTTCCTCCATTTTCCCATTGCATTTCCTGTTCCATCTTTTCTTCGCATCGTCATCATCATCGCCACTATCTTCTCGCTCTGTTTTCCCATTGCGTTTCCTGTTCCATCTTTTCTTCACATCGTCATCATCATCATCATCATCATCATCATCATCATTACCGTCTTGTTCTGTTTTCCCATTGCATTTCCTGTTCCATCTTTTCTTCGCATCGTCATCATCATCACCACCATCTTCTTCGCTCAGGCCATCAAGCGTGTGAAGATGGAAGATTATCCTCACTACGTCCACGAGCGTGCCAAGTCAGAACAAGTGATTGGGGAACACGAGAAGGCACTCCGCGATTTCTCGAAAGTGCTGGAAGCGCAGCCAAACAACGCGCGTGCTTATTTTCGACGGTACTTCTACTTGAACTTGGTCGTGTTGGAGCTATTCTTCTTGATCGCTTAAGTAGGTTTCTGGGGACTATGGGTCTATGTAATAGAACATGTTGATCAAGAAAAACGGAAAAACGAGACTTCAGAAGTACCTGAACGAAAATCTGTACGTTCCTATTCTTTCACCAATGCGATACAGGGGCTTCTCGTTCAAGGCTTTGCGTTTTTACGAGGAAGCTGCTGAAGACTTTGAGGCTGCGAAGGAGTGCGAACCTCAAGACACGCGCTTCGTCGTCAACTATCGAAAGCTACACAACGTGCAAGCTATCAACTTGGGACCGGCAGGGCACGAGGATCCGAAGCCGAAATACTAGGAGATGAGATCCGTCTACTACGTTTCAACGGAGACCAGCCAATTGCTCACTCGCGTCTGCTGATTCTCGTTTGATCTGTGTGGTTGAGGTTTTCTTTGTATCTTATAAAACCAAAAGATCAACAAGATCTTGCACTACTAGATCTAGTTCTACATCGTTTTTAGAGTTAATATATATATACACTGAGCAACGTCGTTTTAAGTTACTTTTTTGTTACGCTGATTTGCCTAGAGTCACAATACTAGATAACCATATCGCTTGGAATGGTTTATTTGAAAAGTTGAATCGCAGAACAAGCCCTTGTGCGGCGATGAGCCCACGGGTAGATGAAATTAATTTTGCCGGGCCTGGTGCTCGGCGTTGCGCTACTTTCTTAGAGCTGCTGTTGTAGTTTGCAGGCCTTGTGGTCTTTATCATTTCTTCCGACCACCTCTGTTTCGCATGTTACCTTCGTGCTGTTTCGCAATCATGCAAGCGCAACTTCTCTTAATTGAGAATATCACTTACACTTTGTACAGAAAAGTTTTGGAAATACTTAGATGAATGCCTCAGTCACCTTGGAGATGGAGACCGAGCTTATAGTGAGTGTGAGGTCCGTTCGTTGTACCCTTGTCCTTCTAGTGGGGCTTTTCGTCGTGCGCGGTGAGTCTATTTTGTAGGTGAGCATAAGAATGTACGTTGTTTCTTTATTCCTTGGTTGTCTCGTCGTGCTAGTGCTAACTACGGTAAATACTAGGTGGATATACTACGTTGTTGGAAAAATAACGATGTGCTATATTATCTTGGTCCGATTTAGATTTTTCTAATATTGTCTTCGTCAGCTAAGAAATAAGAATGTACCATGGAGGAATTGATACTGTTTTTGATGTTTGTTGCTACTAGTTCCAAGTACTCCTACGACTGCCCTGGTCTAAACCGGTGGAAGGGAGGTGTTCCACCTACCCCATACTTCATACAATCATGCCCGGGCGCGGCATCCCCAGCCTGTAGAATTGCCACAGACAAAAGGAGCACGAATAGTTGTACAGACAAAAGGGATACTCTTACTCATCAATGAATGAAGTCGTGCCCTGCCATTTCTTTGGCTTGAGCTTAAAGACTTCAGCTAACGTCAGTGAGGGTGTTACTTCTTTGCGCCCACCCCAGCTGGTGCGCTCCTGGCCCTTTGGCCGAAGACTTTGAAAAAATCGTCAGCCGCGATGCACGTTCCTTGGAGACCACAGAGGGTTGAGAAAAGTGCACCGCATCTTTAGGGAACAACTCTCAAAAATTTTCAGAACAGGATTAGGAGTGCCGCATCATACTCGTAACTCGTTACAAGAACAACATAAACATAAGTCAATACACAAATAAGGAACAACATATCATATACGTGATCGACCACCCCCTACTACAAGAATCCAGCAGGAACATATTACCATATAAGTACATCATCGACCACCCAGTACTACAAGAATCCACTTAGTACTACAAGAATCCACTTCTAGTACCAAAACGGGGAAGTAGAGTCCTCTTCATCGAGGAAGATGCTGCATCTCGTCGGAGGAGGGTACTACAGCTCTGTGCTACCGAGTGGCGGTCCGTCGGATTCGCGTGACGATGCGGCGGTCGTCTTGCAGCATTTTCTTTCTTCGGGAGGCCTCTCATCCTACGCTGAGCAGGAAGCGAAAAGTTCAAGTTGTTGCCATGGCTATGCTCCTGATTCAGGGTCAACACCATCTTCTGTTTCTGAGCTGGTCCAGTTTCTCGAGCGACAACACGCGAATCGTCTAGACGAGCGGGAGAAGCAGAGACGGCAGGAAGCAGAAAAACAAAGACGTGAGGGGTATATGCGGACTGCAACAGTTCTCAGTGTTCGTCCGCCTTTTATACAATACAGCTCGAAGGACGGCGACTTCCCCCCTTGGCCTCTTAAGTCCTCAGGTACTGAAAGCTAACTTGTACTGTAACGTGTAGTACTTAATTGATTTGTAGTCTAAGTAATTGACTTGTAGTATTTATTGACACTTGCTTTCGACCAGTTTTTACTTGCTTTGTTTGTTCTTCTTGAGGGCACTCACACTCATTGAACCATGATCACGCTAGTATCTAATATCAAAAACACGCTAGTATCTAACATCACGCTAGCATCTAACAGTCTTTCTGAAAATAATCAAATGAACAAGAAGGTACTTCTACCAGCAGCACAGAAGTGGAACAAAGAAGCAAGGACCACGTCGAGGAACCACTAGCACAGGTGCGCAGAGCCAGACAAGACGACAAGACGCAGATCCTCGACAAGTTGCTGCTTCGTGAGCGCGAGTCTAATTGGAAAATCGGGCACGCAGCTCCCAAATTTTTTGATCCTGCGCATGAATACGTGGTACTTTTGGGTGGCGGAGATGGCAAGGAAGATAATGATGCTAAAAGAATGAACGATGAAAACACTTCTACTAGAGGAACTTTTGCGTCACCTCTGGAGAAACGCTCATCTAAAAAGGACAACAAGAGCACCAAAGCAACTCAGTTGCTTAGTCCGGGAAGGAGAGGAAGTCGACGTGAGTCAATAGTACGTCTGATGGAGTACTTTGGAGGTTGTAGCCCCAATAAAACTGGTAAAGAAAATCTACATCATGTGAAGAACTACATCAAATCAACAATATCTAAGACGAAACATAGAAGTAGTAGTGCCAGAACATCGCGACATCAACGCGGCAGGCCAATCGGAAAGCAGGATGCTGCAGTTGATACAACGATGAGGAAGCTGAAAAATGAAGATGCGCAAATGACCACAAAGGCTGTCACCAGCAGTTGTTCACCTTCACTAAAGAGCGCCCCGTCACCTGTGGTTGTTGTCTCACCCGGTCAGCATACTGAATGTGAATCTCCTCCTTCCACAAACGCGAAGAGTAAGAGTATCACCATTTCCATTAGCAATACTAGCGACAAAGAACTACCTTGTTCGACAACTGCCGGTTCGCTACTGGTACCTGGTGCGGGTGGAGGAGCTACGTCGGGAGTGCTGGAGAAGATGCAAGGACGCAAAAGTGCGGTTCGTTTCAGTTTTGCTATCAACGATTCCTCTAATGCTCAGAAGCTGGGGAGAACATGCTTCAATGCTTCTCCAAGTCTACTGCCGAGCGTCAGTGAATGTGAAGATGACGGAGGTGGTCAGTCGCCATCGCAAGCACCCTTCGCAGGAGGTTTGACACTGTCGATACCCACGGGAGGAGCGACCACCTCTTCCACATCCTCTTCAACGAGGACGGCGAATAATAGACTTATTTCTTCAACAGGTAGCCAAAGCCATGCCGAGTCGGGGGACCAAGGAGAACGACAAGCAGCCGACTTATTGGCAGAAGAGCAAGCGAAAAAGAGGAAACGGCTGCTGCTCCGACGACGCAGTAGCTTTCGAGTGCTGGCGGCTCTGCCTGCGTCACTGGACTTTTCAAAGACGGTAAGTCACCTCCGCACAAGGAAAGCTCCTCCTTGGCGTGCCTTCATCCAGCTTCAGCGACGCCAGAGGGAACAGGATCGTCACCGGCAAGATCCCATGAAATTTCATCTCTAGTAGTAGTAAGCGCATTGATGATGTTCCAGCGCCACATTTGGTGGAGATCATTTCGAAACTTCATCTCTATAAATAGCAAATTCCAACATGTGCTGGTGCGATACATAGGTGTCAATGTCATACAACTAGAACTAGTCTCATTGTTCTTTCTCCACATAACGCAGGAGCTCGTGGACTACAACTACATCTTCCACACTTGGTCATATTAGCCATAGATATTGATACGTAGGGTGAAACCACGACTTTCATGCATCATCTTCTGTTTATAGAGTCGAAAAAAGCAGCTAGTAGCTGGTCGCCTTGCAAGTAAATTTAGTTTCTTTTCAACATGCATCTACTTTTTGCCACCTTATGTAATCTTCATTGACATTACACAGCACAACATGAAGAACGTCCTGGACGAATTGAACGAAAATAAACACGTGAAGAAGTAGATCTTTTTTGGGCACACTCAGTAGAATCTGAAAAATCGTAACTGTTCCAATCTTGATGAAGAATCCAAATCCTGCTTGGCCGCCTTATAAAGTTGCTTATAGAGAAGTTCTCCTTTCAACTACACTGCGGTTGCAGCAACCATAATCAGGATCAGCAAATGAATGATCAAGACCTCCACCTCTAGGTCGGTTACAGGAGCATAGACTTAGAGCTGCATAGATCAAATTTGCCCGCCAACACTGCTCCAGCCGCAGAAAACATCTTGGTCTCCTTCATAGTCGTGAATCCTCACCCCCTCGAGGCGAGCAACAACTTCGGATCCCATCCCATGATGATGAAAAAACTTTACTCCGACCATGATCAATGTCTTTGTCTTCTGAGTCGCAATCGTGAAAAAGCTCATCCACCGAACAAGTGTGTACAAGAAGTACAACCCACCTGAAGGAAATTGCAAGGTCTCTCTGTCGTGAAGTTGCCCTCAGGATCCGCGCCGTTTCACACGAATTTAGAGTTCCCATTCAGTTCCGGTCTTGTGAAAAATCAACCAAGAAGTTTGGAAAAAGCGTGATCATAGACAAGTACTAGAAGTTACGATCTCCGAAGGTAGAGATGAAAACAATAGATGGACTCCGAGTACTAGTTTAGAGCTGCCTCACATATCCAAAACCAAACGATTCAGCGACCATCAATGATGTCTCACGACCAAGTTTTGCTCCCCTATGGATGACATCTACTAAAACTACTGTTGATGTTGCACACTATCCGTGCATGATGGTGGTACTTGTAGATTCTTTGCCTAAAGTTACCTAGTTTATTCGACTTGTCAGTTGTAGTTGATGTGAAAACCAAGGATGTCGTTTCAAATTCAATGGTAACACTAAGACCGCCCATCATCGTCATCTTCTCTTTCAAGATTTTTATGTCACACACCATCGTAGCTATCCGTCTCTGTTGATTATAAGTTGTCTGATGAACTAGTATTAGTAATTTGTTCAATACGGGAAAAATTCTTGATTCGTCATCGACGTTTTGAAGTGCAACTTACAACATCTCCTACTTAGAAAGTTCATCTACTGTCTACTGTGTCCTCTCACGCTTCTTGCTTTCTTTTAGCATGGTGTTTGAGGTTCTTTGATGTACTACATAATTTGTTCAACATCTACTTGTAAAGTACAACGTTGGCATCATTGAGTTTGAGACTAAAAGCCAGGACTATAGTTCAAGATGAAGACTATGACTTGTTGAGTCATCAGATTGCCGATGCCTTCGTATACGTAATATTGACAGCGATCTCCCACCAGCACGTCTTTGAGAAATAACATGGGAGGTGCCTACGATGACGATCGAGGGAGGTCCCGCAGTCCTCGGCAGCGCTCTAGAAGCCGACAACAGCAGTGCGACTCCAGAGGCCGGCCAGAGCCTCGTGAAGAACGTGCAGATGTGCTGGTCAAGAAAGATGTAATCATCAGAAGTACCTCCTCGTCATCAAACTATGATGCACCGCGGCGTACAACTAGCCGTAGAGATGAGGACAGCAGAGATGAAAAAGTGGTCAACTACACTAGAAAAGTGGACCAGTACAGCACTAAGCAAAGTAGTAGCGACAGCGACAGGGCGGAGAGGGAATTATACGTAGGTGGTGGACATGCACATGCACGGCGGGCAGGTAGTAAGAGCTCGAGCAGGGAGCGATCCAGAAGTAGGGTGGCTGCTCCTTCGGTCGGGGGTTCCTCACGGGTTGCTGCTAGCAGGAAGATGCAAATCGACGACAAAGATTACAGAAGCAGTAGCAGAGATGATCTTCTTGATCACGTTCACGAGAGAAAAGGAACAAGCAAGCATGTTGTCGAGGCCAGCTGCAGCAGTACTGCTGCTCCTGCTCGTGGCGATAATGCAAATTCTTCAAGTCATCTTGGTAGCAGGGGGGACCGGGTGACGAAAGTAACTCGGCGGGTCTACAATGAGGCGGCCGGGGCGTATCCACCTCCATCCTCTTATACTCGAGTAAGGCAAGAGACAACGACCACGACAACATCTAGTACATCTGCATTGTTCGGAGCTGTCGGTAAGGTCCCCAGCAGAGATAGATCAGAGTACAATCTCTATGATTTTGAAGTTAGCAAAAATCGCAGTGCAGCAGGAGGTGGAGGCCGCAGCAGGGGGAACAGCAAGAGCAGCGCCGAGCCAGGAGGTGATCATGATGTGATAGAGCGGCGCACTTTTGGAACTACGAGCGTGAGGATGAATCCGAAGCCCGCCGCATCGCCTTCTAGTGGCTCTGGCGAAAGCAGAGCAGGAGACTTATTAACCAGAACCGGCGTAGCAGGAGGAGACCTTCAGCGAACAATTTCGCGGACCCGTGGCTTTCAGGAAGGCCGGGGTCGAGCGATGTCCTCTATCAACGAACAACATCAATCTTCTCGAGGAGGTGGAGGAGGTCCAAATAGTAATATATTGTTCTCCGAAATGAAGAACTTCCAGCAAAAGACGGCAAACATGACGCCTGCTGGAACAGCCTCTAAAGATGATGCGAGTTCTCGAGGTAATAGTCGTGGTAGAAGACCTGCTCCGAGTGCAGCTGGCCAGCAAAAGTATGAAGAAGATGAAGACGAGTTCGCGGGTGGCGTTATTCGATCGGGACTGAACAGGACAACGAGCCAATCAACTGCGGATAGGGATCCTAGACTACATCGGAGTTTTGCACCTACTGGTGGACAACAGCAAGTCGGAGATCGGACAACGAGCAGTCGCAGTTTTGCACCTACTGGTGGACAACAGCAAGTCGGAGCTTCTAGTTCATCTCGCAACACCTCTTCAACACAACATAATAATTTACAGCAACGTGGAGGCTCTTCTTCAAGTGGAGGCCCTGCTTCATCTCCGTCGTACAGGAGCTCACAACCTTCTACCTCGCAACATCATCAACAGTACCATCATGGGCACCAGCAAATAAGTGGAGCATGTGGTCCTTCTTCATCGCCCTCCTCGTATGGACGGAGCACAGGCACAAGGGGCCCCTTCGAGGTCGGGATGAACCGGTCAACACCATCCCTAGGAGCTCCGGCTTTTTTTCCGACTCGGTCTTCTCCGCTGCTCAGTACTTACAGTGCGCCCTCGATGTCCTATTCGTCTGCTTTTCGACCACGCGGAATATATGATACTCCGATCTCAAACTACAACCATCGTAGTCGCTGGGCGGGCGCAGGTGAACATAACCTTCCGCCAGAGGACAATTCGGCTCGACCACTAGGTTGTAACGTCGGAGCAGGACAACATGGTACAGCTTCATCCAGCATATCTATGATGTCCGGAGATCAACATCTTGGTCAACATGCACAAGCGCAGCATGGTAAGGCGTTCAACGGCACGACAACTACCTCTAGTGCTTCGGGAGTTCCAACAGGATCTTTTGGTGCAACTGCATCTTCCGTTTCGGCCACTACAACAACATCTTCAAACATGAATCGGGATACAACTACACTTCAGCGAAGCTCTTCTGCGAATGCTGGCGATGCCACTACATCTACACTTCAACGAAGCTTTTCCACACACTCTGCGTCTGGACCTTCCTATCGACAAAGGTACAATTACCGACCTTTGGATCTGGATGATCGAGGTGCCAGTTATACAACGGGTAATATTACAACTGGTGGATCTAGTACTGCAGGAGGGGGCCAAGTAGGACAAGGCCATCAAGGTCCTATTCCTGGCATGAATAAATTGAAGCCGTTGATGCGGCCGCCGATACAACAAGATGCTTATGCTCCTCGAACAATGGGAGCTGCATCTAATGGCGCTATTGGAACCTCCAAGTCCAACGACTACAATGTCATCGATCGAGAAGTAGACAACTACAACAACGTTCAGAACAACAGGCACAACAACACAAGCAGAACAGTCAGTTGTAGGAGCAATGCGGTTGTGAATCCCGCCCCTAGTACCCCTTCTGGGAGCGTGAGAGTTGTGAACAACAACAGTTATAGGTCAGCTGCTTTTCACCTGGATAAGCGTGAACGTGATGTAGCAGTAGCTGACAACTATCAGGGAGGTGTAAGACCAACATCGACATCGAGAAGTCGCCAGTCGAAGAGGCCTTCTCTATCCCGCGCAGTATCTCCCTCTGAGCAGAACAAGGGCAACAAGACGAGAAATGTTCTTGACTTGGAAGCAGGAACCTCGCAGCGGAATGACCGTAATTATGGCAGTGAGCCACATAATTATGGCAGTGAGCCACAAGACTATGTGGTCTTCAAGCGTGAAGAAGATCCGACGAGACCGACGGCACAACTTCAACTACCCGAGGAGACCGAGTGGTCAAGGATAAAGAAGATCCGAGGAGACCGAGCATCAAAAGGAAGCCGCGAGCGCGATAGACCACAGAGAACAATCAGTACTGGCACTCCCTCGATGTATGATAGGTTTAATGCCGGGTCTGCGAACAAGAAGAATAGATTGGAAGATAATCATGTCAACAACTTTCAAGATTTTCCGTCTCATGATGATCACGGCGTCAAGGGAGGTAAAAAAACGGACAATCGTCGTCATCGTGAAAAAGGCTCAGGTGGTGCCGGCCGCGCGCGCAGGAGAAGCGGCAAGGGCCGCCCTTCTAACGAAAACGACAAGAGCAGTAGTGCTGAAAAGAGTCGGTATGATAATTCGCAACGTGTTCTACTTGGAGGTGGAAAGCGGAGATCTGACTCCTCCTCTTGCAGAAGACGAAGCCCTCGTCAGAGCAAAGTAGGATCGTTGTACTCTTCAAAAGTGGATTCTCACTCGCAAAACAACTCACGCTCACCGCAGAGCAACTCCTCCTCAGGTGGGCGTGGACGCAGTCGTGGCTCTCGTGGCCGTGATAAAAGTAGTGACCGTCGTAAAAGTAGTGCTAGTTCTTGTCGTGGACGAGGGAGAGGCCGTAACCGTAGAAGGGACAAAGGCAGCTCAACACCGTCACCGACGCAACCCTCTGAAGAAGATATTCCCACAGCATATTTCTACGGTAATCGAAGTCCGCCTCGTCGAGGAAGGTCGAGAAATAAACAGGATGGTGCTGGTGCTGACACTTCATCTTCTCGTTTGGAGAAGGCAGGACTAGGAGTTGAAAGGGTACCAGAAGGGGAGCAAGCAGTAGGAGGTCGTAGTTGTACCAATGGAGGTGGCAGCGAGGAGGTGGAAGATCATGATGCCCATGCCCCTGTTCGACGTTCCCCTTTTGATGCTGACGGAAGAGGCGCAAACGAGAGAGGTGTCCGTCGTGATAGGTCAACCAGTGCCGATAAGGATAAGGGACGGGAGAACGCGGCTCGCCGTTGTAAAGAAACGCAGTCCTCCTGCCAGGAGGAGGAGGATGCAGGTGGTCATGGGAACCAGCTTGCAGCAACATCAGGGACCACGTC